TGTCCCCGGTCAGATGTTTACGAGTGGATGCAGATGCATAGCCAGTGCATGGCCCTGAGCCTCCTCTCGCCACTGGATCTCTTGCCGGGATTTGATGCCGTGATGCTTATCTGCAGTCGCCAGCAGAACCCTCAACAAGGACACCATTATATTATTATCCCACCTGCCGACTCAATTCCTGCGCCCATCCCATCTCCTCGACACCCCCGCATCATCATGGGCGCGCACATCTGAGGGCGTCTCTGCGACTGCGTACATCCTTCAACACACCCGATCGTCCAGTGCCTGCTCGGCACCGTCAGATCTCCCGTTTACACCTTCAGAGGGGAACCCATTCACCACTCTTATCTCGCTTTCTCTTCTCTCCACAACACCATGTCCAAGTCTCCTCCACCGCCACTCCACTCCTTCTCCTCCCAGGAGACCAGCCTCTCGTCCTCCTCTACATTCGCCCCCTCAGCGCCCACCCCGTTCAACACCTACTCGTCCAGCAATGCCTTTGCCGAGCAATCATTTCCCGGCCCTGGGGGCGAGGAACCAGTAACCCACCATCCCGATCTGTCTGAAGAGATAATGTACGATCCGCATCTAGGCATAGACAGCCATACCGTCCCGTCCGCTGCGACGCCCTCATCATCAATACAGCGGGCCAACTCGATAGCATCTCACGCATCTTCGCGGTTACTCCCGTATCGGAAACCAGGCTTGGCCGTATCGACGTCGAGCGATATCCCCTTTTCGTCCCGTCCCATTCCTGCGCCCCCGATTGCCATCATACGGTCAGATATCGATGCCGCCGAGCATTCTTATGATGCGGACCTGTCTCCGACGTCGGTATCGACAGCGCTAGCAACGCCGCCTCCAGCAGTCAAGTTTGGGATAGACTTGGAAGAGCATGATAGTCGTCATGGGCCGGGAGGAGTGGATATCGACGGGGTCCGTCTGGAGGCTCTGGGGTATGATCCCGTTCTGGGGCGGACCTATACTTTTTGGTCGAGCTTGGCCATCAGCTGGCTGAATACTGGCGCTTTACAGGCAAGTGGCTTTGTAGACAAGAGACTCCCGGCTGACAGTGATGTAGGGCACAATATTCGCAGTGTCTGGTACATACAGCTATGGCGGGCCCGTCATGATCCTTGCCGCCTGGCCGCTCGCCGGTATCTTTACCTTTGCCCTCACCCTCACACTTTCCGAATTATCATCAGCGTATCCAGTCGCGGGCGCCATGTTCTCATGGACGTGGAAGACTGCTAGAGGCGGAGTTGGGGGCGAAAGGGCCTGGGCGTGGCTGGTATCGGGTTTCGTGATGGGAGGACATGTCGGAAATGTACGTCCTCCATACATTTAAGACCACAGCTGATACTGCTCTAGATACTGTTAGTCACATGGGAAATAGCCAACATAGTCGTCGGGACGATAAGCCTCTCGATAGATTTCGAGCACAACGCCTGGTACAACTTTCTCCTCTTCCTCGGCGTCCTCCTTCTGGTCGGGACCGTCGGCTCCACTGGCTGGGGCCAATCGCACAGGTTTTGGCTTTGCGGTGGCGCATTCGGTTTTACCGTCTGGCTCGTGCTCTGCATCACCCTCCTCGCTACCAACGCTACGAAACACAATCCCAGCGATATGTTCAAAGAGTTTTACAATACCACTGGGTGGAGTTCGAAGGGTTATGTGTACCTTTTGGGGTGGCAGTTCACGTCGATAGCAAGTGGGGCGGATGCCTCGGCGCATATGGCAGAAGAGACGCAAAACCCATCGAGGAATGTTCCTAATGCCATGTCGACTTCTATAATTGCTGTGAGTGGTATACGTCCTGTCTGAATTTTGCTGACCTGGTACAGACTTATGTTCTTGGTTACATTGTATGGTATTCGCCACAATACGCTGATTGGTGCTGACAAGACACAGGCTATCGTATTGTTGCTGTTATCGATATCGCCCGAAGACGCGGCGACAGTCAAGTCACACTCTTTCGCCTTTGTACGTCCATCCCCAAGCGACGTTCCAAGCTGACGCCCGCAGGGCTATATTCTCACCGAAGCCATCTCCCGCCCAGGTGCCATAAGCATCTGCATCCTCATGATCCTCGTACTCGTCCTGCAAGTCCTCGCGCAACTCCAAGCCTCCTCCCGATTCGTTTTCGCCCTCGCCCGCGAAAATGGGATGCCCTTCTCCTCTATCATCAGACGTACCAACGGCCACCGGCGGCCTGTATTTGCCGTCTGGCTTCTCGTCGTCGTTTGCGCCCCATTTGCGTGCATGACGTTGGCAAGTGAGAGCACGCTGTACTCTGTATTGGCGGTGACGGCTTGTACGCTGAGTTATGTGGGGTATGCGGTACCGGTGGGGCTGTATCTGTTTTCGAGGATCGATCTGCAGACGGAAGGGAGGAGTATGTGGTCGCTCAGAAAGTGGAGCAAACCTATCGCTGTTGTGGGCCTGCTCTACTCTCTCGCAGTAGTCATTGTCCAGACTCTACCCGGCTCGAAACCTGTACGCGCCAGTACCATGTCTTGGTCCCCCGTCATCATCGTCGGCACGATCTCCATGTGTTACCTCACCTGGAAGTCGTACGGCGACAAACACTTTGCCGGGCCAATCCGCGCAATCACAAAGTGGGAAAGCGGGGTCGAGATAGACCTCGGCAAAACGCTCGCTTCATCTCGCTCAAAGTTTTCCGACGGCTCGCGAAAAGGCGGGAGTGGCTACGAGACATGCGACTCTTTGAAATTGGCTTTATCGCCGTATCACCCGTCAGCTGGGACCGGGCTGGAAGAGGGCACGGGCGGGATGGCGGGGGTGACGGTGCAGAGTGCTGGTCTGTCGGGGATGACGAGTGAGGGAGAGTGGACGAGTGGGAGTGAGAGTGAGAGTGCTTCGGGGTGGACGAGGTCTGCTGCGGAGAGTAGGCAGGCGAGGAGTGTTCCGTGGTGAACGTTAGAGGGTTTATCTTTTTCTTGGTTGAATCATTTTCGAGTATCATTTTCCTTATGGGTGTTTAGTCTTGTGCCAAAAAATGGGGTTGTACGTAGCCTTCTCATAGAGACCATATTCCTTGGTCCCCTGCCGGATAGGATTCATCAAGGGCGTTGTATCATTAAAGGCTTTATATCTGGCTTTTCCAGTCGATCTCTCACCATTGTTTCTTCAGAGTGTGCACAGGGTTTTTTGATTGTATGTAAAGAATTCTTGGATCATACAAGAGCTATTTAAAGTATGTCTGGCTATACTGCAAGTCGTCCAACAATCCCCTGCCCTTGACTTCCCACCCAGTCAACTCCTTTGTCAACTCGTTGTTACCCTCAGCCGCGTACCCCGTCACCTGACCCAGAGGCCATTGGTAGTATTCAACCATCTTCTTTTCCTCTATGCTTTTCGTGGGAACTTCAAGACGGTTGGAGATTACCGTGACAATATCTCTAAACGGAACTTGATCCGCAAGTCCATCCAATACTATTCCAGCCTCAAGGGTGTCACTCTCAAGCACAAGCCTGTAAAGCTCCGCAACTTCCTTTACCTCTACAGTACTCCATTTGTTCTCCCCGTCCCCCGCCCAAGCTCCTACCTCATTCACTCGCACCGACCGGACGACATCACCCACGATACCGAAAAAATCGCCGGACCCGTGGACGACCAGGGGCAGGCGTATAACGCAGGTGCGGACGGACTGGGAAGTGTACTGGGAGAGGGCTTTTTCAGAGCCAAAGCGGGAAGCTGCGGGGTAGCTGAGCAAAGAGGAGATGGGGATTATGGAGGTGATGACGAGGGGTTTGTTGGTGCCTATCAGGGCAGTGGCCATGGCGTTGATGGCAGCTACATCAACTAGATAGGAGTCAGGGCTGTACACAAGGAGCCCAAAACGGGTGCGAACCTAGAGCAGATTCGGCGCATTGGGTAAAGTCGTTATTGTATGCCAAGTGCACAACGGCATCGGCATCGGCGGCTGCCTTGGCGAGTATGTCTGTGTCTTCGAGGGCACTACGGATGACTGTGAAGCCTTGATTTGTCAAAGCGGTTTCCTGACAGGTCAATGATCAGACCAGGTAGCATGTGTGGGAGGAAAGGAATAGGACTTGCAGACGAGTCGGACCGGGCGAGGGCGAGAATGGTATGGCCATTCTCGAGCAGCAGGGGCGTGAGATGTGAACCAATCCAGCCTATTTCAGGTCAGCATTCTTTTCTTCAGGGACAGCCAGAACGCTTCTCTTACCAGTAGCCCCAGTGACAAAGATCTTCATCCTTCTCTCGTCCACACAGGCTGCAACAAAAACCTCAGTACACGTCGAACGAGAAGAACAAGCTTGAATAGTTTCGCAGATACGCTGCTGTTTTCTGATAGGTGGGACATTCACTTGTGGGCACGAGCCTTGCAGCAGGGAAATTGCAGCCACGTTACTACCTCGGAAGGAAATGCAAGGAGGATTTATACTAAGATGTTCGGTGTTCGGTGATCCACCCTCGATTCTGTTTGGTTCGCCACAGCGCGAGCCCGGCGGTCTGGGGGGGTGAACGTGTGACGTCCTGGAGGTCTTTTCACCTGCTGTGAGATCGCAAAAGTGAAGCTATCTGAGCAGTACGCACCATCGACACTCTTGCAGGACAGCCCCATCGTTGCTGAATGAATCAACAGATACCACCGTCTCTTCGCTGAGCTCGGCAGTTGTTGCCTACTATGCTCACGAGATATTCTCCGTTGTCGGCACATACCGCCTCCCTGGATGACGCGTCTTTTCGCAGCCATAAATTTGTTGTTGCATGTGAGTGCGCCTATCTCCTCTTTCATTTCCATGCATCTGCCATCCCATATACCCAAATACCCCCTGCTCCTCGCCGCCGCGTCGTCTGCCGTGCCCCACCCCACTACGCCGAGTTTGTCGTGACAGGCTTTCGCTACGCAGCGCGTAGCACAAAAAAACACATCCCGACTAGCCTAGCGGTCGCGTTTCGAGCTCATCTTGGCACACGCAACCATCGACCACATCCTTTTCCTCAGCAACATGCCGCCCGTTGCCTCCTGGTTCGACTACTTTCAAAGCGGGAAATACAACCTCCTCCCCACAAATGCGAGCCCCTTGACGACATCCCTCAGCCCAGAGATGACAACAAGAGCATATCTGGGCAAACGGCGGCGTCTTTTTCAGCTTTGTGCGATGGCCGTCATCGGGATGCTGGTACTAGGTGGCATCATGAGGCATACCGGCTTGCCATCGCCGGCCGACCGAGCATCATCGTCCTTGGATGAAGGCGCGCAGGACGACAGAGAGCGTGAAATGTGGGGAAAGACGGAGCAGATGGGTTGGCAGTCACCGGAATCCGAGGGTCTGGTAGACCTCGGAGAGGTGGCTGAAGGGCGCTTCAGACTGAATATCAAGCCGGAAGAGAGTAGCGTGGCAGAGTGAGCCCATCGATCATGGTAAAGACTGCGCTCACACCTTGCAGATACTATCGCCGGCTCTACGACTTTGCTGTCTCTCTCCCAATGGGCCTCCATTCCCCCTTCCTCTCCTCTTTATATGCCCACCTCCCACCTTCTCATCCCGACCTTGTACCCGACTATCCCAACGCCCAGTCCTATCTTCCATCCATGATCTCCTACAAATCCATCCACATGACCGACAAGACTTTCAACCCTTCCAACGAGTTGATCCAGACCTGGCAGAGAGTCAACGAGAGAGATGGATGGAAGCTCAACTTTTTGGACGACTCGGCTGCGGCCCAGTGGGTAGCAAAGGTGTTCAAGAGGAGTGATGTCGAGTGGGCTTGGAATTTCATGCACCGAGGTGTACTGAAAGCAGACTTTTTGCGGTACTTGCTGCCCCTGGTTGAAGGAGGTGTATACTCTGACGTAGACGTGAGTGGCGTGCTCTTATCCTGTCTCGACTAATCAACCTTCAGACTCGCCCTATCCGACCCGTCGAACAATGGGGCACGACCAACCCTGAAATCCTCGACCTCTCTGAATCTGACGGGCCCAACTGGCGCTCCCAGCTCTCTACTCACCCCTCGGTCATTGTCGCTATCGACGTTGACGTCCACGCTTTCGTCAACTGGCAAAACTCTTGGCCCCGCCCGCTCGGTATCTGCCAATGGACGCTCTCCTCCGCGCCGAATCATCCCATCTTTCTCGATGCGGTCAGGAGAGTGGTGAATGCTTCGCATGTCGTCGAAGATTGGGAAAAATGGAGAGAAGGAGAGATTGAGAGGTTGGAGTTGGAAAAGGCGGATGGATGGGAGAAGGCGGTCGAAGATCTTAAGAAGCAGATGAGAGATCATGCGATGAATGTGATGGAGTGGACGGGCCCTGGGCTGTTTACTGATTCTGTCTTGGCGTGAGTCTTGTTCTCGTCGCCCTTCCGACGTCAGCGCTGATCATCATGACAGCTTCCTACTCGCGAGGTACAACGTTACCTGGCACCGACTCCGAGGCCTTCACCACCCCTTACGGATAGGCGACGTCTTGATATTGCCCATCACCGGCTTCTCTCCGGGCGGGCAGAAGGACTTTAGGGCCGAGGGACCGGATTCGCCTCAAGCGAATGTCCTGCATAACTGTGAGTACTTCGATAGTCCTTGACCAATGGCTGACTTGGGACAGTTCGAGGTAGTTGGAAGGGTGATGGAGCGTGAGCACGATAACGGCGTTGGATATTTCGCGTTCTGGGGCCGAGAGCATCCAAGTATTACAATTTAGATCTGTTTCTTTTGCGGCATATCTCTATCTGTGTATCAGTATTCGCAATGACTCGAGATTTCCCCTACACAACAGGCTTGTCCTGTATAGATCATCCTCTTTCCCATGTGATTGCATCGGTATCTATTCTATGATCTCGGGTACTTTCTCTAGATGGCACGCACATATACGAGTATTGCATGATGTAGCGATTTGATACTACTTGCATTCACATCACTTGTCGTGCTGTCCATGTTCAGGCCTCTTCTAGAGGCAAGAGGCCGAGGCCAAAGAAGGCGAGTCCAGGCGTGCTCCAAGTTTCGTGCGCGAAGAAAGCTCAGGAGATCAGAAGAAGGAGGCACAGCTCGGGTATTCTACAAAGCCTGCTATATGACTCTTGGATAAGTGGCTTCGATGAGGAGTAAACGAGTGCTGTGTGTGGCGTGTGCTAGTTTGCACCCTGTCCTTCCACATATCGATCACATTCATGCCTATCATCACTTTCAAACACGCAAGCTAGAAAACCTTCATGCCAGGAGGGGAGGAGAAGCGCAAGCGGCGTTGCGCATTACGTTGACATGGTCTCCCCGTCCCGTACCTCATATCATTTCATCGTATCATAAGTATGTACTCAGTACGTATGCTTGTCGATCGAATCATTTTACCGGCTCAAGGTTATCAGATTCCGGAGCTTTCTGGTGATGTCAATTCCTGATGGCAAGTCTGATACACTTTCCAGTACCGGAGGCCGGAGGCCCAGTTGACCCCCTTCTCGTTGCACCTTTGCTTCAACCGCCATGATCAGTGTATGGGTCTCTCGTGAAGAGCAGTCGAGCAACTGATACTGTGGAGCTGGCGGCAGGCCCAGCCAAAGACTGGAGAACGGGCATGAGTGCCCATCATGTCTTTGCTACTGGCGCACTCTGTAGATCCCGCTCTTTCAGTGCTGCGCTCTTAGTCGTACCTGAACACCTGGAAATGTAGCACGACGGATTCGGTGAGATTGGATTGTGGAGTGTGTGATAGATCCTTCTGGAATTCCGTTTGCTGCAATCCCGAATTGATGGGGAAGCAATCGGCGCCAGCCATCCAACCGAGACAAGTACTGCTGTTACCGTGAGCCGTGCAGAGTTCCAAAAGGTAAACGCAAGACACGGGCCAAACAATTTGTGGGGAAGAGGCACACGTACCATGATGGTTGGGACAATACGGACAAGTGCGCTGCACGCCACCAGCTGATATGTAGAGGCGAGGAGGTATAGTAGTAAGACAGATAACACACGGAGCACGGAGCTCACGGAGTTCAATGAGGTAGTAAGACACTTTGGAAACAGTATGTACGTCTCACCATATGTGTCAGCGTGAGTGGTGATCGTGGATGCTGGACCACCGACTATACCGGTTATTTTGGCCTTACTGGTCACTGGTATGCGTTCGATTGCTTTGAATACTCTGGATAACCTTAACTTGTCCCTCGAGAGACTACGACATGAAGCTTCTTCTCATCTGAGTTCACCCGGGGACGATGCTTGATAGACGTAATGGGTGCCGGGAAGCGTCTTGATGTGGTGGTGGATTGGGCAAGAAGAATTGAGAGTCGTGCAACAACGCAACAAGGCAACATCATCGCTCAGCTTGCCGGGATACTGCCTTGTCGCGTCGCCATTCGTGATCATAAGGTCGGACCTGATTGTTTTGGGTCCCAAGAATTCACTCGTGGATCTGTCTGAGATCTGAAAGCTAATGACAGCAGCAACAGGGATGAGCTTGAGGCCAGATTGGTTGAAGACATAAATGAGAATGTTGGTTTCAGCGATCATGGCCAGCAGGCCCAGCAGGCAGAAAATCGTAACTGCTGCTGCACCTGAAAGAAGGATGATTGCGATGAGACATGACACACCGGGCAATCACAGAGGATATGAGCGGTAGGCCAGGTTGGGTGCCGCACTGGAGAAGAGCGTGGGTATTCTGCTGGTCGCTGATCATCTGAGGGATGAGGGCCCCAGTGCCCCCAAGGGGTCAGGGCCCAGGGAAAGCAGGAAGTAGATAGTAGTATACTCAAGGGTAGACAAAGAACTCAGAGTGGAGCAGGCATCGGACAACTTCGATTTGCATCTTTCGTGAGTCGGCCATTGAATCGGTCAAGTCTGATCAGATTGCTAGTAGATGCAGTGTATCCTGTTGAATTGTGCATTCTACCTAGTAACCTTCTCCTCAATCCTCTCACCCCAGCGCCGCGTAGAGATCAAACGTCTCATTTGAAGCGACCAAGAGGGAGAGTTCGCTCACGCCATCGACACCGAGCATCTATCAGATACATAGACACTCCGCAAGCTCAAATTCAAAGCGAACATTCGCGTCGGGCCCTTCGGATCTGGATTTAACTTCTTCGGCCGGCGGTTACCGCGGGGTGACAAACTCTGATTTGGCGATTAGAAAAATAAATTAGCCTTATCCACCGATTGGAGTGGTATTCAGGAATCTGCTCACGTGATCTCTTTCCGTCGCTCAACGTTCTCCATCTCCTGGACTTACGCACGTTTGCGGCTGTCCATCTCGGAGAGCGTTATGTCTGCATGCGGATAAGAGATGGCACTGATGCTGGAGGCGTACGAGCGTACGAGATAAGCATAGGACCTCTCTCACGTCGTCGTCCAGTCCGCGTCGTAGTGCGCGTCGTATGATATGTTGTGCATGTCGTCAGCCAGAGCAGGCATATAACAGCAGATACTGCCAAGTTGAAGCGCCAGATGTCAGGCTGCGGAAGGGTTCCAACTGTTCTTCCCTACGATCTTTGAGAGATTGGTGGCGGGACTTTAGGTCGGGGGCATGAATTATGTCACCGGAGAAACGGAAGAGTATCACCAAATGGCACAGGGAGCAAGAGAGAGAAGAGAGGGAGGAGTTTAGGGAACAGAGGCCAGAGGCCAGAGGATAGTGCAAGTACAAGTGTATTTTACATATCTTCATCACCCAACAACTCTTCCCGGACACTAATTCCGGCGGATAAAGCGGCTTTAAGCATGTCACTTCTTTGTCCTCTTTTGCCTCTTGCACAGCCGGGAGACTTTTCCGATACGGACTTTCAACGAGAACGACCATGAGTATGGTTCATCCTTAGTGCGAAGGGGCTTGCAGCTTGCAGCTTCTTGGCCAGCCTTACGTGATCGATTTAGAACGATCTCTTCATCGGCATCAAATGCATAGCTTCAAAGCTGTCTGAATTTCTGGGCTGACTATTTTTTTGCAGGGTGTACATAGGGTGAAGGAGGTCGAACGCGTTGAACGACGTCAAGCGCGCAGCGCCAGACCGCCAGTCGTCGTATCCGTGAATGATGAAAGTGACGAGAGAAAAGGGGGAAAAAGTGCCGAAGATCTGATTCCAGTGTTTGGCGAGGTCTTGCGGCGTGGCTGAATCTTTGGGTCCAGACCAGAGACAGGACACAGGCCGTCAATCTAGGAGGACAGTTGAGCATTCGCCATTTGCAAGATCTCAAGCATGCGACAGCTGGAGGTCGTTCGAGGCTGCCACGACACGTGCAGACTCACACTGTGCATACAGCCAATCTGCATTCTGTTTGTGTCGAGCCACATGCTCATGCGATAATCTTGTTACGATCTTCGTGAGATCCCAAAAAGAACCCGCTGCGATAGCCATATATCGAGGGAAGTTTCCAGGGATCGAACGCGGGCCCATAGGGCCCAAACAGGTACCTGGAAAAACCCTGTGCCCCTTGTAGGTCTGTACCTTTCGGCTAGAGTGTTTGTCGCGGGCGAAAAGCGGGTTGAGCGACGTGAATCCAGAGAGATATCATAATAAGCGCACAAATGCTACGAGCGCTACGTACGAGTGCCTCAAAGATCAAAGGCCAAGAAGCCAGGGATGCATGAAGTGAGACAGATCTCCGAGCACTCGGGACTGTCCGGTGTGAGGGATGGGGTGGACAGGGAGACGTTGCAGCCTGGCCTGAGAGACTGAGAGAGCATCCTGCAAAGGGCACCCTGCGGCCTGCGATGTTCTCCGCTGCATGCGCTCATCTGCGGTCATGCAGGCGATCAGGCTACGCGTTGGAGCCGATAGTCATCAGGAACTCAACAAGCTATAAGTTACGGCTACTTGTCTCAACGTAACGAGCTTATTAGAAAATAACGATGATGTCTCTTCCGGGAGCTCCTGGCCCGCGCACCAAAAGTAGATAATATCGAAGCGAGCCCCCCTCTTCCCCCATCTCGACAATTTACATCTCTCTTCTTTCTTTCCATCCCACCCTTGTTCCCACCCCGACACCCCCTTGTCGCATACCCCAGCGCCAGCGACAACTACTGCCTGGACACCCGCCCTGTACTGCGCCCCCACGCCCCTCTAGCTCGCACAGCCGGCCACAGCCCGTATCTCCCTACGCGTCTACCTCCGCAAGTCTACCGTTCCAGTAAATTCGACGTCCTTAGCGCAGGCCACCTGACACGCAAAGCCACGAAATTTGCCGACTTGTCACCGTTATTCGGCTTGCACGACGGTTTCGGGATTTTTAACTCTATCAAAAAGCTGTTCGCGCGTGTCCATCCACTCGACACATCTGTCCTCCACAAGAAATTCAGCCACCATGCCCGCTGAAGCCAAGGCGAACGAAAAGTACCAGGCAGCGGCAGCTCAGCAGCCCGCCGCGGTCTGCATCCTCAAGTCCCCCGTCGATGCGTGAGTAGAACATCCCGGAGTGTGCTTGACCTCGCTAATCACCCGTCCTCGTTTAGCATCCACATACTCGAAGCTGTCAGGCTGGGCATTGTGCCCCGGGTCACACGGCGGCTCACGGGTCATGAGCGCTCTCTGATTCGTCCGGGGACAGTCTGGATCTGGGAAGAAGGTGAGTTGTCGGTGGTGCGAGCGTATCATGCGGAGCTGACAAGTTGGCAGAGGAGACCAATATGCGGCGCTGGACGGATGGACGTCGATGGGGCGCTTCTCGTGTTGGGAATGGTGGATTCTTGGTGTACAATGAGTGAGTCACAGCATGGCAGCGCTATGCATCGTCTGACTTTCGGCAGGTCTCTCCAGTCCCTGTCTCCCCCTCATGCCGGGGGCGATATGCCCTATGGCGATCCTTATTACCAGACCCCTCCTCGCCGGCCCGACAGCCTCGTCAAGCAGACCTACTCTACCAGCATGACTCACCCCGTCACTGGCAAGGTCAAGAAGTTTCATGTAGTGGCTTATGCCAGCAAGGTACGCAACCTCCGCAGGCAAGCTTATCGCACATGCTTATGTTGATGCAGCATAAGCCGGGTGGTGATGGTACGAACCCCCTTCCCCAGCCGCACCAGCTTCCTGCCCTCCGACACCTCCAGGTGCAGAGCGGGATCTGGCCTGAATGGGAGACGAGGAGAGAGGCCGACTTTACTCGACGCGCAGCTGCTGCGAAGCAAGCTCTGTACGCTGCCAGCAATGGTGTCCCGTCGAACAATCCTGCCACCGTCCCAGCTCCTCCTGCCCCTCAACAATACCCGACTCAGCCAGTACCTCCCACTGCTTATCCTCCGGTGTATCCGCAGGATGCGTACCACAGACCCATGGCTTCCCCCGGCTACCACCAGCAGTACATGCCTTCTCCAAACGTGGTCCCTTTAGAAGGCGGGATGTACCCCCCAGCTGGCAAGTTCACTCAGCCATATCAATCCCCTCGCAAAGAGCCAACCGAACTTTTTAATGCAGGATACCCACCTTCTCGAGCCGTCTCACAAATCCCCACCCCGAATGCGCGAGAGGCCGCGGCCCGCTATCACCCTTACGGCGCGCCGCCCCATCGATCCACTGATCGCAGGGTCAGCCCTTACCCTCCCCAAGCGCCCCCACCTCGATCGACTACTCCTGTGGGTGAATACCCCAGAGAGGCAGATGGTTATGGCCCGGCCTCGTGGGCCAATGCTCCTAGAGTGTCGCCTACTCAGTCATACTCTTCCTACAACTATCCTCGGCCCGGAGAGGCAAGCAGACCAAGGCACTTTTACGAGCCTCAAGTGGCCCCTCCTTACAATGAGCACGTCAAATCCGAGTATGGTGTCGACCCTGCCTACGGCAATGACCCCAGGCGATATGCATATGAAGAGGCCGAGGTGCCCCGCCGTGGTCCTACGCCTTATCAGCAAAGTCCCTCGTCATACGGCCAGCCTGTGCCCAGCACGGAGGACCTTGGGCAGTACCCTCCCTATGGTGCCCCAAGGTCGCCGAGGGCTTCCAGCAGCCAGGGATACAGCGCTTCTGGTGTCACCCTTCCACCTTTAAGAGCGGCGTTTGGCGAGGAGAGTGGGCACAACTCTGCCAAGGTTAGCTCGGAAAACAGGAGAGAGGAGAGCGAGAGGCAGAGCCAGAGCCCCACGGAGGTTGGCGCCAAGCCTCAGCAGAGGAACGGATGGGGAGAAGATGCCAGGCAGCTGGGTGAGCTGGGAAGGAGGATGGTGTTGTAAGAGGTGGCGGCTGAGGTTATGTCATCGCCATTATTTAGTTATTTAGAAAACGCTTTCGTCTCGTGTGACGTGGTTCCGAGCGACGTTCAGCTCTAGATTTGTTTGTACAGTATGCTGGTCATGCAGATTATCCCCTATATGTACTCGCTGCCCATACTTGCATGACCCTGCTGCAACGCTAGAGAAGACCTCTTCGATCTCCCGTCTTTCTTGTACGATGGCTTGAGAAGAAGGAATTATCTATGGCGGTCTTGACCGACGCGATCGACGTCAACGCGACTAACTGTACTCGAGTACTGTAGCGACGTCAATGCAACTTTTGTATAACTGTACACTACGGCTACAATTCTGAGAATCGCACTCTTTTCCCAAAGTCTCAGGAAGTGAAGTAGTGCACAAGATGGCCTACACGCCTACCGAGGCTACGCCTTTACTAGGGCCTCAATCGGGACCGTCATCGATGATTCTGAGCGAAGTAAGTGTTCCCCTTGTATCGAGCATACTTCTGCTTACCCCATACTACAGACGAAAGTCTACCCTCTAATTCATCTCATACGAGTCGATATTATGGCCCATATCGGTATGTGCTTGAGATGGAAGTCGGGGAAGCCGCAGTTGACGATGAAGCGCAGATGCTCCTTTGACGTATGAGCAGCTCTTAGCTCCTGATTCTACCTATACGATCATCAGGTAGGTGGAAGATGTTTTATTCGGAGCACTATGGCTCACGGAACAACCTAGGCCCCTTACGGAAAAGTATCTTGCGCTGCAGAACCAAGCGACGGGTAGGTGTCTTGCATATCTCATACACTATCCTCTGACGGGTGTCACAGTCTTCTGCCTGCTTCTCAACAAGATCCAGTTCACTCAAGACTCAAACCAGATCTCCATCGCCACACTATCGCTCACAAGGTCGACGTTATGTGAGATACTGGCAAGTCGGGTGCTCCGTGCGTGTTATCTCAATCTCGAAACAAGCTGGTGCTGATAGTCATTCCTATCAGGCGGCTGGTCGGAACGGAGTCTACCACTGGCCACTGTTCTTCTCACACCATGGTCTTTGTTTCAAGGAGCATCAGAAGGGGTGATAGAGAGGGCGAAGGAAGAGGGCGAGGGGGACTTGTTGAAACAAACTGGGGCGGCTCTTGAGGTATGCTGTCTCAGTGTCTGTGGTTACCTCGATACTGATGATGGGGATAGATGGCCATTATCAGCGGGTCAAAAAGGTTCATCAGGAGCCCTTCTTGCCAAAAAGTCATTGGTCAGTCACGCTCGTCGCGCTCGCTGAGAATGATTTACTAATCTGGTATGGCGCTTCTAGAGGGCATCTGGGCAGGCAGAATCATCTACTCGGCTCTGAATGCACATGCTCTCATTGCTGATGTACGTTCCTTACCAATGTTGGTACACAGCTGACCTGTTGCAGAACTACAAGAAGAAGCCGATACAAATGTACAACCCGCATAAAGCTCCAGTATTGGATCATTATCGGTGAGTGCTGTTTTGGGATAGACTTGTCGACCGGGACTGATGCCATCTAGTCTCAAAGTCCCACGGTATAGGTCCATGCTGGAGTATTTCAACTTCCTGGTACTGTTCATCTTGTATGTGGTTGCTATCGAAGGGCTGGAAGGGGACAAGATCATCGGGAGGGAGTGGGCTTTTATCGTCTATGCCATGGGTGAGGCTCTAAATCTGTTGCTGCGCGTCCCATATGCTTGCTGACATACTCAAAGCATTCTCGCTTGACAAGCTGGCTGCTATTCGGGAACATGGCCTGAAAGGTGAGCACTTGCGGGTTTCATCACTCCAAGGCAGACATCTAATTTCGGATTCAGTCTTTAGCAGCAGTCTTGTCAACGGATTCGACCTCGTCTTCATGATGATCTATGGAGCCTACATGAGTACCAGGATGTATGGACTGAGATATAACGACATATATTTCATGGAGATGGGTGCGGATTGGCTCGCAATCGGTGTGTCAACCTTGCAATCCACAGCTCGCCGCGGTAGCTAATGATGACGACAGGTGCTGTACTGATATTCCCTCGGTTGGCATTCGTGACGTTGGCCAATAATCTCATGGTCCTGAGCATTCGGTCGATGTTGACGGAGTTCTTTTGTGGGTACACCTGCTTGTCGCTGTGAAAAATGCTGATGGGGGCCACTTGTAGTTCTCATGGGAGTCGGCGTCTTTTGCTTTGCTGGTAAGTTTTCAGCCATGGTAATCAATATCACAGGAGCTGATCGAAATCAGGATTTGTTTATGCCCTGTTTACTCTCGGACAAGGAAAGTTTGATCTTCCACAGATTGGATGGTGGCTGTTGGAGATCTACTTTGGATTGGACGCCTCCGGATTTGAGCATGCCCGTGAGTGATAGTCAGCATTTCGAAGCGCCGCCTGCTGAAGATCATTGTAGACTACTTCCACCCCTTCCTCGGACCTCTACTCATGGTTTCATATGCTCTGCTCTCGAACACGTTGCTGTTGACGGTGCTGGTCGCTATCCTTGGTAATACTTTCGCCACGATCAACGCGGATGCTGCTGCTGAGGTAAGCCTCTATCGTGCGTATGACGAACGAACACTCTGGCTGATCAAACATAGTCGATGTTCCGGAAAGCCGTTTCAACGATTGAAGGGGTCAAGGCAGGTAAGCTTCTCCTCTACTAGACATCGACGTCCATGGTCTTATGATTTGCAGATGCTGTGTTCAGCTATCAACTACCCTTCAATCTGCCTGCCGTGGTCTTCATGTTCCCCATGAGATACCTACTGAACGACAGATGGTGAGATCCACCTCGCAACTTTTAGTCGTTGGCTAATGAGGCTCCAATGCAGGTTCCACAAGGTCAATGGTGTGTACCTCGTGATGTTCGCTCACACTTCCAGGCTAACTTTCCCTCAGTATTCATGATCAGGGTTTCCAGTGTACACATTCTGCTCCTGATAGCCCTCTATGAGAGGCAGTCCTACAAGGACCAAACGTTGATGGAGCAGCTGGGTGACTTTGCTGAGCGATACGTGGGCAGCCTGCCAAGAAGACTTAAGGCGGCTGGTGAGCAGAGCCCGCACCATAGCACTATCAAGAGACTGACCAATCGTAGCGGGCTTTGACAACTTTGCATCTCGGAGCGACCTCGAGGCAGTATTCGAGATAGAGCGGGAAGTCGGCAGCTTCTATGCCGGATGGGACGACGACCTCGACCTCGATGAGCCGGATATCTTCCTTCCTCCGGCGTTTGAAGATGCTTTCGCGGATGAATCACCCGAACGTGAAGGGGCCGAGAACGAAGATGGCCTTGGCGAAGGGCAGGATTTGTTTGCACCTCAATCGGCACCCCTGACGGCTTCGCCTTCGCGACTCGAACATCAGATTGAGAGTCCCCGCCCCCGCAGGAACTCTATGCCTTCTCCCCATCGAGCGGTCAACCAGGCGATCCCTCAGCAGTCTTCCCTTCGACGAAGAAACAGCTCTATGCATGGCCCGAGTCCCCTCGCTCAGCTATTCGTGCGGAGTCCCGAGTCGGAAGGCCTTCCAGGAAGGCGCACTTCGTTAGCCGGCACGGTAGCCACAAGCGTACAGCCTGCGGCTCCCAGTGTCTTCACGCCGCCTGCGAGAAAGAGAGGGCACTCTCGATCAGAGTCGTTTCCTGCGACATCCACCAGCGATCAGAGCCAGTACAGCACCAGCTCTCTTCCTCGACGAGGTTACGCGAGGCCTTCAGTCGCACCCATCACCGAAGGCAAGACCGTCTCTTTTGCGAGCCATCTGAAAGACTCGGAGGGCGATGGCGTTGTTGAGCCGGGCGCTATCACGCACGATCAATCCGAGAATGTGGGAGCAGTAGGCCCAGGGGGGGTGCCTCTCGGCAACAAGACGTCTGGGACGCAAACACAGCCTCTTAGTGGGCGTAGTGTCCGATTTCCTACTGTCGGTGGCCATCAAGACCTTCAGTCACCTTTCGGGACTACGGCTTTCGACACAAGATCTCAGTCTCCTCGCCCTTCCGAAAAAGTTGCGAAAGCTTCGGATGTGGAGTCTCTAGCCATGGTGAAACCCGAAGAGGAAGCAAGAAGTAAAGGCGTGCAAGAGAAGCTGGACGACATGGACAAGCGTCAAAAGCGCATGGAGGAGATGATGGAAAGGTTACTGAGCAAGCTTGATGGTTGAACAAAAGACATCACCAAATGTTAGTGTTGTAATTATACTATACTGTACATACAATGTTACACTTGCATTGAATTCGAGCATGCCACCAGTCGCATCTGCTGCTTCCCCTTCTTGTTGCAATGTGTCAACACGATTACGTAAGAGATACTTGACGCAATTGGCCGCGGCGGCGCCAAAGTTGTCGAAGGCAAGTCGAAGGTAACCTTCCTTGGCCAGGTATCCGACTCGCCACTCCACCTCCAGGTCTCTACCTCACAGGACGGTAATGTCCACTACGGCAGACTATATCGCCAAATGTCCTCGGCGGCAAGCCCTGCTGGAAACAGTAGAGACATACTGGCTGGATGATCCAAGGCGACCACCCGGAACGCTCGATTCGTCTCTCAAGAAACACACCACACTTATCAACAAGCTCAAGTCTGCTCTGTTGATAGGCCCCTCAGAAGTCTTTGCCAAAGATATCGATGGCCTGACTTTGTCGAAATACCTGGAGGAGATTGTCGCGGCCGTCGTTGATGGCGCTTCCAAAGGCAGAGGTGATCCTGAAGTTGCTGTTGATATCATCGTCCACCTGCATAGCAGGCTCGCCCCCGACTTTCTTCAGCAACTTCTTCCTCTACTACTGGGTGTACTGTCCGCCGGTGCATCCCTCAGTCTTCCCCTGGGCAAAGATGGCGACAAGGAGAAGGAAAAAGAAGACAAGGAGAGGCTGGCGAAGCAGAGACCGGTATTGAGGATCATTGCGGAGCTGGCTATGGTAGGCGCCTGGGAGGAAGGTGTCGTGAAAGGGTCTGCTGAGATTGGGAAGATCCTTAAGGGCCTGGTGCGTGTCTCAAGAAGTTTGTTCATATCTGATACTGACATCGGCTTTCAGATGACGAATGACCCTCAATTCAACAATTTGCCCCTACTGTCGACCTTCCTCAAATATTTTGGCAGGGCCTATCTTGGCAGCAAACATAATAACGAAACAAGCAACGGCTCAGATGCTACTGCCGAAAAGCAGACAAAGGAGGAATTGCCGGAAGGTGTGACAGAGCTTGTCCCGGTAGAGGTGCAGAAGAAGATGCGAGAGCTCTTTGTTGGCTATTTCAACACGACTAGCAAGACTCTGGTCAAGGGACAAATAGTGAGATATCAACCTCTTATAATGTGGCCCAGCGCTGATGATCGCAGAAACTTCTCGAGCAAGACAAGCGCAACCACGAAGCGTATATCAAGTCCGGCGAGATCTTTGAAGACCGCCAGCAAGCTTATGAGAAGATGATTCGTGCTATCGAAAGGCTCAATGCCGGTCTCCAAACACTTGCCGACCTTTTGGGCCTCGCCCCTCCCGTGCTCCCTACTGCTGCTACTCTATCCAAATCCGGTCTCCAAATTGTCGACTCTGGGTCCTCATTCACTGTCAGAAACGATGGACCCATCGCGGGGGGCATTTGGGACGATGAAGAGGAGCAGAGATTCTATGAGGATCTGATTGACCTCAAGGAGGTGGTCCCTTCTTCCCTCTTGGGCATCAAGGAGAAGAGCGCGAAAGAAAAGGACGAAGAGCCGGGAAATGCTGAGGAAGAACAGATAGAAAAGCAGAAAGCAGAGGAAGAGGAGTTGCGCAAGCAGCTAGAGCAGATGGAGCTGGCGGACTCTCAGGCTCAGCCCGAGTCCGAGAAGCAAGGGAACGATGCAGTGAACACGGGAGGAGATGCGGAGGATATCGCAGAAGACTCTGCCGACGAGGAAGCCCCGACCACTACTGTCACGGAGGAAGATGGGCTTCAATCTGGTCCAGCTGCTCGACTTTCGGCGCTGTTTGCTGCTTTACCAGAGTCAAATAATAGAGAGGTTGTGGACAAACTTGCCATCGAATTCGCCTTTTTGAACTCCAAGGGAGCTAGGAAGAGGCTAATCAAGGTCGGTGATCTCAGAATGATATATGATAGTAGTCTAACACAGGATACAGTTTCTTGGAGAAGTCCCGAGGCAGAGGACCGACCTTCTTCCACACTATTCTCGGTTCATTGCCACCCTCACACCTTATATGCCGGACGTTGCTCAAGGTGTCCTCGATATTGTACGCCAGGTCCATACAACCTGATTACCAAGCTGATGTTTTGCAGCTGGACGAAGAGCTACGCTATCTGCAGAGAAAGAAACTGATCCGTGAACTCGACAGCACGCGTCTCAAGGTAAGTTATGCTTCATTTGATCGACGCTCCCTAACGATGCATCGCCCAGAACGTCCGCTTCTACGGAGAACTTGCCAAATTCAAGGCAGCCAAGCCTTTCAACATCCTACACGTCTTCAAAGTGTTCCTTGACGATTTCAAGTTCAACATCGACAACATTGCAAACCTGCTTGAAACTTGCGGAAGGTTTTTGTTGCGCAATGAAGACACCGCTGAGGTGGCGAAGCGAATGGTGGAGTTGATGAGACGCAAGCAAGCGAATGCGCATTTGAACCAGAGACAGACGCTCATGCTGGAGAACGCTTTCTATACTGTAAGTGCCCTCACGTCGTGCGGTGTCTTGGGGCTAATATGGATCATAGTGTAACCCTCCCCAGCGAGTCGCTCGAGAGGTCGTGCAGCTCACGCCAATGGAAAGCTTCATTCGACATCTGCTTGATGAAGTGCTCATGAAGCGAACCATCGATAAAGTCTTGAAGTTGTTGCGGAAGCTTCACTGGGAGGATCCAGAGGTGAGTCTGTTTTGGTAAGACTCTTGGCGGCCTGTTGATTGACTGTCCTACAGGTCTACGCGTACATCTTTGCTTCCTTTACCAGCCCGTGGGAGATCAAGTTTGGCAACGTACCGCACCTCGCCGACCTCGCGTGTCACCTCCAAAAGTGGCACCCTGAATTCGGAATTTCTGTCGTTGACGAGGTGCTTGAGAACATTCGCATCGACTTGGAAGAAAACATCTTCAAGTTCAACCAGCGAAGGATTGCTACCATGAAGTATCTCGGTGAACTTTATATGTACCGAGTCATCAGCTGCTCGGTCGTCTTTGATGTGCTTTGGAGCTTATTGTCGTTCGGTCATGGTCAGTTCTTACCTTTCAATTCGGTTTCAGTGCTCAGTACTGACAAGAGCTACAGCTGACCCCACGTCGTACCCGGGCCGAGAGAGTCCAGTCGATGCCGTTGACGATTTCTTCCGTGTGCGTCTAGCTTGCACTTTGCTCGATACATGCGGCGTTTGCTTTGAGAAGGGGTCTCAAGGGCGCAAGCTGGAACAGTACCTTGTCATGCTCCAGGTGAGTAGATCAGGCAGGACAGTGAGGCTCTGCTGACATATGCTGTCCAGCTCTACGTCACATGTAAAACCGAGCTTCCCATGGACGTCGACTTTATGCTGTCCGACACTCTTGAGGTGAGTGCTCAATCGATAATTTTAGAACTCGGGTCTGACAAGCGTCCAGGCTTTACGACCCAAAGCACCCAGGCTCAGGACTTTCACCGAAGCAGCCACTGCGGTGGACGAGCTTCTGGCCTCTTATAAAGACTTTGGTGTGGAAGAGGATGGTTCAGACGACGAAGGCCTGCGACAAGCCACGGAGGACAAACCCGAAACAGTAAGTCAACTGATTTGTAATCTGTTCGTCTGGCTCACGTTCCTAATAGCCCGAGCAAGTCCATGCCGAGCTGGAAGGCACAGTGGAGGACGATGATCAAGATGTAGATGTTGTGATAATCCGTGATCAAGCCAAACCCGATGAAGATGACGCGGACGAGCGGGCTGCTTTCGACCGCGAATTTGCCAAGGTCCTCGCCGATACCACTGATGCCAGGCGCGGTGAACAACGAAAGACTGCGCCTCCCATATTCGACACTGCAGTGCCTATCATGAGGAAGAAGGCGGACGAGGCGAAGGCTAGAGCGACGAGAGAGAAGGAGCAGGAAAGGGAGCAGGCGGCAAAGGAGGAAGAAGGGAGGATGCAGTTCATGCTGCTGTCGAAGAAGGCAGGAAAGCAGCAGGTTAGTGAAGCCGTGACACCTGAAGGCCAGGCTAATAACGCTCCTCAGTTGCGATCCCTCGCCATCCCCACGGACTCGACCATTGCTGTCAACTCCAAGACATATCAAGCTCAAAGCAAGGCGGAACAGGAGCAGCTGAAGAGGTTGGTGCTGCAAAATGAGAGAAGGCTGGAGAGGTCAGAAGTTGAAGGTGAGCCGGTCTATCGCATAGCTTTGACAACGCTGACATTGCTCAGACATTGAGACTAGGGGCATCAAGCTCCGGTTCGCCCACTCATGACCTGCCCGACTGTCTGACCGTCACACCATGTGCAAACCAACGAAGAAGGCTCAAGGCCGGCTTCTGGGATAGTCGCCAAAGTCGGCAAAAGAGCTCCGACTCTGCTTCACACTCCAGGTGTTGAGCTCGAAGAGATAGGCCAGAAGTTGCTGCTTGAATTATGGCATCTGCGCTCCCTCTCCAGCCATTGTTCAACATTTGGTCATCTCCCTCTGTACACACACATTATCTTCGCTGTCACATGCAACTTCATCACATCATCTTTGAGATCTCAGGTTGGACCCTTTTTCCACCCTGGATCAGACTAGAAGGGTCGAGTGTTTGATATCTTGACTTCGCCTGCAATGAGAAAGCTGATGTTGTTTCATACCCCCTCTCCCGTACCCCGAGTTCGGCTATCGAAGGGGCTGCTTCGTGGTCAACAACCAAAAGACCCCTTCAATTGAACTTCTTGACTACTTCATATAGATGAAAGAGCAGCCGGAGATAAGAAAGAATCAAGAATGACGAAAAATTGAGACAAGCGAGGCTATTGCGTGCGGCACACCCGCGCGGATTGCGGAATGCGGATGGCTTCGTCCGTTCCCCACCGCTTGGGTATCACCAGATCGCGTTCCGCCAGCAGCTCGGCAAGATATCAATCGAACTGGAGATAGTGCCTGGAGCGTAGAGGAGCATGCATCAGATGACGGTGTACTGATCAGGATCCCGAGTTCTCGGTGACCTCGGTGGAGACCGCGCGGCATTGCCTATATCGGCACTGCCTATACCCCGGCACACGGCAGCCCTCTCGATCTCTTTCTCGCATGACCAGCCTTTCCAAGCATGCCAAGCGCACCTCACCTTTTTCTAGCAATGTCTGCCGCGATCATGGGGAGTATGGCATGCAATCTGATTCTGGATGCATAGTAAATACAAGATCGTTCAACGTTCGATGACAAAATATGTTGCCTCCTCTTCTTTTCTTCCTCTTCCCATTTACACAACAGAGGACCGTATTTGCTTTCCCTTCCACCCTAAGATAGATATATAGAAATGTGTGTGTATACTGTACGATACGTAAAAGTGACAACGTCTTCAAAGCCTGACAGACATGATGGGAGAATGAGAGAATTTTGTGGGTCAAGTTCAAGACCGTTTACTTAGCCACTGTTGTCGGCGCAAGAGAAAGCACCAGAGACAGTCCCGTCCGCATAAGAGTCATTGATGCTGACTACCGCGGCCCAAGTACCAGTGATCATGATGAAGATACCGATAAAGAAGGTGGCAACAGCAAGGAAGAAGGTGGAGCGGTAGCGGAGAGACTTGTTGGTGCTGCGTTGGGCCCAATTGTCAAAGAGCCACATATAGGCGGGGGTAATGAGGGAGAGGAGGGTACCGAAGACGGCACCAATGAGGCTAACAAAGTCGCTGAAGAAGGGAATGGCTGGGAGATGGGGTCAGATCATGTCTTTGTATTGTTTTTGGAAACTGCTTACATTCAGCGAGGATGAAGGCGAGGGCAACACTCCCGCCGACGGTACCGAGCCAGACAGCCCAGTGAGTGAAGGTGTTTCCAGTCAAATGCTCAGAGCCACTGTCATACAAGTCAGCAGTCACCTCGAATTGACAGTAGATGATGAACTGACCGGAGGACACGGACAAAAATCATCTTGGCGCCGACGTGGGTGTAGAGAATGCACCCGACAAGCAAACCAGGAAGGGCAATGCCGTACGAAATCTTCTTGATCAACTCACCAGCAGACCCAAGGGCAGGGCTGGAAAGGTACTGGCCACAGTAGTAGTAGACAACTATGCCTATGGTCAAGTAGACTGCGGTGCAAAGACCCTGGGCAGAATAGAGGGCAGTGCTGTATCGCTTGGGGTGACGCATCTCACTGATGACGTTGAAGAATGCAGGAGTACCACAGTAGGCGAAGACGACGGTAGAGACAGCGCTCATACCACCGAGGAAAGTACCATCAGTTCGGAAAGCAGCAATGTCTTTTTCCCATGGCCCGGTGGAAGGGGCCGACTCGGGACGGTCTTGAACACCAACAGCGACAGTGATGATGAGGATGGCGGCCATGATGGACGTGAACCCTATCCAGCCGAGGATGGAGACCTTGCCAAGAGTTTGAAGAGAGGCAAAGGCAAAGGTGATGACAGCGACCTAGGAACGTGGTCAGTGAACGTTACGGCGCGGAAAGGGCAGAACCTACGATGACGGCCCAGACAACGGTGCAGGTTGCGTGTTCGGTGATGGCATTGAAAGCAAGTGAGGTGGTGATGATACCAGAGCCACACAAGCACTGGTCAAACGGTTAGTGACAATTTTGAGAAGCCAATTGAGACGCACGATCATGAAAAGAGCATACGCAAAGGAAAAGAATTCTCGCCCATAGTTGCCTTGACCTCTGTCAGTACAAGAAACAACGCGCAACAATACCGTCAACTCACCAAACAGAACATAGCCTACACCGTCCATGGAATATACTTCGGGGTGGTTGAGCTTGAATTCGTAGATGACCATACCAGTAAAAGTAGTGAGACCAGCCATAACAAGGATGACTGATAGAAAGGTCAGCGAAGAGACCGCGCGACAATCAAAAGCTCACTGATCACTCCGGGAACACCGCCGACTAATGATTGGCAGCGCGTCAACAAACGTCTCTCGAGTATTTATCATCGTTGACTCACCTGCCATGAGGACTGATGGCATAGCCAGCACACCCAAAGCAATAGTGAGCTTGACCATCAACACGATGGACTTGGACCTGACGATGCTTCATGAGCTGTTATTGTCTCGGGCGAGAGAAAAACTTACAGCCCTACACTGCGATAGTCCACGCCGCCCTCTTGCATGACTCCGAAGACGGCATCTCTCTCGGGGTCGTCAAGACCGGCGTACTTGTCATCGAATGGGGCGTCCCCAGCGGGAATGGTGGCAGAGTCGACTACGTGAGCCTCCCCATCGTGCTTGTCCATTTCAATTTCGGAGGCGGATCCCACGGTCATTTATTTCTGTCGAAGCTGGGAGTGTTGTGAAAAAGAGAGGGAATACGGAGGGCCAATAGAACGTGAGTGAGTATCATAAACTGGTAATTGTGGGAGATAATATAAATGATGTTCAGAACCAAGGCTGCCGTAATTCGCTCGCCCGAGAGAAGGCATTGCCGTCGAATTTCTGGCAGATCGCTATGTTGGACCTGAGTCGCCAAAGAAAGGTTCCGTGAACCATAAACAGGGCAGATATGATGTCAAGCACCTGACTGTGCGCCAGCAGTATCCCGGATGGATCGAACCACACCTCGCTTAGCGACTCCGAAAACCGCGAAGCAGCGCTGAAAAGGCAAACGACCGACGCTGACAGCAGCGGTGACTGCCGCTGAGGCCGCCCGCGCTCTCCACCTGGCATTACATAAGCGGCTGACGCGCATCACCGCAGCAGCAGCAGCTTGTGCTTGCCTTGGACATGAACTGCCACATCCGGCTGTCATTCAACCCTGGCTCGCGTCAGCATATCCGCCCGCCCTATACCACTGCATCCCCCCTGGATCCATGCGCTGGACGTAGCACTCGCCTACCATGTCTGCTCAGCGCCCCCTCCATTACGACGCATCACGTACGCCCCTACTCGTCCGTCGTCCCCGTCGTGTCTGACCTGTATCACTGCAGAGCCATTGTATGGCATATCATTCTCCAACTCTACGTCCCACCCATTCCGCACAGCGCTCTCTACAATCACGACCGGCCTCAGCAACAAGCTGTGCATCGTCGACCTCACTTCCTCTCCGAACACCTCTCAATCCCAGTCACCCTACTACTCACAGCACAATGGTACTTCCAATAATGGCGCTACACCAGAGTTCAATCAGATGACTCAAACTTCGCTGAATGTACCGGCTACCAAAGTTGCCTGGGAGCCCAGGGAGAGTCTGAGGCTGGACGAAGGCGGTCGCGGGGAGCTGGTAGCCAGCAGCGGTGATGTGTTGCATATATGGGAAGTTGCGGAGGAGCAGGAAAGGGGAGGAGGGGGCTATGTGGGAAATGCCTATGGAGGTGGAAGCTCGTGGTCGATGAAGAATCGGAGTGTCTTGAGCAATGTGAGTTGCGTTACTGCGGCACGGTATGATTTAAGAATGGTATGCTCATACCCAGTCGAGAAGGCCAAAGGAGCCCACGGAAGTTCACCTCCAATAACATCTTTCAGCTGGAACCGCAAGTCTCCCAATAAACTCGTTTCCTGCTCTATAGACACCACCGCGACACTTTGGGACATCAACACCTCACAAGCCATGACGCAGCTCATCGCGCATGATCGGGCTGTGTATGACTTGTCGTGGTTGCCGGATTCTTCTGATATCTTTGTGAGCGTCGGAGCGGATGGGAGCTTGAGGGCGTTTGATTTGAGGCAACTGGAGCATTCGACCATTCTGTACGAGTCGGCAAACGATGCGCCGCTTGCCCGGATAGCGTTCAGTCAAAAGGAGCAGTATGTCTCGTCTTTGGCGTTGTATTCGTCGTCACTGACTCAATCACAGGCATATGCTCGCATGCTTTGGCCTGGACGACTCCAAGGTGCTCATCCTCGACATGCGATCGCCAGGCAAACCTGTCGCAGAGCTTGTCGGGCACCAAGCACCTCTTGGCGCCCTCGCGTGGGGCGCCACAGGACCGTCGAGCAGAAGCGATACCACAGGAGGCGGCTGGCTGGCCAGTTGTGGTACGTCCCCCTGGAAATTTTGATCGCGACTTGTGCTGATGCAAAGACACAGGTGACGACTCTCAAATGTTACTATACGACCTCACAGCCCCCATATCCTCCTCCCGCCCAGCCTCCCAATCAAACTTCAAACCACCCCCTGCCAATCCCTCTCCATACTCCGCCCTCTCTCCTTCTGCCACCCCCGCATCGCAAAGGACACCAAGTCCTGCAGACGCAGTAGAGATCCTGCCGAGCAAGGGGTGGACAGCAAGAGGGGAGGTGAATAATCTGGCTTTCACAAACAGTGGCGATTGGTTGGGATGTGTCAGCGGGAATAGGATGAGCGTTCTGCCAGTGTAGTGTGTAGAGTGTATCAATCGGGCAAGAAAGCTGGGGTGGCAGAAGAGAGAAGTCAGAAGTGACGGGGACGACGTTATGAATTAACAAAACGACCTAGGATCTATAGATTTGCGCATGAGTTGATAGTCTTCTTAGATATATACCCCCATTCGTTTCTCGCATATAGGTGTGATATGGCTGAATTGGATGTGAATAACATGCAAGCATGGAAGAATACCGTGCTCTGGGTATATGTGTCGCGTAGATGTGACCAGCTCCCATCAATAAAAGATCCACGACTGCCTGTTCATGAACCATTGATTCATTCTTTATGGCAGAAAGGTGTGTGGTATTATATAATAATGTCGACAAAACTGATTAGTCCCACATTCAGTGGAGAATAAACGAACGAGGACATGCCCAGTTTTGACTTTTTTCTTCGCTTTGCAAGACCAAAAGTGGTCTTATAAAACCCCGACGGTAGCACTGGCTGACTAAAGGTCGAACCGAGCAATGAAGGGGGACTGAAAGCGTGGGCATATGAGGGGGATGGGGGGTTGTGGAAAGAAGAGAGATGGAAAAGTGGGAAGATATCAAGGTCTACTGCATGACCAATCACTACAACTGTTTCAAGCATCAGCTATTGTCCTGTTCGATGAACACGACGACAGAAGAAGGGGTAAAGTCAGATAGTGCGAGTTTAACGCCTTCGGACCCAAGCCTGGAAACCTGAACAAAAGTTCTGGAGTCAGGGCATCGGGCAGTCGTACTGACGTGCAAATGTCTAGCAGTTTCGTCCGGAGAAAGGCGCATGGAGGGCGGAATGGAATGGTTGACTCACCTAAACACTGAAAGTTGACGAGAAGACGATAGTAGATGGAGTTGCAAAAGCAAGATGGAGTTCCAAACTTTTGGGCTGCTGGCTCCTCGGTAAGACTGAAAGTAATCCACGTCACTGGCAGCTGAGTTGACGCCGTGATAAGCTCCCCCACTCTCCCCCACTCTCCCCCACTCTCCCCCACCCTTCCCACCAGCCCATGCATATCTCGGTGCATATCTCGGCCAATTCTCTTCTTCTTCTCTTCCCCAACACAAAACCAAAAGAACCAGAAATGCCCGCTGAACACATCCTCACCCAAGACGCCCCTGCCCCCCTCCCTGGAATCGTCAGTCTCTCCATACTAATAAGCCTTCATACACGCGCTGACGAGCAGAGCAGTACTCCCAGGCTGTCCGAGCTGGTAACTATGTCTATACCTCAGGGTCAGTTGGTATGACCAAGGAAGGTCAGATGGTGGAGGGTAATGTGAGTCATACGAGCTGCATAACGTGGAATGATGGCTGACCGCATGGCAGGTTCAAGACCGTACTCGCCAAGTCATCCAAGTGAGTCAAAGATACGACTTTCAGCAAGAGCACAGGCTGACCTTCGCAACGTAGAACCTGGAGGCTGTCCTCAAGGGCTCTGGTATGACTTTGGCCAATGTCGTCAAGGCCAACATCTACCTCTCTAACCTCTCCCGAGACTTTCCCGTTGTCAACGAGGTACGCTCTCAACTCTATCTAAACCGGCTACAGAAGTACTGACGATGAGAAACGTAGGTCTGGAAGGAGCTGATGCCCGACCCCAAGCCCGCTAGGACCTGTATCGGTGTTGCCGAGCTGCCCGCTGGTGGCACCGATGTCGAGATTGAGTTTACTGCTTACGATGGGTAGACGTATTCCTCAGATGTATAGCTGAATAATCGCCAAAACACATCCACTTATGACGGTTGGACCTCATGTCTTCGCATCCCGAAAGCGCCATGTCCCAGACTGATTCATGAACGAGAGTCACTAGTCTCGGTCGTCCGAGGGCTACTCGGGAGTTGCTAATCGTATGGTAGAGAGCGATGTACAACCATTGTGAGTATACTGCTACTTGTACAATGCATGAGTCGTATCGGTCGTCAGGAAGTATGTATATGGAGTATATGTCAAGATATCAGGAAGTCTGCTACGGTCAGCCACCTCGTATAGCGCAAGCAGAAGCCACACTCACCTATTATGCTACAGGCGATGCTTGAAGCTGTACATAAGCCCCAGGTAGCCTGGAAACTCTACGTTTGCGAATGAGAATAAACATGATGAATGCTAACAGCACGGCACACTGAACACCATATGTTAGCAACGCAGACAGAAAGATAATGAAAAGGGACGTACGCCGTTGACCAAGAAGATGAGCCTGCCCAGCGCTTCTTTGTTAAGACTGGCGTAGATTGTTCCGAATAATGATACAGCAGTGAGATATGCTTGGGACAAGTCAGTAATGCCACATGTTCAAGCGCAGAGATGACTCACCACACCACCCCACAAGGCTTATAGCGCTCAGCGCATCCGCCTGCTGACTCTCGTCCACTAGATTCACAAGCACCCCGGTACACGCGGGTGACAATCCGCTCGAAAGCGGAAGCACCATCGCAATAGTAAAAATCTGCCAGCTCGATTGTGCGAGCGTAGTGATAAAGGTAACGATGGTCTCATAGAGGGCGGAGGCCTGGAGGAAGTAGAGGTCGAAGCTGTCTTGAGCGGGTAGCGGGGAGAGGGGCGAAGGGGACGAGGGGGGGGCAGGGGCTCTAGAGCGGCCCCACTTGATGACGCGGGGGAAGAAAATTGTGAGGAAAAGCGCCTCGAGGAGCATGTTGAGAGACTGCAGTCATGAGTGAGCTCAGGGCCAGAATGGTACGGATTTCGACCTACAGTCATGATACCGTTCGTCTTGGCGCTCATTCCAAACATGTCCATCCCTGCCATCTTGAGCATTCTGGGGAAATAGCCGGTCACCATCACCGTAAAGAAGATCCCCAGACCCAGCAGGGTCACATTCCAATCCAGTCCGCCTCTCCTTCCGCTTGGCCCGTGGTTCTTCCGGGGCATGAACACTTTCAAAGGCGAAATCAATGATTCTGAAGGGGTTTCTTGAGATACGCGATCCGCTTCGGGGACCTCGGGAAGGATGAGGAGAGCGACGATGATGCAGATGACCGACATGGCCAAGCCGGTCTTGAATGGCGCGTACAAGCCATAAGTATCGTACAGATATCCATCGACTGTGTGATATCAGTGGCAGAACTTTATGTACAGGCCATATGGCTACTCACACGCATAGCCGAGGGCAGTGCCGATCTTGAACATGCCATCAATGACCCCAAAAGCGCCTGTCCTCTCTTCCTCTGACACTAGCCGCGTGATCAACACATTGCTAGCGATCCTCAACCCAGCCCCTGATCCGAAAAGATAGACGAGGCCTGACCATTGAAGGATGTGCACGCCAGTAAGCCCGCCTACTGATAGACCGTAAGTCTGTATGAGAATGCAGAGGAACAGGGAAACCGGCTGGAGGGTAAAGACTTTGCGGGGACCGTATTTCGTGATGAGCGAGTTGGTGGCAAAGACGCTCACCACAGCTGCCAAAGTCAGCTTCCGTGCTTCTGCCATCAGAAGCAACTCACCTGCTACAGTCATGATCCCAATTGCCAATGAGTAGCTCCTGGCATAGGAGGCGGCTACGGCGGGTACAGAGCACTTGTGCCGTCCAGTGTGATCCCACTCGTGGTCCTTGTAGTATTCGTCGCATATCATACGCTTGAAAGCATACAGTAGGGTGGTGTCTGTAAGACAGAATGCAAACTCGGTGACAAGAATAGTCAAGAATACTCTGTGGGCTGGGGAGACGGTGAAGCGGCGGGAGGGCGGGGGGTTATCGTCTATGAAGGCTGGGGGGAGGAGGGCGTTGTAAGCATCGTGGCTGTTGTCATTATGGGGCATGGTGGACGGTGGCGAGCACCCGTTGCGTGGTGGCGACTCTATATACTCTATACAGATACAGAAGCAGCGGAAAGCAAGATGATGGACGTCCTACGTATTCCGCGTTCCGACTGAAGCACTTTGCACCATGGAATTTAAGGGCCGCCCTGGGAGCAGGTAATATCAGCAAGCATAACGACATCGACCATCGCGGCTATGCATATCTCCACCCTGTATTGTAAAGCCGATGCATGATGCATGATCATTTGTTGAGATCTCTCCCTGTTTCTTGCATCGACCGACGGATGGTTCTATGATTCTATCTATATGCTACTTTCCTCGCCCAAGGCTATATGCGACTATCCGTCTCTTCTTGTTACCCAAAGGAAAGGCGTCCCCTCGCTAGATATTTTTGTCAGCTCAACCATCTTCCTAAGATGCGAAGTACCACTTGCAACTGCCTAAAGTCCCTCGACCCTCTGCGTCCCTCTTGCCCCAGTCAACTTTGTAACCGTCTCTTTCCTCTCCTGCTTGACGTCCTCTGTCACCACTCCCTCGCCTCGCTGGCTCAGATTCCACTCCAGCAGTCGCCTGAGCAAAGATTCCGAACCCGTGGCCAACAGACCCACCAGAAGCCCAACCCTCGTCGAATCTTTGGCTTCCTCTGTACCCTCCCAGAAGGTCGCAGCAAGGTGATGAACGGCGAGGTGAAACAGGAACGGGTTTCTATCTTCCAGAACCCAACCTCTTGACAGAGCGCGAGCATACCCAGAGAGTACTTCTGTGCTCGTCTCTCGTGGCTCAAAGTACCCCGACAAACCCTTCACGTCCTCCACCGGCACTCCATCCATTTTCATCCTCATACCTCTTAATGCCGTAGCGTGGTCGTTCCAAAGTAGCTTTCTGTAGTCCATGGGGTAAGACATGGCCAGTGGAGGAAGGAGGAGCTGGGAGAAGAGCAGGTCGGAGAAAGAGATGGCTTCGTAGAGGGCGATAAAGTCGGTGTAGAACTGGAAGAATGGTACGCCCGCACCGAGGAAGGGAAGGGAGACGCTCTCGATAGGAGTCATGAGAGAGCCCGAGGATGTCATGGGGTTGGTAAGGTGAGCCATCAACCTACTCATACCCAAAGCGACTTGGGCATCACGGAAGACTTCACTCTCACTTGTCGTAGTCGCCCCTTGCTGGCCGTGCTCCAGCATGAAGACCTTCATCATATTGAAAGCCACCCGACTTCTGCCTAACCTATCTTCCCAGCCCGTGACAGCGCACTGGAGCTGGCCAAGTAAGAGTACAGATTGGACGATCTCTGTTTCCGAGGCACTCCAGTCTGGTGGGACTTGAGCGAGAGCAGAAGAGGAGCCCGAGCGGAGGAGCTCGTTGAGAGGCGAGAAGAGCCAGTCTGCCTGCAGAGGTAAGCCGACAATACTTTGCCCCTTCTCTCCTTCCACCGTGGCGGGTGGTGCGCGAAGAGAAGCAGTCGCTTTCAGATAGATATGCGAAGGCTCACGGGGAGCAATGACATGCTCCACATCAGGCAAGATTGTGAAATGAAGCAAAGGCCGGAGGATCTCGAGACGATCCGCATGGGCGAGGGAAGCGTACTGTCGAGCAATGGGCTCGGCAGAGGATGACCAGTCGGATCTGAGAATGTCGTCCACCAACTCGAGAGCTAGAGGTTCGTCTCCAATCTGGAACGACAAGAAAAGGTCGAGTGCGATAGGCAGCCAGTCGGAAGAGGACAACGTCTTGTCCTGCATTCCCAGACGAAGGAGACCGTGCCGCAGGTATGTCACAGACCGCTGTGGAGACTTTGTAGGTACCATGAATGCGTGGCGAAGGGTCGCGAGGACCTCTTCATTGAGAAGCATACCGACGGGCTGGAGTTGTGTATGCAGCCTTACAGCCGCTGCACACACCTTGACTTCCTCTTCATTCCCGCTGCTCAGCTTTTCGATTGATTCGCTCAACCCAATGCTTCTCAAACTCTCCAGCAACTCATGCTTCTCTTCTTCACCGGCTCTGGCCCCGTTGACCTTTGCCCCGCCAGTCCAGCTGACCAGCATGCTCAGAGCAGCCGCCATTTCGCCCAACCGTGTCTGCTTGACCAACTCGCCAGCAGCACTGATGACCTCGTCTTGCCAACTGAGGGCCGAGACTTGGGCCCAGGTGATGTCGTGTTCAGGGGTAGTGCGGTGCGGGTCGATGGCGCAGGTGGTCCAGATGGAGAGGAGGTTAAAGTATGCCTCGATGAGGCTCTGCTCGAGAGGTGAGGATTGGGTAGCTAATCGTTCGCGTACCCAAGCCCCGAAGAGGCGCCAGACTTCCCCACTGGAAGTAACCACAGAAGCAGACAAGCCATACCTCCCCAGAGCCCCGTAAATCCTGAGCACCTCGAAAGCCAACAATTGTCCCAGCTCCGCCTCAACACCACTCTCTTCGCCCCATGTAGCAGTCACAACAAACTTGAGTATCGTTTCGTACACCCTCTCGCTCAAGAGCTCTTCGGCACAGGCTCGGGAGCCGGCGGTGATGGAGCGGAGGAAGCGGATGGCGTCAGTGCTGGGGGAGTTGTCGGGACGAGGAGGCCAGGCTCGTTGCACAACGTGATGTCTGATGACGACTGGTACAATTGGGCAGAGCGTCTCGCACATCTCCCCTGGAAGGAGGGTAGCACGCCGGAGGATGAGCAGCAACTGATGCGTGGTTGTCGGAGGGAGAGCGTCAGGCATGGAAAGCAGCTCGGACAAACGGGGAAGGACGTCGTCAAAGGGGATCGATGCGATACCGATGGGGTCGGCATTTGCGGAAAGAGGTGTGGGAATGGAGGCCTGATAAGTGTCTGAACTTGGGGAGTCATCAGGCCAGGACCAGGAAGGACCACCGAGCGCTTCAAAAAGAAGGTCTACGCTGGCGCGGATGACGCCTGCGCCTCGGGTCAAACCTGCCAGGACGTCGATGCCCATCTCGATAGCTTGCTGTACGATTCCTTCCTTCTCACACTCCTTGGTGACTTCCTGACTGAGATCGCTATTGTTGAGCTTTGCAATGATCTTTGACAGCACCCCCATCATGGTGATACGTTGACTGGGCACAGTCGAGCGGCACAGGTACAAGATGTCTTGCAGAGTGTAGCCCGCAAGATCTGGAGATTCACCGTGATGATGCAGTCCCAGATGGGTGGGCAGAGAAGCCTTGGCGTCGGTAGAGAGCACGGCACCGGACAGGTCGAATCGGGTAGAGCTGTCATTGGATGGGGTAGTGATGGGTTTGAGCCATTCGAGCTTGGCAGACTCGTGGAATTTGGGCTTGGGGTCGACTTCAGCCGTTGGAGGGGTCGAAGTGTGAACTTTGCCTGAATCCAATTAGCACTAGTCTTTGAGTGTTTATCAGACTCACTTTTGATCACCTGCTCAGCCTCCCGCTGTTTGCCCTTTCCTAATCTCGCCTCCGCCCTCCTTCTCAGTCCCTCCAAGACATTGTCCCCTAAACGCTCTCTCAGCTCCTCCATCTCCTGCGTCCTCTCCTCCGCACTCATATCCTTTATCCGCTTTTCATTCTCTTCAGATACCTCCTGCAGGATACTCTTTGTGTCCACGCCAGCAACTGGTTCCAGCACAGCGGGCAATGACGGCGCACTAGCCTGAGGGAGAGAAGTTTTGTTTTGACGGGCGTCGGCTCTCTTTTGCATGAGCCCCATGGTCTTACTACCAAACCTTTCCCTCAACTCTTCCACCTCTTCGCTCCTCTCCTTTGAGGTCATGGCTTCCAAAGTCCTCTTGTTCTCCTCATTCACTTGTTCTCTCACTTGCTCCCACTCACTTCCACTCGCGTTGCCAGGCCCATTCAAGCCACCCACTACATCCTTCTCAACTTTATCCACTTGGACTGCTGGAACGCTTTCCACGGCAGTGCCAAATCCTACAGCCTGCTTTCCTGTAGTCTGGCGGTCTTGCTGAGCTTTTCGAGCGCGGGCAAAGGCTGATGGGCGTTGTGACCGGTGGAGGGGAACAGGGAAGCCTGTACCGCCTGGGGCGGGTGGTTGCGGAGGCTGTGGAATAGAGGGAGCGGTGGGGTCGGCGGAAGGGTGTTCGACGATGTCTTTCAACATTCCGAGCAAGTTTCGAAAAAAGTTGAGAAAGGAAAAGAAGGACTGAAAATGATGGATCAGCGTCAATATGGCCGGCGGCCGGTGCAAAAGAGTTCGGTGCCCCCCGCCGTGATCAATCGAGAACTTGCTTCTCCTGTCCCGATCTATGTGCGTTCTCCCCCAGCCCCTGCCATAGTCAGTCAGTGTGCAGAGTACAGCTCCATACTTGTAAGCTCCTGAAGACTACCCAGATTGTGTAAAGGGGGTGCATGTGTAGGGTTGCGATATTCACATTGGTAGCTGGAGGCACATCGTAGGCTTACGATACTACTGGCAACTCCAGAGGTGACACTCGAAAGACCTTCTCAACGCCATGCATGCTTTAGACATCTATGATACTCCACATTATGACAAAGAAGCACCGACAAAGCTCTGCGCCTTGAGCACGCCGTTGGCAGTCCTCATTCGGTGGACCGACTTGGTCTCGGGGTCGATCCAAGCGGCTTCGCGGTTCTCGAGAGTGGTAAAGTTGGGCTGGATCGTTTCAAAGACCTTCTTCTTGGGGTTGAGCTGACCCTCGGGAGCAACATCTGTTGACCGTCAGCAGTGGTTTTACGAGAATAGAGGCAGCAACTTACTCTCGTACTTTTCGCCCTCAAAGTAGATCTTGTCACCAGCCTTGCTTCCCTCGGGAGGGAACACGAATTGCACACCACCCTCCTCCTTGCCCTCCTTCGAGCTCGCACAAAGAAGCATGGCGAAACTCTTCACACCCCTCATGGTGACAGGCTTCAAGTTGCAGATAACCACCACATGCTGTCCCAGGATGTCCTCCTCCTTCATGTACTTGACCAAACCAGAGCAAACCGTACGAGGCTCCTCCTCTCCAACATCGATGGTCTCGACGTAAAGAGAGTCGGCGTCGGGGTGACGCTTCACGTCAAGGACCTTACCCACTCGCATGTCAATCATGCTAGGCAAGGGGCCGGTGGGAGGCTCGGGCGCAGCCTTGGCAGGCTTCTCCTTCTTCTCCTTCTTTTCCTTCTTCTGCTTCTTGCCCTGAGCCGCGGCGTCTTCAGGCTTGCCTACGACAGCGTCCTTGACAGCCTCGACAGTGGAAGCAGCAGCGGCAGCGACAGCACCGGCCGCACCGGTCACGGCGGCAGCGGCGCCTTCAACGGTAGTGGGAGCAGCGGCCTTCTTCTCCTTCTTCACCTTGGGCGCAGGGGCCTTGCGCTCGGGAACAGTAAGGGTGGAAATGTCAATGTCGAGGGTGGGGTAGGCGTTGGGAAGGGAAGAGCGGGCGGAAGAGACGGAGGGGAGAGATTGGATGTGGAGGAAGTAACGGAGGAGGGCAGGGAGAGTGGGGTGTTGGGTGGCAGGGGCGGAGATCTGCACTTGTCAGATATGGCCCATATTCTTTTCAGAGTAGCATACCAAAGAGGGGTGGAGCTGGGTGTAGAGACCAACATCGGCAGTGGAAGGGTAGTTGGCGTGAAGGTATGTCAAAGGGGTGAGCTTCTCGTTGAGCGCCTGATATACCGTCAGCTGGATGATTTAATCACAGAATGGCCCACTCACAGGAAGATCCTTGACCAAAGACTCAGTCTCGCCAGTCAACTTCTCGATGGCAGCCTTGTCCTTGTCGTTCTGGCCGACGAGCTGAGGGTCGGCCTGGACAGCGGCCGCGATGAATTCCTGGGCTTGAGCGGACATTTTTTGGAGGGATGTGGTGGCTGAGAATGTGCGAGTGGGGGAGAATGCTCTGCTGACGAGCCGCGGGAGCATATACGGAGCGAGAGGAATACAGGGAATCTCTTGAAAATAGCGAAAAGAAGTCGAAGCAAGATGTGTGTTTACGTAACGCACTCTTAGTGGCGTCCGTTGTCCTTCTTCGACTTTTTATCCTCCATTCTCTCTTCCAAAATATCCATTTCACACCAAGATGTCGGGACAGCAGCCACCAAATTTTAACCCGGGAGCCTTCGAATTCAGGCCCGGACAGCAGCAATCCTTCGTCCCCAGGCAACAGCAGCAGTACCAGCAGTATCCTCAACAGGGCTACCCCCAGTATGGCCAGCAGCAGCAGCAGCCTTACGGGGCTTACCCTCAGTACGGCGGCTACCCCCAGCAAGGCGGATATCCTCAGCAGGCTCAGGGTGGCTACCCTGCCCCCTCTGCTCCTGCTCCCAGAGCATACCAGCCTCCCAACAGAACCGTCCAAGGGTTCCAGCCTCCCACCATCCCCAGCTCTTCCACCCAAAACGGCCCTCCCAAAGCTGCTCCTAGTTTGAGCATTGGTGGTGGTGCCCCCAAGGCGGCTCCCAGTCTGTCCATCGGTGGCGGTGCCCCCAAGGCGGCTCCTAGTCTGTCTATCGGCGGAGCTGCTCCCAAGGCCGCGCCCAGTCTGAGCATCGGCGGTGGTGCCCCCAAGAACGCCCCCAGCGTGTCTATTGGTGGTGCCAAGGCTGCCCCTAGCTTGTCGATCGGTGGTGCGAAGAAGGAGGAGATCAAGGAGGAGACACCTGATTCCGCTCTCACCGCTGCCCAATCCTCCCCTAAACCTGCCGTTTCCGACAAGGCTGAGGCTGCTCCTGCTGCTGAAAAACCTGTTCAAACCGCCACTCCCCCTGTCGCCACCGACGCCCAAACCAAAGTCGTTGCTGAGGCTCCCGCTCCTGCCAAATCTGGTGCTTCCACCCCCACTCCTGCCGCCGCTGCTGCTTCCTCGGCCACCAACTACAGCAAGGTTTCCGCCAAAAACGACGCCGAGGCGATCATCAAGGAGCAGAATGCTGCCGGTGCCGATGCCATGCGTGATCTTTACGGTGATGACCAGAAGGACCCCAACATCAAGTCCCATCTCAACATCATCTTCACTGGTCACGTTGATGCGGGCAAGTCCACCATGGGCGGTCAGCTCTTGTACTTGACTGGCGCCGTCGACAAACGAACAATGGAAAAGCTTGAGCAGGAGGCGAAGGCTGCCGGTAGGGAGACCTGGTACCTCTCTTGGGCGTTGGACAATGGCAAGGAGGAGCGAGCGAAGGGAAAAACCGTCGAGGTCGGTAGGGCGTACTTTGAGAGTGACAAGAGAAGATACACTATCTTGGACGCACCCGGGCACAAGACCTATGTGCCTCATATGATTTCCGGTGCCGCCCAAGCCGATGTTGCTTTGCTCGTAAGTCTTGATTCATGTCTCGTAGTATCACACTGACACCCGGCTAGGTACTGTCTGCCCGAAAGGGCGAATTTGAGACTGGTTTCGAGCGTGACGGTCAGACCAGAGAGCACGCCATGCTTATCAAGAACAACGGTATCAACAAGCTTATCGTTGTCGTCAACAAGATGGACGACTCTACCGTCCAGTGGGACCAGGGCCGATACGACGAGGTGACTTCCAAGATCACTCCCTTCTTGAAGGCTGTCGGTTTCAACCCCAAGACCGATATCACCTTTATCCCCGTGTCCGCTCAGGTCGGACAGAACATGAAGGACAGAGTCGACCCCAAGCTTGCGCCTTGGTACGAGTAAGTGTTGACAACTTTTCTCCCTCGTCATGTACTGATTGTGGTGTAGGGGCCCTGCTCTTTTGGAGCACCTCGACAACATGACTATCATGGACCGAGACATCGACGCTCCCTTCATGCTTCCCATTTCTGAAAAGTACAACGAGCTTGGTACGATGGTGATGGGCAAGATCGAGTCTGGTCGTGTCAAGAAGGGTGACACTTTGCTCATGATGCCCAACAAGGTGAGCAAAGTCCCCTTTCCCTTGAGCTGGAGCTGATAGAAATACAGCACACCGTCGAAGTCGCTGGTATCTTCTCCGAGCAGGCCGACGAGATGGACATGGCGTTCTGTGGTGACAACATCCGAATCCGTATCTCTGGTGTTGCCGACAAGGACATCACCCCCGGTTTCGTGCTCACCTCCGTGCAAAAGCCTATCAAGACCGCTACCGCTTTCAGGGCTGATATCTCGGTCATTGACACCAAGAACATTATCTGTCCCGGTTACAGCTGTGTTCTGCACGTTCACACCCTCGCTGAGGAAGTCACTGTCACTGTAAGTATACCATCGCGTTCGATGGGCGTAGCTGATAAATGTCTCAGCAATTCCTCCACTACTACGAGAAGAAGACCCGAAGAAAGTCCAAGAAGCCTCCTCAGTTCGCCAAGTCCGGCATGCTCATCTCGGCCATCATTGAGACCACTGCTCCCGTCTGTATCGAAAAGTTTGAAGACTACAAGATGCTTGGTCGATTCACTTTGCGAGATGAGGGTGCGTCTTCTCTCACTTTCAACTGTATTCATGAGACTGACTTGAACCCACAGGTAAAACCGTTGCTATCGGCAAGGTGACCAAGCTCATGAAGAGCGAGGATGTTCCTGATATCGCTGGTTTGGCCATCAAGGCGTAAGGTGCTGCTGGAAGTTGACTGAAGGGTAGTAGACGGGGATAGTAGAAAGCTTGGTGCCTAATACCAAGATTTGTAGCGTAGAAAGTTCCATTCACTAGACCCCTCATTTCCCAATCTGTGTTCTCTGAGATCTGACGTTGTTTTCCTCTATCAATTCTCTATCAAAATGAAATGCATTGTGCATAGTCTTGCCAGCGGATCATGGGCTGAGCCACACCCTGGGTGGGGGTCGTGTCGAGCCAGGATCGACTATGGGGTGAAATTTGAATGGCTGTATTTGTACTTGTATGGCTGGCCTTCTTAAAAGACCCCCCTTCTAGACGCGAAACGCGAAATTCAGGGAAACATCAGAGCCGCGTTTGAACATTTCATCGGGGCATCTCCAACCTTGTTTATCTCTCATCGCCCATTCCTATTTTCTCCCCCAAGCACGCCCCACAACTCTTCAGCAAATCAACGCACATCCCGCTAGGCCTGAATACCCCTGGAACCGCTTTTACAAAGACAAAAACCGTCCACCATGGCCGATGCTGGCGCTGCTGTTCTGCCCGTCGCGAACGTGAACGTGAGTCGCGTCGCCTGTTCCTCATAAATCGCATAATGCGATGGCTTACAACCGCTTTTACCACAGATCAACTACGATGAAGAGTCTGGTATGTCTCTCCCGCCTGGATGGCACCTTGAACATCAACTAACAAGGCTTGACCCCTGATAGGCATGATCGAAGACTTTCTTCTCAACTTTGTCCCTACACCCCGCAACCGTCGACACCAAGCCCCCATTCCTGCAGACGATGATGCTGCTGCCGAAGAGACATCTGAAGATGATGACGACTTGGCGAACGGATTGGAGGGATTAAATGTTGGTGGTGCGAGGAGGCAAAAGCACAAGTACCAAAGGATCATGAGAGAGGTCGCGAACAGGCGCAGGACAGATGTGGTCGTCAACCTCAAGGATGTTGATGATGTGAGTGGTACGAGCTCAATTATGGGATAGACACTGACGAGCCTGTAGTATTTCCAAGACAAGGGTCTTCTCAGTAACATCGAGAACAACACGCGCCGATACATTCAGCTCTTCGCCGACATCATCGACAAGATTCTGCCTGAACCTGACCAGGAGGTCGACTTTACTGGAGATGTTTTGGATCTTATCATGCAGCAGAGGCGAGAGATGAACGCGCAGATCCAAGCTGGGGAGAGGCCCGGAGACACCAACATGTTCCCCCCCGAGTTGATGCGACGATAGTGAGTCATTCCCAGCCAACTACCATTTATCAATCTGACTTTCTGCTAGCAATGTCTACTTCAAGCCCAAGAGACGCCAGAATGAAGTGCTCGCGGTCCGAGCGGTCCGTGGTTCCCACTTGGGCAAACTCATCACCGTCCGTGGTATTGTCACCCGTGTCTCTGAAGTCAAGCCCCTTCTTGTTGTAAACGCCTACACTTGTGACATGTGTGGAAACGAAATCTTCCAAGAAGTCACCCAGAAACACTTTACTCCTCTGGTCGAGTGCCCCAGTGAAACCTGTAAAGTTAACCAAACCAAGGGTCAATTGCACATGCAAACCCGGGCGAGTCGATTCAGGCCTTTCCAAGAGGTCAAGATCCAGGAAATGGCCGATCAAGTTCCTGTCGGCCACATTCCTCGTTCAATGACCATCCACCTCTATGGCGCTCTCACTCGAACGGTCAACCCCGGTGATGTTATCAACACTGCCGGTATCTTTATCCCCACCCCTTACACCGGTATGCGAGCTCTTCGTGCTGGTCTCTTGCAGGATACATTCCTCGAAGCCATGTACGTTCACCAGCTCAAGAAACAGTACCACGCCATGGAGGCTACGCCCGAGATCGAACAGGCTATCGCCGACCTGAAGGAGGACCCAACACTGTACGGCCGATTGGCTAACTCTATCGCCCCTGAAATTTACGGTCACGAGGATGTCAAGAAGGCTTTGCTGCTCTTGCTTGTTGGTGGTGTTACCAACAACAGAAAGGATGGTATGAAGATCCGAGGTGATATCAACGTCTGTTTGATGGGTGATCCCGGTGTTGCCAAGTCTCAGCTTCTGAAATACATCACCAAGGTTGCTCCTCGAGGTGTCTACACCACTGGTCGAGGTTCCAGTGGTGTCGGTTTGACCGCCGCGGTCATGAGGGACCCTGTCACCGATGAGATGGTTCTTGGTAAGTCATTTTAATTCCCCCTACAAACGGAACTGACCCAAAACAGAGGGCGGTGCTCTTGTCCTTGCCGACAACGGTATCTGCTGTATTGATGAATTTGACAAGATGGAAGAGTCCGATCGAACGGCCATCCACGAAGTCATGGAGCAGCAAACCATCTCCATCTCCAAGGCTGGTATCACCACAACTCTCAACGCCCGTACCTCCATTCTCGCCGCGGCGAACCCTCTCTACGGTCGATACAACCCCAAGATTTCTCCCGTCGACAACATCAACCTTCCCGCCGCTCTTCTGTCTCGTTTCGACGTCATGTTCCTCATCCTTGATACCCCCACCCGGGAAGACGACGAGCGATTGGCTCAGCACGTCTGCTACGTGCACATGAACAACCATCACCCCGAGCTCGACTTTGAGCCCGTCGAGCCGACATTGATGAGGCACTACATTGCCGAGTGTCGAAAGATTGAGCCTCGGGTCCCTCGAGAGCTGTCCGAGTACATTGTCTCGAGCTATGTCCGCATGCGACAGCAGCAGCAGGAAGACGAGGCTGAGGAAAAGTCTCACTCTTACGTCTCTGCCCGTACGTTGCTTGCCGTCCTGCGTCTCTCCCAAGCGCTTGCTCGTCTGCGACACGACGACGTTGTTGGAAACGCCGATGTTGACGAGGCCCTCCGTCTTATGGATGTCTCCAAGGCGAGTTTGCAAGAGCAAAGTCAGCAGAGGAATGGTGAGGATCAGACCAGCACGAGCAAGATCTTCCGAATCATCAAGGACATGGCGCAGAGGGCGGCGGAAGATGATGAGGAGATGGGCGAGTTGATGATGATGGACGTGAGAGGCAGGGTGATTGCCAAGGGTTTCACCGAGATGCAGATGATGGACACCATCCTCGAGGTGAGTTTATTCTTTTCACAATGGTATACGTTGGCTGACCAGTCTAAGTACGAAAACATGGACGTTTTGATGCGTACTGCCAATGGCAACAAGTTGCAGTTCGTCTCTGCTTGATCGATGTAAGAATGGATGGAGGGGTGTTTTGAATGGGTTGTTACGATTATACTTATGCTTTTGTCTTGGGATACTATATACCCGGCTTTCATGGCCATGCTATCATGCATGATTGACTCACGAGGTTCATACAGATTACAGTAAGTGCTGAGATCTGGCCGGGGGCCGGCGAGATGCGTCCCGATTTCCGCTTCTGTCGTCACATTCTTCTATCCACTTTTTCTCCGAGCTATAATTTATCCCATCCATTCTTGCACCCTCTGTACATTCTATCACCTCTCCCCTTTCCGATATACAACCACAATGGCCACCCCGCGCCGCAACGCATCTGGCATCATCCTCGATCCCAGCACCTCCCAACGAGTCATCCCCCAGTCCAGGCGCCCCGATGGAACGTACGGTAACCGATCTGGCCTCGTATGACGCAAAAGCTGACTTCGCCTATATAGCCTAAGAAAAGAACAGAAAGTGCGACCTGGCTGGACACCGCAAGAAGACGTTGGCCTTTTCCGTTCCGCCCGCAGAGCTGCTAGAGATCCCAGCTACGCCGCTGCCAATACCCAGCTCAATACCCGCGCATCCATCCCCGGGTCACGTCCACCTCCCTCCCGCACACAGACTCCTACACCAACAGGCAAGGATACAGACGAAGACGATTTGATTAAAGCCATGTCGAACGTCAAATTGGATCAAGGAGGAAAGAAGGAGCAAGTCAAGACGAGTGAAGAGGGGTTCCCGCCTCTGAGAGGGACTGGGGCGCCGATAGACCCGGTCAAGAAGGAGAACGAGACGGAGAATGGGTCACCGTCGACTGTTGCTGCTATCGAGCCCACCCCTCCTGGGCCGTCGAAACCTAGTGACCCAGCGCCCGTCACTTCTCAAAAACCCGACATCAAGTCACCATCTCCGCTTGCGACCAATCATTCTTCTCCCAGCGAAAACAAGGGGAGCCCGTCCGTCATTACCGACCGCGCAGCGGAAGTGAAGCGTCCTAGTTCCAGTCAACAGCCACAACGCGTTAGCGGGCAGGCCAATGGGCAGGTTCCTCATGGTAACCAGAACCAGGCCAGAAGTGGTTCTGGAGCTGCATCGGGGTCGTGGCGCTCGAATTGGCGTCCTTCTCCTCCTGCTCAGCAGCCTGCAGCAGGACAGAGTGAAAAGCACACTGCGGTGCAGGGTGATGGATGGGGCGAGGCAAAGGAAGATAAGGCTGAGAGGAAGGCAGGAGGTGGTCTGGTCGAGGATATCAAGAAGCTGGCATAAGAGGGACAGCAGTGCGTGGTATGTATGTCGTTGATGGAAGGTTTCAAGCTGACTTTATTGCAGAGAAGAACCCCTCCTGTCACTGTTGTTGGCTTCTTCAATGATATGTGAAGTCTTTGGGAATTGTAGTGAACTTGATTTTTTGTACCAACATCAACCTACATCTGTCCGGGCTGCGACATAGCACTGTTCTCCATCGTATGATTAGATGCACAATTGGATTCTACAGTTCCCTTCCCTGGCCATGTGCATTCACCGGACGATTCAATCTGCAGTCAATAATACGTGGTAGCCAGTCAGCCACGCCCGCAGCCCCGCCCCGCAAGCCGACGGCAACACTTGGTTGTTCGCGCGCGCGTCATCTTCGCGTTCTTCTTGACTCTTTATATACCTCAAGTCGCCTCGCAACCAACATTCTTGGACTGTCATGAGGCCCTCCAGGCTCATAGCGAGCACCCGCCCTATAGCCCAAACATGTGTCTCCTCCTTACCCCTCCCTTGCACCTCGCTCAGACCTCTCACATCCACGACCCTCCCTCCACCCAGCCCAGCATTCACCCAAATCCGAGCCAATCACTCCCACTCTTACACCACCCCTCCTTCTTCCCAGATCAAAGACAAAGTACCGGTGGAACTGTCGTATGATGTGGTCGAGCCTTCGAAGCCGTCGCCAGAGGCTGAGGGGCAGAGCTTGGTGATCTGTCATGGGCTTTTGTAAGTGATACATGAAAGAGGTGCTGGGAAAGGCTGATGTGGGAGAGTGTAGTGGGTCGAAGCAGAATTGGAGGTCTCTTGCCAAGGCGTTTGCTGCCCAGCTTGGTATGCCAGTCTACACCCTCGTACGCACCTCTCCTCCCTCTCGATTCAATCCAAGCTCATTTTGTACTCTCCAGGACCTCCGTAACCATGGTCAATCCCCACACGCCTCCCCCCATAACTACGCCGCTATGGCCGCCGACGTTCACCACTTTTTCCAAGCCCGCAACCTCACATCAGGCGTCAACCTGCTAGGCCACTCGATGGGTGGAAAGGCGGTGATGGCGGTGGCGCTGGATAATAAATTGAATGGGGCGTTGAGGACTCTGATTAGTGTGGATATGTCACCGGCGAGGGGAAAGATTTCGCCCGAGTGAGTTCGGCGTTGAGAATGAAGGAGAATGGAGGCTGATAAGGGGATAGGTTTGCGTCGTATACGCAGGCGATGATTGATATTGAAGAGGCCAAAGTCAGGACCAAGCAGGAGGCCGACAAGATATTGCAAAATACTGAGCCTGTGAGTATATGCTCGGATCATGAATGGTCCCTTCTGATGCTACCAAGATGCTGCCTACTCGACAATTCTTGCTCACCAACACTCGCCTGTCACGCGACGGCCCCGAGCCCCATCTCGTCTTCCGTATCCCCCTCCAACTCCTCTCCAAAGCCATCCCCCAGATCGGCGATTTCCCTTACAAACCCCCTCCCCCTGTTACCGATGCCTCCCCCGAGTGGCAAGGGCCGACGCTGTTCATCAAGGGCGAGCACTCGAAATATATCAACAAGCACAATATCCCTGTGGCAGAGCAGTTCTTCCCGAATATGAAGCTGGAAGTGCTCGAGACGGGGCACTGGGTGCACGCTGAGAAGCCTGCAGAGACGGTAGAGCTGGTCAAGGCGTTCATCCAGGGAGCTTAACTTGAGAGTAGGGGGAGAAGGTGTGATCTATGCATATGGCGGTGCTTGTCAAGATGATGATTGTACGAGTATGTACTCGCTTCCGGCCATTGATGCATTGTGCAAATAGCCGTTCGAAACTTGGAATGGGCCCTGACGTCAGTTGCCCGCTCGATGGTGACGGGGAATGACGTCGTGGTGGAATCGAGCGGCGGTGGTTGGTGGAGAGCGACTATCAGGCGACTATAAGAGCCGCAATTCCCAGCCAGTCCCGTCTCCCCCATATCACACCCACCATGCCACAGATATTCGACGACGGTGAGTACACGCCTGCTCGCCAGTGCCGCCCTCATCCCCCATAGCCAAGAACGCCCTCGCAGGCGATGCCAAGTACCGCCAGATGCAGGGCTTTACCCAGGAGCAGAACGACAAGACTCCCCTCACCACATACTTTGGAACAAAGGTGGCCGACACCGATCAGGCCCTCAAGGCCGGAGCCAGGGGTCCTACTGTTCTAGAGGGCGAGTCTGTGATCTGATCGGCTTGAGCTGTAGCTGACAGCGCGCCAGACTTTCACAACAGAGAGAAGATCTCGCATTTCGATCATGAGCGTATCCCCGAGCGGGTTGTCCATGCTCGAGGTGCCGGTGCTTTCGGAGAGTTCAAGCTGCACACTCCGTTGACTGGCATCACTACCGCCAAGGTGAACTACTTGACTATATTCCTAGACCTCTTGCTGACCCGATCTAGATCTTGAATGACACCAGCAAGACTTCGCCTTGTTACATCCGATTCAGTACCGTTGCCGGTAGCAGAGGAAGTGCCGACAGTGTACGAGACGCTCGAGGCTTTGCTGTGCGACTGTACACCGACGAAGGCAACTGGGATGTCGGTAAGTGTCTTGTCCCGCGCGCTTTGTGACGTCGCTGACTTGTGAGTAGTTGGTAACAACATCCCCGTCTTCTTTATCCAGGATGCTATCAAGTTCCCCGACATGGTCCACGCCTTGAAGCGTAAGTGCATGCTTGTATGACCGAGCACCCGCTGACTCGAAACAGCCGAGCCCCACAACGAAGTCCCTCAGGCCCAAACCGCCCACGACAATGCCTGGGACTTCATGTCCCTCCACCGCCAGTCCACCCACATGCAACAGTGGATCATGTCTGACCGCACCATCCCCCGATCCTACCGAATGATGAACGGTTTCGGTATCCACACTTTCCGACTCATCAACGCCGAAGGCAAGAGCACCTTTGTCAAGTACCACTGGCTGCCCCACCTCGGTGCCCACTCTCTTGTCTGGGACGAGGCTTTGAAGATTGCTGGACAGGACCCGGACTTCCACCGAAAGGATCTTTGGGACGCTATCGAGGCTGGAGCTTACCCCAAGTGGGACTTGGGTGTGCAGCTTGTAAAGGAGGAGGACGAGCACAAGTTTGACTTTGACTTGCTCGATGCTACCAAGGTGACCCTCATCATTTTTTACTTTGCAAGTGCTGACAACCGTCCAGATCATCCCCGAAGACCTTGTGCCCGTGCAGCGCATCGGTACCCTCACCCTCAACCGTAACCCTGTCGACTACTTTACCGAGGTCGAGCAGGTCGCTTTCTGCACCCAGCACATCGTCCCCGGTATGGACTTTACCTCCGACCCCCTGCTCGCTGGCCGAAACTTTTCCTACCAAGACACCCAGATCTCACGATTGGGTATCAACTTTGGCGATATCCCTGTCAACAGGCCGGTGTGTCCGTTCATGACCAACCAGAGGGACGGTGCGATGGCCATGACGAGCAAGACGAACCGCACGGCGTACCACCCGAACCGCTTCGACGCTCTTCCCACCACCGAGCCTGCCCAGGGTGGTTTCCAGAGCTATCCCGAGGTCGTCTCTGGTATCAAGGAGAGGAAGCTTGGGCCCAAGTTCCAGGAATTCTACGCCCAGGCGCAGCTATTCTACAACTCGATGTCTGATACCGAAAAGGCCAACATGGTCAGCGCCTACCAGTTTGAGCTTTCGCACTGTCTTGAAGACATTGTCATCCAGAACGAGCTCAACTGTATGAATGAGGTCGACCGCGGACTTGCCGAGTCTGTGCACGCCACCTTCCCTCACTTGACGCTGCCGGCGCCCAAGCCTAACCACGGCAAGAAGTCAGAGTACTTGTCCCAGATCACGGGCAAGAACCAGGTCTTTACTGCTGAGGGTAGGAAGATTGGTATCTTCCTCGTTCCCGGTTTCGACTACAAGCTTGTCGAGGCTATCCTTCCCGCTCTCGAGTCTGCAAAGACCATGCCCAAGATTGTAAGTTGGCCCACTTTCTACATGTGCTCCTTCTGACATCTTCCAGGTCGCTCCCACCAAGGGTCCCGTCAAGTCTGCATCCGGCGAAGAAGTGACCGCCGAATTCACCTTTGAAGGCTGCCGATCCACCTTCTTTGACGCCCTCATCTTCATCGGCGGCCCCGATGCCTCCTACCTCCCCAAGCTCAAGATCGGCCGTCTCACCCACGCCGCCCGCGAGTCATACATGCACCTCAAGACTATTGGTGTGCTCGGTAACGCCGCCCAGTGGCTCGTCGACATTGCCTTGCCTGGGGACTTTGGTGCCCAGGCCAAGACAGAGTTTACAAAGGAGAACGGTGTCGTCTTTGACCCGGATAATGCCAAGTTGCAGAGCGCCAAGTTTGCGGAAGAGTTTTTGGATGGGGTGGCTCACCACCGTGTATGGGACCGAGAGGTTGCGCACATTGCTGCCTAAGCTAGGGAGCTGCTTTTCTAAATCATTTGTACTATCAAAATCACATTACAATGTAGCAAATAATATTTGAATGCACAAATGTCAAAGTCTTCATTCGCCCTGTGCTACAGCTTCCAGAGTCCCGTTCCACATGTTCAGGATGTCTGCTTCCCACTCTTCATCCTCTTCTTCTCCGGCATCAGACCCTTTTAGAGAGTTGGGGGTGGCGGCGCTGCCTGGCAATGACGAGCCTGGGAAGGAGCCGTATCCTCGGGCCCAAGCGAGCATTTTGGACCGGCCTGTGAGTATGATGGAACGTAGTCTTGTCCTATGACAAACTTGTCAGCCTCAGACACTTCAGGGGTAAAAATGGATTACCGCTCGGTTTGGTCCACCTGTCCTGCATAAGAGACTTTGACCGGCGTGCCGCCTAGGAGAACATTCTTCTCCCAGTCTTGCTCCCCGCTATCTGCCTCGTCCAACCTGGCAAAAGCAGAAGGTGGAGGCGACCATGCTTCTCCATTCAGCACTGCCAACCACCCCCTATCTACCTCTTTCAAAAACGCCAGCACAGCTCGCAATACCCGTCCTGCCTGCATCTGCTCCAGCTCCTCTTGCTCTCCCTCCTGCGTTTCCTCATCGCCCTTATGATCGCTCAATATATCAGACCCTCCTATAAGCGGCAGGGCGGAAATGTAGCTCGGTATGACTGCAGTGAGGGTGAGGAGATAGGATGTGCGGAGGTGGTCGAAGGGGTGGAAAGGGGGGATTTGAAGGATGAGCTGGAGGAGGGGCGATAGGCGGCTTAGGAGAGATGGAAGTGATTTCAGTTTGCTACAGAGCACATCAGTGGCTGTCTCAATATCGAGTTTCATTCTGGTATAAGATACATTGATCACACTCACAATGTCCTCTCATCTCTCTCGAGGGATGCCAGCCGATCGTCAAGATGCGTCCTCAGACGCGCTTCTTGCTTTGGCGTCAAGCGGGTCAAGATCTGTACTCCGCCGCTTTCCGTAGCACTGTCACCATCTCTCTTGGCTTGATCCAACGAGCCAGATGGAGCTACAAATCCGCCAGACATTTCGAGAGCGTATACAGGATGCATAGAGGCAGGTGGAAGATGGCGATGGAGAAAGCGGGCGGGTGGACGTGAAAGTGGAGGCAGTCGGTGGAGGCCGTAATCGATAATCCTGGTTTGATCCTGGTGCTCTCAACGCTCTTCTTCCAATCCTTCCCGCCATATAATCTCTACAAAATACATATCTCCCTCCAGGCGTGTTCTGGGGTACTCAGCTCAACTCGGCATAGAACAGCAACAGCAAGGGACTGAAGCAAGATGAAGTTTATGCTGGGTGACCTGCCGGTGTTGTTCCCGTATGATCGGTATGTTTCTTCTTCAATCATGGATTGCCACCCAATATACGTGGCTCTATCATTTGCCTTGAGTACATGTACTAACTATGAATTGTATAGGCTGTATCCGGGTACGTTTGGGTGATCGATGCAAAAAGTTACGATCATGGGCGGGACTGACAAATAGAATACAGAGCAATACTCTTACATGGCCGATCTGAAAACAACGCTCGATGCTGGGGTACGCCAAGCCCTTCCACTAGACCATGTCCCTCCTTGGCTGAGAGGGCGGTCTATCTCCAAGTGTAACTTACTGATGTACATGACAGGGCCACTGTGTCTTGGAAATGCCTTCGGGAACAGGCAAAACCGTCTCTTTGCTCTCTCTGATTGTTGCCTATATGCAGGTCAGTCTTTTAATGCTTGAGATACTTCACCCCCTCTTGTACTGACCCGCTATACCTAGTTCTACCCCGAAAAACGCAAACTCATCTATTGTTCGCGAACCGTACCGGAAATCGAAAAGGCGCTGGCGGAGCTGAAGCAGCTCATGGAGTACAGAGCACAGGAAGGTGCCAATGATGGAGAATTCAGAGGCTTGGGACTGACTAGTCGGCGTAATCTGTGTCTGCATCCTGAAGTGAGTGATCGACGTGGTCAAGACGACACTGAACGAGATACTGACCGATTTCTGCCCAGGTGAGCAAAGAGAAGAAGGGCAAAATCGTGGATTCTAGGTGCAGAGATCTCACATCATCCTATGCCTGTGAGAAGGGTAGAGCAGACCCGGGAAGTGTGCCGTTGTGTAGCTTCCACGAGGTGTGTCTGTCGCGACTCCCAAGATACATACATGTCTTATCGTATTATCACAGGAACTGAACAATTACGAACCGGGAAACCTCATACCACCAGGAATCCATACACTGGATGATGTTAAGAAGTACGGACAAGAGAAGGGAGTATGCCCATACTTTACTATCCGACGAATGGTATGCCGCCCATTCCATCGTTGACATGACTAGAACCTTTGCTGATACTTGTGACAGCTGCCTTTCGTCGACATTGTCATCTACTCTTTCCATTATCTGCTAGATCCCAAAGTTGCCGAGCAGGTATCTGCAGAGATGAGCAAGGAGAGTATTGTCGTTTTCGACGAGGCGCACAATATCGGTGAGTTGTTTGATCCGTCAACGCTTACAAAGCTCACGCTCGTACAGATAACGTCTGTATCGAGTCTCTATCAGTTGACCTGACAAGACCAATGCTTGAGTCTGCCGCTAGGAGCGTCAACAAGCTCAGCGACAAAATCGCCGAAATCAAAGAGACTGATGCTCAAAAGCTCACCGACGAGTATCAGAAGTTGGTGGAAGGATTGCAACAGGCAAATGACGATGAAGGTGGTGCAGAGGATAACGACATGTTGGTCACGCCAGTGTTGTCGGCCGACATGGTGGATGAGGCGGTTCCGGGGAACATCAGGAAAGCCGAGCATTTCATTGCGTTCTTGAAGAGGTTCATCGAGTATCTGAAAGTGAGCCACTCGACGAGGGATATGACTGGCTGTTGACGCGCTTGCAGACGAGGATGAGAGTACTGCATGTCGTTGCCGAGACGCCGCAGTCATTCCTGGCGCATCTGAAAGAAATCACCTATATCGAGCAACGGCCACTGAAGTAAGCACTCGCCTCTGAGAGTCACATACATACACTGACAACATTTGCAGGTTCGCTTCTGAGCGCCTAACGTCCCTAATACGAACGCTCGAGTTGACAAATCTGGACGAGTATGCCGCCTTGCAAAAGATTGCCGGATTTGGTACACTAGTGGCCACATACGAGAAAGGCTTCTTGCTCATTCTCGAACCCTACGAGACTGAGCACGCTACCGTCCCCAATCCCATCTTCCATTTCACGTATGTGCCTCGTATGTGCTTTTGACGATGGTTGCTAATTTGACTTCATCTGTAGCTGCCTGGACCCTTCACTGGCTATCGCTCCTGTTTTCGAACGCTTCTCTTCGGTCGTCATCACCTCCGGTACCATCTCTCCCCTCGACATGTACCCCAAAATGCTCCAATTCCAGCCAGTCATGGAACAATCATACCCCATGACTCTTGCGCGAAACGCTTTCTTGCCGATGGTCATCACCCGTGGCTCCGACCAAGTGCCGATATCATCGAGGTTCGAGGTCCGAAATGACCCGGCTGTGGTGAGAAACTTTGGAAGTATCTTGATCGAGATGAGCAGGACAGTGCCGGATGGTGTGGTGGCGTTCTTCCCGAGTTATCTGTATATGGAGTCCATTGTGTCTGCGTGGTACGATATGGTGAGTGGATCATTGACTTTCTGAATTAGTGCTGACTGCCGGTAATAGGGTATCTTGAGTGAAGTTTGGAAGCATAAGTTGCTGTTTGTGGAGACGCCCGATGCCATGGAGACGAGTATAGCACTCCGGAACTACCGGGAGGCTTGTAATAATGGCCGAGGAGCTGTTCTGCTATCCGTCGCTCGTGGTAAGGTGTCGGAAGGTATCGATTTCGACCAGTAAGTCTTTCGCGGTGCTTGTGGAGCGCAGCTGATGGCGAGCGATAGCAACTATGGACGAGCGGTCATCATGTTCGGTATCCCGTACCAGTATACAGAGTCGCGTATTCTCAAAGCTCGTCTCGAGTTTTTGAGAGACAATCACCGGATTCGAGAAAATGACTATCTCACTTTCGACGCCATGCGACATGCTGCCCAGTGTGTTGGACGTGTCTTGCGAGGTAAAACAGATTGGGGTCTGATGGTGTTTGCCGACAAGGTCAGTCCTTTCCAAGTCTACCGTTTCAAGTACTGATGGTCGAGACAGCGTTTCGCTCGAGCGGACAAACGAGCCAAGCTGCCCAAGTGGATCAACAGCTACATCACTGAGGCTCACTCCAATCTCTCCACCGACGTTGCTATATCTCTCGCCAAAAAGTTCATCAGGCAAATTTCTCAACCGTTCGACCACACCCAGACAGGTATCTCTCTCTGGACTCTGGAAGATATCGAGGCGAGGCAGCAGCAAGAAGCGGATGAGGCAGACAGGGATGATACGGCTTTGGACGAGGCCGTTGAGCAGAACACGGTGGGCGATGCGGTGAATGGAGATAACAGCGGGGATGTCGCGATGGCGGAGGAGTTCGATCTGGCGGGAATGGATATAGATTAGAGGCGATTTGTACCTTACATCACGGAGTACTATGTTGTAGTTGAATCGGCAGAGAACCGTAGCACCATGCAAGCTTTGCGAATGTGAGAGCGTTCAACAGCCAGCGTTAGCCCATTATCAGAGGTGCAAGACTGGTACAGGGACAAGACTTGAACTAGAATAAGGTGGCGGTTGATGCAATGGATGACTAATGTTTTCGGCTTTCGATCCCTCTACTCCCTAGTCACATGGCGGCTATATGAAGCTGAAAGGCATTATCACTGTGCTTGACAATAGGACGAGAGTAGGCAAAGTCTACGAGATAAATGTCAGTCTGCGCATGAGACATATTGGCAAGATGACAGTACATGAACACCGTATAGACCACCAGTCGAGGAGGGGAGAAGAGAGAGAAAGGCGAGAGAAAGTGCTTGGAAAAGCCAGAGTGGATCTAACCGCCATAGAAGAGGCAAGAAAGAAAGGGCAAGCTGAGGCCTAGACCGGACGGACGAGACATTCAAAAGCTGTATGATCTCAGGTACTGCAAGGGATTGATGAGCTGTCTCGGGAGCTGCCAAACAACACGGCACAAGTAGTGGTCAATCAATGCATACAGACGCACTCCGCATCACCCGCACAGCGGTCCCTTCGAATCTCCGCCGAGACTACAACCCATTCTCTTTACTACGGCTCGAGCATACATCTGACAATGCGGATGCAATCTAGCAGGTTGTCAGCATGGTTCCAACTATCTAACCTGAAGCAGACTTACGCAAACGCAGACGATAACCAGAGGTCCAAGAACAGCCGCAGCCCCGCAAGAAACCCAAAAGTAACACGGTAGTCAACAGACGAGTAATGCGCAAGACGCCCAAACAGAGACCAACCACCGTTGATGTCGAAAGCAACACCAATCGATACCCAGTCCCACCGCCGAGTGAATGCGCTGATTCAGCGAAGGGGGTCGAAGTGGGAAGACAAGGTCGATTTGTAGACAAGGGGTACTGCCTTCGAAGGAGGGCGCAGCCGATAAGGTCGGCGAAGCCTAAAGACACCAACCGCCTCTGGTCTCTGCAGAAGCCAAAGGAGAGAAAGCGCCTATAAAGCGGTGCGGTTCGCTAAACCTGTGGGCCTGGTGTCCCACATGTATTGCCATCAGGGATGGACTTTGAAAGTGCTAGGGAGGACTAGCCGTGGTGCCGTAGGATGCGGGCGATCAGATCAAGCTCCCTGATCGATAGGGTGTTTCTTGACTGTAGATGCCATTCACTGGGTATGCCAATAGTTGAATGGGCTTTGTCAGCTCTAGGTGGTTGCGCTAGAGGCCATTTTTGAAATGGGCTTTTAGAAACTCTAGTTGGTTGCGTAGAGTGCCGGGATGCGGGCTTTGGTTGAAAGCTCCCTAATCAGTAGGAGAGTCTTGTCGGGTACGAGCGGTACGAAGGAAAAGCGGCCAGTCCCGGATGTGGGAGAATGCTGGTGCTCTGAAGGTGGCGTGAAAGCCCTGGTGGTGGCATGAAAGCCCTGGGGGTGGCATGAAAGCCCTGGTGGTGGCGTAAAAGCCCTGGTGGTGGCATGAAAGCCCAGAAAGATGGCGGAAGAGCCGAGGATTTAACGTGGGTTAGGCCACGGGCCGGGGAAGGGGTTACAGTCTGTGACGAGAGTCAGTGGATGGAAGGAATGGAGAAGGAAGAATACGCACGCCACGCTTCCGAAGGTCCGACAAAGAAGAAGAGAAGAAGATATGCGAACAAGGCTTATATAGCGTGGGAAGCGATTTCGGCATTCTGCGGCGTCTATTGAGAGTGGCACTGTGCACTGTCCTCTTCCATACTCGTATGCGTTGTATTCTTCATCAATGCCTGATAAGGAGCAAGTCCTGAATGGCATCTGGACGGTGAGACATATCATGGGCAAGATTGGGTGCTTGAATCAGAGTACCAACCAGTGACAAGGACCTGTATTACTACACGCCTCCTCGCTCGCCCCTCGCCCTACCTACATTACAGATGAATTTCAAGGTACTCCGGACCTATCTAATGCTGAACTTGACCATCGGTGAGCACTCTTGAGCTACTACGGTCAAGTGCCAAGGAACAGCCCTCATGACGTTGAGATGCCTGGGAGTGCTACAAATCAATGTCAGCGGCAGCGGGCGAAAGGCCACGCATTGAGCGAAGTCTTCTGAGGACTCGTTCAAGAAACCTACCGTCATTGGCATGAAATTACTGGAAGGATAGTTGATGATGGTACCGCGGTCAGGAGGGAAGTGCTGGACGGAAGTGGAAACGGCGTGATACATTCTCCCACACCTGACCACAACATCGCAGGTCTTTGAGATGTCCAGCTTTCTTGTAGCATGACCAAAACTGAACCAGATGCACACGCATGGCTTGTACACCGTGTAAACATTCTCCACCATGATTGCTAAACATTCACAAGAGCACCCCAATACACCATGTTCACCAACTCTTCTGGATCACCTCTTCCAATAGCAAGCGCTCCTATAGACAAACCAACTTCAGAACCTGCACTACGATTCTCATTCCACCCCACGCAGTCTCCCGACAAGCCAATCTCACACAAGAGATAAAGATAGAAGACCATCAGGACGGGACGCTTCGACTTGGCCAAGGGGCCGACATCACCCAAAGCTTTGCCCCTTCGTCCTCATCCTCATCCCTCCTCAGTAGTCTCGCACCACCTACGTTGCCGCTGTAAAGAGCTCCTCGTGATCGACGTACCATCAAGGCACCGTCGAGAAAGAAGACAATATACTGAGATATCACCCTCGAGAGAGGGTTGGGACTGGTAGACTATCTCGGTCTTTGCAAAAGCAGGATCCCGGGCTTCTTTTCTGCCTGGTCTCGAGGAAGTAGATCATCGTCAATTCTTGGCGGAGCCTTCTGCCCTCGCCCTCCTCGAATACCTCCACTGCCCGGAGCCTTATTCGTGGCGTGGTTTGAATTCGTCTGGACAGGTTCGGGAACTGCAGCAGCAGCAGCAGCAGGAGTGGGAGCGGTAGTAGGAGGTGTAGAAGCCCCCGGAATAGGCCGCACGAAAGAATGAGGTCTCTGTAGGAGCACAAACTCGTTCGTATTGCTTCCAACTCTTCCCCTCCCGCCACCACCACTACCGCCCACGCCCCCATGTCTTCCGCGACGATCACCAGCTCGAGAGTTGTTTTGATTTTGGTCGATGTTGAGAGGAGGACGGTGGGGGAGTTGACCAAGGTTGTGGGGATTCATGTTTCGAGCCATGTTCATGGTTCCGGCAGGGGGACGGAAGCCGCCCATAGGCGGACGTGGGGGGAGGCCCATTGACGAACGGGCTGGAAAGGGTCGGTTCTGAGTTTGTCTCATGTTCTGGGTCGGAGGATTGACGGAAGGCAGCGCCGGTCTGGGAGAAGCAGCAGGTGGCCTCGCCAATAGCGCCGGTGATCGAGAGTTGTCTCGTGGTTTGATCTCTGGTCCCGGAAAGGCTGGGTCGGGAACATTGGGAGAGGCAAGAGGGGAAGGGTGGCTGTCTGGAGAAGCGTCCCGAGCTGCGGTTGGGTCTGCGGGAGAAGGCTGTCGACGAAGGAGGATCTTGACCTCTTTGGGAGGTTCGAGCTCCTTTTTGGGCTCTTTGCGTCGGTTGCCGTTGTTTCCAGCGTTGGCACCACGCCCACCTCTTCGGTCATTGCTCCCGCCTGTTCGACGTCCGCCTCCTCCTCCTCCAAGTCGGTCGTTGCTCCCACGGTGATTGGGTCTGCGTCCGCCCAGGCCGGCAGCTTCGACTTCGACATCGTCGTCTCGCAACACCTGCAGGGACAAGTCGAATCGAGCAGCTTCCTGAAGAATGACATGACCTTCAGCTCTAGCGGTATAGTCGACGTTCTTGTCACCATCTCTTGCGGAAGGAGTGGGCTCTGCTCTTCCCTGCTCCACCTCTACAAACACCGGCGCATTGCCGACGTAGAGTATGGGAGGCGTCTCTCTGTCAAATCCACTTCCCTCCTCCATCGTCCCCCATTCTTTCTCCTCGACATCCATGACCCTCTTGAAGTACGCCACACACCTGAACACCCGATCCAGCCACATGGGCAAATTCTCCTCCCCGTCCATCGGCGGGATCGCCAGCTCGTCGAGCATAGAGTCGACGGGGAGGGTCTCGGTGGCACGTTGGATACGTACACCGCGGCCGCGTTTGTAGGAGGTGGTGGACTGAATGGCGAGGGAGGGGTCGGAAGACAGGACGGTGTGAAAGCGAAGGGCGTGCTCGATGTAGCGGGCGGCGTGACGGGCGGCGACAGCGGAGGGGGTGGAACCCTTTTTGAGGAGGTCGAGAGTACTCAGAGCTAGATAGCTTCAGCGATGTAGGCAGTGAAGTGGGGGAAGACACTCACCTTCCTGAGGTATAACAATCTCCCATCCCTTGGCCACCAGTCTCTTGACGGCATTCTTCGCCCACATCAACGCCGAGATATCGACGACCATCACCCTCCACTGCTCCTCCCCTCTCAAGTCCTCGTCGAGCTCGACATCGTCGGGACGGCCCAGGTCATCGTTCGGATCACGGCGAGTATTGAGAAGCGCGCCTGCGTCGACCGAGTAGTCTTGCGGTGCGGGGGAGGCGATATTGGCCGTACGGACTTTTGATTCAAGTTCTGATATTTGGTGGTTGAGGTACGCGGCAGAGAGTGATTTCTGCAACGCTGCTTGCCGAGTGGCCTGGTGAAATCAGCGAGGAAAGTGGAGAGGGTGCGATCACATACGAGATCGCCCCTGGCAGCATTCTGCTCGGGCATGCTTGGGAGAGGATAGGGTGTGGGAGTGTATGGGTGGAGGCTAGAAGAGCATAGTGGTTACAGAGGGGGATACATATGAGTCGCGGAAATGATAGAGATGAATGGGGGCAGCGTGACGTGGCATTCTACTCTCCTCTTTCATCTCATTTCTTTCCACTTTCTCGAATTCTGCCATACACCGAGCACCATGTCCAGATCATTACGCACCCTCCAAGCCTCCCTCAAGCAAAGTACCCGCTCCTTCGCATCATCAGCGCCATCCTCGTCGGGTACGTACGCCTGTATACGCCCACACACGAGCTGACTTCCTCCAGCCTATCCCTTCAACCCCGCTGCTCTCCAAAAGTCGTCACCAGCTCCTTCCAACCCCCCTCCCCAAAATCTTCTTACGCCAAAGAACGGCTGGTCTCTGATCACGCACCTCAACAAATCCATTCCCCCCTCCCCTTATGCCCACCTCTTTGCTCGTCGCGGGGCCGACCGTCTGCCCACAGGCTCCGTCCTGACAGTCGTGACCTACTCTGACCCACAAAAGAAGAGTATCAGTCCCTTCAGTGGGGTGCTCATGGGTGTCAACAGGGGAGGGGTGGATACGAGCTTTAGACTGAGAAATATCGTGAACAGGGCGGGCGTGGAGATGACGTTCAAGTTGAACAGCCCGATGATCAAGGAGATCAAGATTGTCAAGCGGGCTGAGAAGGGCAAGGGGCAACTGAGGGATTTAAAGAGAGCCAAGGTCAACTACTTGAGGGAGAGACCGAGTGTCATGGCGGCCATCGCCCGGGCGTTGAAGTCGGCCAAGGCAGAGGAGGCGGCGGCAGCCAAGGAGTCGTCGTAGAGTACGGGTCTTTCGCCCATGTATGGGTTCTAGCATTCTGGAACAAGGAGCGCATCCATTCAAGCCACACCATTCACCTCCTGATTATAAAACGTTTATTCAAACTAACAAGATAATGACTCAATATATCCCTCTTGTTCTTACCAGCGTCGCCCTCAATACTACAAAACATCGCTCGATTGAGATCTTTCAGATACAGCTCCACCCCATTTGTTGTAGCAGAGCATGCTTAACAGTCTTCTCTTGTCCCGCCTGGTGACCTCTTGTGATCTCACTCGACACCTCGCTCGTGTTCCATCTTGTTCCCTTTCCAAGCGCTGAGCCCCTGACAATCATGGCCTTGACTTTCTCGGTCTCCAGACACAAATCCAACACCAACCTCGCCTTGTCACCCGCCTCGAATCCTGTCACAATTTGCACATTGCTCAGCAACAAACCACCGTAATCTATTCAAGATGACTACATGCAGATCAACCTGCCCAAAAGGAATTACTCTATCTCTCTTCTCCCCGTTCTTTTTGATGCATTGAACGGCTTTTAAGCCTCGGTGGGGGCCAACATGACTATAGAGATGATCAGCACTCAGTCCGGCAACGTCTAGTTCTGTAAGGAACTCACGTTCGGGTCGGACAAGAGAGTCGAACTCTTCAGAGGTGAGCTTGCCGAGGGCGAGGGTAGACTCCTTGAGGGTAAGACCTTCACGGTGAGCCTTCTTGGCAATCTTGGCGACATCTGAACCCATCCTATTAGCCCTCGTCCCAATTCCATCCAACTCCAGACTGACCATCGTAACCAAGCTTGCTGTTCAAGCAAGTAGCCAACATCAAACTCTCATTCATGATCTTCTTTATCTGCTCCTCGTTGGCCTTGATTCCAACCACACAGTTCTTGGTGAAGCTCCTGGAACCGTCGGCAAGGAGACGGATGGACTGGAGGAGGTTCTTGATGAGGACGGGCTTGAAGACGTTGAGCTCGAATTGACCGTAAGAGCCGGCGACGGAGATGGTGGTGTTGTTACCCATGACTTGAGCGGCGACCATGGTGAGGGCCTCACATTGCGTGGGGTTGACCCTGAAAACGTGTCAGTAGGATTCAGAGTTCCATTAGACGGTACGCACTTGCCGGGCATGATGGAAGATCCGGGCTCGTTCTCGGGAAGCTCGAGCTCACCAAGACCACATCGGGGACCGGAACCGAGGTATCGGATGTCGTTGGCAATCTTCATCAAGCTGACAGCGACGGTGTTGAGGGCACCGGAAGCCTCCACGATGGCATCGTGGGCGGCAAGAGCCTCGAACTGCGACCATATTAGATAATGAAAACTGAACGAAGATAGGACTTACCTTGTTGGGGGCAGTCTCGAACTTGTGGCCAGTGATCTTGGAGATCTCCTCGGCGACCTTGACATCAAAGCCAACTCTGGTGTTCAATCCAGTACCGACAGCGGTACCACCCTGCGCCAAGTAGCCCAAGTTCTTGAGGGTGCTCTCCACTCGACCGATACCCCTTTCGAGCTGGGTCACGTAGCCGCTGAACTCTTGGCCGAGAGTCAAGGGAGTAGCGTCCTGCAAGTGGGTTCGACCGATCTTGATAATGTCCTTGAAAGACTCGGCCTTTTCAGCAAAGGCGGCGTGGAGCTCCTTGAGGGCGGGAAGGAGCTGCTCGTTGATCTCGACGACAGCAGCGACGTGCATAGCCGTAGGGAAACTGCTCGAATCAGTAAAGTCTCTACGATAACTTTGAGTACTCACGTGTCGTTAGAAGACTGGCTCATGTTGACGTGGTCGTTGGGGTGGACAGGCTTCTTGGAACCCAACTCTCCGCCCATAAGCTCAATAGCCCTGTTGCTAATGACCTCGTTCACGTTCATGTTGGTCTGGGTACCGGACCCGGTCTGGAAGACGACAAGGGGGAACTCGTCGATGAGCTTGCCAGAGATGACCTCGTCGGCAGCCTTTTGGATGTTCTGGGCGACATCGGCGGGGAGACCGTAGGTCTGGTTGACGGTAGCGGCGGCCTTCTTGAGGACGCCGAAGGCCTTGATGAGAGGAGGGGGCATTCGCTCGGTGGGACCACCTGTTCCGTAGTGTGAGCTTTTCGGCAATCACTTGCACTCTCGAGATAAGGAAGGCGCTCTGCAGAGTAAGCTGTACGTACCAATGTCAAAGTTCATCAAACTTCGCTGGGTCTGGGCGCCCCAGTACCTGGTAGACGGGACCTGGAGGTCACCGAAGGTGTCTTTCTCGATTCTGTACTCTGACATGATGGTGGAGGAGGTGGAAAAGGGGCGGGGGGTGGCAGAAGCGACTCGGGGGATGGCGCGGTTGAGCTGCAGGGTGTGAGATGGGAAGACAATGGATGGTTGCGCACCTTTGTAGCGTTGCGGGCTGCTCTGGAGATGGACATGGCAGGTCAGCTGGCAGAAAGAGGACAACCGCATCGCCGACTTCTTTTGTACCAGCCCCCCAGGCACGCCGGCTTTCTTCGGTGTCTTTCGGGGCTGACGTGGGCTACGCTGGGCTGTATGCATGCTGGCGGGGAGTGTTGGGTGAGGGAGGTATGCCTATGGGTGGCTATCTCTTGGGGCTGCAAGTAGGTGGTGGCCAAGTAGCGGGGGCTCGATGCCCTGTTGGATAACTGCCACGGGCCATTTACTGGCGGTTATCAAGGGCCAAGATTCTGTAGTTATATACATTTCAAAATAGCATTACAGCATCGCCTGTTTTCCGTTGCCCCTCTTTGCATCTCCCACCCGCCTCCTGCACCTCATACCGGTGAATCATCCCGCAGACAGGGGAACCATACAAGTTGGCTGATTCGCGTCAAAGAACGCGAGCCCATTCGTCCAAATTTGATGCCGCTCCAGCGACGGCCGCTTTCGAGGTTAGTTGTTGCAGCTTCACAAGGCGTCTTTCCAGTCATTTCACCACTCATTCATCCAGCACCATGGCCACACTCCCCGCCCGTCTGGCAAAGGCCACAAAGTCCATCAACTCTTGGGAAGAGGCCCGAAGCGCCTCTCTTGCTGCCTACCGCACATGGTACAGATCCGTAAGTCCTTTGCCCTCTTATTGGATTCATGCTCACCTGCGTCGTTTGATCCGAAGGCCCCTGAGATTGTGCAGCTCTATGGACTGCATGTATCCCCCACCCTCGTCCGAATGAAGATCAGACAAGATTTCGAGAGAAACAGGGAAACCATCACCGACCTCTCTGTGATGAACATTATGCTGCTCAAGAACCACCAGGAGTTCCAGGAGACCATGAACTTGTGGAAGCAGGAAGTGAGTTGGAATGAGTAGATTGGTTGGGTTTGAGATTGCTCAGTGCCCAAGGTGTCCGACCCCAGCTGTATGGCGTGGGCGACCTTGGAGAACCCCGACGATCTCTACCCGTGAACCGGAAATGTTCCAAGAAGAAGATGCTGATCAGTCTCCCCTCTAGCCCCATATCATGCACTGGTTCAAGTCGATCGAAGACCCTCCCAAACCCAAGACCTTCCTCGACAAATTCTACGCTGGCCGAGACGACCCATCACAACTCGAGCCTACGTACTAGGTGGAGGATCGTGGGGTTGTGGGTGTTTAGAGAGGATGCTGAGGGATGGGGCGAGAGTGCGACGGGAGCATGCATAGGACTTTCTGATTTCTGATGTGTTCCAGAAACGTCGAGTTGCGGAGTGGGAGTCATCTGGTGGCGAAGACGGAACACAGGGCGTATGGCCTTCGAAGTGGAATTGGAGCACCTAGACTGTACCGAAGGCAGGTCGATGGGACACTGACTGACAAACCCTCCCTGGTCCCGTTAAGCGTACATGCACTGCAAGTCAGTCCATTTCTCAGCACCTACTCGAAAGAGTATCAGGCATGTTTTACCGTATCCACCGCAACTTGCAACGCTCACTTGCCACTATTTGCATACCATCCGGACCTGCATATATGTCCCATCTAAGCTGATACATGATGCAATTACAACACTCCAACTGATCAATGACGGAATGACATCTTATTACGATTGCCACCGGGATGCGACACTCTTGTGCTTCTTTTGACATATGGCCTCCTATCTATGGACACAAGCTATGTACATGGGGATCCAGAAGCATCTACCAAAAGCTTACTGGCCGTGGACGGAAAACGTACATTGTTGTTTGTCTGGTCCAGCGTCGCCATCGATTTGGACTCAGGGCAGAAGGATACAGCAAGCACGCGTGCAATGTTCTCAGTAGCAATATCCGAAGAACTGATATCAGAGTTCCACCAGTCTATTACAGCACCCAGGTATACATGAACAAACAAGGAAATAACGATGCTATGGCCGTGAGATCAAGAAGGATAGCAAGAAGGTGCCCTGTTTGTGGCAGGTAACACTCTCCTACAAATGAATGAAAATTGTACTAGCTGTACTCGAGTACACGATTTGCTTTGGTTGATGGCATGGCGTGTGCTACACGCACACTCTTGACAGGCACTCGCCGGCGCCTGGCTACCTGTCCCCTAGACTGTGGTCCTTATCTCTCGGCCACCGGCACTTCCTCTGCCTCACGGCTCTCCCCCGCGTGCCCCGACACGTAGTCCATCTTGCCCGTATCTCTATCCGGGCTAGTAAGACGGGCGTATTCGAGATAGAGACGGAACATGTATGCTTGGAGGTCTTCTCTTCGCCATGCTACACAAAATCCTTAGCGAGCGCCCGGAGGGTCAAAAGGAAAAGGACATACTTCGCTCAACCCAACATTGGCCATTGAGCGCTATTCTCCGAGCAACTTCATCGTGGCCACCCCTGCCTGATGGATTTCCTCGGAAGCTGTGTCCACTGTCAGAATGGCCCTCGACTACACAGATGAAACTCACAAAGTCATGATGGAAAACAAGTCCGAGTAGTCCATCTTGGATGGGATGTATGCGTACCACTCGGGGAGGGTACGGGTATTCCACTCGGGGAACACGGTAGATTTGATGACAACGCTGGAATATGGTCAGCAATACTTCAACAAGATGTGTGTTTACTTACTTGTTGGAAGCCATCAATCGTGGGAAACGGGATGACCAAGCATTACCGTCAGTCTATAGCATCATGTCAGCCGCGGTACCCAGTGTGACAAAGATGACTCACATCAAAGACGTATTTGTATTCGTTGCTCTTTTCAGAGCTGTCCTTGCCAGCAAAGTCAATCTCCTTGTTCATCTCTTCACACGACCCATCATCCCAGTCACATTGCCAGTGGCCACCGGCAAGCTTGACGTCCATGTAGTACTGCCCAAGCTCCCTCAATGGCAGCCTTGCAGCCTCAGCCTCACCTGAGGAGCCGACGGGGGAGAGGACTTCGGTGTAGTCCTCGCCCTTGTCGTTGGCGAGGAAGTGGAGTCGCTCTCGGTGGGACTGTCGCCATTTCGCACCCGAACCCTTGTTGTGCTGGAGACCTGTCGCAAGACCCCTCCAGTAAAGCTTGCCACTCTTCTTGGACCAATCAGGATCGTGGCCGACATCATCTCGACGACCATCTTTGCCGATAGGAGTGACGGGGATATCACCGTTGAGTGCAGTCTTGGAAGGCACAAAGATGGGGAAGAGTTTAGTATGCGGCTTAGGGTGGGTGTCGGCGTTCTTTTCCTCGAGGAGCATACCGTGGTTCTCCATGTAGGCTGGGTGTTCACAGATGTCCATGGCGGAGAGGTGGGATGAGATGAAGGTGTCGGAGGATAGCTCCTCAACGACGCCCTTATTGAGGGGACTGTCCTTGGCACAAGCCTTGTGCCAGTTCTGCTCGGGGCGATCAATCTCGTCCTTGCTCGTGACCACTTTGCCCTTTCGGGCAGCGTCGAGGAGCTCAGACTCGCGATCCTGGTCGAGAAGGATGGAAGGTTGATCGTGAATGGTGAACGTAGCCCTGAACGAGATTTAGAATTGCACAGACAGTACTTGGCTGGACTGCTTACCTGAAAGCACCGATATGTTTGATGAAGGGCTCCATCAAATTGATCTGACTGTCAGCCCTAGGTCGACTCGCCCACCAAGTGTCTCTAGAATAGTCGTCGTTCCATTGCAGCTCGACTTTGCCGTCGTGAACGATCAGAGTGAACGTTTCAGCCACAGTCTCAGCTTCGGCCATTCGGGTCTTCAGAGACTCGATGGGCAAGGCGTAGAAGGGAAGAAGCGACTCCACGATGCTGCGACGAGGTTAGATAGACCAGTGACAGATGGCGCCGACTCACGCGTCGTATTCATCAGGCAGCAAGACATTGTTGGCCTGAGCAAAGATCCACCACTCATCGAAGCCCTTGGGTGGCTGTCTTCCCCATTTGTCTACATACGCGTCCACCGCCTGGTCCAGCGTCTTACTCTGCTTGGCGAGCATGGCATTCCACTTGACCTCCCCGTCCCTCAGCAAACCCAGTATGGGATGCGACAGACCAACGGGAAGCTTCCTGGTCTCATTGCTGAGGGCTGAAAACTCATCGTCAAAGTCTGGGTCGGCATCGTTGCCTTCTGCCGGAGGTGCCTTGGCTCGGACGATACCCGCAGAGATCTCCTCCAATGCGAGAACCTGAGCTCGCGCCTTCTCGGCTGGCGAAAGAGCGTCGAAGGGTGACACGAATAGACATTGCCCCTCCTCGTCAAACTCTGATGGTCTAGACGGGGTGTTGGGATTGAGGATCGGTGGGAGCCATTTGGAAGGGGAAAAGTAGGATGCGTCGGGTTCGTGGTGGGGGAGATTCGGTGTGAAGACTGGGGGAAGAGTTGAGGGGGCGAAGGTGTGAAGGAAGAGGATGGTGATGGCGCCCGAGAGAATGAGAACGATGAATCGTCTGGGAAGAGGGATCTTGAAGGGAGAGGAGAAGGGCAAGTTGAGAGCCATCGCAACGGGAAAAGGCGACTACTGTCGCGTGCGTGCGTCCTTGTTGCCGATTGTTCTTGTCCTGGGTGAGAGAGGGGGGAGTGCCGGGGCGCTGGTACGCGTTATTTTGAAAGTATAGCGGAGCGACCGACCGGGATGGCAAAGAAAGAGGAAATGAGGGGCAAACCGCGTGCCTAGCTACGAGCACTGCCTCTTGTGCGCCTATCTCACGCGCGTGTCTTTGGCGCTTCTATTTCAAGAAGAAGTTGGTGGTGCATCTCTTCTGCTCTTTCTAGTCCAGCTGCCAGGGTCTACTTACTGAGGGATCCCCTGCGAACAGTGGGTAAAGGGCATAGAGGGCATAGACAGACTCCATGAGCAAAGGCGAAAGTCGGCGAGACTGAGAGTGCGACTTCACGTAGACCTCGGCGGGACCCAGGCGGGACGAGTCCCATACCTCTTCCCAGAGGTATATAATACTACAAGGCCAATTCGCCACCACTTTTGACTTTTCTTCTCGATGAAAAGAAATTGTTGCTTCCTGGCACTCTGAAAGGTTCGCTGCCGGACGTATATTGCTCGGCCAGACTCTCCTATACGCAGCCTGCAGGTCATACATATAATACATAATAGCCATACCATTTAAGAGTAGCTCGCAATAGCCCCTTGACGCATTGCTCCTTGCCATTGAACCGCCATTATATGTCAGCCGACGCAGTGGACTCGCCTTACAATAATTGAATTGGCGAAGCAGCATCACTCAACGCTCGGACCACCGCGTTGCGACGCGTGCGAAGACATCCCGTGTTCTTTTGCTTTCCTCTTTCTTCTCTATCTCCCTCATCCTGGATATGCTGGGTTCACGTCTCCCATATCAATTCTCTCTCCCCAGGGACCCAGATGACTCTCGCATAGCAAGCATCAAGCCCACTTTTCGCAGAGTATGGGTGAGGAGGCCAAAAACTCTCGCAGAACCCGTCAAGGACCTCAGGCGTGAAATCGTCTTTCGCCAGGCTGTGCGAAATTTGGATTCCAATTCCAGTGGGTTTTTTGTCACTCAAATGTATAAGGGCTGACAACTTCTTACAGACACAAAGCTAGGGCACAAGAAGAAGCGCCACCCCTCTAAATCCCAAGTCCTCACCGAGCTTCACAAGATCTCTCCCACCCCCAAAAAGACCGACTCTGTCTCGCCGTCTCCCGGCAAAGAAGAAGCTAGGGAGACTTTCCGTCGCAACTCTGGGCCCATGCCTTCGGATGACAATGGTGCTGCTCCTTGCGGGCCGACCGTCCCGCATCACAGGCGATTGAGACGAGGAGTAACACAAGAAGCGGAGGACGGAAGCTGGAGTACAGTGAGGGAAGGCGCTACATCCGAAGCCGTGGTCGTATCGAAGACGGAAGAGGAGAAAGATGAGGTTTCGATCGAGCAAGACTCGTCGGATGACGACGAGAGAGAGGAACAATCGACCAGTGACGAAGAGGAAGACTTGGAGATTGAGAGGTGGAAGCAGCGCCGTCTCGCATCTACCGATGATGAGCAGGTCTTGAATCGTGGAGCAGCTCGCGTCGTGTGGCAACAGGGCTCAAAGCTGAGTTTTCGCCTTAGTGAGGGAAACGAGGAGGAGTCTACTGGGGAGGTGGAAGAGGCGTATCGGCTTCTCTCTGCCGGCGGCACCTTATCCTATCGCCAATCCCATTCCCTCGCATCTCCCCCAGCTCTCGCTGCAGATATGGCACCCGCCGATCACTCTCACACCTATCCAGAAACCCTTCACCATACGCTCTCCACATCCTTGCTGCTCTCGCCTCTGGAAGGTCATCAGGGAGGGGCGTCTAGCGCACCTCAAGATGAGGAGACCCAGGATGTCCCGGCCCAGGAGGATGAGGACTTTTGGATTGAACGACAGACCAAGAAGAGAGCACCATCGCCGGGAGAGGACGACTATGATGAAGAATCTGAAGGTCCCTTGGAAGAGTGTGAGGGGGCATTGCTGCCCGGGCGGGCAGAAGCGGGGGAGCCTCGAAGAAGTCCCCGTCGCCCGAAACGTGAGTTGTAAAGGCTTCCTGGGAGAGGGCTGATTTGAACCCCAGGTATATCGTATTGGGCTGGCAACTCCGACGAAGACGACGACGGTACCGACAAGGATCACGACAACCCCGACAAAAATGACGATTATAACGACAAGGATGATGACGATTATATCAACAAGGATGACAATGATATCGACGAGGACGACGATTATACCGGTATCGACCCAGCCCTTCTCCTCGGCGAGCCCCTTTCACAAACTCAGCAGCCATCCCATGACCAGCCAGGCGCGAATCTTCCTATATGGTGGGATAGTATAGAGGAGTGGGAAAGGCCTGAAGAAGCAGAGAGCGTCGAGGAAACCGTCAACTTTGGGCATCGCGTCAGGTCGTCGACGCCGCCATCTCCACCAAGCCCTACCCCTTCCTTTTCCCGCTATCCAGAGACTCTCAAATCACCATCCCAGCTCGATACCTATACAATTATATCCGACACCCCCACACCGTCAGTCTCGCCGTTGCGCCATGGCATCGATGGTATCCGTCTTCATGACGATCCATCTTGCGACGATCCACCCAGCCCTTATCCCTACACTGCTAATCCTTCACTACACTTTTGGGCAGCAATCTATGACGTAGCAGCGTCCGGGGATAATCAGTCGGAGAAGAAGGAGAAGCCAGTGACACACTCAATCAGCACTATCGAGGATCTTCGAGCCCACCCCAGCAACGCCCGCGAGGCTATCGTCATCCCTCAACTTGACCCAGCACTGCCCTATTCCACAAGCACGCGCCCCTCATTATCTCCCGACCACCTTCCTGCCCCTTGCCCTTCGACACATACCACAGAGACTACAAACGGTAGCGGCTTGCTTACCCCTGGACCGAAGAGAGGTCTGGCGAGAAAGACTTCGGATGTTTTTGAGGAGGAGGATAGGGAGAAGCCAGGGATGAAAAGAGGGAGGAGAGGTGTCGATTAGGCACTGGATGAAGGAGGATAAGAGGCGGATTAGCGATCTGATCTCTGATACGTGGCTTTGGAGAGATATGGGTTCCAACGAATATGCGAAGAATATGTTGTATGATGAGCCAACCTAGCGGATACCATGAAGATGTGTAGACATGGAGGACATTTATACGGGGAAGATGATGGCTTGTATCATACACTTCCCAGACCTTCAGCACATGTACTGTACTCGTACATAAACAGAGAAGGAAGCAGCGTGGTATTATGAGCAAGTTCGTTCAATTCTGACTGCTTTAACAAAGGCCGGTCAATAATCTCTCGGGAAGTGTCACAAAGCAAAAAGAGATCTTGCTGACGGGGACAACGGACTGCTTTCATGTCAAGTAAAGGACCATCTGACGAAAGCGGGGACTCATGACGAAGTACAAGGTAATAAGGGGAAGGACAACAAGAGAAACTGTGAAGTAACAAGTCTGTTGATAATGATGATATCACACGGACAACGGCAAGGAGGAGAACGACGTAGCTGGACAACTCTTTACTTCCCTCAAGGCTTGCCCCTCCGGCTGCCTTCGTTTGCGTGCACCCTCAGAGGATACTCATTCTCAGCCCCCTGCGCATCTGCTGCCCCTTCAACACCAGAGTTCCTGCAGAAGAAAGGGTTTCTGTCAACCTGGATATACCTCCTTGACCAGAACCAACAGTACATATCGCCACACCGAGAAGAAGAGGAAGGGTGTCAAGTCCAAAGAGATAGCCTTCGTGTGTGGCCAAATATCCGATATAGCCATCGGAGAGCTCAACGGTACGAAAGACGCTTCGGATGAGGAAAAAGAGGCAGGTAAAGCCCAAAGCAAAGTAGAGAGGTTCCCAGTTGGGCTTCTTCCAGATCGCAGAGTCTTGGTAGCTGTTGCAGCGTCAGCTTTTGCTATGGTTGGAATGATTGACACTCACGCGCGGATACCAAACATGATATAGAGGACGATGAACAAACAAAAAGACACGAACTGAGCGGTGATACCGCCAAGAAAGATCTTACCCGGTTCAAAAGAGTCAAGAAAGAATGAAACGTACCATCGGAGACGATGAAGATAGTTGAGACGCGTCTGGCGTTGAATGGCTTGACACAATGCTCAGCGTCCATAAATACTGCCAATCGCCCGAGTAAGATATAATCGGCTGCCAAGAATGCGCAGGGCTATGTGCTGTCAGTACTTAACATCATGGTAAACTGACAGAAGACTTACAGGCAGGATGACGAAAAGATTCGAGATGATATAGATGGTGACTTTGTGCACATCCTGTCTGAAAATGACGCGAAGTACGAACCCAATATCTTCGAGCCAACAGGCGATGGAAAGGCAAAGAAAGTAGTTTGCTTTCCTTCGACATGCCCAAAAGGTCAAGATGAGGGCCACCAAGAAAAACAACACATCGGCGAGGATGTTGAGGGCTTTGTTGGGGATGTATCTCTCTGGATTGTAGCTGCAGATTGTTAACCCGCCGATGTTGGTTGAATACAAAGAATTACGCACATGTCATTGGCAGGGCCTTCCCATTGATCAGGACAGATGGTGTTATCGGCAGCGTACACTGTAAGAGAGGAAAGTATGACTATGGCGATTGACAGGCTGCCGACAGTGCTCCGAGAGGAGGACACGATGGACTATAGAGCCGAAAGACGTGCTGCTGGACAGTGATGGGTTGAACGATATTCGATAGAGAGGTGACAGCCTAATGAAAAGATAGCGACAGCTGAGTCCATATGAAGTGGGAAGACTATCATACTTGTACTGTATTGCCTCTTTATATCCCACATATCTGGCCTGGCCATAGTGGGTCACACAGCTTTATTCAGAGTATCGCCGTCGTCTCTGCACGCTCTGCTCAACTGGCCAAGCCTTTCCATGCACTGATTATCCCTCTGTAAGTGAGTGGTATCCTCTCGAGAACAGAGTCTAGACCAGATCTAGACCGGAAACCCTAATCATGACGGTAATATGACCAATCACTCCTCTGTAACATTGGGGTGTATATCCTTCTTACCATCTATGGATGAGAATGAGGGGATGTCTTAATGTTACGTGGTTGACGTTAGTCCACTTCTTCAAGCATCGCCCGCAGACCCGACTCCTCTCTTTGCTTATTCTTCAAAAGAGCCCCGACTCGCACCTTCATACTCTGTCCATTGTTTGTGGTGGTGGTACGGTGAAGCTGGACGGCGAGGCGGTGACACTTTACCTCGTCACTCAACTTGCTCATTCATCTAAAACAGCTACGACCAGTGTATCTACAGCCTGCATCTGTATGGCTCTCTCATTTAAAGCGCACAGCCGCAATGGTTCATCGGCAAAGTATACGAGCTCTACACAACCCGTCAGACGTTTCAAAAGTTCCGCATCATCATCATTCAACATCATGGCGGCGGGCGCCTCAGCCTAGTGCGCCAGATACACTTGCCTTTCTGAGGTCGCCGAGGGAAGATGTCGCCTATAATCCAGCTGATATACATGCCCATCACACGCTGGGGCGCGACGACTCTCAGCTGAGACGCCGAGACCATCAGCGAGCAGCCATTGCGGGCCTTTCTTGGTGGCCACTGCCCGGTGGCCTCACATGATTACGTAAGACATCTGAACAATGACCTGTTGCGGCGATTCCAGCGTGATCTTTATCGACATCTCGTCCTCTGCATCTGTGTACAGCGGCACCCAAAATGTAAGTCGTTTTTACTCGGCGAGGGCATCGTCACTCACGTCCTGCAGGTCCGCCACCCCAGGTATCCTCTCTCCGGAGATAGAGGCTTTGACCCTCCACAATAAAACGCCCATATTGGCAAGAATCTATGGTGCCCCTTTCCTTAGTAAGTGGAGGTTGGCCGGGGTGACTTGGCTCGAGCTAATGCAACGCAGCCCTCTACCCTCTCTTTTACTACGCCTACCACTACAGATACGAAGACTGGATCAAGTCGGAGGAATGGACATTCATCTTCTGTGTCTTGCTTGGTGCCGGACATGCTCTGAGTTTCCTCACTACCGCCTGGAGTAGCGGAATAAATGCCAAGGTCGCCTATACCACCGTAAGTAAAATTGAGAAGCAATATACCTTCTGTGACTGACCACTTGCATAGGCCGACTCCATGAAGACTGCTTCCCGTATTAGGGTGATCCCTAAGAAGGGGCGGGGAAAGGGTGATATCATCCCGCTTGAACGCAAGGAGACCCCTGGCTCCGTCGAACCTGCTTATTCTTTCAACTATCAGAGAGACACTTATGTCTACAGCTGTACGTGACCTCAAATTTACTGCCAACATTTGCTCATGTCAATGTAGCCTCGGATAACGCCTTCACTCGAATTCCCTATCCCTGCGATGCTGCCCCCCCTCTTTCCATCTTCCAGACTTCCCGCGGTATCCTTACCCACGCTCCTCTCAAAGACAAGCCCACTCCTCCTGTGACCGGCCTGCCCAACCTGGACACTCTGAAGGCAACCTACGGTTCCAACGAATGCCACATCCCTATCCCCAAGTTCACCGAACTTTTCGCGGAACACGCTGTCGCGCCATTCTTCGTCTTCCAGATGTTTTGTGTTGCTCTCTGGTGCTTGGACGAATACTGGTACTACTCTTTGTTCACAGCCTTCATGCTGGTTGTCTTTGAGTGCACTGTCGTCTTCCAGCGAGTCAGGACTCTCCAAGAGTTCCGCACCATGAGCATCACTCCTTACCAGGTGCAGACTTTCCGGGATGGCAAGTGGACCTCTGTTCTCACTACCGATCTTGTCCCCGGAGACCTCGTTTCTGTCCTCCGAACCAACCCCGACTCTGGCGTCCCCTGCGACTTGTTGCTGCTCCGTGGCACTGCCATCGTCAACGAAGCCATGCTTTCCGGCGAATCCACCCCTCTACTCAAGGAAAGCGTTGAGCTCAGGGAAGGCACCGACAGGCTCGACATGAACGGGGCTGACAGGAACAACGTTCTCTTCTCCGGTACCAAGGCATTGCAGGTCGAGAAGGCCGCCGAGGGTGGTCTCACCACTCCGGATGATGGATGTCTTGCTGTTGTTCTTCGTACCGGCTTCGGCACCACTCAGGGTCAACTCGTCCGAACCATGATCTTCTCTACCGAGCGTGTGTCCGCCAACACTTTCGAAGCTTTCCTGTTTATCGGCTTCCTCCTCATCTTTGCCATTGCGGCCAGTGCCTATGTCTGGATCAAGGGACTTGAGCGAGGTATGGCCAAGGGCAAGCTCTTGTTGGACTGTGTTCTCATCATCACCTCTGTCGTTCCTCCCGAGCTTCCCATGGAGCTTTCCTTGGCTGTCAATGCTTCCCTCGTTGCCCTTCAAAAGTTCGCCATCTTCTGCACCGAGCCCTTCCGAATCCCATGGGCCGGTCGAGTGGACGTCTGCTGTTTCGACAAGACTGGTACCATTACCGGTGAAGACCTCGTTGTCGAAGGTATTGCTGGTGTCAAGTCTACCGACCCCAAGGCTCTCGTCCCTGTTACCGCCAGCAACAAGGACACTACCCTTGCTCTTGCTGCTGCTCACGCTTTGGTCCTCTTGGATGACGGAACTATCGTCGGTGACCCCATGGAGAAGACCACTCTGGCTGCTCTTGACTGGAAGATCTCCAAAGGCGACCAGATCAGTCCTATTAGCAAGGAAGCTCCTCACAAGGCCCAGGTCCATATCAAGCGCCGATATCAATTCTCCTCTGCTCTCAAGCGAATGTCTACCATCTCTACCGTGTCTGAACCCAGTGGCGGTAAGCGATGGATCGCTGCCGTTAAGGGTGCTCCCGAGACTCTCAAGGGCATGTATGTCTCTGTCCCGGAATGGTACGAGGAGACCTACAGGTGGTACACTCGTCGTGGTAGCCGAGTTTTGGCTCTGGGTGTCAAATCTATGAACGTGCAAGTTGAAAAGGTAAGCGATGTTCTTATGAAGTGGATGCATGCTGATCAGTGACAGGTCAAGGATATCCACCGAGACCAGGTCGAGTGTGGCCTCACTTTCGCCGGTTTTCTTGTCTTTCACTGCCCTCTCAAGCCGGACGCTGTCGAATCTCTCAAGATGCTCAACGACTCTTCTCACCGAGTGAGTATGGCACGTGAAAACAGATACCAAGCTGACTGATCGGCAGTGTGTTATGATTACCGGTGACAACCCCTTGACTGCTGTCCACGTTGCCAGGGATGTCGAGATTGTTGACCGTGATGTCTTGATCCTTGACGTCAAGGAGGAATCCGCCGGCGAGCTGGTATGGCACAATGTTGACGACTCTGTGATCATCCCGGTCCGAGCTTCGGAGCCTTTCGACCAGTCTCTCTTCGACAAGTATGACATCTGTGTTACTGGCGTCGCCCTCAAGCAGTACGAGCAGCTTCCCTCCGTCACCGACCTCATTCAAAACACCTACGTCTACGCGCGAGTGTCTCCCAACCAGAAGGAGTTTATCATCACCACTCTCCGTTCGCTTGGATTCACTACTCTTATGGCTGGAGACGGTACCAACGATGTCGGCGCTCTCAAGGCTGCCCACATCGGTGTCGCTCTTCTCGACGGTTCTCCCGAGGACTTGAAGGCTATCGCCGAGCACCACAAGCTCGAGAGGATGAAGAAGGTCTACGAGCAGCAAGTCCGAATCTCTGCTAGGTTCAACCAGCCTCCTCCGCCTCCCCCCCCTGCTCTCAGAGAGGCGTTCCCCGAACTGGTCAAGACCCAGCAAGAGGTTGCTGTTGCCCACGCAAACGCCAGGAAGCAGAGCCCCTTGGAGAAGTTTGACATGACTACGATTACTGCCAAGCTCTCTGAGATGGACGAGGACCAGGAAGTACCCCAGATCAAGCTCGGTGATGCTTCTTGCGCTGCTCCCTTTACTTCCAAGCTCTCTAATGTCTCTGCTAGTGAGTCATTTCTTTGTCCGTTACGACTGACGCTGATGATATCTAGTTACCAACATCATCCGACAAGGCCGATGCACTTTGGTCGCCACTATTCAGATGTACAAGATCCTCGCGCTCAACTGTCTGATCACTGCCTACTCTTTGTCTGTCCAATACCTCGACGGTATCAAATTTGGCGACTACCAAGTCACCATCACTGGTATGATGATGAGCGTCTGCTTCTTGTGTATCTCTAGGGCCAAGGTGAGTGATGCGCTGTGCGGCAAAATGAGCTAACAAGTTTGCAGCCCGTGGAGAAGCTCTCCAAGGAGAGGCCTCTTGGCAACATTTTCAACTTCTACGTCTTGCTCTCTGTCTTGCTCCAATTCGCCGTCCACATCATAACTTTGGTCTACATCACTGGTCTCTCCAAGTCTCTCGAAGAGTGAGTCTATTCATCACTAGCCAGGTCACGACTAACATTTCTAAACAGCCGAGGTGCGATTGACCTCGAGAAGAAGTTTGAGCCCACTCTCTTGAACACTGCCATCTACCTCCTCGGTCTCTCTCAGCAGGTCTCCACCTTTGTGCTCAACTTCCAAGGCCGTCCCTTCCGAGAGGGTATTCGAGAGAACCCTCCTCTCTACTATGGTCTTCTCGGTGCCAGTCTGGTCGCCTACTGCGGTGCCACCGACTTTATCCCCGAGCTCAACAGGTGGTTGCAGCTGGTCGAGATGACTACTTCTGTAAGTCGCGCCAACGTTCATGGGTATCACCAGCTGACTCTTATCTTCAGTTCCGATTCAGGCTCGCCACCTCCATGGCTCTCGACTTCCTCCTCTGTTATGTCGTCGAAACCGGCTGCAAAGCCTTGTTTGCCGACATTGAGCCCGTCGCGTTCGTGACCAAGGGCCGAGAGAGGAGGGAGAAGAGGCGAAGGGAAGAAGCCCTCCAGTTGAGAGAGGCTGAAAAGGCGAGGCTTATTGCTGAGGGTGAGAAGAAGGGTCAGTAATTGGGTGTTGTGTTTTAAATCAAGTTCATTACCTACATACGTTGTGTTCTCTCCTTTCCATAGTGTGTTATAGAGTCCAGTCATGCATTTGCACGCGCACCTTCTCACAACGTATCAGAACATGATGTAGACCCCATCTTATGCGAATTGCGATATACGAACCGGGTAACAACATCGTTTGTATGGATGTGGATTGGCCCTGGTATAGTAGGTTTGGTGGAAATCTCTACTACAGACTGCGAGGCCAGCCAGGATGGAGTGATCTGCTCGAGTCAGTCGATGACTGAACGCAAATGAACGAGTCGACACATTCGGCCGTCGAGTCTGCGCGTCCGAGCCAACAAACGTCGACGTCGACCTTATCGCTATCAGAAGAAACGAGACGAACATAATTAAGGCAAGGGAACGTGACGACCAAGCGAGGTATATAGATTAAAACGCGAGAGAATGGCGCGACGAGCAATCACCGTTGCGACGGCGTGGGCTTTCGTGAGAAATTGCAGCTTGTTGACAACTGCTATGCAAGCCCTCACGACTGACGACAGTGAACAGGAGGCATAAGGGTACTGTCATATAGCTATGGATTCAAACCCGGATGGTTGGGCAAGCGACGCCTCTATTGGCGGACAAGACTACAGACAAGGCAGAAAGATCAGTCAACCATGCACGTTGGCAAGAATCTTCGGCAGAAGTAGCCGGGTGACTACTCCCGTCGTTGGGGATGTGGGATGGCGAGTGCGCAACGGGACCAAACGAGGCGGACACCACGACTTCGGAGCCCCGTGGACCTCTTCTATCTTGGCGGACATGGCCAGGGGAGCCAATGGGCGGCGGGGGGACGGGCTGGGTGTGTCCGGACGGCAGCGGGGCGGGAAGGCAGGCACGTTTATTGCGATGATCGTGGATGGGGCGATTTTTGTCGGAGGCCGAGTAAAAGAAAGGCATAACGATAAATTGTATAAATTGTATACATCGCATCGCATCCGCATCGCAGCCGCCACCATTCCCCCCCAGGCAGCGCACACCGCGCTCAAACACCTTCGCACCAGATCCTTTCTTCCCCGAACACCCACACCCCGCTCTTATCCACGCCTCTTCCACTCCACCATTCCCTCCAAGATGCCATTCCACGCAGAACCCCTCCAGCCCTCAGAGGAAATCGACATGGACCTCGAGCACTCCCTGGCCGCCCAGAAATTCAAGGAGGTCAGGGCTGTGCTCGAAGGCAACAGGTGGTGGGCCAGGCGAGTCCACGCGGAAGAGCCCCAGTTCTGTGAGGAGCAAGTCAAGGGCCAGGTTCGTAGCTCTGCACTGTGGAACGCTGTGCGCGTACTGACATGCTCTGCAGGCCCCCAACTTCCTCTGGATTGGCTGTGCCGACTCTCGAGTGCCCGAGGTCACGGTGATGGCCCGTAAGCCCGGAGAGGTCTTTGTCCAGGTGCGTGGTACCCCGATTTACACTGGGCTGCTCTAACCAACGCTTGGCTCCTCAGCGAAACGTCGCCAACCAGTTCAAGCCCGAGGACGACTCTTCTCAGGCTCTGCTCAACTACGCTATCATGAACGTCGGAGTAACCCACGGTGAGCCCGACCCTTCCTTTGCCAAGCCATATTTAGCTCATGCTCTTATCTTTAAGTCATGGTCGTCGGCCACACTGGTTGCGGTGGTTGCATCGCCGCTTTCGACCAGCCTGCCCCCAAGACTGAGGACGGCGCTGGTGCTGCTGGTACTCCCCTCGTGCGATACCTCGACCCCATCATCCGGTTGAGGCACTCTTTGCCTGAAGGCAGCGACGTGAACGACCTGATCAGGGAGAATGTCAAGATGAGCGTCAAGAACGTTATCGACAGTCCGGTAAGTCACAACGGGATACGTAAAGATTGTGGGTTGACAGGAAGCATAGACCATCCAAGAAGCTTGGGCCAAGAACAGGAAGGGAGAGTTCCGCCCAGTCTACGTCCACGGTTGGGTAAGTACGGCTGTATCAAAGGTGTTTCCTTACTGACTTTGAACAGTTGTATGACCTTTCCACCGGCTACATTATCGACCTCAACGTCACCGAGGGCCCCGAACCCATTGTCGACCACCGAGTCACCCCAGAGACCGCTCCCGTTGCTAACGGCGCCGAACCCCCCACTCCCGCTGAAGAGTCTGAAGCGTTCGGAGCCACTCCCATTCTTGCTTAAGTCGTGTCTTCATTAGAAATTTGTTGTGTATAGAATGTTCGGACATGGGGATTGCAAATGTAAAATTAGAGCAGGTAGCGGCACCCGTCACATGCTTGCACATGCGGCGTAAGTGTCGTAGCCGAGGACATCCAGTGTATGCAATTATGCGCCACACCCGTGAACCGTGACTGCATTGTGCCAGAGGCCAGAGCCAAACAAGCGACCCATCAATCGCCACTCACGTTAATAAACCGGGATCGTTCCTGGACGAGTATGAGATTTCGCGTCGAGTTCTCAAAAGTACGCGTTTCACCAACTCTTCAACTTCATCTGTTCGCCATATACCCCCGCCGATGCTCTAATTTTATAATATCATACTCCCCAAAAGCCGCCAAACTGCGACTACCCATCAGCCCAGCCCGGGCCCATCCGGGCAAACTCACCTCGCCTTTGCGAGGGATCGTGTGCGCGTCTTTACGGCCGTCTGACCTCAGCCGTCCTCGATCAAGTTGTATTCCACAAGAACGGCTTATATCAAGCTTCAACAACCCCCCACCATCATCGCCAAAGCTTCTTCAGGAAACAAGAGGTGACTCTTCGAAACGGTTAGACCGTGCTTTCCGATCTTCTTCGAGAGCCGCCGCTCAGGTCTTGCCCGAATTGGTATACCCCGGCCAACGAACTGAGCCTTTCTGGTTGAACCGAGATGAAAGAAAGGCGGACAGTCTCCCATCCCCTCCCGAGTGGAAGCAGCAGCAAAGCACGATCAAGAACCCGGGCAATGCTGCCCGTGTATCACCGCCCGCCCAAGACCTCCAACTCTCCGATGCCCAGCTGAATCAGCTAGCTTCTGAAGACGTAGATTTCGGAGAGGCAGATGCTTTTCCGGGTCTCAACCTCGGCGCGTTGGCACTAGAAGCTCAGGCGTTTGAAGGGGCACAGAGTGATCTTGGGGTTATGGGCGGGGTGGACGATTGGGAATCGATTGTGAATATGCCCATGCCTGCTGCCCCGCCGATGGATGACTTTCCGGAAGAGTCTCTTTCTGCGCGCAGTCAATCGGCCAGATCAATAGCGCAAAAGACTGCCCGTGCCCAAGCGACCGAGCGTCAGAAAGCCCAATTATCCCTTGAACAGGAAAAGCCAGTCATCCAGACGCGCTATGAATACCCCGAGCTCGCTCCTGACGGGTTTCCACAAGATGGATTCACCAGGTTTGACTGGCGCGATTGTGCCATGAGCCAGCAGAACCGCAGTGAGCGTCAAAACGGACGTTGGCTTTATCCTTCGCGGCCTTTTCGCGTTCAGCAAAAGCTGCCAAAGCTGGCTGAAGACCACCCGCTCTATCCAGCTATGGAACGGTATGAGGACAACTTTGTACCGCTTCTCACAGCAGAGATGGAAGAGGAGATGAGAATATTTGAGGCGCGGTTGAAAGAGTGGACTATCCAGCGACTGGTCGGATCGGGCTATGCGCTCGAAGATACGCTGGCCACTTTTGCGTGGAGTACAAAGCAAGGCGGTGCGGTCTATAAATTCGCAAAGAAGCGAGGGGCCATCATGGCTCCTCGATTCAAGTAGGTCATCCCCTCGCTTGATCGTGGGCTTGTATTGATTGGTGCAGTACCGGGACGTACGTCTTGTTCTCACGGACAGACCCCAATGTGGATCCTCTGGTCAATGACCAAGATCAACCTATCATCGCTACGGTACGATCTGTTGGTAATGGAAACCTCTTTATCGCGTTCGACAAGCCCATACCTGAACTTACCAAGGGGCAATGGCGGTAAGTCACCACCACTTGTCTGTGAGGTAGCCGCTGATGTATCGTACAGATTGGACATTGGTTATTCTGATTTCGTGTTCCAGAGGCAATTCGATGCCGTCAAAGCCTTGTCTTATGATCCCCTGGAACAAGACATGGCAGGATTCTTGGACGAGCGCGATGCCGCACCCAAAGAAGAGTCGCGCAAGAGGCGAGAGCAGGGTTTCCTGCAGGGCACTGCTTTGCGTGAACCGCTGTTCAGATCTTTCCTGCAGGCTTCACAAGGGCCCGAGTTGGCATCTGATGGTATCGTACAAGACCTATCCGAACTTGCTCCTACCGATCTACCCACAAACCCCAACCCACAGCTCACCGACCTCGCCGCTGGAATCGTCAAACCAAGTCAGCTTATGCGAAATGACTTGCTGAAGAGCTGGGCGGAGAGGTACCGGTCAGAGAAGGAGGTGCCGCAGGAGGTTGAAGGGGATCCACATGTCCCCCTCAATCGAACGCAGTTGAGGGCGATAGGGATGATGTTGAGTCAGAGCTTGAGTCTTGTTCAAGGAGTGAGTCTATGCTCTACCAAGGTAACGCACCTGACAATGGGATAGCCCCCTGGAACCGGCAAGACGCGAGTGATTGTAGAGACCATCAAGCTACTCAAGCAACACTTTCAAGTACCCCACCCCATCCTCGTCTGCGCCCACACCAACGTCGCTGTCGACAATCTCCTCACTGGTCTCGACAAAGCTGGTCTGCGAGTAGTCCGCGTCGGGACGGAGGATAGAGTACCAGGGGATATGAAGCATACCACGCTGGAGGCGAGGTTGGAGGAACACCCGATGTGGGATACTTTGAATCGGCTGGAGGATCAGAAGATGTCAGTGTGGGTGGAGAGAAAGTCGGCAGCAGATGCTCAGAGGTTGATGGGAGAGCCTGCCAAAGAGAGTACGTGAAGTCAAAGGTGTGAATTGATCACGAGCTGATGGTCAACAGGAATGGGTAAAGACACTCTCAGAGCTCTGAACCAGAAAATATGGGGATACAGAAGAGACATGACCACCGAAACGCTCTTGGATGCGGATGTGGTGAGCGCTCCAAGGCTCACACCATGGACAGTCACGCTGACATGAAACAGATCTGCACCACCTGTATCTCGGCCGCCACCAGAAAGCTTCAGTGTATCGACTTTCCTATCGTCTTTTTGGACGAGGCTAGTATGGCCACAGAGCCGCTTTCTTTGATCCCACTGATGAAAGGGGTGAGTCCTTCGAGTCACAATCTGCCTGTACTGACCCTCCTCTAGTCAAGTCATGTGTCTATCATTGGTGACCACAAGCAATTACCACCAGTCATCATCTCGGAAGACGCTCACTCTGGTGGCCTGTCCACCAGTCTTTTCGAGCGACTGATCCACGAAGGCCGTAAGTCGTCGCACCAATCGTGAATTCGGCTTACCCTAGTCAAGATGTACCATCAATCATGCTCGATACCCAGTATCGGATGCACCCAGCCCTCTCCGCATTCCCCTCCAAAACGTTCTACTCTTCTCTTCTCCAAGACGGCACCCCGGCATCTGCCCGCCCTGCTCCCAAGACTGCCTTCCTACTCGCTGACGACCCTGTGGCCGATCCATTCACAGGTGAGATGAGGGAGGTGGCTGAGCGGAAGAGCATGACTTTCTTGAGTCATGAGCACCAGGAGAGCGCTGTCATGAAGAGCTTGGCAAATTATGGGGACGCGGAATTGGTGGTGGATATCGTTGCAGACTTATTGCACAAGAATCCGGTACGTCAATGTCCAGATTCATGTGGGCGATACTGATGGTGGAGATGATAGGAAATGAAAGTGTCGGATATCGGTATCATCACCCCATACCTTGGACAGATCAAAGTCTTGCAGTCATCCCTTTACGCTTTGGAGACGCGAGAAAAGTTGATCAAGCTTCTTGGTGAAGCTCGTACCGACGAGCTGGGAGACATCGAAATCAAAACTGTTGATGGCTTCGAAGGGCGGGAGAAGGAGGTTATCATATTCAGTACAGTGAGGTGCAACTCTGGGGGGTATATCGGGTTCTTGGGAGACTGGAGGCGGGTGAATGTGGGGCTGACCAGGGCCAAAAGAGTAAGTGTTGCCTCACATGATCGTCATCCAAAGCTGACAGCTCTTGAGGCATTGATCATGGTGGGTAACAAACGGACATTGTCAACTGCCAAGATGGGCGCCCGAAGCAACGACAGTCTGCCGCAAGGTGGTTCTAAAGTGTGGAAGGACTTTATGGCGTATTTGGAGGAAGAGAGGATGATTCTCGATGTAGAGGAATAGAATTTTGGGTCTTTGCTTAGCATCAGATGGAGGAGCATCTTCTAGACGCGTGTACAATCAGAGTACATCTCAAATGTATTATCAATCCCCATTGATGCATGGGTACCGATGATGACTAGATGTACAACATATGGGCCGCATAGTCCATTTGATCTTCCCCGGACTTCCCCCCAGAGCTTCTCGACCCGAGCTTTATCTATCGGGAGTTGTATATTCTAACGATGCTTGATGTTGGGATCCCTGAAGAGGTTTTTGCAGTTGATACAGGAGTAGAAGAGGGTCATGTTGGTAGTGATTCGCCGCCCTTGATCTTGGTAGAACACGGCACTGTAGAGCAATGAGCTGCGGTTCGATAGAGAACGGTAGACGTACCCGTGATGATGGCAAGCAGGACATTCGATGGATGACCGTTGGAGAGCAGGGTCTGTATCGAGGTCTTTGGTTTCTCCTGGTTGTTCTCTGTCGTCTTTGTCAGCGACTCTGGCTCTCTGCCGCCTTCACAACTTCCGCCCAGGCGCCCGACCTTCGGCTTCAATCAAAACATCCAACCCACCTGGCAACAGTCAACAGATCATGCTTGTATACTCTTCCAGCCATTCCCGGCTCGATCGTAGCATTCTCAGTGTAGTTGCAGTTTCGACATTGATAGAGCAACACTTTGGCGTTGTTGTCGGACTGCAAGAGTGTTAGCACATCATCTAGCGGCATCATCCCCTCAATCATATCCCGACCATCTATCTTCCATCTCAAGTCTAGTCCGGCGGGAGTGAATAATCGCAACGTACTTTGGGATAGAGGAGGTTGTTGCTACAGACCATCAGCACGAATCAACAAGCCATCTCGGCGGCAGCTCACCATTCACCACAGAATTTGAGGGCGGGCATGGTTCTTGTGCACTACCAAGGGTGCTTTTGAAGGAGATTAATAGTAGATTAGTAGAATGAATGACCACAAAGCAGAATGCAGAACCACAACAAAGCCAGTCGAGGGGGATAGGCGTGCCACGTTCGGCGGTCGCCGCAAACGCCGTCATCGCCACGCGTCACTCTCCTCTGTCTTTCTGCGTTTTCTCCCCCAGCTATACCGTTCTTCGCCATGAACATCTTCCGCTTCCTCGGCGACATCTCCCACCTCGCCTCCATCTTCATCCTCCTCCACAAGATTCAGACAACCCGGTCCTGCCGCGGCATATCATTCAAGTCACAGCTCCTCTACCTCGTCGTATTCGTCACCCGCTATGTCGACCTCTTTGTCTACCCCCTCATATCCATCTACAACACCCTCATGAAGCTCTTCTTCATCGGCTCAACAGCCTATGTGTTGTACCTCATGAAGGTCAAGTTTAGGTGCGTCCAGGTCGATCTTGACAGATATCCCGACAGCGCTGATCCATCCGTGTTTTCCCAGACCAACCCACGACGCTTCACTGGATACCTTCCAGCTCGCCTACATCCTCGGCCCCGTCGCCGTGCTCGCCCTCATCTTCAACTATGAATTCACCCCGTTCGAGATCACTTGGTCATTCTCCATCTGGCTCGAATCGGTCGCCATCCTGCCGCAACTGTTTATGCTCCAGCGGACGGGCGAGGCTGAGACTATCACCACGCACTATCTTGCGGCGTTGGCGCTTTACAGAGGACTGTATATCCCCAACTGGATGTACAGGTGAGTGGCATGAGTGAAGAGTGTGTGGACAGAGGTTAACGTGGGATCAGGTACTTTACCGAAGGCAAGTTTGACAGTATCGCGGTGTCTGCTGGTATCATCCAGACCCTCATCTACGCCGACTTTGGCTACATTGTGAGTCTCCCCCATTCAACTTGTATGACACATACTGAGACGACTGGGGTTAGTACGTCACCAAGGTCTTGCGTGGCCAGAAGTTTGAGCTCCCCGCGTAAACGGCGTGTCATGTTCTTGGAAACGTGTAAAACAGGTGAAAGGGGGGCGCGAGAGCAGATGAATGGATGGGGAAGAAAGGCAGAGAGTAGAGGGCTAGATGCCTACAGCATGTTCCAACCCAGTGATATGGGACAAAAACGCATGAAATGATTCCAAAGCGCAATGAGAATGCCACAAGGGGAGGATGAAAGATGTCGAGGTGTTCAGAAGAAGAGTACTTGCTCGGCGTGGACCAAGGAGATTGGAACCCATGTTGATGACTGGCTCAGAACGTTGCTCCGTGTCCGCATTTGCACTGCATTTCCAAAACAGCACTAATTTTCTGTCAAAAGTCCACCATCCAGACCCGCTGGGCCAATGTCCATTCCGCTAATTCTCAAAAGATGTTTATACAGTGTTCTTACACCCAACCATCACATTTCGGATACACAAACGTCCCCCATTCTCCTTTCTCCAAGAAGAGAGAAAATTATCCATCGAGAGATTCACAGAGTCTCCGTTTTCTCTTACAAGACCATCAAGGCGCCAAAGATACCAGCCACGAGCACGGCGGGACCAGCCACCAGACGTCCAGCGCTGGAGGAGGAGGAGGAGGAGGAGGAGGAAGAGTTTGCAGCAGCGAGGCCGGAGCCCGCAGTGGATGAGCCGGTGCTGGAGCTGACGGCAGAAGAAAAGCCAGAGGCGGATGACATGGCGGTGCCGGAAGATCCGGCGGCGCTAGAAACGGCAGAAGCTGAAGATGCCCTGGAGATGGTGGTGGGGGAGGTGCCGGAAGCGGAGGCGGCGGAGGAAGAGCTAGCTCCGGAACTCGCGGCAGAGGCAGAGCTTTGAGACGCGGTGGAAAGTGCGCTCGAAGAGTCACTGAGATGATTGTCAGATTGGCATCATTCGTTCATGAGATTGCACTCACGTCTCTGAAGAAGAGGCCTCGCTAGAAGCAGAAATAGTCGCGCTAGTCCTGAACGAATCTTATCAGCACATGTCAAATCTGGCGCGCCTTGCATAGCTCACCCCGAGGCAGTAGCAGACACCGAGCTGGACGCAGACCCAGCCGCCGAGCTCTCCAAAGCGGTAGTCGAAGAGGACAAGGCAGCACTCAGGGCGGAAGACTCGCTCGCGCTAGACCATTCGCTAGTAGAAGACGCGCCGGAAGCGGAAGACGAGTTGGTCGCCTGGGCGATGGCGCTGTTGGTCGTGGTAGCAGAGATGGTGCCGTCGTCAGACATGGAGACATCGACGCCGTGGGCACTGCAGATCTCTTCACCGGCGATCACTGCGTTGGTAACGTTGGAAGTCTTGACGAAACCTTGTCAGATTTTTCGCGTCTCGGCATCCGATGCTGCTGGACTCACGCTGCAGCTAGCGCTCAGACACGATCTGAGGTAGCCGACGACTTGCTCGTCGGTACAGTAGCAGGCAACGTCTCCATCATCACAGGAAGACTACACTCGATAAGCGTTGTTGCCCACCCGAGCACACTGAAAACGTACCCCGACAGTGTCGACAGTGTTGAAGCAGTCCTCGGCGCAGGAGGGGATAGTCGCGTTGTCGCGTCGGTAGAGGGCGAGAGGGGTGCTGGATGCCTGGAACACGGAGGGTCAGCGATCCGAAGAGTGTTTTGGTCAAGACGGGGACTCACGAGGGTGAGCAGAGAGGTGGCGGAGAGGAGGGTGGCGAACTTCATCTTACGGGTGGGCGGGTAAGGAGCGTCGGGGATGTATGTATCCAGTACAGCAGGCAAGAAGGCGAGAGATGAAGAGAAGAGAAGAGAAGAGAAAGAGATGAAAATGATGTTGAGGGATGTGGATCGAAGGCACGCTCCCTGAGTCCCCTGCCCATTGTCGTCCAAGCGGGTGGCGGGGGTGGCGGGGTGTCAGGGGTGTCAGGGGGTGGATGTCTATGCATGGGGGCTGACTGTTCACTGTTCTGCCATGCATCTGCATACTTCATACATGCATCCCTCCCCTTCCCCTCCCCTGCCTCAACGCCGCAAACAACCCCCAACAGAACAAAACAAGGGCTCGAGCACGCGTCCGCGCTAGTCAAACAGGCACCGTCAGCCGCGTTCGACGCGTACCATATCCATCCGTACTGTATAGATGCAAGAAGAGAAAAAAAGATATGAGATAGAAGGAAGACGGAAACACGCTCTACTTGTAAAACAAGTCTTTGTTTGACAAGTTGACGCCTGTATGATACTTTACAAAATGCTCGACACTCTATTCTACTATGAGAGTTGTTCACAACAAATGCTACACGCTGCCGCCGACCGACTCTATTCGCCTCGGCAACGCTTGATCTCCTTCTCGAGCGCCTCCTTGCCTTCCGCGGTGAGGACAGGTCGACCTTCTTCATAGTCGGGCTCGAAATACCGGGCGTGATGTCTACGCCTTATCAGTAACAGCCCCGCTATACCAAATGATCACTCACGTCTCCTCGTTATCCTTTCGCGCCTGCGCCTTATCTCTTTGCGCCTGTTCAATCGTCTGTTTACTCTTGGTCGCCTCTCCCCAGTTCTTGTTCAACAACTGCTGCGTAACTGGTTCCCACAGCTTTCGACTCTCATACTCGTCCTGCTCCTCAATCGGACGGACATCCTTGGGGATGAGAGCGAGCTGGTCGAGGTCGAGGAGGATCTTCCACTCCTTTTGACCCTTGAGCTTGTAGCGGATCTGCTTCATCCAGCAGCCCTCGATGTAGCCCACAATCTTGTCGGACGGCACTTGTTTCGGTTTCGTCCAGCCTTCCTGCTCTTCGTCGCCGACAGTGTAGCGGTAGATCACACCGTCGAGCAAAAACTTGGGTTTCCCGAGCCACGACTATCACATCATCAGCGCCCATCCCTGAAAATGCTTTGCGACGCACCTCTTCCTTGTAGTCCAACAATGTTCTCAGCTTGGTAGGCCCGCTGTCCCCGCCTCTGCAAGTGACCTGGATAAAGTCTGAGATAGTACCATAGTAGGAACCCTTGAGGATACCGTTGACGGCAGCGGAAGGGTGGCTTATCTGGTACTCTTCGCCCTTGCCGGGACCGTCGCGAGCTACCCTGACAAAGATACCCTTGTTGCAATGACCAGGTCCAACCTTGACCGCTACGCCGTTTATGAGCACAGGACCGATTCCAAAGGAGGCCACTTACACATTCCAGATACCTTGGCGGTGATCTGGTCCATACAATAGGCCTCGATACCCTTCTCGGGGCAGTAGTAGTAGGCCGCAGATACGGGAGGGTGGTGAGACACTTGTTCACACTGGGCAATCATAAGCTTGGCCCTACTTTGTACTTCCCGCACTCACCAAAAACACCACAGTAACCTTTTCCGATTCCACAACCCCAGCATCGGGGTCGCCCACCACCTCCGGCCCAGGCCCGGGCACCGACCGGTCCACCTGCGACAAATCAAGCGCCTTGGTCTTCCTGGACGCCTTGCTCGAAGACGAGACGATCGAGCTGGCTTCGCTACTCGGCTTGCCGCCGTCTTCCGCCCTCAACACCGGGGTCGTCCATCCACTCCCGCCCTGCCCCCCGTACGCCGGCTCCCCAGGGATGGGCACGTGCACATGTGTCCTCACCACAGGATCTCCCGACTCTTTATCCAGCGCCAGCGCGGGCAGCCTCCATGAACACCTAAAGTGCTCCCCGAGAGCCGAGTTGTATGGCTTGCCGAGACGGGTCCGGATGAACTTGAGTTCTTTGCTAAAGCAGAATCGGAGGACGGCGAGCATGCGTTCGAGCTCGTCAGAGGAGTCGCCGACAGCAGCGAGAATGTCGGCACGGTCGGCGTATTGCCAGTATTCGAGGTTGGGGATGGGCTCCAGGAGGGAGGCGGGGAGAGATAAACGTCTGGCAGTGCATGAGTACAAGACAGACCATGGATACAAGGGGTCTTACAAGTTGGCGACATCCTTGACACCGATGAGTCTGCACAGACAGTCAGTCTCATACGTCCATCTCGTCCCACCTCAAACGTGCGATCGCAGCGACCCGGTAACCGGCTAGCAAACACACTCACTTCTTCATGAGCCCCATCAACACCTTCAGTTTACTCTCCTCCCCTCCATTGCCAATCTCGGGCAACGTAGCAGGTGCGCCGGATTCATCTGTAAACTGTTGCGCTGGAGGGTCAAAAAAAAGTCAAGGGGGTCAGCGCGTTGTTGCTGGGGAAGGATGATAACGCGCGGAATTGGGGGCAAGATGGGAGGGGGCAGGGGAAGGGGGCGCTCACTGGGGTCGTCGTCGGTGGGGATTTTGGAGACCTTCTCTGGTTTGGCGGACATGGTGGGAGAGGGGGGGAAGGGAGATCTCGCGATAAGCTGTGAGATGCAGCGCCAGCAAGGAACAAGGGAGTTCAAATGACGTCCAGAGCCTATTCCCTATACCAAAGTATTTGCTTCCGCTAATCGGCATTATAGGACTTGGGCTGTGGCACCCTTCTCTACCCTTTGCATGTAGCAATGCAGCCCCTTCTCAGCAGGGGGGGTCGCGGGAAGGAATGAGGACTGTTCGATGTGGAGTTATGGAGCAAGAAATGTAACGGGCACACGGGGTGGCTTCTTGAGCAGAGTGCGTGTGGCCACCATCACCATCACTGTGGTGTCTGTTGATTATGGCACGGATCGAGAACGCTGCTCCAGATACAAATGTCCCTGGACGACCAATGCGCCCACGGCAATGGGTATGGTCTTCTTGGGGACAAAGCGACAGCGACGGAATCAATTGTGTTATGTCGGTTGACTGTTCAACCTGTACACCACACGAATATAAGGCGCCGCCACTGCCTGGTGTTGGCTAAGACCGAAAGATGCTCGATTGAGATACTACTATGCCTGGTTCAGGCAATGGGAACCATCGGTGCTGGCAGAAGGCATTTCAAGGTTGACTGAGATACTGACGACTTGAGATCCGAGTGACGTCCCCTTCCCACGATTCGTGTCCAAGGTCGAGGCAAGTTACACTGATACCACTCGCGTCCTGTCTACCCAGACATACCCTCTCACAGTCTGTACACGATGCATAGTGCCATCAATGATCTCGTACTTGACCAACTGAGTGCCTTATCTTGAAGCCTCCACCGCGTCGTCGGCGCCCGCGTACACATTCACGCCTCCTGCCGTTATTTTGGTCCACTCGCTCTCCGAATCAAACGTTTCGCCCACCAGGCAGGAAAGCATCGCCCTCCCTTATACCCTCTAGTCACAGGCGCGATGCCTCCCCGTAAAAAGCCGTCCCGGGTCTCCCTCCCAGACCCTCCTTCGCCCTCCCCCTCTGTCCCCGGGGACGTGCCTACCCCTTCTACCGAACCTGCAACTCCCACAACCCAGGGTCTCCGACAGAGGAAAAAGGGAGACGATAAGAGTGGCAGAGGAGACAAGCACCATACAGAATTCAATGTAAAATTGAAGAAGAATGTGAGTTGTCTGCTTGGCTGTGTGGTTCAAAGCTGATTGGGGGCAGGATGACGGTAAATATCATGTAGGTACCATCACACAAGAAAATGCCTTTCTGACCGTAGCTGTGAATTTGTATCCAGCTGCTAGGTAGGTTTTTATCTCATCATGTCTGACGATGCTGACCCCACAACAGCACCTGGAACTCCCTTCAATGAGATCGGTACGCACACCTCTGTCATGATCAGCGCACGATGGCTAACCTTTAAGATACAGACCTGAGTGAATACTCGTTTTTTGCTCGCCATCCAGAGCTTGAGGCGAGAGCAAAGACATGGAAGGCATGGATCTTTGGGCGAAAAGTAAGTATGATCAATGGCAAAAGACGTCTTTACTGATGTTCCGATGTAGTTCTTCTTTCCCGTGTACGCCCCACTTGCCCTACGTGATCAGCACTCATGGTTTCAATAGTGGAATCCTCCTTGGTGTACTGATAGCAGTATGGGCAATGGACTTTTCCTCCCTCCCCGCCGACATGAAAGACGTCTGGACCGCCTTCCCAACCACCCTCGACCCCCGCGACCTCCTCTCCAACCTCACCATGGTCGAAACTGCCCGTAAAGCCATTGAATCGCGCGACTTTGCCATAGGGCAAGAGATGAGTGAAAAGTATGGGATAGAGAAGCAGCATCCCATCATCCTCATACCAGGAATCATCAGTACCGGGCTGGAGAGCTGGGGGACGGAGACGGTGGCGAGGCCGTTTTTCAGGAAAAGGCTTTGGGCGAGTAGAGAATCAGTGCTTGCGGTGTGTGACTGACGAGGTTGTAGGGAACTGCCACGATGATTCGAGCAGTGCTGCAGAACAAGGAGCGGTGGATCCAAGCGCTGAGTGTCGACGCAGAGACAGGTTTGGATCCTCCGGGTTTCAAGTTGAGGGCTGCCCAAGGCCTCGATGCTGCCGTGCGTGTGCCTCGCACAGCTCAAAATAAGGCTTATCAGCGTGTAGTCCGAGTTCATTCAGGGGTATTGGATTTGGCAAAAGATTGTCGAAAACCTGGCTACGGTTGGATATGACACCAACTCTATGGACATGGCTGCTTATGACTGGTACGGTTACTTCTTATCGTCCACAGGTTCTGGCTGACTCCACGCTCCAGGCGCTTGGCATACTACAACCTGGAGATTCGTGATGCTTACTTTTCCAAGCTCAAGAGCAAGGTCGAGATGATGCACAAACACAACAAGGCGAAGGTTGTCCTGTGCTCCCATTCGTGGGTTCAAGCCACTCGTATCTAGAAGATGCGTCATGCTGATGTTTCGTCCGCAATAGCATGGGAGGAAGCGTTGCTCTGGTGAGTCGGACACTGCATTGCGATCATGGTATACTGACGACCCTTCTTAGTACTTGTCAGTGCCACATTCAAAACATCGACATCGACATATACTGACCTGACTAGCCTCAAATGGGTCGAAGCTGATCCCGACGAGTACGGATTCGGAGGAGGAGGCGGTCCTACCTGGGTAGAAGACCATATCGAGGGTTGGATCAATGCTGCCGGTACATTGTTGGGTGTACCCAAAGCGATGACCGCCTTCTTGTCTGGTGAGATGAGAGATACTGTTGAACTTGTGGGCTGGGTAGATATCAAGCTCGGAGACACTATTGACAAACGTCGCAGCACCCCGCCGGTTCTTGGGTTCTGGAAAAGGTTAGTATATCCCAGCATACAACGAAGGATAACCAGCTCACGGTCCATAAGTTCTTCTCCAGAAGGGATCGAGCCAAGCTGTTCAGGAGAATGCCCGGTAGTGCTTCCATGTGGTTGAAGGTGAGTATCCTCTCTTGGTGCTTTCAGCGCTTATCAGGGATCTATAGGGAGGGAGCCGAGTTTGGGGAACCGAAGAATACGCTGCCGACGATCCTGAAGATGCCACCGACTCCCATGGCCGCTTCCTCTCGTTCCGTCACCCGGATGTCCCTCCACATGACTCTGCCCTCGTGAAGAGCACTGTCTCTCCCAATTTGACCATCAGCGAAGCCGGTCCTTACATCCTGACGCACACCCCGCCGAGTTTCCAGAGGATGATGGAGCTGAACTACAGCCAAGGGTATGAATCTGATCCGGCGATTTTGAAGAAGAATGGAGCGGATCATAGAAAGTGGACCAACCCGCTAGAAGTGGAGTTGCCGAATGCGCCTTCGATGAAGATATACTGTCTCTACGGGCATGGGAAGGAAACTGAGGTGAGTTAGCCCATGAAGGGAACGACAGGTGCTCATAACTCTGCAGCGGTCATATTGGTATATGCAAGGAGAGTATGAGGAGGACGAATCCCGCTCTGATGCCGAGGGTTCGCAAGCCTTTGTAAGTTTTTGGCAGGTCTTGGAAGTCTCTCAGCTGACATTTTCATCTTCAGTGTGACGCATCCAGCCCCGGTTGCGACAACTCTACAGTCCTACGTGCCCCGCTCGACTTTCCCCTTGCTCGCAAACACTGGATTGACTCTGCTGTCACGGTCAAGGGCAGCAGCCCTGAGGTCCGGTCGGGTGTAAAGTTTGGGGATGGAGATGGGACGATTCCAGTTATCAGCCTTGGGAGTATGTGTGTGAAGGGGTGGAATGGGACCACGCCTTGGAATCCGGCGGGTATCAAAGTGGTGACACAAGGTGAGTATGGTTTCGCGGCGGAGTAAACAGGCTGACAAGAAACCAGAATATCTTCATTCACCTGATAGTATCGATCTTCGTGGTGGCGCGCAAACGTGAGTGGCATCCTGAACTTGCATTCGTCTCGATACTGATGAATCTAAAGGGCCGACCACGTCGATATCCTTGGTGCCTCTCCTTTAAACGCGGCGATTCTCCAGATTGCTGGTGGACGAGGCGATTTGGTCAAGCAAAAGATCGGGAGCAAGATATTTGATTATACTGCAAAGATGTTTTGGGATTAGATGTGATAGAACTTGTGACGGCCATGTATCACTTGAAAGTTTCAAGCTCATAGCGGTATATTTGTACATTTGTCATTATACTGTCGTTATCGTCACAGTGCCCAAAAAGATTATGGTCAATCACCCTTTTCTAATCTTCGTACGCATCTCCACCTTCATCTATGACAATTCGTTAGAGTAGTAGAGGTATAGAGAGAGAAGACTTACCATCCCCTTCGTCGTCGTCATCTCCTTCGCCATTATCAAAGTAGTTGGCATCATAATCTTGATGATCTGACTCGTCATCGTCGAAATCGAAATCTTCTTCTTCTGTAATTTGTGACTCCTGCAAACAGCGTGAGCAAAAGAGGAGGCGTTGAGGAAGAAAGACCGACCTCCTCCACTTTGTCGTCGTCTCCATCTAGATCATCAACCTTTCTTCTCTTCTTCGGCCCTGCATAATTGTCAGCGCTTGCTGGGCTAACAAAGCATGGTACTCACGCTTGCCCTCGTCGGCTTGTCCGTCAAAGTATGCACTCCAGAGCGCCGGCGGGAACATGGCTTGATCCATCCTGAGAGCTAGTGGATCCAGCTTGGAAGAGCCGGTAGGTGCTGGGGCATTGAATCGATCCGAGTACGACTCTATCTCTACACATTGAACGTGTCAGTACTTACCGCTAGTTGAAAGGTAAAGATACATACCAATGCCAACGACTTTCCGTTCGCTCGCTATCCTCCATGGCGGCACCTGTCCCGGCTGAACGATCTGTGCTCCAGGATCGTTCTGGGGTAATTTGCCGGATGATAGTGTAGTTTCAAGCGCAATCTCATGAGAGAGGATCATCGACTCGTGCTCTGTTGGGGCGGTGAGGTAGGACGTCGAATTGCTATCCAGAGGCTAAACGGGGCATATGAGCTATATTTTCAAGGTAGGTCATAGTGTGACTCACTGGATACAGAACGCCCCTGTTCTGAGACTGAGCTTTTATCCGGCTGATACCTTCTTTCCACTCTGTCTGCGAGATCTGGCCATAACCATAACCCACTCCTGGGGGCATCCCTCCCCGACCTCCTCCTCTTCCACCCCTAAAACCACCTCTAGACATTTTTATGCGATGACCGAAATGAGACCTTCAAGCTGCTCCGTGTATTATAACGGAGATTGGTGTTGGTAAGCTTGTGGGAACTGCACGGTGACTTTGGATCTCGCTGCGAATGGGATGGTCAAAATTCGTGTTGTGCATGTTCTTCTTTGGTGGAGAAATTTAGTTCCGTTCGGCCAAGGCCGCCTCGGCGGATGACCATATTATCGATGGGTATGTAGATAAATGGTCAAGCATGGTAATCAGACCTGCTGGCCAACGCTGTATGCACATTCAGAGATGGCGACGTCTCGAATTGAGTATCCGACTCGCGCAGAATTTCGCGTGTAGACTGACTATGTAGGTGACTACTACTCCACCATCATTCAGCGATGTCCGTTTTGCGGAACTGTGGTCTGTGGTGTCCCGAGCGCTGTGCGTTCATCTGTACGTCCACTCTACAACTCTGTGGTTCACGATGTACTTCAATCGTATTCCAATGAGGTACCTATACATATATGTACATCGCCGGGCTAACTGTATATATATTACTGATATCTCAATACTTCAATCCATCTTCTGAAGCTTGACATTGGATACAACACGTTCGGCGTCCATCTGATCCCAACCTTTTCCCCCGGCCAGACTGACACACACTTTGCCCAGATGCGAGGCATCAATGACCTTTGACGGGTATATCACCTTGAAAGTTGCACAGCCTGCCCTCAGGCCGCGCCCCCAGAGCCAGTGCATACGTGGTATATGCTACGACAAGTGTGTCAGTTGTATGGCCGAAACAATGTTGCCGAGACTGACCTGTTCGGTGGGATTGATGCCCGCGGGCCTTACTGTCAGAGGCGAAAACGTCTTGGACGCCATAGCCGCAAGCTCTTTCTCTGTCTTTCCTTTGACCCTGCTGAACAGATTCCATCCCTTCTCGTCTTGCCTGGCGCCTTCTCCAGACATGAAGACGAAACGGAACGGCTCCGACTCGGTTCCCAGCGCAGAGAAGGCCTTGGCGGCTTCGACTGTGTAATCGTGGGTGATCCTGTGGTCAAATTAGCAGAGCGTCTTTCCAGAGAGTACCTGGTCCACTTGCTTGTAATACTCGTCCTCCTTGACCTGTGTCTGGCTAATTCCCAAGGCCCAGATACAAGCACCATGTCCTCTCAGCCTCTCCACTAACCGGGGCTCAATCTCATCAAAGCCTGTTGGGTATTCGCTTGATGGGATTTGGATAAACTCGACTTTGGGATTGGTCTCGTAGGGTGGGCGGCGGGCCAGAACTGTGATGTGTGAAACGTTGGGAGAAGCGATAGCTGCTGAAAGAACGGCGCTGCCAGCTGCAGGTAGGTGTCAGCGCAAGCCGCTGCAAGGAGGGATTATGCGCACCATTGCCTGTAGCCCCTGTGATAATGATCTTTGACATGATGCTCGATCGTTGTATGTGGTCGGGAAATGGGAGACAACGTGGGAAATGCTCCTTATGACTTATACTCTATATTTTGCGTGTTGACGTGTTGAGACCGACGGGCATCTCGCCGAAGCCGGAAGCCCACGTAACGCTGCCGGCCTCAAGGTTCACCGTAGATAGGTCAACAGTAGAGTATGTTTCAAATGGAATGAGCGGACACTCGACACTGGAGCGAGTTTTGGTGGGTTTGCTGTGAGTCAAATCATCATCATATACCGCACCATACTTTCGCCTTCGGCCAGCCAACTTTGACTCCGTGAAAGACCTATGGTGGGGTATCATCATTATCAAGGAGGCATCACTCTGCATCTTACCAATGTCTATTAACGGAAGCCAAATGTGATGGTCTGATGACGTTAGTAAGAGAGCAAGACGAAGAAAGCTGCAAGGCATACCATTCATGGAGAGGAAAAGACTCCCTGCGACCTAAATTAAGTTTTCCGGACACAATGCGACCATATTTTTTCCGCCCTGGCCATAATGCGACCATGACTTTTCCCAAGCCACAATGCGACCACGAACTTCTCCCGCGGACCGACCTTTCTAATCTTTTCCAGTCATAATGCGACCATCCATTTTTCTAATATGAGTCCGGGATTTCCGGCATCCTAAATACGATGCACCTCTTGTAAATACCAATAGGAGTTCCAGGCCCTGTTAGTCACCCACCCAATCCCGGGTGATGTGGCATTACATCATCAATATCATGAATACACCGAATTTGCATTCGTTTCTTGTCTTCTTTCTATTCAATTTACCACAAGCCATACCCCTCTTCCCTTCCATGCATTTCCCCCTCAACCTCAATCGCACCCCCATCGTCGCTTTCCAACCACACCTCCCCTTCAGCGTCTTCATCTGTGCCCACGTCCGCCAGAGGCTGCCTACAAAGCCCCAGTAGCCTACAAAGCTCCAGTACGTTACCCAAGAGACCCATGCGAAGTCGAATGTAGTCGGGTTGGTCCTCTGAACTGCCACCATCGATGATCTCTGACACAAAAGTCATCGATGGGCGTATGCCTAGAAAGGCCGCAACGGTCCATGCAACGCTGAGGGGTCCGCAACTGTGTCCGTCGTTTTGTTGGCACCACTCGGTTGCTAGGCGAGTCATCTTGTTCTCTATATTCAGCTGACTGCTTGGCATTCGTCTTAGTACTCACCCGAGACGGACCAGCGTATAACCATCCCTCATTCGCGGCATCGTCGACTAAACCTCTCCGCCTCTCCCAAGCAAATCTCTCTCTCCACGCGTCCATGAATTTCTAGACACAGTGAGTCAGAATCTGTCTCATCGAAGAAAGAGTGCTCACCTCGCCGAAGTCAGGACCAACACCATACTTCCCCTCTGCCCCGTCGACCGCGAGGATAAGCTTCTGCTGGGGAAAGACGCCAACGGGAATCCAATGTTCATTGTTTACGTTGAGGATTCCTGTGACCACGTCCTTACCCCTCCAGCCAGCATCCTTTCCCAGCGTGAAGTGAAGAGGCACATCCACTTTTCCAGGTCCATACGTCATTGGAGTGACGAGGTCGAACGAGAGCAGAGGGCCACAAAGAGCATTCCAGCCCAGCGTCCTCGGAGCCAGCTTCTCAGTAGCGCTTAGCAAGCTCGAAGTCACATCACTGGTCCACCATGCTTGGCCTCGAAAGTAGTCCGGGTCTTGGTCAATACACTTACGGATTGCCTGGAGGTGACTGTGCTGTTGTTCCTCCGTAAAGAGCTGGGCCTCCAGCGTGTCCTTCGAGCCCATGATGGGGTTTCTGTATGCCACGAACGGGATGCTGGCGTATCTCTCCGAGAGCTCAGAATGCGAAGCGGGAGAGATGGTGGGTACCTCGTCGAGATTGCCCCGAGACGCTAGCTGACTCACACCAGGATGAGCGCCCTTCCCAATCACAACGACACTGTCTCCCCTATCTCTGGCCGCCTTCCCTTCGCCACAGCCTCTCTCGTCGGCAAGACAGATCACCCCAACACTGCCACTCTCCTCGAAGCCGGTCTCCTCGTCACTGTCCTTCTCTTCCTCCCTTTTCCGCTTAAGATCACCAGCAGCAGCAGCTGGCGCCTCCCCTGCCTTCTTCATTGGGCATTTCTTGACGTTATGCCCAATTTCCCGACAGTAACCACACCTATAGCTGCCCTTGGCCACATAGTTCCTGCCTCCCCGAACCGGCTCTTCCCCAAACGCGACGACCAAACGCTTCTTCGAGGCCTCGGTGATTGGATCACCGTGAGTTTTGCGCTTGTCTGCGCGTCGCCCATGGCCCGATCGGAACGAGTAAATGACATCTTCATCAGGCTCGAGGCTGTGTTTGGGGATGAAAGTGGGCATTTCATGCTTTCGGTATGTCTTGCTCCACGTCGATGTCGTCAGCTCACGTCGGATGTAGTGAGCGCGATTGAACCTTTCGACAAGATCCTCATGATGTTGCCGTCTCAGCGCTTCCCTGATAGACTCTAAGGCGTACGTTGCATGACTGCAAGGTAGGCCAGTATCCTTAGGGCCCTGGCAGGAGCACTCGAGAGATGGCGGAGAGAAGACGGTGGTGGCGGTAGGGTATGCTTGAAAGAGGAGATGGGCGCCATTCCTGGAGGGGTCGTTGGAAGCATGTAGCTTCGAAGGGAGGGGAGACTGGAAGTCATGGTGGAGGGGAGACTGGGATGGGCGGGCTCGTTGCTTGTCCGAGATGCATGGACGGATGACCACCTCCCAAAATCTTCTTGTTGTGGAAGACTTCGAAACAACAGTCACCTTCGCTTCAGCATCTGCTTCTTTCGAAGTGTCAAGCCTTCTAATCGTCGCTTCGAATGCCCCAGAAGCTGCTTGACTGGCCTCTTCTAGCTTTTTGAAAACTCGCGGTGGGACTGCACTGTCTTCCATATGGGCCCGGTCCCCCCTCTCGACTATCGCCCCCGACAACTTCTCAAAAAACTCCAAGGAGAAAGAGATCGGACCGGCCTTGCGTTCGTTCATCACCCAGGAGTTGACCTGTTCAACGATGTTGGAGGTGGTCGTTCCAAATCGAGGAAGGGGAGTGAACGCTCGAGACCATTGCCGGGGGTGGATGGATGAGGCTCGCGTCTGGTCCTCGCTCCACAGGTACTCGAAGAAGCTAGCGTCTAGTCGGCGTTCGGAAGCAGCATCCTTCGCGCTGTTCCAAAGCGTCATAAAGTCATCTTCGTTGCTGGCATACGCGAGCGACTGATATAACTCCTCCCCACGTTCATGGAAGCGCTTCTTGACGTTCCTCTGGAGGTGGATAGAGCAATAGACGTGCTCAGTATTGGGAAGAACTTCCCGAGAGCTCTTGAGGAGTCCCTGTTGGTCTTAATCAGCCTCTGAGTACTGTGGGGTACGCTGTTTGTACTCACCTTTCCCCGGTCTGATACCATCAGAATTTGGTTCCCGGGCTTGTCGATACATGGGTATGCAGCTTTCAAGCGTCCAAAGAACTTTCTCCAGTCACGGCCGTTTTCAGAACCGGAAGCGAAGGCCCACGCCAAGGGGAAGAGGTTTGAGTTGGCATCATACGAGGATGCGAGGATGATATGATGATCGACGCAAGTCTTCGTAAACGCGGCGTCAACTCCTAGCATCGGATGTGCTTCGGGAATTGCTTCTTGAAGAAGCTTGGAGCAAAGAAGGCAAATGGACGCATGATGTTACTATCCAAACGGGACAGATAAAATTATGTCCGGAAAATTTGCGTTGGGTCGCAGGAAGTCTTTTCCTCTTCGCAACAGGTCCAGCAGGTTACATTCCAGGAGATCTGGGTGGCTAATCAGGCCCTCCTGCGGAGAATTACCGACACTTGGCCAATCAGACGCGTCGCGTTTCAATCACAACGGAGTAATTAATTTCGCGGCAAATTTTGTAAACAGGTTAGAAATGTATATAAACAGATCTCGACATGACATAATCCATACTCTATCTTTTGCTTTCCTCATCCACGCCACCATGTCTTCCTGCTGCGGTAACAACAAGAACGGATGCTGCAAGGGCAACAACGCCCAGGCCAGTGCCAGCACTGACGCCTCCGTTCCCCTCCTCAGAGGCAACAAGACAGACCAGTCCGGCCCCAACGCCAACGCCAGCAACTATGGTTCCGTCTGGTCAGTCAACAGCAGCAACACTGTCACCTCCGACAGGGCCCAGCAGCTCCAGACCGTTCTCGGTGACCCGGAACCCTTGGGAAGCAAGTGTAGTGCTCATGAGAGCGGTGGCCAGTGCTGTAAGTTGGAGCAGTCCTCAGACGCGTCGTGTGAAAGTCTGATTACGAAGATATGCTGACCATGGCATCGCAGGCAAGGACCTCAAGGGCGAAGACGAGAGACATCTGATCAGCCCCGAGATTGTACGCGACGTGTAAGTGCATGGTACAAGCCCCCGTGAACATGGCTGACCAAGTCATTCGCTTCTTTGTGCCCCACTTCAATTCTACTACGACCAATAGCATCATTGGCCTGTCAGATGGACTCACCGTTCCCTTCGCCTTGACCGCCGGTCTCTCCTCCCTCGGTAGCTCTTCTTTGGTCGTCACTGGTGGTCTCGCCGAGCTCTGTGCTGGTGCCATATCTATGGGCCTGGGTGGTTACCGTAAGTAATTGCGCCATTCAACGCTAAGACACGCTAACGATTATCTCAGTCGCCTCCCAAGCTGAACTCGATCACTTCCACTATCTCCGCCGCCAGACTCATGCCCGTGTCCTTCGGTCATGCTCTGGTGAAATGGAGCGTGAAATCCACTCTATTCTTGGTCCCCTTGGTGTAAAGGAGACCCTTTCGCGACTCGTCGCTGAAGACCTCCGGACTGTGGAGGAAGACATTTACGGTACCGACGAGACTGTCGGTGTCCAAGGTGTCGTCACTCAATCAGGCCGGGTGACTCCCATTGATTCCAAGAAGAGCTGGAACCCTCTCAGCTGGAGGAAGAAGCCCGTTGAGGAAGAGAGCGGTGGCTTCGAAGGTACCGAGGACATGGGCATGACTGCTTTCCTGTTAAAATTCGGTGAAGGCATGGGTGAGTAATGTCATTGATCATCATGAACAGTTGCTAACAGTCATTGCAGAGGAAGTCCCCGTCTCCCGACTTTACATCTCTGCTCTCACTATCGGTCTTTCTTACTTTGTTGGCGGTCTCATCCCCCTTATCCCCTACATGGCCACCTCTTCCGCCGAAGACGGTCTCGTCGCCTCCGCCATCATCACCTGCATCATCCTCTTCATCTTTGGCGGTTTCAAGACCTACTTTACCGGTGCCACTGGCGGTTGGTCTGGATACGTCTATGGAGCTGTTAGCACGATGATTGTCGGTGGTTTCGCGGCCGGGTCGGCCTTTGGGCTGGTCAAGGTCATGGGCGTTCAGGAATAAGCGGATTGGACGAACATTTCCATCCATGCCATTGGTCATATTTCATGGGTCCAATGGGCTTGTTGGACTCATCGACCATGAGTCTTCTATCTCTCTCTTCAACATTGATCATCATTCTACAAATGTACAATTAGCTGGTTGTACAGCACTACACCAATGATGCAACCATAGACAATCTCTTTCGGGAGTACAAGAAGTGACACAATTGAAAAGGAAGGTCCAAAGCGCGCAGATAAGAAACAAATGCGAGATCATGCATGCTTCTGACGATTGTCCACATAGATATTAGCTACATTAACAGCTCTTCAAGCTGGTGATATCTTCGTTCAATGCTCTCCCTCCTCACCAAGAACGCCATTCTCCTATGCAGAATGACAAAACCACCGTACAAATACTAGTCAGATGCGAGAAGAAACTGGGTATATACGAATGATGTCTTGGGAATGTATTTTTTCTACAGTTATGAAGCCCGAAAGGGGAGTGGATAGGGTGAGGGGGTGGAGGTCTCGTCCTCTGGCGTAAGCACCAAGAAGACGGTCATTCAGTGCAGATGCTTTTTTTTGTTCCTCGCGAAAGAGGCTGGATTTTGGTTTTCCTCAATGGGAGTGAATGCTTCTTGCCATCGCGGTCATCATCGCTTGATCTCCTTCTCCTCCTCTGGACTCTTCTCTTCTAGGGCCGACTCGCCTGTCCCCATCCATGTCCTCCCCTTCCCGAGCCTGCCTGTACCCCCAGCTGCAGTACTAGCCAAGCTTCCCACAGCTGGCCGCATCTTTTTGAAACTCGGGCGTTTCGTCAGCCCAGGAGCTCCGCTTCCAAGTACCGAGTCGGGGTGGATCTCGGTCGGGCTAGCACGGCGTTTGGTGTGCGACTCGTCGTCTGTGCTACCGCTGGCACTGCCCGTCGTCATGGATGGTATTCCAGACGAGGATAGCAGACCGCTTCCAACAGAGCCGGTCGTCGACGCGAAAGACCCTGAGCCGGAGCCCAGTGATTGCAATGACCCCGCAGAGCCAGAAGAACCAGACGACCCCTTCTGTTTACCCTGTGTACCCTGTAGAGGTACGCTTTCGGGCCGTGCGATATTGCTTGAGGTCTCGTCATCTTCAATCATATTGAGATAATGATAGATGATGGCTCGGTGCACAAAGAGATACTGGCGTAATGTCTGAACAAGAGACATGCGTTGAACTCGCATCCCTTCAAGGACAGAGGACACGGGGTGGTTGAGACGGGAGATTGGGGATGGGCTGCGGTGGCGGCGATCAGAGCCAATAACAGGCTTTGGGCGACCAACTCGTTGCTGGATTCTACATTTCAGAGTCAGCTTGTGCAGCAGTCTGCTTTGCAACAACTCACGACTCGTCTGACAGCCTCTCTGATGGAGTGTAAATGGAAGAGAGACTCGGTCTCCTCGTATCGTTATCACTTGAAACGCTCGCCACAGAGCTGCCTCTGTATTTCGAGAATGCACTCCTCTCATCTTTGAAAGACGCTTTAGGCGCGTCCACATCCATACCCTCCATACCCTTCTCTTGCTGAGCAGGCAGGTCAAAATTGGATACCGCCGCTCCATCATCACCCGCAGGCAATGTCCCAGGGGACGATGTAAATGGTGGCGTGACGGGCGTCCCGCTCAATGTTCGCTTGACTGGGCTGACACTGAGGAGATGGGTGTCGGGCGCACTGTTGGCTGGTGTCTGGGATCCGGAAGACGCTGCTGGCGCAGAGTTGGCGTGATGAGGTGGGATAGCCTCGGGCTGGGAAGCCTCCTCGATGAGAGACTGTGAACGATTCCTCGACTTTTCCTCGTGGATCTCGCGATGAAGGCCGTCAAGGACGGCATCGACAACGATGAAACTACCCGTTCTGCCGACACCGGCAGAGCCTGTTTGAAGGGTCAGCAAAGTCAAGTTTACTCAAGTGATGACTTACAGTGCACCAAGACAGGGGGCTGTTCAGACTTTCTCTCACAACCCTCCGGCTTGACCTGCTCAGCAGCCACATTGACATCGTTGACCAATCTCAACAACGTTTCCGGCTCTTCCGGGACATCAAAGTCTGGCCATCCGACACACTGGATCTGCACAACTTTTCTGGGCGGTTCCTCGGGTTTATCGGTGCGAGAGAGTAGGAAGGTACGCGTAATGTTGGCTTCGTTGCTTTTGGGGAACTGGGATGAGACAGGCGTCGCGGCAGCGGGTCCGAAATCAAAGCCTGCAGCCGCCGACGGCTGACCCTTGTCCTCGCCTCCAGTCTGTTTCACCTTTTCCAGCTTCATATGACCATACTGACGTTGATCCCAGTAATTGCCACACTTGATCAAGCCGCCCTCAAACTGCTTGGTGATCATGACAATGACTCGCACATTCTGTTCCCAGACTAGCGTCCAGAAATCACGATAAGTGGCGTCGAGAGGACCCTGAGTGGCAATGTAACGTCGGGCCGTTCCACGAGGTTGGACGAAGGACGCGTTGATATAATCGGAGTCTTGGTCAGGCGGCGACTCGAGGCGGACGCGCGAAAAGTCATAAGGCCAGATGTTTTTGTATCTAGAAAATCTTGGTCAGCACGCTACTAACAACACTTCAGACAGACTTGCCTGTTCTTCGTACCCCTCTCGACGCCGGCAGTAATAGAGAACGGGAAATACTCGTGCTCGGCCTTGCCCGTCTCCCAATCGACCAACCTCTGCAGCTCTGACATATCACACTGGTCCTGCACAGCCCTCTCCCAGCTAGCCTTTTCACGCTTCCCTTCCGGCAGAGGCGACGCAAAGCCTTCACCATAATGCAAGACACCGCCTGACCCTTTGGTATGCCATTCCATGACTGCCTGAAGACGTCTCTGCTCATGCAGCTCGAGATTATAGAACTCTTGAGCAAGCTGCTCTTGAGACTCCTTCTCACCCATGATCACCAGCTCGCGCAGCCATGCTGGGAACTTGTCGGCATTCTGTCTGATTGAAGCAGGCAGGTTGAGCGGAATCCGTTCGGTGATGCCGCCATGAGACAGTTCGAGATTCTGTCGGATATTGTCAAAAAAGGGATTGGCAGGCTGCAGCTTGGCGACCGAGGGTCGGGCATTGTCGAAGCCGGGTATAGTCATAGACGGCGTCCTATTGGTGGGACGTTCGGTGGTGGCCGTGTCCATCGACAAGGCGCCAAATGGGCTCGAGGTGAGATTGAACGCTGGCGTGGCGGGGATAGTGAGGCCTTTGGGTGGCGGCTGACGTCGAGATTTGACACCGCCTGCCGTTGATTCTGTTCCTAGTCAGCAACTTGAAGAGAGCAGACTGGATTTACGCACCTTGCATGAACGCTGCTGATGTCAACCCGCCTGCCATCGAACCCCCCTGTGGGCCGGCGGCTTCCTGATGCCGAGACGCTTCATCGCGCCCGTCAGACACCAGGGGAGTCGCGCCACTCGACTTGATCGCCGCATGTCCACCTTTTACGACCCACAATCCCTTGGTGTACCCCTCTCTTGTAAACTTGGACGCCAGACCGTCAAGAACGCCACCCACTGACAACGACGAGCTGTCGGCGTCGAGCAGGACAATGTCCGACTTTTCACGCCAGTGGGAGACATCACGACTCGATTCAGGCGAAAGCATTTGCACCAATTTTGATATATCGAAGCCGGAACGGCGGAGAAGCGTCGATGGGATGGTAATGGAGTGGGAATCTGGTATATGTGACGTTCTGAAGGAAGAGGGTGGGCGGACGTCGAGGACGAGGGTGGTGGAGCGAGGCAGGACTTTGGCAAGATCGGCGACGGAAATCATCTGAGCCCTGACGCCCGACTGACCAACATTGGTGGCAAGAGGACTGGGAGACTTGGTGGAGTGCGGTGGAGCCAGACTGGAACCAAGTTTAATCGGCAGGGACGTTCTTCTCCTTTCTGCAGACAAGGCTGCAGGGTCAAAGAATCCGCTGTCCCCTAGGCTCGGCTCTGGGTCACGCGTCGACTGAGCAGGCTCTTCAAACAGATTGTTACCACTCCAGATATTGCCGATGTTGAGCCTCTCGAACGGATATCCGAGATGGGGACTGCTTCGGCCCAGCGGGCCACCCTCTATCGACGGCGTGGGTGCACCCGAGCTAGCTGCGAGTGTCTGCCAGGGCGACGGCGGTTCGTTTGCGGGCGTAGCAAAGGGCTGATGGACGTTGAATTGGCGGGCATGGGGACGGCCGGCCTGTTCGGGGGAGTGGAAAGGAGAGTGGGGCATGGGGGAGTTGGTCGGGGACGGCGAGAAGGGGACGGCGGGGGGCGGGCTGCGATGTTCTGTGGCGTTTGGAAAGTTGGGGATGGCAGCAGGCGGGGCACGGCGCACGGTGGGGCCCGAGGCTGCTGGGCCGGTGGGGGGGAAGGAGAATGTGAATGCAGACGGGTCGTCGCCCATGACAATGTCGTGCGCGGGGTGGGTGTCCCCGGGCATGGTGTGGTCGTTGGCGCTGGCGGCGGGGAGGGTGGGGAGGGTGGGGGAGGGTGGGGACGGCCTAGCAGGGGGTGGGCATGGCGTGGGGGAGAAAAGGTGAGTGGACTCCTCGACGCCATTCAAATCATCCTCCGTCGGTGCCAGCGCTCGTCTCCACTTTTTCCATCCCAGCCCTGAGCAGCCCTGGCCCTGGTGATGTCATCCGCCTCCTTTCTTCTGCTATGTATTGCATCCCACGCATCCTGTCGGTGCGACCGGTCTGCTTTACGTACTCCCCGTATGCATATCCTGCATAGCACCGGAGTATGCAAGTGCATCCAGCTGCAAAAGTACTTCGGCCGTGAAAATTCGTTCCCCAGATGACGTCTGAGGCTCGCCCATCTCCCTTTTGATTCGTCAGCAAACGCGTCGGAATAGATCCGAGAGCGACCAGGTTGTTCCGCGCCAGCTTTTGCCGTCCTCGCAGAGCTCTCGTCATCCAACAACACGCGGCAAAGACTCGAGTGCTTGTATACATCTGTACACTGGAGTACTGGCACTTTGGCATCGCCTTGTTATAAAGCTCTTGTGATTGTCCATATTAATATATTAATGTACATCCCGTTCCTCTTCTCCGCTAGCTAAACTATCTTTCGCAGACTCGCCCTGGCGGGTTCCTCGTCGGGATGATCGCCTGATACGCTCCCGTCTAATATGCTGGGTACTGGATACATTTGCGTGATTATTGTACTAGGCAACAACAATGATTTCAACTATATAGTACTTTTCAGACGCTGAAAGCAGCGAAAATGCCCTCTCCACTCGTCTCGTGCAATTGTGCGCTCACGCTGCTCGTCTCTCCTTCCTTGTCCACCCCGCCCGCCATACCCCCCATACTCTTCATTATTTCGTCGTAAAGTCCCATCTCATTATCATCCTCCACCTCGTTTCGCAGTTTCGAATTGCTCGGCAGCAAACGACTAGCGTCGACCGGTGTCAGACCTGATGCGCTTGGCGTCTGTCCAGATACACTCGGGCTGTACTTTTTCATCGGGCTGGACAGGAGCAATGCTGAATGAGGAAGCGCATCCGAGCTCAGCACAGAGAGGGGTGGGGAAGAGGGCGGGAGTTGTGAAAAATCGAATGCTATCGGGGACGATTCCGCCATGGATGACGTCCTGTTGAACAACTCGGACAGCACAGTGTCTTCTTCCAACGAAGAGTCGGTTGGCATATGATTGTCAATCATAGAGGAGGACGTCGCGTGGATCGGGATAGACCGATGTGGGCCATGGATACTGATACTTGGACGATGATCAAGCAGCCCGTCGGTCATCGGCGCCATCGAGAACCCTTCGACATCAAAGAATGCCGACACTTGGTCATTCCACTCCTCCACTTGCCCGCTATTCTGACCATGCGGCCCGTCATCGCTCAGAGGCAAGTTGAGCGTTTGTATAGTCGAATCGACAGGTGCATTGTGCCTGAGCGGTTGGGGGTGTGGCACAGATTTTGGCAGCACTGGCGCATCTTTGGGGCTGGCGTCGGTTCCTTCGGCCTCGAACGACTTGTCAAACACGCCCAGATTTTTCCCTGGCGAGCTAACAGCTGCCGACTGTCGGAACGAGTTGGACGCGGAAGCAGACCCTCGTGGGGGCGAAGTCATAGGACCCAGCTTGCACGTAGATACTTGACGTCCCTTGTGTCGAGCCAGGCGCTCAGCATCCTGGTTGACCGCAGCAGACAGAGTGCGCTTGAATGATTCCTGTGAACGATTGATGGAGATCACGGTGGGTTGATTCAAGTAGCCAGTGGCGGAAGCAGGTAGCCTGCCCGCTGCGCGAGATTCCTCGTCATCATCTGCCACCCACAAGTTTGCAGGGCGCATAGTCCCGGCCTTATTCCAGTACAAGCCGCACGCTACGAGACCAGTCAGCTTCCAGCTAGCACCATCATGAACGGAAACGCACCATTGCAAACCCGGATCCTCTTCCCATCGTCAAGCACTCTTGTTCTCCATATCAGACTTTGCGTCCGCTTACAGTTCCAGCACGCCGCATCTTCCCTATCTGGCGCTTCCGCCAGCTCCTTCACCTTAGCAGCCAACGCCTGCGCTGCGGCTCTTGCATCTCGCTCTGCCTTTTCCGCTTTCGTCGGTCTGCCCCGCTTCTTCTTTGGCTGTGCGTTCCCGTCCTCATCAGCCCTCTTGCGCTTGTCGCCCAACTGTGGATCTGACGGCCCGGTATACGACGTCCCCGTGATCCTGCCCAGGATGGAGAGGAATTCAGGGTTGGCGAGCAGACGCTGAGCTTCCTCCCGTGTCAGATTATCAGGTTCACCAAGACAGTTTTCGCCCAGGCTCGAAAACGCGTCGTGGAGGATTGGGTTGTCTGATGATGGCGCTGGTGGTTTTCGTGGAGGCGCGCGTTTCTTGGGAGGTACAGATCTAGGGACCATGGCGCCGGGGCGGGTGATAAGAGGGGTGGGGCGTTGTGAGGGCTCTCTCACGAGCGTGTTGGATACCGGATGGGGACATGGTGTCAGCGCGGGGCTGCTGACCCCCAGGTCAGGGGTACATAACGGGGCATTCCTGGGCAGAGATGCAGGCTCAGAGCTGAAGAGCTGTCGCGAAACGTGACCCGTTCTTGAAGTGCTTGAGCCCGCACGCGACATTGCCTCGGGCTTGAGACCGGACGAAGAGCCTGCTTGGTCATACAGGTGTCGCGAAACGTTTGGGCGCGACCGTTGCGTTTGGTATTCCTCCGCCGCGACGCTCGATGACCTCCGTACCAACCTCGAGCTAGACTGGGATCGTCGAAAGGCAGCAGGCGGCCCGCCCGATCCTAGGTTGAGGCCCATCGAAATGTCAATCCCCCACCCTGCCTCTCCCTTCGAACCAGCCCGGTCCGCCTCCATGAGCTGCTCGAGCGCCGACAGGTGCGACACTTTGCCAATATTCGCAAACGCCACATCCTCTTGCAGTCGCCCCACGATCAAGTTCTTTCCGATCCCAGCCTCCGCAAGCGCCCATGACACCAGGCCTTTGCCGGTCCACACTTCGCTATTACTCGAGCGGTCGGTGCTCCCTTGTCCACGCGTCTGTCGGAAGAAGGTCTCGCGGGGATCGAGCACGTAGAGAGAGAGGTCGGATGCGGATGGGTAGGCTGGATACAGCTCGGGACTGAAACATAAAGTATTAGCGTGTACGGCATACGGGGCGCGTCAACATCATTGGCCTTACCTGGCACCCAAGACACCCTTCACGACCATTTTGAGATATGTAGACCCCCATACCTCGTCGCCGGCCTCGTTCGCGCTGGGGTGGATATAGACGTTGAGGAGCGTGGGGAAAATGATTGAATAGGACTGGTCGGAATGGGGTATGTAGTAGGAGACGCGCACTGGTGGTCCTGTCAGCTGGGCTGTCGCGTGCAGATGTGGGTGCTGACCTGGGAGTTGATGGATGCGGTTGGGTACCGGCGGCCTCGACATGTCGAGGGGGATGGGGGGCAGGGGACACGGTGGGCACGATGGCTGATGGTATCCGCTGGAGAGACGAACTGGTCAAGAAATTGAGGGCGCAGAAGGGTCATCAGGGCTCCGATTATTGCTTTTGCGGCAAACCCCGCCCATCCTGCATAGATCTATCCACCGTCAACACCGGCCACGCATGCCGGTGTCCTCACACACTACCTATGATAGTTGTATACCCCCTCCCCATGTACATGTGTGTCTATGCATACAGGACACGGCCCAACGTCATGTTCGACGCGTCTCGTCCCATTGGCACCTGAACTCAGGCGCGTCAACAAACATTAGTCAAAATTGCAGTATTGCATTCGCGCTCCCCACTTAAAGCCACGCGACTTTCCAGCGACTTTCTGCTCACGTTGAATGATCTGTATCTCGAAAGAGTCCGTGATTAGAAGCATTTCGGTGCATCCACGACTGACAATAATCTACATAATCCCAGGACAAATATACGCGACACATATTCCGGTCTACATTAGATACAGACTCTGATAAAGACGACAAGACAATAATCTGACAACTACCCAAGAACAAGATCGCCCTGATACCCAACTCTACTCGTAGATATTTCTACTTTATTTTGATATTACTCCAGACAGACATGTATGAATTCTTGTACACTCTCCCAAGAAATGGAGGCTAATACTCTTCGACAATCTCGGTCTCGCCGTGATGTTGAACAGTCGACAGGGTGGGACCGCGGTAATGTTTCCGGGCGTTGATGGCGTACCACAAACCAGCGATAGCGGCAAAGCCGACGAACACTACACTCGCATAGTTCATTGATGTCGGTGTGACGGGAATGGCGGTGGCTATAGAAGCGTCAGAAATGTCCTAAAGATGATGCCGTGTACTTCACGCATGCAGAAGAGAATGATGGAGAAGGCGATCCAAACGACAGTGATGATGTTCTGAATATTGTTAGACGACTGACAATGCAAGGCGGATAGAACTCACGATGGCAAAGCCAAACTTTCCAAGAGAAAAGGGGGCGTTTCGCACCGACTTTCTTCCCCGCAAGAGCGAGCAAAGCACAGGGAAGGCATAAGACAATCCCAAACAGATGGTGGCCACACCGGTAAACGCATTGAAAGCGGCGCTGCTTCCGAGGTAGATCAACCCCAAAAGGGCACAGACGACGGTGGAAAGGATCAAAGAGTTGATCGGGAGACCGAATCGCTCGTTGACCTTTTTCCACCAGCCGCTGGCGGGGATACCGCCGTCTCGGGAGAAGGCCCATGTGCATCGGGAAGCAGCAGTGAGGGATCCGATGGCGGCGAAAACCCAGATACCGAGAACTAAGTGTTGTCAGACTAGCTCATGGAAAGAGAGGAAGAGGACATACTGAGGAAGAGAAGACCGAGGGCGGCACCGGCGCTGCCAGTGACTTCTTTATACAGCAAAGGCATGGGCTGACCGCTAGCGACGTTGAGCAGGGGCTCGATGGCGGGAAGCACGAAGTTGATGGGAAGCTGCATGCTATCAGCCTTGATCGGTGGAGATAAAGAGATACTCACAAGGTAGACAAGACCAGTGACAGCGGCGGCAGCGACAGACAATACCATGGCCTTGGGCACCTCACGTCCAGGCTCGACCACTTCCTCGCAAAGAGAAGCAACCATGCCGTACCCCGTCAAGGTATAGGCGCACTGAAGAAGCCCGACGAACCATGACCATCCCGCGGGCCAGCCAGAGGGTGAGGGGTCGTATTCGGTAAAGGCGTACTTGCCAGAGTGGCGGGTGTCGGCCATGGCGAGGAGGGTGACAATGATCTGCGACGGTCAGAAAGATGTCTGAGATTGTGGTAGTATACATACACTGTGAGTCATGTCAGCGAGGTCGACATCGAGCTTTGCGATTTGACTCACATGATGACTGAAGCTCCTGTCCACCACAAACAAACAGTGTTCAATTTATCGAGGTGCCTGCGCCGACTGTCAGTGACGTTCCTCCTCGTGGGAACCAAGCTCACTTGTAGAAGAATATGTTGATCAACAGGGAGAAGAGAAGAGCACCCCAGTACACCAGACATGTTTGCCATGCGGTAGGCACATAATCTTCGTGATACAGGGTAGCAGCAGCCAATATCAGTTGGGAGCCGCCAAAGGTGATGGAGGCGGTGACACTACTACGTCAGCCTTGGTCGTTGCATTTCGTAGAATTCTATACTCACGTCCAATTTCCGACAGTGCCCAACCAACCGGTAAGATAACTTGAGAAAGCACTGTATTTAGGTTTTGACAGCATCGCGGCCCAGTCTAGGAAATGTCAGCCAATGTCCGGGTTTGTGGCTGAAACGTTGCTCACAATATACACCGCCTGATGTGGGATACACGGAACAGCTGGGATATTGTCAGCATCTATCAAGCAAAGCTCAATGCACTCACATCTCTGCAAGACTTCCTGCCATACACATCGAGATTAATGATACAAAGACCCACTGGGAACTTTAGCTGACACTCTCTATCTTTGAGCTACATTGTACTCACGCCCCATAATATAGTAGCAGGCCCGCCATTCGTCAAGGCAACCGAGAGTGTAGTCGATGTTCCGAACGGCACGGCCATGATCGCAAAACTGAGACCCAAGATGGAAACCATTCCGAGGTTACGTTGCAGCTCCTGCTTGTACCCCATCTCTTCCAGCTTGGCAGCTGCGCCATCGCGGCCGCTGTCCATTCCGCTCTCGACTTTGACGGGCTGGATGGATGGCGGCTTGGCGCTGACAGACTTCTCGCTTGAGCCCATGGTGGTTGTATTCCGATAGGTAAGAGTCGGAAAGTGATTTGAGGAATGTATGTAGATTGAAAAAAGTGCATTTTCCGAGATGCTGTATAAGTAGGGGTGTACTAGATGGGCTGGACTTCACGTGAGCTTATCTTGCGTACGTCACCTGGATAAGCCGATCAAGCGACAGATCTCTGATGGCTTCTGGCTGATCCGGTCAGTATATTTGGCTCACTCCGCATCGGCTCGCATGCAGCACACGGTGATTGGCCACACCATGATCTCTTATCAGCTGGCCACCAGAGAAGAACCATGACTGATAAGCGCCGCCACGAGACCGCGTCCGATGCATCGCCATCTCAGTCACCCCATGCACTGTCCTATACTCGAACTGTATACCAACTCTATGTCGACCTCCATAGCGCACCTCTTGTGGAAACAGGGCAGTGCATACCGCAACCCGCTCTATATCCCGCCGGCTATCAGTAACCGACCGACTGGCCCGATCTACGTACTACTATGTAATCTCATTCAACTTTCTCACTCATGCCTTTTCTTTCTCGATCGACCATGCATCGAATCACGTTGATGCCCATATCCATCGCTCCTAGTTCCGTGCAGGATATGTGTGGGATTCCCAGATGGCTGTACATGATAGCAAAAAAAATAGAGACGAAGGCAACTATCGATGGTCTCGATCGTTGATGAACCACTCTCGCCTGACGGAGAAAGACTCCCAGGGGCCATTGTCTGAACCAGTCAGTCGTAAGTGTGTGGAGTAAGTTTAATGATGGATGCTGCCCTTTTATAGACGACGAGGGAGACACTATATTCTACTTGCAGAAAGGATCCTTTCAGCCTACCGTGCAAGGGACATAAAGGTTGAGGCAAAGCTTGGGCTTTCCCAATGCAAGGCTCGCATCCTTGGCCCTCACACATCCATCGAAACGTACCACTAGCCGATTGCGACAAAAGGAGCTGTGAATAAGCTCGGGCAAAGGGCATCGACCTGCGTGCATGATGCCGCCGTTCTAGGATGCCTCTAGACGATATATTCTATGGGCTCTCGCCATCTGGCGATCAACTTCACGCAAGACCCAACTCTTCCTGAGCTCTGCGAACGTCGTCAACGTCTCCAGTGTGCTGGATGTAATCAGCGCGTATCACCACGCTGGACAGGAACATCTGGCGTACCTTTCCTTTGTCATCCGAAAGCTTGACGCAACCCTTGCCATTGATCTTGTTGAGCTTGATAACGATATTGAGCGCTTTTGATTTCTGGCTTGGGTCTGAGACTCTGTAAAAGTCGTTGGTGAGGAACGTGCCGATACCGAAGGAAGCTACACGTCTATCAGCAGGGATCACCAGGTCACAGGAGGCTACGTACCAGCAATGCCAATCTCATCACACCCTTGCTGCAGCTTGACAGCCTTCTCGACATCCAGTCCATCACTAAAGATGACCTGCTTCCCCTTTGCCACCACCTCCTGCCCATCCGGCCCCTTCTCCCTCTTCACGCCAGCCTCATCTTCCACCGTCCTCCAAGCCTTTTTGGCGCCCCGCAAGAACTCGAATGCGTCGCCCGAATCTTGGCGCAGGACGGCCCAGCGAAGAGCACGTTCAGGGGAAGAAATAAATTCGTCGAAAAAGATGGATGCAGTAAAGGTGTCGGTGAGCATTGTAAGAGGAGCCGCCAGGGGCGTGTTGGGAGGATACACTAGTATAGCTTTAGCTTGTACCTGGTTGTGATGATGAACGTACCTTCTTCCCACATGTCCATTGCTCGACCATTGGCGCCCTTGTAGCCGTGGACGGCAGCGACGGCCATGACCCACTCGTGCGCAATAGTTCCCACTGGCCGTATACCATACTTCAAAGCCAAGTAGACCTGAGAAGGTATCAGCGGTGGGCCTCGGAGACACATGATAGACTGACGTTACTGGTTCCACTGACAGCACCACCCTTCCCACCTTGGGATCTGTACTCTTCGAGCCCGGAAAGAAGGCCCTTGATGGCAATATCCTGGGCCTGGAAGCTCCGTCTCCGACGGGTGCCGAATTCGGAAAATACGAGAGGCGTCGTCGGCGCAGGAGGGTTCAAGAGTTGGAGCGCCTTTGCTTTGGCTAATTCTAAAAAGACAACGTCAGATGATGCTTTCGATGATAAACAAAGGAGTACCCAGTTGACCATCGTAACTCCAATCAGTGTCAACAAACTTGAAGTAACTCTCGCTCACTATAACTTATCGTCAGCGACGACCCATTTCCAAAGAGATATGCCGTACAGATAGCCATTATAGGGACCTCATACAGAATGGTATCCCTCCAGGGACCCTCAATCTCACACCCTATCTCGCCCATTTCCTCACCCTCCCCATTGGTGCTCTTTGGCATGAACGAGAGCTTGACCTGATTGATAGGGTCAAGTCGCACGCCCTGCAGGTAGTCAAGGTAAGACGAGGAAAAGTATGAACAAGATTTAGAGAGGTATGCCCTCTCTTTCTCTGTAAGCCGCAAGTCGGTCAAGTCTGGGAGGCTTCAATCAGCGATAGCGGAATGTGTAGTCGAGACCAGACTCACGGTTCACTCGCTCTTGCGCCCACTGGAAACTCTGCCTAGAGAACAGCATTTGCGGACTCCGGTTGGTGAATTTGATAGTCACAACTGCATCATGAAAGTGGTGGAGGACGGCATTCTGCATGGTAAGCTACGTCGAGGGGCTCTTGTCAGCAGATAGATAACGGCAGGTACAGGTGACGGACCTTGTAAAGATCGGTGTCGAGGATACTGAAGGGGACACCCTCATTCTCTGAGGATATTTGGGAAGCGTTGGACATTTTGGGCAATGTTTATCTGTAGTGAACCGAGTCGGGATTCAAGAAGAAACGCTCAGGAGTCAGGACAACTGCGTGGACTGACGAGTTCGGCTCGCCGGTGACATAGCGGCGATGGCCGCTACTTATTTGCACCCTCCGCAAGAGCTTGTCGTGAAATATCGCCCCTCGTCCGCATACTTTTTCGCGTCCAAATATCAGAATCAGCTCGATAATCCCACAAACTGCCTCGCAACGAACCCATACTCGAGCATAGCGCTCTGTACATTCTATAACGCCTTTCCCCCTTTTCTCTGCGGAAGATCGCTCGAGTGGAAGACGAGATCGAGGTCAGTCTCCGTCTTTACCCCTCCTCTCATTGGTCGCACTGACATCTCAAAACATCTAGCCAAATCCGTCCCGATGCTCCCTACCGCTCGCAAAGCATACACCAGGCACGCATCTGCGGCGGTTCAGCTGTGGTCTCAGGCGCTCCCTGCCGAGTCGTCAAGACAAGCGCTTCTCCGCGCTCGTCGAGTTCATAGCCATGCTGTGGCTGCAGTGGAGGAACAATCTCAGCCGTCTGCTGTAGAATCCAAGAGGGATAGCTACATCCAATTCAAAGAGAAGGAATGGGGCAGATCCGGAGGTATGCTTCAAGGGAGAAATGTCTGGAGTCGAGCTTACCGTTCAAGTAGGATTGGCAGCTGGGGACGAATACAACCCTTACGCACACCTTCCAGCAAAGACCTCTAAGACATCGAACGTTCCCTCAGAGTGGTTAGACTCTTGGTTGAACCTGCATGATGTCTCGGCACTCCCCCCTTCGCCCCTACCACTTCTTGAAACGTTCAGAGGTCTCACCCCTACACACCCCATCCTCGCCCTCCTGACGCTACCCAAACTGTCCCACAACGACATTATCGCCTTGACGCATAACGATGTCCGCCAGCTACTGGCGCGATCCACTGAAGTGGCAGCCTCCACCCCGGCTGTGCTGCATCGGGTCAAAACCGAGGATAGTGCTAAAGCTCTCCGGGTGCTTCGAGCCATAATATACTCGCTTCCGTCTCCGGGCTCGACGTCGGACCCAATGATGGGTCGATATCTGCGCGGAAAGTGTCTTCGGCAATTGATCAACCTTTGCTACCGCCTTCGGTGTCCTGCCCTCGCAAAATCCATATTTCAAGAGCGTCTGCGCGAACAGCTGGCCACGGAATGCTCCCCCAGTATCGTCCCCTTCAAAGATATTGCCATCGACCTCGCTCGCACTCGTGACTGGAAGTCTATCGTCAAGCTCTTCTCCCCCGAAACATTCCCGCATCGGTACTATACCGGAAGGCTGGTAGAGCTGTACATGCAGGCCCACCTCGGTATACGCCAAAGCTCCAAAGTCCCGACAATCTTTGAGCTGCACGATGTCCTCTCGCTTGAGCCTACGGTGACCGCGGTCAATCATCTGATTCAGGCGTATATGGAGATGGGAGATCTGCCAGCTGCTAGGGCCATTGCTGCAGATGCGAATTCAGGCGAGCCGCGGGACATTGCGACGCAACAACTTGCGCTCCTGAAGGGCTACAGAGTTCTGGGACTGGAAGAGAATTTGGAAAAGAAGGTCCTGAGTGACATTGAAAGGCTTCAATTGCCTCTTCAAGGCGCCCTCATACATGCGCTCGCTCGATTGAGGCTCAATGTCGGGGATATCGAAGCCGCCGAGACTCTGTTGCGGAAGCTGGATTTGAGGAGGTGGGGAGGTGGTGAAGGAGAGGGAATTGAGGGATCGGAGCATACCAAAACGATGCTTTTCTCCCTCGCTGTGGAGAACGAGGATTTGGACCGCGTGAGGTGGTTCTGGAAGGATTTTGCACAAACGCCCCGGACAATCACAGACGAAATCATCAAAGACCTGCTGAGGATCTTGATCAAGGGCGAAAAAGTTGATGATGCCTCGGCTGTCCTCCAGTCTGGGCTTCCCAATTCTCCCGAGTCGGCGCTTGCGAACGAGTGGAAGTTGCCGGCAGGGGTAAGACCTGGCCTTCAAAGTCTCAACTTTTACCTTGGTGCCATGGCTGGCCTTCATGGACTGTCTGGTATTGAGACTGCAATGTCCTTGTTTCACCTTTACCGTATCAAACCCGACAGCGCCTCTCTCAAAATCATTGTCGACTATGCGCGCGCGAGCCTTGTGCACAGGCCATACGACCTCGCAGAGTTAGTGTCGAGCATCATGGACGTCAGTCCCGATCTCGCTCCCAATCCAGCTCTGCTGGACTCTCTCCTAGCAGATGCTGTAGCATCCATGGGCCGCCACAGTAATCGTACCATCGCCTACCCCTCCATTCTTCGCTCCCATTCCGAAGACACCTTCCACCCCACTGCGGGTCTCGAGCTCTCTCCCGACCTTTATGAGCCTCTTGCATCGACCATCACTGCCCTTGAATCTGCTGGTGCCCAGTCCACCGCGCGCACCATCTCTAGCCGTCTCCGTTTTGACGCCATGTCAAATTCCACAATATCCGGCGTACCGTCTGCCAGGATAGTGTGGAATTCGCTTTTGGCAAGGGGTTTTGTCCCCGATGCTCGACACATTCAGGCTCTCATGCAAGGCTACGTCGAGATCGGCCACATGCTCGAAGCGCAAGATGTGATGCTTCTTTCTCAGCAGATGAGAATCCCAACTACCCGGGGTATGCATGCGGTGCTCCTCGCGGGGTATGGCAAGAAGCGCAAGCCCATGCTGGCGAGGAGGTCGTACGAGCACATCAAGGAGTTGGGAGAGACAGACCCCAATCAGGGGTTGGATCTTTCGGTGGTCACTGCGATGGTGCAGGCGTATGTCAATTGCGGGTGGTACAAGGAGGCTGCCAACCTTTGCTATGTCGATCTCAAAAACCTTGATGCCACGCTAGATGAGAAGGCAACGATTGTCATCGCCCAGACTCTACGAGCCAATGGGGACTTACGAGGTGCTTTGAAGGTCATAGAGGCCAGCGAGATGAGTTTAGGCCGAGCGGGAGCAAAGATCATACGCGGCTCAAGGCAGCACGCCCTCAAGCAGCTTGCCAAGCCAGACATTTCTGAGGATGCGAAGCAGGAAGCGGAGGAGGTAGTGGCTCTGGCACAAGAATTGCTCAAGGAAAGAAAGACGCAAGAGGGCAAGTTGAAGCACACATGGGCGGGTTTGAGAGAGAAGACGAGAAAGAGGCTATCTTCGGCGTGGACCGGGATGGCGGGTGTCAAAGAGGGTGCCGGCGCCGGGGCTGCGAGGGAGGGGCTAAGGAGGGTCGTTGTTGGAAACGGGAAGGGGACTGGGATCCAGGCTTTGAGGGCCAGGCGAGCGAGGAGGCAGGCAATTGCGAAGATGAGGCAGAAGTCGGCATCATGATGATAGCATCCATAGCACATGTACGCATTTACTAGTACATCCGAAGAGATCGCCAACGACATATGGTTGGAAGATACCACAGTATTTCTGTTGACGATGACGACTGGATGGATATCTGCGCACCGAACTGGGTACCTTGTGTATACACACATGACTTGATATCATACACACATGACTTGATATCCCTCGCTGCAGTCTCCCCTGCGCGCATACCGGAGAGAATCGGGTGAAAGAGGAGAGTGGGAATTGCCGAAGTGCCTGGCGCCTATATTCTCTGATTCGACAACTGTATTTTGCCGACTGATATTTCGGGGACAGGGGTCTTATGCATTCACAACAACGAGTATTTCCATCATATCTCTTGCATCTCTCCACCACCCATCCCCCATTGTCCACCATGTCCTCCTCAAAGAGCAGCGTTGTTATTGTCGGCTCAGGTCAGTCACCGAGATAAAAACTCGCAAGCTCGGCAGGGCTGATGAACGGTGGCTTATAGGTATCGCCGGCATGTCCACTGCCTTGTGGATGCTCGAGTCTGGCAAGTACTCGGTCACAATTCTCGAGAAGAACGCCGTCACGCCTGCTCCCGATGCTGCTAGCTCTGGTGAGTAAACCCGCTCACAGAGGACACGAGTGCCCAGCTGATGAGTCGTGGTCAGACATCAACAAGGTGATTGCATGAGCCCGGGTTGTTGAGCTGGATCTGACTTGCTTACAGATCATTCGAGCTTCCGACTATGAAGACCGCGCTTACGCCAGATTCGCTCTTGACGCTATCGACTTTTGGCGAAAGCCCGAGTGGGAGGGCTGCTACCACGAGTAAGTGGTCCAAAGGTACCCCGCCGTGCAATCAGGCTTTACTGACCGTCTACACAGAGCTGGTTTGGTTGCCCTCTCCAGTCCCGAGGAGAAGGAAGGCATGCAATTTGTCGACGCCGCCTACAAGAACTCTCACGACTTTGGCGTCGATGTCCAGCTTGTCAAGGACCAGGCGTCCATCAAGACTACCGTGGACAAGGACAACCGTATCCCTACCGGCGACTTTGGAAACAGGCAGGGTTACTACAACCCCATCGGTGGCTGGGCGGAAGCCAGTAGGGCTGTGGAGGTCGGTTTAAAGCGAGTGCAGAAGCTTGGTGGTGTGGTCAGAGCCAATGCCGACGTCGTTGGATTGGTCACTGAGGGCAAGGAGGTCAAGGGTGTTGAGCTGAAGAGTGGGGAGAAGGTCTTGGCGGATCTGACTGTAGTAAGTAGTCTTGCCGAGGTAATATGGGGCATTTCTGACGTTGCGTAGACCGCTGCTGGCGCCTGGACGCCCAAGCTCTTTGCTCTTCCTGGCGTCAAGGGCAAGCTTCCTGATATCCAGGCCACTGGGTGAGTCGGTATCCTTGTGCGTGTTTTATGACTAACGTCAAATCAGCCAGAGTGTCGCCATCTTCCAGCTTACACCCGAGGAGGCCAAGCAGTACTCTAAGACTCCTGTCGTAAGTACCTTCCTAGCCGAGCGAGCCCAACTCATCATCTTGCAGGTCTTCAACTTGGACAACGGATGGTACTGCTTCCCCCCCAACCCCGAAGGTCTTATGAAGATGGCCATCCACTCTGCCGGCTACATCAACCCCGTCCAAGAAGTCGGCGGTGTCTCTGTCCCTAGGACAAAGCTCACGCCCGGCGCCGAGAGCGGTGCGATCCCGAAGGTGATGATGGATGAGCTCAGAAGCGGTCTCTCTGAGGTCTACCCGGAATTGATGAAGAAGGACTACGCCATGACCCGACTTTGCTGGTGAGTATGGGATACTCTTTGAGAGATGTCGTATGCTTACCCAACTCTAGGTACTGTGACTCTGTCACCGGTGACTGGCTCATCGACTACCACCCCGACTTTTCCAACCTCTTTGTCATCTCTGGTGACTCTGGCCACGCTTTCAAGTTTGCCCCCAACCTCGGTCGTGAAGTGCTCAAGATCATCGAGCACGATGATTCATCCGAATGGCGTACGAGGTGGTCGTTCTACCCTCCCAAGGAGATGGTGGAGCCCAAGGAGGAGAAGGGTGATGTCAGCAAGGAGGCGACCGAAGCCAGTGGAACGGGTGCTGATGTGAGGGCGGGCATGAGGAAGCCCATTGAGGAGAAGGATTTGGTTACGCCTGCGGATCTGAAGGCCAAGCTCTGAAGGAGCTAGGGGATTAGATAGAAGAGACGAACAGCATTCATTTTTCAAGCATGTACTTTTGGGCTATCGGTTGTCAAGTCACAAAACTGGAGCCTCTTTTCGAAAGAACAACAAGCGTAGGCGAACTCTGTTCCTGTCACGGCCTGCTGGGACGCAGCAGGGGAGGGGACTGGAAAAGGTGATTTTGGAGGGGAAAAGACCTTTTCGGTATTATCGCATAAGGAAAGAGTAGAACAATGAGATATGAATTGAGTATGTACACCGCGCGTCCTTCAACCATCCACACAACTCAGCGCCAATGCCACTTCAGGGAATTACTACGTGTGACTGTTCCCTTTTGTTCTCTGCCTTTCCGGACTCCCAGACACTGTATATACGAAGATGTTGTTGGATCGACTACGTCCTTGTCAGGCAGTGGGGGTAGACCGTAGGGTGGGGCAGGCAGGCAGTGATCAACGCGGGGTGGGCAGGGGGTGGGCAGGGGGTGGGCAAGGGGGCAACAAACAAGGGGCACAATTATCACATCTTTGATGCGTGGTTGCTGAGCGGAATTGAGGAACAGATGAAATTCTCCAACACCACCATCAACATGAGCGCCGAAGAGTGAGAGCGCCTAGATCTACTCGAGGGGGGGACAAAGCTCCTCTTCAGACTTTCCCGGAGGAGGCTTCCTGTCATGTCATGAGAGTATGACCGCTGAGGAACAGATAGAGTTTTTTGGGACCATGACCGCCGAAGAGCGCCAGCTCCTCGGATATGAGACGGCACGATCGCAACAGTCAGGGTTTGGCGGTACAGCCGCGATCACTTTTTCTGGCTATGGGACGGTGCCGTTCGAGTATCCTCCTCTTGAGTACTTTATGATGTTGTTATGATGGCACGATGGATTCTGCGCCTCTTCCTCTCTTTTCCGGTTACAATGAGGAATTGTATGAGAGTTCTGCTCTTGCGATGGAGTATGGTGAGCTTTGGTGGCAGAGTTTGCAGCAGTTAAAGAAAAAGAAGCAATCGAATTGTGTGTTAGAGTTAGGCAACAAGGAGACGAAAACTAGAAGTATGATGGTCTGACTTGTACATGGCAGTCCCTATCAAGCATGCAGCTCCGGTCAGATATCCCTAGCTTCTTTTGGATAGTCGCTCACCGAGCACCATCCCAACGCGATCTCCAACTGGAAGACTTAAGCCTTGATGGGGTTGACGGACGGCAAACTGCTGTTGACTGCTTGCGTCAGCATGGCGCTTCTCCCCCATGTAGTGTAGACGAGACCAATCATGTGATAATGATCCTGCTTCCTGGAACCCAGTGGGACGTACGTATAAAAGTGTCTTAGTAATACATGCGACCTTACAAAAGTACCGGGCTATATACGAAACACATCAGAACCATAACATCATTCAACATCATTTCACTTTTTTCGCTTCTATCATCCAATGGTCTCTTACTTGTTGCAGCCTACATATTATCGTCAGCTGCGAGCTACAGTTAGAGTAACAGGAAGTAGACTCACAAGTCCCATTGTTGGGCTCGATGACCTTTTCCTTGTCGATATGCACACCGTTGACGCCGTTGGCGAGCGCCTCATCGGCATTACGCGAATTTTTGTCCGCTGATGGCGGGACGTCGAGACCAGGGTTCCTCTGCAACGATCATTAGTTCAATGAAAGACGGAGCAGGAGAGAGACTTACGTCAAAGAAGCCGGAAGGCTTGAGGTGTACTCTCAGGATCTCGACAGGCATGATCGGCCAATCTTCAGGCCTTGTAATATGTGTGACACCAAAGCCTGACATCATGCGATTAGCACGTCAACCCGAGATTCTCAGGCAAGAACTTACAAGGCCACAAGACGATATCCTCATTCTCAATATTGTCATCCCTGGCAACCCACTTGGTGATACCAAACTCTTCACCACCGGGGTTCTGGTTGATGTGGATCTCGGAAGGGAAAATTTCGTCCCGGTTGAAGGGGGTCACAAACATCTGTAAGAGGTGTTAGTAAGTGCTTCATACAATGGAGGGATGTAGACTTGCATTGTGGCGGGCGAATGGTGCTCGGTTGTAGACGAGAGAGCCGGGCTTGGAAAGCAGAGGAGGCATATCTTTGCAGACTGTGTCGCCCGTCAGCTATGCCCTGAAGATAAGGGGGAGGTGCTTACCAAGCTTGTAACCGACGTTACCTCCGGAGCTGTAGTGCTGCTTGTTGGGGTTCTCAATCATCCACGTCCTATTCTTGTACGCATCATAGTCTGCCACAGCCTTGGTACTCGTGGTGTAGGGAGTCTTTTGGACTTTGAAGCCGTTGCCGTAAAAGTTGGAGTCGCTGCCGAGTGATCCTTCGTCAGAGACGATGTCGGCTTGGACGACGCGGTTCTGAATACCGTCGATCATGGGATCCAATCGGAAAGAGAACAGCTGTATTTGGGTCAGTGAGGTTCGGTAAGGACAGGACAGGATGAGGGAAGCCACTTACATGTTGGTGGTTCTGAGCCGAGATACGGGGGGCGACTTCACACTCGTGCTCAAAGTCTTTAGGCTCGCCAGCGGCGAGAGTGTAGGCATTGACGATACCGGTGGCCTTGACTTCCAGCTCGACCGAACCATCAAGACCAAAGTTGAAATAGAACCCGTACTGAGTCTGAGTTAGAAAAGCCAAATAGATAGGATCAAAAGACTCACCTCGTAGTTGGCGACAGTGCAAATGGAAGAGATGACAAGCTTTCGGTTACGAGCGACGTGGGCGCGGAGGTCACGGAAGTCGGTGTGCTTGTGAAGGATACCAGCATCCTCTTCGCTACAGGCTTGTCAGTACGAGGTTCAGCTATAGACAGATGACGTACTGAATACAGATAGCGCTCTTGATGGTCTCGATACCACCAGCTCGGGTCACAAAGTCGGCATCGAGGTAAGTGATGCTGCCCAAGCAGTCACAGCCCAGGGCGAGAGAGTTGGCAAGAGCACCAATACCCTATCCAGAGTCAGTGCGTGCATTTGTCACTTCAAATTGCACCACTCACGTATTCTCCAATGTCGAAAGCCATCTTTCGGTGATGAGGGAAAACGGTCTTGGCGTAGGGAACGACCATCTCAGCGACAGACATACGGTAAAACAGCGGTCGGGTGCCCTTGGCGCCATCGTCGTAAGTGATATTGGAGAGGACAAGACCCTCACTGATCGGGATCGTCAGTATCGTACCCCAGCTAAAATTGGGCAGGCTCACCGGTAGTTGAAACCGACATGCACGCTCCAGTTCTGCCACTTCAGAGTCCTACCCTCAAGCTTGTAACTGACACCCTCGGGCTGGATTACATGCAGGGGTTTCAGAGTGTCTCGTACTTTGAATGTGGGGTCGTCCTGGGCGATCTGCTCGGGGAGATAGTTGTGGGGAGCGGTGGGGGGTGCGAACCTGTCTCGGACCTTGGTCTGGGAGTATGCCTCCGCGGATGATGGAGGGTGCTCAGCGCCAGGAGCAACGTTGGTGGGAGGATAGTCAATGGTGAGAAGCTCGCCAGTGTGAGAGTCTGACAAGTATCAGCTTGAGGAACTAAAAAAGAGGCAAAGACTGTACCGATGACGGGAACGAATTCACAAGGGTGAGCGTAGAGGTTGTCTCCGGGCCTGTTTCGGATAAAGATGAAGCATTGCTGCAACCTTCGTCCAGGGAAACGCTCATCGACTCCGACACACCAACCTGAATGATCGAGTCAGTCAAAGAACTTCCGTCTCGCTCGCAGACACTCACCATCTACAAAGATGTTCTTCTGATCGATGCCCACGGCGTCGCAAGCCACCTTGACTTCAGGGTTGGTTTGGCAAAGGTTTTCAGCCCAAAGAAGCTCCTGAGATAAGAGTCAGTCGCCGTGTGGATTGTGAAGTTAACACTTCACTCACCTCTGTGTGTAAAGAAGGCTGGATAAGCTCTTCAAGGGCCACCCAGTCCGTCACGACGGCGACCTCGGGACCGGGAATGCCCGTGACATTGGGGGGCAGGTCAACGATTGCTTCGAAACTCTGAGAAGTGATGGGGCAGATGATATGGATCTAATGAGCATAGAATCAGCACTGGAGACAATACGCGATAAGAGATAGGGCTGCCGTCGGCCTGCCTCTTGACGTCGTCCTTCTCCCCGCGGACATTCGCGAGGTCTTCCTTGGCGAGAACACCTTCCCTCTTGAGGACGGCATACTTGCTAGGCTCACGGAGGTTGACGCTGTTGAAGATGGGCTTCTCGATGGCTTTTTTGTTCTTGTAGGCACCCTTCTGGATGAAGGATCGGACTGCCGAGACGGCGTCGTGGATCTCGTGGGCGGAGAGAGGGTCGAGGGGGTGTGCGTAGGGGGACTGGGCGGGCATTTTTGGGGTGATGGGGGAAGAGATTCCATTTCCATGCCCGATTATATATGCGGCGCGTAGATGGCGAGATGGGCGATGGGTTTACCCAGAGATCAGCCAGAATTATTATCAGCCCGGCCATCCGCGATCTCCAAATGGCAGTATCAGACTATCAGTGGCTTGACTGGCTTCGGTCCCTCTCCAGAGCATGCGCTTGATTCGCTCAGCTAACAGCTACAGGTCCCATCTCCCGTCTCGTCAATCTGGTGAGACAGCCCCAATCTGCAGCCCAAATATCGCCTCTCTAGATTAATATGGCAACAAGATTGGACGAGGGGCACAACCAACGACCATTCGTCAGTCAACTATTGAGTCTTCGCCTATCCCGACCTATGTTATCGAGGCATGTGGCTCTTGTTGCCTGCTGGCAAGTTTAACCAAAAAGCTGGGGTGGAAAGAATACAACTCGCTGCGATTGGTATGGGCAGTTGAATGAGTATACGTCATGAAAGTGTTGGGCCCGCAGGCCATATTTACGTCTCCTCCTCGCAAATCATTTTAGGCGATGTACAACTATCGGGAATGCGATACATATCCATGACTGTGACTTCAGAACATGACTTCTGGCTTCTGACTTGATCCTGTTCTGTCCACTACTCTCCTGCCTCCGTCTTACAGGGGCCAAGGCCTACATATCGGTCAGTACACCCTCCAACGATTCCTGAGAGAAACTCACATAGTCTGCGACAAGTTGTTGTGCACAGCCTTGACTTGCGTGTAAGCCTCCAACCCGTAAGTGCCCAATTCCCTCCCGATACCGGAGGTCTTGAATCCACCAAACGGCACACCAGTATGGAGCAAACCATACTGGTTCACCCAGACCGTACCTGCCTCAAGTGCAGAGCTGACTCGGGTAGCCTGTCGGCCGTCGTTGGTGAAGACGGCAGAAGCGAGGCCGTATTCGGTGTCGTTGGCGACTTCGAGGACTTCTTCTTCGGTCTTGAATGGGGAGGCGACAATGACGGGACCGAAGATCTGTAGATTATCAGTGGTGGGAGAGATTGAAGACGGAAGGGACGCACCTCTTCTTTGACGACCTTCATGTTTCGGTTGGTGTTGGAAAGAATGGTGGGCTCGATCCAGAACCCGCCGTTGGACTGAGGCCATTTCTTACCGCCAGTGAGGACCTCGGCACCTTCCTTCTTGCCAGACTCGATGTAGCCCAGAACCTTGTCTCGTTGACCTTCCGAAATCTTTGATACTGTCAGTCGACTCCAAGATCGGGGTGTTGAACGCACAAGGGGACCGAAGGAGGTCTTTTCGTCATGCGGCTGGCCGATTGCGGCACTCTCGGCTCGCGTCTTCAAAGCCGCAAGGAACTTGTCGTAAATGCCCTCCTGGACATAGAGCTATTCCGAGTAAACACCCCATCACTCTTACAAATATATGACTTACACGACTACCAGCGCAGCAATCCTGTCCAGAGTTGAACCAGATCCCCATAGCAACCCAATCCGCCGCCTCCTCAATATCCGCCGAATCAAACACCAACACTGGTGACTTGCCGCCCAATTCCAAAGTGACCTTCTTCAAGTTGGACTCTGCAGCAGCAATGGAGATACGCCTGCCAGTGACGACCGACCCTGTGAAGGCGACCTTGTCGATACCCATGTGACGCGAAATGGCATCGCCGGCTGTGGCACCCAAGCCGGGGACTGTGTTGACGACACCCGCGGGGATACCGGCTTCTTTGATGAGGTCGGCGAGGACGAGGGCGGTGAGGGGGGTGAGCTCGGAAGGTTTCATGACGACGGTGCAGCCCGCGGCGAGGGCGGGGGCGACTTTCCAAGCCCACATCATGGTGCTGTTTCGAGCGTCAGCGTTGACCAGTCATATCACGAAGATTGCTTGCGGATAGTTCCAGGGAATGATCTGACCGCAGACACCGATAGGTTGATGTAGCGTGTATGCAAACTTTTCGCCACCGAAAGTGTCGATGGACTGACCGTGGATCTTGTCTGCAAGACCGGCAAAGTAGCGGATGCAGGCGATAGTGTCGGCAATGTCGGCCTCTCTGAGTTTGGGGTCAGCACAATCGGCGTGGCAAAGGTGGAAACTCACCGAGCGATTCGTACACCTTTTCCAGAGTTGAGACTGGATGTCGTCAGCCATCATCATGAAGATTTACGTATCATCTCACCTCTCCAAAGCGGCAAGCTTGTCGGCGTCTCTCTCGACAAGATCAGCAAGTTTGTTGAGCACTATGATACATCAGTATAGGACAAGATATGATGAATAGCAATATTACAGGCACCGCGCTCAGCAGCGGGAAGGGTGTTACCCCAGGTGGTCTTGAAAGCCTTCCTAGCTGCCTTTACGGCGATATCGATGTCTTCGCCCTGGGCATGCTGAAAGTCCAAGAGTTTCTGGCCAGTCGCGGGGTTGACAGTGGCAAAGGTCTCCTTCTTGACAGACTCGACCCATTCGCCGTTACTGGGATTGATAAGCACGTGCAAAAAAATCAAGAGCTGCAGCTTACATGTGCAGTCCGACGGGAACCTGGATCTCGCCGAGAGAGGGGACGTTGACTGTGGCGTAGGTGGGCATGGTGTGTGAGAATCTGAAGTGGGGTACAAGACGCCTTGCGATTGTGGGTCTGAGGGGGATCATAGAAAAGAGGAGAAGAAGAGGAGAAGAAAGAGCTGGGCTATATATATCTGACGTATCTGGCGTAATAGCAGCGTACTAGATGGTGGAAGCAATTGTAACCAAATTGTTTAACCGAGTGCTGACCGAGTGACGGACGGACTGGCGCTTGTGGCGCTTGACGGTGTGCCTCCACCGACATGAGGCGAGATCAGGAACTGGGTGTGCCTCGAGGGAGATAACAACTGGAAGTTGGAACGGTCGTTGAATTGTCGTTGAACGGTCGTTGAACGGTCTCCCCATCTCCCCTCCGTCCATGCAGCAGCCCCAGGAACCCCCCGTCTCCCGCAAGAGATCCTCCAGAGCCTGCGATGTGAGTCACCCCCCGCCCCCAGATGCTCCCGCTCACCCTGCCCAGGCCTGCAAAACGTCAGTAGTTCTGGCAGAATCATGTCGAGATGTCTTAACCTTGTAGCGCAGCCGCCGGTCCAAGTGCGAAGAGCTCAGGGAGAGCAGTGACGGCACCCCCTCATGCAAGGCATGCCGCGAAGAAGGCCAGCCATGTCAATATACGTTGCCCGTACGGAAAAGGTCAGATAAGCCCATCTCGCGTCGCCTCCTGCTCACACTAATTTTAAGAGGACCTGCGAGAGGATTCAAGCATGGTGTAGACAGCAGCAGTGCCGGCGCCGAGCAGCAGCAACAGCGTCCACTGCGGTCGCAATACCCCACTGCAACCGGACAGCCCGGTCCGGCGAACCTGGGGCATCAAGAAAGATCGACACTGAGTAGTAGCCGGACCCAGTCGCCGCCCCCCTCGACGTCTGGCTCGGCCCACCACCCGCCACTGCGGCCGAACGAGCCATTCTTTGGCATACCCACGCATATGGTAGACCAGCTCTTGGCGGTATACTTTACCCATGTGCACGTGAGTGACGACTTATCCCCCGAGATTGTAGAAGACTGACTTTATCCAGAATGTTTGGCCCCTGGTATGCAAGCCGGTGTTTAGCCCGCACAACATTTCAGCCCATCTGCTCTTATCAATGCTTGCCGTAGCCATCTGCGTCGCTCCGGAATGTGCCGCCGAAGGCTTCCATGCCACCTCACTGTTCCACATGGCCGAGCATGCTCTACTGCGACGAAGAAACGAGATCAAAGTCGATATCATTCAGAGCTTCATCTTGATGAGTCTGCGGCAGACTGGATGTGGTGACAAGCAGAGTGCTGCATTGTACGCCAACAGGGCTTCTGTCATGGCAACCACAATGGGATTGCATCTCGACCAAGGGTCGTCCCCCCAAAACACTCCAGATGTGAGTGATCTGTCTTTGAGTGTATCGCGTGGCTGACTTGTCTAGTACGAAAACGACACCCGATCCCGGGTATACTGGAATTGCTACGTCCTCGACAAGGTCGTCGCCGAAGAGACTGGTCGCCCATACGTCCTGCCTTATAGACGCAGCTCTGTCCCATTCCCCGGTATCGGCGAGACCGACGAGCTCGAAACATGGCCTCCCGCACCCATGTCTTCTGCCCTCGTGCCCGTCTCTGTCCGCCATGTTACTCCCCGCAGAGGATACGTCATGAGCTGCTTTGTATGGACCTGCCGCTTGGCGATGATTGTGGAAGAGATCATGGAGCTGCAACTTGACGGGCCTTGTATCAACGCGGCGTCTAATGCTTGGGATCGGCAGTTTGCACAGCAGAGTCGGGAAAAGAGGGACCCGAATGAGCATAGGGATATGATTGCCAGGCAACTCGAGTTGTGGAAGGCTGCGCTGCCTCCTCACCTTGACGTTGATACGAATAGCCCTGTATCTCCCATGCCTCACCATGTGGTCGGGATCACAGTGAGTCATTCTATTCTTTTACTAGGGACTAGCTGACGTGGTATAGTGGTACCACACTGCTCGTATCCTCCTGTTCTCCCGCTTCCTTCGACGTCGTCCAGCGTCGTCCCCCGTTGCGGGAGAGACCGAACGGTCCAAAGATTACTATGCCGTCTGTTCAAACGCTGCGCAAGCAGTGGTGGATCTGATCCACCTCCTCGACACGAATCGAGTCCTGCAGCACGTCAGCTCGGATCTGATCCATCTGCTCAGTCTTACGACGTTGTTTGAAGGTACGTCTACCTCTCGTTACGAAGCGCTGTGGCTAAGTACCTCATAGCCTACGACTCTGTGTCTACGGACCCGGCACGAGCGCACAGAGCTAAAATCAACTTTTCACAATGTTGTATCTGGCTCAAAGAGTTTTCATCATCTTGGCCCGCTGCTTCTTCCCACCGTGTCTTCTTTGAGGGCTGTAAGTAATCAATATCCGAGTCAGAAGGGAGACTGACACTATTGCTAGTGATCATGGGCGGCATGCAGCTATCCGAGCCCGAAGTGCTCCCAACAAGTTTAAGAGAAAGGGAAAAGAGGCCGAGCGACGCTTCATCCGCTGTCGTGGTCGGTGAAGGTATCCAGCGCGTCCACCGGCATCTGTCCGGTAACGATAATGCCCCTAGTGCCACTTCTAGCACTATCACTTCCCCCCAATTCGCATTCAGACCTCCGCGAAACGGCACCACCGACGTCTCTCCGGCCAACCTCTTTCAGCTGCCGCAGTATTACTGGAACCAGCTCTCTGTCAATGATGAGCGACTGCAATCTCAGCCGCGGTACACCCAAGACTATGACTTCAACCTCTACCCGTCTTCTCTGCAGTATCCTGCTGGAGTTAGTCCAACCGATCAGTTTGTGACGGGTCCCACGCCGGTATCACAGACCAGCCGATTCAGCCCTGAAGTGTCTCTATCGTATCCCCAGCAGCATCTTGCTACCCGGCCTCAGTGGGCTCCTATGCAGAGGGAGATACCTCAAGGTAGTATGGCGTCAAATGGCGGGCGCAGTTCCAGTCAGTATCCGAGTGTTCCTCCCCCATCTGCCCCTCCTGGTCCGCCCACTGGTGCTGGGGAGAATCTGGATGCAGTCCATTCGGCGTTGATGGCGTATATGATGGACGCTATGAAAGGAGGAGGGACGCAGTAGGCCGTTGTGTTGGTACAGACATGTGTCAAGTAAAAATCAAAGCGATCTAGTCGTATGCATAGCCGATGCTCATGTATTTTACCTTACCCCCGCCTTGCACAGCTGATGATCGGCCTCGTTCATATTAGCAAGCAGCATAATTAACGCACCTCCGGCGTTTATCCGGCGTTTAGTAGCGCGTCGGGTAAACGCTGGAAGCGAGGTCCGCCTCCTGGGGGGGTGGGAAGGGCTACGTATAGCTAGGGGGCCCCAAGGTCCTACCCCTGTACTCTGCAAGTCTGCATTACGTTCAGCTTATCTACAATCGAGCGCGAGCGTTTACGATGCTGGAGCTCGGATAACTCACACACTGGCTGGCGGTTGCAAGGCTCTGCTCTTATCCGTAAAAAATCACATATAATAGATGCCGGTCCGATAGCTATGTCCGCCCTTCCTAGCTATCTCTTCAATCTACCGTCAAGACACCACCCCATAATCACCAAAGATGAGCGAAGACTATCTGGATGTTCCAGGTACTGTCAGGATGTACGAGGGGCCGGCAGGGGAAGAAGTCGTGGGCGCTGAAGGTATCAAACTCGTCCCTGCTCCAAGCAGGGATCCCAACGACCCCCTGAATTGGTCAAGAGGCCGAAAGTACCTGATGCTCACCTGTGTATGCATGTGAGTATCGACCCAGAAGATGTTTGAGATGCACTGCTGACGAACGTACCAGATACACCGTCTCCGCCACAATCTTATCATCAGATTTATACTCTGTGTTCGATCCCCTCTCTGCTTCAACCGGCCTTTCTTTGGACCAACTAAACGAAGGTACTGGATACTTGTATCTCTTCATCGGCTTATCTACCCTCATCTCCCAGCCCTGCTCCTTGGCGTTTGGCAAGAAGCCGGTCTATCTCGTCTCTGCGTTTGGCGCAGCTGCGGTCAACATCTGGACCGCCTTCGCCAAGGGCAACGGGCAGTGGATTGCAAGTCGCCTTTTGTTGGGCTTCTTCATCTCACCATCCTTTACTCTGATAGAGGTGTCGATCGCGGATGTCTTCTTTCTCCATGAGCGATCATTCCCACTCGGGATCTACCTTTGTCTGCTCTTCATGGGAGTGAGTCTGGGACCACTTTTCTCGGGATACATCTACGAAGGCATCGGATGGAAAGCGATCATTGTAAGCTTGTAGTGTAGCAATCTTTCTGGCCGGAGACTGACTCAATCTAGTGGCTTTCCACAGGACTGATGGTCATTGTCGGTTTGCTACTCTTCTTGTTACTCGAAGAGACATCCTTCCAACGCGACCACTCAACCCACATCCACGCCGACTCATCTGCAGCAACAAGTGACGGCATCAAACCCGCCTTCTCTTCGGACCGTTTGTCGGGCACATATACGTCGAAAGAGGCGACTGCAAAAAATGCCGACGTGACAGAAGAGACCGACAAGAAGGGTATCTCAACGTCGACCACGTTTCAAGTAGACCCGACCCTGACAACGGCGACCCATATCGAGCCTTCTACATGGCCTGGGCCCAAGTTCTGGAAGTTTGTCAAGCCTCACAGACACGCTCCGGGGATCCTTCTGAGGGGCTTGACCCAACCCTTCTTGCTCATGAGACTCCCCCTGATCTGGTGGAGTGGATTGATGTATGCGACCTATCAGATTTGTTTCAATCGTGAGTGATGAGCTGGTGTTATGAGTGTGGTGACTGACTAGGGCCCACAGTGATCGCAGCTATCTCATCTGGTATCCTTGCGGACGAGCCCTACAACTTCTCAACCAGTCAAGTCGGTCTCAGCTTCCTGTCCCCCCTGATATCTGCTATCCCTGGGTGAGTACTGCAGGTCTTTCAAGCATCGGGGGTGGTTCCTGACAGATATCTTACAGGGCCGTTTTTGGCGGTTTGTTGGCCGACAAGTTTGTTCTACGCCAAGCGCGCAGCAACAGCGGCATCGCAGAAGCAGAGCATAAACTCAAGCTCTACATCATTCCCACAGTCCTCACGCCCATCGGTCTCCTCATGATGGGCCTTGGTCCATATTATGGTGCCCACTGGATCGTCTACATCCTCGGCTGCTTCATTGTTAACCTGGTTGGCCCACTGGCCACGATCTTGACAGTGGCATACGCCTTTGATTGTTTCCATCCCATCAGGCCTAGAGATGAACACGGGGTGCAAGCCTGTGCGCAGGATGCGGCTCCATATCTGCTGTCGATAATTATACTGGCCATGTGCTTCACCTTTGGCTTTGTGAGTCTTGGTATGGTTGACCTTATGATCATAGGCTGACCCCCTTTGTTGCAGAATTATGCCATCACGCCGTGGTGCTTTGGGTGGGGTTTGCGGAATTTTGCCATCTCTTCATCCATAATCATCACCGTGATTAACGCATCGGTGTTCCTGGTTGTCAAATGGGGAAAGAGATTGAGAAGGTCGCAAGAGTCTTACTATAGATGGGTTATCAACTTGTAAAAGTATTAGAATGTTGGAATGGCGCATATATCGGTAGCGATAATGCAAATGTGTTGTCCGTTGTCAGATTGTATTCTCAAGGAGAACGAAGTAGTTGTTGGGCTCTAGGGGTTCTTCAACATGGCATCAGCCAACAGTCTTCGGTGGAGGTTATAAGCATATTACGTAATCACATATTTTGACGGAATTTTGGAGGTTCGCGAATTGAACCGTCAAAAGCAGAGCCATACGTTCAATCACCCCCCACCAGCAGACAGCACTATGGTCAGGTCGTACATGCGCCACGGGCCGACACAGGCGTTTGGTATTGTGACCTCTCCCACCGCCAACTCGACCTACAGTGGCCGCCTCGCATTCGTTCCCGGCTGGGAAGACGTCCTCGTCTGGGACGTCAAGCTTGGCCAGCTCGTCTCCATGTGGCACTCGCCCGGCCTGACTTCACAAGTCACCCACATCAAACCCGCCCCAACCCCTTACACATCTACCTCCCAAGGTAGTCAAACATTCGCCGTCTCCTACCAAGATGGTTCCATCAGACTTTGGATTTATGACTCTGAATCACCAGAGGTGGAGGCGGAGGAGGCAGTGACCTTCAATGGTCACAAGAAGAGCGTCACCTCTATGACATGGGACTCTGATGCTTCCCGTCTGGCTTCTGGTGGTACTGAAGGAGAAATCGTCGTTTGGGATCGTGTAGGCGAAGTTGGACTCTTCCGATTGAAGGGTCACCGCGCTCCCATTACCGGTCTGGCGTTCGTCCCCCACCCCAAGGGCTCTCATGCTGGATTCCTCATCAGTACCTCAAGAGATACATACATGAAAGTGTGGGATCTCAGCACTCAACACTGCGTGCAGACCGTCGTTGTTGGCCGTGGAGAGGTTACTGCCCTTGCCCTGCGCGAGGAAGACGACAGTCCTGTGGTCGCGCAGGCTGAAGAAGAGAACGGAGATGGAGCTGAAGAGGATCATGTCGGGGGGCGGTGGACAGTGACAACTGGTTCCTCCGATGGCGAGTCAAAAGTCTACACCTTGTCCAAGGCAGCTTTGGCGACTGGTCTCCAGCCCCTTGCGGACGGATCTTTACCTTCGCTCCTTGTCTCACTCTGCAGTCTTCCAGTATCTTCCTCCACCCACCCAATCAGCCAGATACAATGGCATCCCACGCTACCTCTACTCGCCCTGCAAACGACCGACCGCGGTGTGGTGATTATGAGGTTGAGGACGGAGGAAGAGATCAGCGCAAAGAGGAGCAGAAGAAAGAAGCGTGATAGGGAGAAGAAGAAGAAGGCCAAGGGAAAGGACGAGAAGGAGGATGAAGTTGAAGAGGAGGATGACGAACCTGTCAAGTGGGAAGAAAGAGTGGCTGTCTGGTGTGTTGTGCGAGCCAACGCCAAGGTCAAGAGTTTTGCGTTTGCGTCGGAAAGCTCAACATCCGTCAAGGGCGGAGTCTCTGTAAGTGCTTTGACTGACACAGAAAGGCAAAGCTGATATACGTACAGCTGCTACTCGCTCTCTCAAACAACTCCATCGAGTCGTACAACATCCCCTCCCCATCTGCGTCTGGCAAGTCAAAACTCGCGGATGGATCATCCCCCGAACCCACGAAAACACATTCCATCGAACTGCCGGGCCACAGGCAGGACATCCGCACAGTGTCCATATCATCCGACGACGGTGTTATTGCCTCCGCCTCCTCCGGCACGCTCAAAATCTGGAATGCCAGAACGACCGCCTGTATCAGGACTATGGAATGTGGGTATGCTCTTTGCTCCACTTTCCTTCCCGGTGACCGACACGTCGTCGTTGGTACGAAAGGCGGTGAGCTCATGCTATACGACGTTGGGGCGTCGACACTGTTGAAGACCTACAAGGCACACAACGGTCCTGTATGGAGTATCGGTGTGAGGCCAGATGGACGAGGTCTTGTCAGTGGAAGTGCCGACAAAGATGTCAAGTTCTGGGACTTTGAGATGAGGGAAGAAGGTGAAGGTGAAAGGGTCGTCAGTCGGCTGGGAGTCGAGACTGTGTACAAGACAAAGCAACTTGCTCTTGTCCACGTCCGAACACTCAAAATGACCGACGACATCCTTGCCCTCAAGTATACCCCCAACGGCCGTTTCCTCGCCGTTTCGCTACTCGACTCGACAGTAAAGATTTTCTTCTCCGACACTCTCAAGTTCTTCTTGTCCTTGTATGGTCATAAGCTTCCTGTGCTCAGTCTTGACATCTCTACCGACAGCAAGTTGATCGTCACTTGCAGTGCCGACAAGAATGTCAAGATTTGGGGTATGGACTTTGGTGATTGCCACAAGAGTATCTTTGCGCACGATGAGGCGATCATGGGTGTCATGTTTGAGAAAGAGGCGGGGAGTCACAACTTCTGGACGGTCAGCAAGGATAGGGTTATCAAGTACTGGGACGGAGACAAGGTATGCTTTCAGTCCACTCTGAGAAACTATCGCTTACATGAACCAGTTTGAGCTCATCCAAAAACTTTCTGGTCATCACGGAGAAGTTTGGGCCCTGGCCACTGCTTCCAATGGTCAATTCGTCGTTACTGGTTCTCACGACAAATCAATCCGTATCTGGGAGAAGACCGACGAGCCTCTTTTCCTCGACGAGGAGCGTGAGAAGGAAATTGAAGACATGTACGACTCCAACCTTGCCGACTCTCTCAACCGAGACCCGGAAGGCGAAAATGGCGAGGGCGAAGGCGGCGAAGTTGAGGCGGTACAAAAACAAACTGCCGAGACTCTCATCGCTGGTGAAAAGATTATGGAGGCCATCACCGTTGCCGACGAGGACCGACTGGCAGTCCAGCAATGGGAAGAGGATTGCGAGAAGGCTGGTGCTGAAGTACCTCGTCCTCCGCGACACGCCGAGCTCATAGCCAGGGGTGATCTGGAACCCGATCAGTATGTGCTCCAGACTGTGAAGAAGATTCCTGCCGCTAGCATGGAGGACGCTTTGCTGGTGCTGCCGTTCAGGATGGTGGTCAGTCTGATGGGTTATCTGGACGAATGGGCCATGCAGGTACGTTTCTTGTTGTTGTCTTTGGATCGTCAACTAACCTATGTTTAGGGCAAGGAAGTGATCTTGGTTTCCCGAATCCTCTTCTTCCTTCTCCGCACTCACTCTGCTCAAATCGTCTCCAACCGCATCATGCGAACTCCCCTGCTCACTCTGAGAACACATCTCCGGCAGGCACTCTCTGCTCAACGTGATACGATGGGTTTCAACATTGCTGCTCTCAAATTCTTGAAGGGCCGATGGGAAGGCGAGAGGGTTGCCGGGATGTATGAGGAGGAGGGGATGGATGAGGAGGCTGTCAGGAAGAGGCTGGAAGATGGGCGTGGGAAGAGAAAGAGGGTTGAGGTCCGCGCTTGATAACTGGTCCATGTCGCATACTGCATATGCATATCTACTGCAAATAATTCGCTGCATCCCAGAACATATACGGGCATATACGGGGGTGATGATGTGTGATAGGACATCCCGCAATGACCACGATGGCTTTGTTGAGCAAACGAGCGAGATCTTTTTTGAATCGTGTCACGGCCATGGTTTGCGGTCTATGCGGTCAATGAGAATAAGATGCTCCCTTCTTCTCGGCATTCGCACTCGTGTTTCCGCCCGTCCTGAAGCATCTCGACCTCTGCAACTGACCGCCACGACAGACCATCAAAGCCTTACGCCATCAGCCTTGGAAAACTGTAGCAAGACGTTCTATCGTTGCTGTGAATGCATCCTACACATATCATTAATTGTGTTTCTCTTCTGAACCATTTTTCGACCGAATGTTGAGTCTGGCAAGAGCATGCGAGCAGCTCAGGCTGCCGAGTAGTTCGACAGTGTCTTTCACTGCTGCCATCGAAAAGAGTGTTATATTGAGGCTGGTGCATAGTCCGTTATCTATGGCCTGCGCCCTAGTAAAGAGAGGATGGTGGGTGGTGTAGGAAGGTCTTCGGGAGTGAATCTCTCGAAAGCAAAACTGTCACTCGCGTCAGTATGGTCCAAACCGCCAGCTCCCGGGCCACTCACGTTCCCATGTTTCGACGTTCCACCCTGTTATGCTTTTTCGCCGTCTTGGCGTTTGTTTGGGTTCTTTGCCCATGTACGGGGTACCCAGCAGCATGTCTGCAGTATTCTTCAGCATAGCCACACCAAACCTCAGAAAGCGACTCACCGTCGACCACGATACGTCCCGACCATTCTCAAATGCGCAATATCCGCCTGCATCGCCCTTCTCTTCTCAGTCTCAATCTTCAGCTCATTCAACGGATCTTCCTGCCTCCCCTTGCCCTTGTCCAACCCTCCAAAGATCCCCGGGTGTCCGACCGGCTTGAGGGCCAAGCCTCCTGGAGGGGCGAGCTCGAGTGTCTGGTCCGAGGGGCGCGCGGTGGTGGAAGGGGAAGAGAGGTAGGCAGAGAGGGAGGTGAGTTGGGGTTCTGTGAGTTGGTTGACGAGGGCTTCGGAGTGGATACCGAGGCGGGGGAGGAGACGGGCAGAGAGTTTGTGGGAGATGCCGTAGAAGGTCAAGAGAGCGATCTGGGGGGTATGAGCATGGTTTCCAAAGCTGGAGACAAAACACTGACCTTGAGGGGCTTGTGGTCTGGGAGGTTGTGGCCGAGGAGATGCATGGTGGTGGTGGGAAGACAGTCGAGGATGCAGAGCAACAATCAACAATTCAACAAGTCAGAAAGAAAAATGCCACACGCGCGTCTCGCCGGCTAATTCCGCCTTTGCGCGAGATGCGAGATTTCCATGTATTCGTTCAAGTCGGCTGAAATACGCAGAGCACTATACAAAATGTCCCAATCACCCCTTCCCCAAGCATACAAGCTCGTACGACAGATCCTCTCCTCCTCCCCCTACGGTCTCCACACAAAAGACATCGTCAGACAAGGCGTTGCGCTCTATGCCGACAAACTTCCCAGGGAAGCGCTCGACAATATCCCAGAGCCAGTGAACGAGAGGATACACAAGGGGAAGAAGAAGCATGTCCCGGAGAAGCAGCTCGTCCCGGAAGGCCATCCGTTCATCTCAACAAGGTATGTGTGTCGTTGGCAGCCGCTGAACATCCGACTGACAAGTTCGCTGGATAGTTTCTTGAAGAACCGTGTCCTCCCTGTCCTTCAATCACAAAATCTCATCCACAAGCACCCCGTGCACCCCAAACCCTCAGAACTAGACCCTTCCTCCCCATCGGCAGCCAAACGCGGCAATGCCAAACTTGAATTTGTCTGGTCTCTCCGCGAGCAACCTGCAGACCTTCCGGAAGGAGTGTCTTGGTCTACCGCGGAGCAATGGGAACGTTTCATTCAAGGCGAGCACCCGGGGCTGGTAGGGAGAGACTACAAGGAGATGTTGGAGCAGATCAAGGTTGCCAAGAGGAAGGAGGCCATTGAAAGCGGGAAGGCCAGGCGAACGGATGAGGAGATCAGGGCGTGGGAGGGAAGACGGGTAGGGGTCACGACGGAGAAGGAGAGGTACCACTTGAATAAGAGAAGAGAAGCGAACCGCCCCCGGAAAGAGTGGAAGAACCAGGAAGAGTGGCAGCGGCTGCTGAACGAGTCATAGAGGAGTTGGGTGGACGTCTGTCTAGAGCATACGGTATAACCATGTAGGCATTTATCGCATCCATCTCCTCTGCTCTTATTGCTGTGTGCAACTTGGAAGCTGCTCGAAACCACAGCGGCTTTGTATAATGCGACTTTGCTCTGTAGCCGCTTCAAGATACCGACAACGTGGTGGTATCGATGTGTACTGGGGACTTTGAGCTATTGTATCATAGCGCCGCTGACATTCGACCGGAAAGAGCAAGCGAAAGATAGAAAATAGGGTTCAAAAGCGACTCTACCAAGTTGATATTTCGAGGAGTTCATCTTCCGTCTACCAAGTGGCCCCTGGGCCTCTTGAGGGCGAGTATCGACTAGACTCCGTGATACACTTTGATTTCGATTTGCCATATCATACAGTTATCGAGTTGTGTCGCTCATACGCTAGTACGGCATCGTCAGCAGACTCGCAACGACATGCCAAAGTCCAAAGAACAGGGCCAACACAAGGAGCTTAAGGCTGTTGAGGTAACAAGACTGGTCGAAGAGAATGGCAGCAGCTATAGGCTTATCAGTCATTTCGTGTCATCTCTGAGATCCACAGATTCGACAGCAACTCATGAACCGAGTGCCTCGTGAATCTGCATAGCATGTCGTCCATTATTCCCCCTCGATCGCGGCCAACGTACCTGCGTCCCCCACGACCAGTCGGGGAAAGACGGATAGCAGTCTCCTCTTCGTCGACTATATACGACAGCCTCTCGGTGCTCACCAACGGTGCCAACAGTATGAGTAACCTGCATCGCCTGGACGCGATCCTAATGAGATGACGGGTCTTTTGTGATGTTGGTTGAGATCTTGAGAAACGCCAGCGCGTAGCGAGACATTACGTCAGAACGTGTTGTGGCGGGAACTAGGCCATTGGGATTTCAGGGCCGAATAGAGCCCCTATTTACGGTGTTATTAGTGAGGAGAATGGGGCCTTGTTTCGAGGTGCAGCATATGGCGTACGGAGGCGTGCATGCAGTGTCCTCTTGCATCTCCATCTCCATCTCTTCCCCCAGCCCCCCCAGCCCCACACTGTCCCATCGACGCGGCGTCGATAAACAGCACCGCCCCTGAATCTCTTTTCTTCCGCGAGTGCGCGACAGCAAATTCACAACTCTTTTTCTCTCTCGACATCAACATTCTCCCCTCCCTCCTCGCGTTTCCCCTCTTCCCAGCTCGCCACGTGCGCCGTGCCCGTTGTCACCCTCCTTGTAGTAAGCCTCGCTCTTTTTTCGTCCTCGCCCTTTGCCCTGCTATTCTCCACCGCACAGCTCGCAATTCTTTCCTTCCCCTTCCCCCGCCTCATCGCCACCACACCTCCCCACATCCTTTGTTTGTCCTGCCCAGCTGACTCTAACAACAGCCACCGAAGGCCGAAGCATAAACACTCTCTCCCCTTGCGTCCCTCAACTATAAACACAACCCCACCTGAAGGGCACCGGCATCATGTCCCGCCCACATCTCCAAGGACAGGTGTCTTTCCAAGACGCTGTACCCCCCTCTCGCCGCGCGGGGCGTGACGATGTCCCTCCCCGTCCGCCGGCAAAGACTGACAATTCCAAAAACTCTCTTCAAACGACCGATACCGTCCAGTCTGTCGGTCCTGGCGGGTACGCCAACCCTGCGCTGGGGTACGACGAAGGAGGATACATGGAAGCAGGAGCATCGAGCCCCGGCTTCTCAGCCGCAGGCGATATAAGGAGGAAGAAGAGCATGGTCAGGCCGGAAAGAGAGAGGATGGATCCCAATCACCGCTTGTGGCATTACCGAGAGCATGCAGCAGAGGACCAGGTCGACGTTCAGCCCAGTTGTAAGTACAGGCAGCACGTTTCACGTTCTGGTGCGCTGACATCACGCAGCTACTGGTAACCAACCGTACCATTTACGGACCAACGGCGGTGCCAATCTCCGACGAGGCAAATCCCTGCTCGCCCGTGAAGCAGAAGACATTGACGATAGCTCGGGTCTCAATCTTTTCAAACGTGGTGCCACCATTCGTCGAAAGGCGTCACGAGCTGCACCCCGGCAAGCGCCACCCAGCGGCGCGCAATCCAACCGCGCGGGCGCTGGTGCCACCAAGCCCGACGAAGCCGATGTCGGTTGCTGTGCTTGTTTGGGAGATTTCGCCCCCGGTCCTAAAGATTGCTGGATGACCTACTGCTACCTCATCACCATCTGCATTCCCGGCTTTGTCATCCGCGGCATCTTTGGCAAAAAGACTCCAGATGCCCAACGTGCCTGGAGGGAAAAGATGGGTATCGTCAGTATTGTGGCCTACCTCATGACCTTTGTTGGTTATATCACTTTCGGTTTCACCCAGACTGTCTGTGGTGACACTGATCTCCGAATCGAGGGAGGCCTGGCCAGTTCAGGTTCTCTTGTCATCAACGGTTACGATTACGACTTCTCCACCTGGTCGCACCCTGCAGCTGGTTCCCTCTTTAATGGTTCTACCAGTCCGCTCTATATGGACGAATATATGGCTGGTGGAATGGACGCCAGTTTCATGTTCCAAAACGTCAACGAGCACTGTCTCGATATCATTACCCCCGCGCCCGATACCGGGATCGACTACTCTGGTTCTTCCCTGGGATGGTACTTTCCTTGCAACCTGCACGATCAGAATGGCACCTCTGCTGTCAACTTGACTGGCTATACGAGCAGCTACCAGTGTCACACATCGTCTACTGCCCGAGACGACTTTAGTGCCATCGTGCCTACTGCCGAAATCTACTACACTTGGGACAGTGTCAAGAGCGAGGATCGTAACCTTGCTGTCTACAAGTCGTAAGTAATGGTATCCTTTGAAATGCATTGCTAATACATCCACAGCGCTGTCCTCGACTTCAGTCTTTTGCAGTGGCTCGACGACAGTGAAGTCAGCTACCCTGCCTTTTTCGACACAATCAAGACCAGAAACAGCTCGTATGCCGGCAAAGATATCACCGCCCTCATCGAGAGAGCCGGTTTGACCACCATTGCCCAATGCCTCACGGACGTCGTTCAAGTCGGCTTTGTTGACAGTATATCCATCGGTTGTGTTGCGTCCGACATTGTTCTCTACGTGTCGCTCGTCTTCATTCTGGGTGCTGTCCTGATCAAGTTTGGTATGGCCGTCGCCTTTGGCTGGTTCCTGAGTTGGCGATTGGGCAACTTTACTGGCGAAAGTTACCAGGAGAGAATGAAGCGTGCGGCGGAGATTGAGCAATGGACAGACGACATCTATCGACCTGCCCCTGGATACCTCCGTCCCAACGCGGCCACAGGCAACGGTGCAAAGGCTGGTGGCCTCAAGAAGCCTTTCTTGCCTACAACCTCTCGATACAGTACTGCCGCACAATTGCACGTCTCTTCTAATTCGCGACCATCAACTGCATACGGCATGCTTGGTGATAGGGGAAGGCAAACTTCCAGCGTCTACGGCAACAAACTTGGCCCCCCCACCCTCCTCACGACACCCCCTGGTTCTCCCCTCTTGCGAAACTCTCGAAGCTCGACATCTTTGCCCTTCAGGGACGATTCTCACATGTCGTCGTCTGAGCATTCGTTCGGCAACCAGAGCCCTTGTCCTTTCCCTCTGGGCAACGTGGTCCCCCAGCCTGCCGCCGACTTTGAGCCCTTCTCCTACCCCCTCGTTCACTCGATCCTCCTCGTCACTGCCTACTCTGAATCCATTGACGGTCTTCGTACCACTATTGACTCTCTGGCCACCACCGACTACCCCAACTCTCACAAGGTGCTTCTTGTCATCTGTGATGGTATGGTGCGAGGTTCGGGTTCAAAGCAATACACTCCGGACATCGTCTTGGGTATGATGAAGGAGTTTATCGTTCCTCCTGAGGAGGTCGAGGCGCATTCGTATGTCGCTATCGCCGATGGTCACAAGCGTCACAATATGGCCAAGGTCTACGCCGGCTTCTACGACTACGACTCGAGCACCGTCGAAACCTCCAAACAGCAGCGAGTACCCATGGTCCTCGTCGCCAAGACTGGTAACCCTCTCGAGGCCAATGAAGCCAAACCCGGTAACCGAGGAAAGCGTGATTCTCAAATCGTTCTCATGAGTTTCCTCCAAAAGGTCATGTTTGATGAGCGTATGACGACGTTTGAATACGAATTCTTCAACTCTCTCTGGCGATGTACGGGTGTCTCGCCGGACAGGTATGAGACTGTCCTCTGTGTCGATGCCGATACAAAGGTCTTCCCGGATTCATTGACGAGGATGAACGCTTGTATGGTCAACGACACTGAGATCATGGGTCTTTGCGGTGAAACTAAGATTGCCAACAAGTCTGAGACTTGGGTTACCATGATTCAAGGTGAGTCACAATTTGCTTGCTGAGGATTACGCTGACAATATCTAGTCTTTGAATATTACATCTCTCACCATCTTACCAAGGCCTTCGAGTCCGTCTTTGGTGGTGTCACATGTCTCCCCGGTTGTTTCTCAATGTACCGAATCAAGGCGCCCAAGGGCGACCATGGTTTCTGGGTACCTATCCTTGCCAACCCCGACATCTGTGAACACTACTCCGAGAACGTCGTCGACACTCTTCACAAGAAGAACTTGTTGCTTTTGGGTGAAGATCGATATCTTTCTACCCTGATGCTCAAGACCTTCCCCAAGCGAAAGATGATGTTCTGTCCCCAAGCGGTCTGCAAGACTATCGTCCCCGATACTTTCCGAATCCTCTTGTCTCAGCGTCGACGATGGATCAACTCTACAGTCCACAATCTGTTCGAGCTCGCGCTTGTCCGAGATCTGTGTGGTACCTTCTGCTTCTCAATGCAGTTTGTCGTCTTTATGGACTTGGTCGGAACCCTCGTTCTTCCCGCCGCCATCAGTTTCACCCTGTATATCATTGTCGTCTCGATCATCCCTCAATCTGTCACCGGTATCCCCAGGCCTACCATCTCCCTCATTCTGCTGGCCTTCATCCTTGGTCTGCCGGGTGTGTTGATTGTCATCACCTCCCGAAAGGTCGCCTATGTCGGATGGATGTTGCTGTACTTGCTCTCGCTCCCCGTTTGGAATTTGATCCTTCCCGGTTACTCTTACTGGCACATGGATGACTTTTCCTGGGGTGAGACTCGTAAGCTCGAGCTCGGTGAAGGCAAGAAGGAGACCGATCATGGTGCCAAGGAAGGTATTTTCGACTCGAGTCACATTGTCATGAAGCGATGGGCCGAGTTTGAAAAGGAGCGAAGGTGGAGGAACGGGACACTCGAGAGGGACTCTCAGTACTATGATGTTGTGCAAAGAGCCAACTCTCCACGCAAGTGAGTAGAATTCCTTTCTGTCCGATACGCACTGACTTACTTGCCAGTGCCGCCTTGCCTTCTAATCGTTATTCTCTTGCGTCTACCAGCGAGACGTACAATAGCGGATTTGGTACTCAGGAGAGCAACCCACTTTTCCGACAAAGTCAGAGTTTTGCTTCAATGAGCCAAGCTGCTCCTAGTCCGGAACACAATTACGGCGAGGTTTCCCAGCTCGCTCTTCCACCTGCTCGAGGCGCTCCTGGCCGTGAGCACTCCCCTTCGTCCACCGAGTCCGGAACGTCCAATCTTCTCGGACAAGGCTCAGACCCATCAAGCTCTAGCCACGCAGACCCTTACTCGTATCAGTCTTATACGAACGAAGGATACCCCGACGAGGCTGAGCAGCCCATCCTCAACAACGACTACCTTCCTGCCTCTCCTCCTGAGCCTGCTTATAGGACAGCGTTGCAGCCATCACAATCGCAAAGAGGAGTATCGTTGGTGGATACGGGACCCGTACGAACTGCTGTCAATAAGGATGCTGTCCGTCGCGTTTCTCGGCACAACAGGCGTAGTTCGTCAAAGAACCAGCTTGTCAGTCCCATTTCGTCGGGTGGGCACAGTTCCGTCCTCCCCCCTGGTGCTGTGAGTTGATTTTGAGATATGATGAGAACATTGCTGACTAGACATGCAGGCGCCACCGCAATATTAATCTGTTCTATACGTTATGATGGACCTTTCGGCTCCGATTTTTCACGAGTTCTAAAACAATTTTGTTACGACGCAACGCCGAGCTTACTACAGATACATGATATTTTTTCTTTGATCTTTTCGGTCCTCTTTGAAGGCCTATCTTTTCCCTTCCTCTATGGCTGTTTATCAACTGTGTTTATGCCTTTGCCTTGGGGATTCCCTCTCATAGTATATGTATAACCGAACGGACATGAATGGAATCATAGACACGCTGCTGTGCAGACGCAAAAGGTTCTGGCCGCGCTGACCGTGATTGCGATCGTGATTCCAGAACAGTTCCAGTACACATTATATCTCAACTATTTAGACTCGAGGGCGAGTGGTTCTAATCTTCTGCTGCCGCCGGCGAAGGCGCTGATCAGTGGAGACATTCTGATGGTTCTCATCAGCCCCCGAAGCCCCCAGTGGGGTACCGCCGGCGCGAAAACGGACCGAACGAGGGGGGCGTTTGAGGAGCACCATACACAACCACGGTCCACGAGGCTTTACGCATGAAACAGGCGGGGTATACATGCAGTCTGATCGGCCACCGCGGTACAGCAGGTCTATGAAGCATGGAGAGCGATCTGATCTTGTGACTCCCCCGGCCTCCCCTCCGTCGTAGTCCAGCTTTGGGGGGCTAAAAGGACGCAAGGCATCACTGTTTTTCCCCATGCAGCATTGGCCTCTCGTGCGCGAACCTGCATGCCATTCCGACTCATGTGGCTACTTAAGTCAACTTCATTGTCATCAAACCCCCTTCTCCGTTCTTTCTGTACCTTGAGCCATTTGACTAAAAAGGTGCAAAAGAATAAAAGAAAAGGTAGTACTTGCTCATCTCGTCAAAACTATTAATCATGTTGATGCGTTCCCACGCAGATACGATACCACGAATGATCTCCACCCTCATCACACCCCCTTGCACCACCCAAAGAAACCGACCCGTCACTCCAGGAGGTTCACCATGTATCAAAGCTTTCCCGCCGACCTCCTCGTCTGCCAGCCCGCACGATATCAACGTCAAGGGTGGGGAGGACGAGATGTGGCTCGATTTTGCGGGCGATGATACTACATCGACCGAGTCTGTCGAGGGGAAGAAGATTGGAGTGAGGCAGAAAGTCTTGTTGGTGGGCATGTTCTGGCTACTTGAGAGAGTTGGACTGATGAATATGACTCAGCGACACCAAGCGCTGGTATCGTTTCTGCGTAGTACGCGAGCCAAGTTGATAGTGGCGAATACGCCTGCCACCAATGAGGGCATGCCGGCCCTCACCTACACTGTAAGCTCTGACCGATGGATGATGCTCGACACGAGGCTAAAAAGCCCGAGATAAGATATCCAGCACCTCCATCGACTCTAGTATCATCATCCAAACTCCCGCGTCAGACGGTGAAAGGGCAGAAGACAGACTGTTGCTGGAGCTCAAGCAGGGCCTTGAAATGTGGCAAGCTGGTGGGAGCAGACATCGCTATGAGCGAGGGTTGGAGGTACTGCCGCCTTTGATCGAATCCATCTCTTTGCCAGGGTCGGGTATCAACAAGCCCGCCGCAAAAGCGAGTACGGCCGAGGAAGATGACGGGAGTTTGTTTAGTTCGTTGAAACGCGCTGGTGGGCGACGGCTTGGGGGCGGGCATGTCAAGGCGTGTTGGGAAGAGTATATTGCTGGGAAAGCGAAGAGTTGTGTGAAAGCTGCGAGTGGCCGAGAGAAGCCTCGATTCTTCTAGTTGATCTTGCATGATATCTTGTGTGATCGATTGTTGCATGTATGTTTCCAGTATGATTTCAAACTATTCACAGATGCATGTCAATACGTTCGAGAATATGCCAACCTTACAAATACAATCTCCCGCCCCTTTATTGCCCATTCATCCCCAGAACACCCACCACATCCCTGATCTTTGCCACCTCGCTCGCACTCAGCCTCCCCTTCAAGCTCACAAACATTGTCTCCCACGCCAGATTCGCCTCCTGCTCCGTCTCGAAATCGCTAATACAAAGCGCATGCACCCGCTGCCAGAACAGGGGCTCAGACACTGTCGTATGAAAAGTGGCAGATGACACTTCTGGCTGGGGACCGATTGGCGCCGCAGACTGGTCGGCGACGGTGAGAGGCATGGAGGTACCTGCTTTGGAAGCGTCGTCGATGGAGGTGGTGATGGTGAGCGATGGGGGGTTGGGGGCAGTGGAGGAAGGTGGGGGGATGGTAGCTTCCGAGGAGGAGAGTGGGGGGGACAGGGAAGGGGTGGAGGGGGCTTTACTGATCATGAGGTGCAGAGTCGCACCAGACTCGATAGTGTACTCTTTGAGGAGCTTGCTGTCCGCCAAAGCTTTGCCCTTGAGCAGCAACCGTTGGGAGTCGGCAGCAGGTGCAGAAGAGGAGGAGCTGGCGACGATGGCTTTTAGGTCGGCCACAGTATCTGTCAATTGGGCGGTGACGGGGATGGTGAGAGACGGTTTGAGAGACTTGATGGTCAAACTGATGCTCGTGTCTGCAAATGATCAGTAAAATGAAGACTTTCAAGTGCCGCCTATTTAACACTTACCTGGTGCAGGAGAATCAACGTCCATGCCCTCGCTCACAGGCGGGGCAGCGACAGGGACTGCGACAGCCGGTATCTTTCTCGGACGCTCGTCGGGAGGAGTAGCATAGTCCGCGGGGTACTCGAGTTTACGGGATGCGAGACCCTCAGTGTAGCGCTTGATGAAGGCGCGCTCCTCGTTGATTCTGTCTCCTGTGAGCTGGGCGTCCGACATGCTCTGAGATGCTCTGAGATGAGATGAGATGAGATGAGATCAAGATGAGATGAGATGGAGAGACAAGCTGGAGACCGTCATCTGCCTCCACTCGTTGCGAGCGGCCATCCCCGCCCTGTCGTTACGTAAGTGGGTGGTGTTTGGTAAAAAGCGCGCCTTTCTTTCTGTTTGATTTTTCACAACAAGATACAAGATTGCAACAAGATCAACAACAAAATCAACAACAAGATCAACAACACACCTCCCCACCGCCAGCCAGTAAGTCGCCGACATGTCCGCCCCTCTCCAGCAGTCCACCGGTCAGTCCCATCTCTGCCATCCAGTGCCAGACAAACAAGCTGACCTATTGGCCCACCCTTGCTCTCTTTCCACACCCGCCCCCGACAATCCCCACAGCTCAAAACACCGTCCCCGCCCAGACCGCCCAGCCTAGCTTTCTGCAGAAGAAGGGTCTCCTCGGTGCCGCCGCCCGTGGTGGTGTCAAGCCTTCGTATGTTTGGCTTGTTTACATCGTTTCTGAAAGTGCGGTGTTGATGGCCTCGTGCTGACTTCTTTTTGCAGCAACACTGTCTCTCCTTCTGACGTCCTCTCCCCCATCTCTGCCAAGCTCAACAACTCTAAGCAAAGGCATTTCCAAAAGTACGTCGACATGCTTCGTCTCCAGCATAGATGTTGACGTGTGATATCACAGGGGTCGACCCGTGCACCTTGCCAGCCAGCTGAGCCAACTCGCCAGCCAGGCCAGCCCTGCGTCCAAAGAAAACAAGCCCAAGATTGACGAAAACTTTTAAATCCACCGTCCGGCCTCTGTTCCCGTGCCATCACCCGCCACTGGCCTTCTCGGTCTCCTTGTACCTATACCCCACCCACCCACCACCAACCCCCTTTTGTCGGTACCGACCTTCTTCTTGGGTGTCTATCGTCCATCCCAACCGTTGTCGATTGCCATACTCTTATCGTCCCCTCGATTATAATATACCAGCTCTTTCAGGGTCATCATGTCGAGACGTATCGCATCTTGTCCGCATACCACGATAATGCATAGCATTGTGACGTTTTCCAATGTGGCTACACTGGCTACCACGGTTATGACAACATTTGAAGCTAACCAGTAGATTACTTGTAGCTGAGGCCAAAAGCGCTGCTCCAACCAGATGCACCTCTTAAACACCTTCTTGACAAAAGTCAGCCTCATCCATCAAATTCGTTAACTCACCTCTTCACACCTCTCAGCCAACGAGCTCCCGGTCTCGATCCCAGCATCCCAGCCCCATCAACAATCTCGGCACACCCCTCCACAAACTCTACAAACTCGTCACACGTCCAATTATCGACAAACTTGACGAGCGCCTGTTGGGTCTGCGTGAGGCTTGCGGGGTCGGCGGCAGCGAGCTCTTTGTGGAACGTCTTGGCGTATTGCCATGCCGTCAAGTAGGCCTAATCTCACTCAGATCGACACTCCTTAATGATCATTGTCTACTCACAATCTCCATAGTCCAAATGACCACAAACCCCTCTTCATCACTCCCCAAAGCCCCCGTACTTGCAAAAAGTCCACATACACCCTCGTCACCTCATTATACTCGCCCAACAACCCCTTCCCACCCTCTTCAGCACCATCATTTGCTTCCTGCGAAAAGACATTGAGCCCGTGCTGTTTGGCAGTGTCGACGAAGAATTCGGTGAGCAAGTGGGCATGGGCTGTCGTTTGTTGACTTGTGCATTTCTCGAGGAGGTACTGGGTGAACTTTTGAGAGTACATGATGGATACCTTGATCTACGTATGGACAGAAGGGATGCAATGCATAGTATTCCACGATGGCAGATGCAAGACACATTACGGAGTGCCGTTCGGGAGAGCGACCTCCACTTTCAACTCTCGACGCGCTGGCATCCATCATGATCCATCCATCGCATTGTTTGGTTTCCTCTCCTCGTGGCATCTCCATCCCCAGGACGACTACAGAGGGGCTGCCACTGGTGATACAATGACATGGCACCTCCTGCCCTCGCCCCGCCCATCTCTATCCCCGCCCGGACCCAGCCTGACCCCGGCCTGCCAAAGTGGGAAAAGATCCTATGGAGGAAGCAGCCGTATGCGGACAACTATGTCCCGCCTGACTTCCTTGCGGAACTCGATGATATAGGCAAGTCTTTCTCACTTTTGAGGAAGGGACAAGAGCTGATGTAGAATAAAAGTGCCACGTCCGAGACCGTCCTTTCCAGCGCTCCTCTTTGCGGCACTACCCATAACCCAGCATATCTCGACAATCGCCATCTTTCTTGCAGTCCTATCAGCCCTTTTGGATGGGAGGGTGACCCCAGAATCTATTGGATGGGGATGTTTTCTGGGAGGGTTGGTGGGGTGGGGTGTATGGCAGAGAGGGTGGGGACGGTGGAAGCCTCGGGAAGTACAGGGTATGACATTGCTCCCTTGCAAAAGTGTGTATACATACTGACTAGATGATAGACCCTCTGATACCACCACCAACACCCATCCGCACACTCATCCTCCCCCCACTCCTCCTCGCCCTCCTCTCCCCAGTCCTCGGCACACTCACCTCGGCAACCACATCAGATTCCATCTGGCCCCTCGCCGCGGGCCTGGGCTTTGTGCATTTGCTTTTATCGGATTTTAGGACGGGGGAGGATGTGCGGGTTGTTAGGAGGAGGGAGAGGAATAGGAAGAGGAGGGGAAGTGTGGGGTGGAAGGAGATTGGGGAGGAGAAGAGGTTTGTGGTTTGCAGAAAGTGTTCAGAAGTACATGCTGATTTGAGAGTAGCCTGACTTCGTCCTTGTCGCTGACCTCGGCGCTCTCGGCGTCTGTCGTACTAGCTTCAAGACTACCTTCGAACGCCCATGTCTTTTCTTTGATCTTGCTTTCGGTACTGTTCTTTGCCGGCTGGCCAGTCGTCGCCAAAAGCGTGAGGGTACGTAACGTCCTCTCTAGTGTCACAGCCACTGACGTCCATACCAGGAAGCAGGTAAAGGCTACTCTCTCGTCCTCACTCTCTCAACAGCGACCCTCGCCCTATCCCTCATCCCCTCCGCCCCAACACCATTCCCCCAATCCTCGCCTGTACACCCCGCCCTCGCGTCCCTCCCAGCTCTCATCTTTCTCCTAGTGTTGTTTTTGGTGACTATGGTGGGACCGGCGATGTTGTGGTATGCTTGGAGGTGGAAAGTGCATAGAGGCGGGGGATGGGACGTCGCCAAAGTTCGGGTGAGGTCAAAACAAGCTTGAAGGATGTGAATCTAGATTCTAGATTTCTGGGTTATTCAGCGAGTAGTGTGTATGATGCATATGTACAACCATGAAGAAAAACCAAAAATACTGTCCACATGCTCTTCCATCCCTCTATTGTCCTCCACAGATCTAGACGTATACCACGTCTAGACCTTGAAACCGTAACCCCTCATGCAAGCCTTGTGCGCCTCAATCAGGTCCTTACACGCGATATCTCCTTCTCCGGGAGCAGACTTGATGAAACAGTCGTCTCGGGCGGATTTTGTTTCGGGGCAAGCGCAACAGCTGGTTGGGATTGTTAGCATTTCGTGATTCGTCTGCCCTTCGGTCTGCCTCCACTTAGGTGTCGATTCGCTCAATGTATTGAAACTTCTCCTTGATCATAGAGCTAATAACTTACGGCTTGAGACCCTTGGGGTTGAGGGGGTTGACTTCCTGAGCGACGGGGGAGACGGGGGTTGACTGAGCAGCAGCCTGGGCGGGGGATTCGGAGCTGATCGGGTGTAACTGGGTGAGCATCGTCCGAGCTGTACACTGTTTCCACTCACTTGCTGAGGAACGAGACCATTATGAGAGATACTATATGGGCAGTAGAGAGAGAGAGAGACAGAGAGTGACTTTTTTTGTGGATGAGCGAGCAAGGCGCGAAAGTGGCAATCCAACAAAAACATGGCACGGCGAACTCCGAGCGCTGGCGGCGAGCGCCGTCCCCCGGCCCGACTCCGGCAGAATTTCAATGACGCAGGAGGAATCTGAATCGAATTCACGCAAACCATTATTGTTATTGTTGTTCTCTTATCAGATTATTTTTCAAGTGGTATATCCCTCGCAGAACTGGATATATCCAACACCTATATACCCCTCCAGGCCATCCCTCGACCACACCCAGTCATAGACAAAGAAAACAATGATCGCCGCGCCTTTCCTCCGTCCTCTCACGGCTGGACTCCGACAGCAGACCCGCCGAGGGTATGCTTCTGTCCTCGAGCAAGCCGCCCAGCCGGCCGATGAGCTCCCTCTGCGGCTCCAGGCGATCAAGCTTTATAAAGAGGTGAGTTGGGATTTTTGACATGTGAAAAAAACATGTGGGTGGATTGCTGATGGACGCGTTCTAGCTGCACCGTCTCGGACGTGACTAGTGAGCTTTCCCCTGCTCCATTTCCAATATTTTGCTGAAGGTGCTCCAGCCCTGACCCCAACTATGAATTCAACAAGCGCCTCCGACGAGCTTTTGAAAGTACGTCCCACATCCCCCACTCTGCTCCCCCACTTCTTATCTCTTGCCAAGCTCCACGCGCGGATAAGAAGCTGACCATTCTTTTTCGCTATTGTAGAGAACTCCAAGGTCACTGATCCTGAGGCACTCAAGAAGCAGCTTGAACTCGGCGAGCACATCAAGAAGGGTGCGTTCTCTTGTCGTTATTTGGGAATAGGTGCTGACTTGTTTATCTTTTTGCCACAGAGGTTCTCGCCCTGCTCTCGCTGAAGAAGTTTCGCCACCTTAGGCGCTCTTACCACGCTCACGAGGGCCCTCGTTGATCTTATCGCGATCCACTGACCCGAGGCACCCTGACAAGTGCTAACGGTTGGCTCTCTCTATAGCTATTTCGCTCTTCCGTGTTCCCCTTTTTCTCTCGCCTTGTTTTCCTTTTCCGTTCCGACATATCACGACCGTTACGCCCCCGTAGTATCCATGATTTTTGATGGCTGGATCTATTATTGTAGCCTAATACTTGACGTCCGTACTTTTCCTTCCTATAGACCGAGAGATGCATGACTTGTCTATAGTCTCTAAACCAAAAAGTGAGAAAAGGGGTTGTACAAGATATCTAGTGCTGGGTATCATTTTTTATTAATTCTACAAGACCACTCCACAGGCTATTGCTTCCTCTTCTTAACGCCGGGCACTATTCTTCCCTCCCTATATCGAGTGTCAGTCACATTCCCTCTGATACCCTGGTGAGGACTCACGCAAACGCCCTAATCTTTCTCTTCTTCCCCTCCTTCTGCCTCTCCACCTTCTTCTCCTTCTTCTCCGCATGCAGCTCCGGGTTAGTGAACGCCAGCTTGACTCGGCCCTCGCGACGTTCTTGTCGCTTGGCAGTGACAGTCTGGCGCAGTTTCTCCCAGGCTTTGGAGAAGGCGCTGATGCCTGATCTGGTCGTGACGAATTCACGTACTTGGGTCGCAAGTTCGCGCAGGTCGTCTAGCGTGTTGTTAGTAGGGAGTAACGTGGGATTTGAAAATGGGATACTTACCGACTTGCTTGTCCTCGACTTGCCCAAGATCACCGCCCTCGTCCAAGATCCTATACACCGGACTCAAGACGTGCACCAAGAACCCAATAGCTTGCGCCTTGCTCAAACACTCGGTCACACCCGCAAAGAACCGCAAGATGGACAAGATCGGTGCGGACCATTGTTCCTGTTTGCCGCGTAAGTTTCATGCGTCTGTAGTGATGATGGCGAAAACATACCTGAGCTTGGAAGCTGTGGGGAGCTGGTCTGTTGACGATCAAGTGTCGAGCGACGAACGACATTCGAGACATGAGCCAAGCCAGAGGCTTCTTTACGTGTTCTTCTTCATCGCGGTCTTCTTCCTCGTCGGCGCCTTCTTCCACGTCCTTGGCAGCAAGCGGTTGCTCGGTAGCCTGTACACAATGTCAGCACAAAGAAATCAGACTAGAATGGATATACTCACAGCCCAGTACTTGGAGATGTTGTACAGACACTTGACCACTTCATCCGCCAACTTGCCGCTTCCGACCATCCACTCTCCATTCTCATTCCTATTGCCCTTCAACACAAGACACCCCTTCCTAGCAATGTCAAGACACAGCTCATTACCGAGCATCTCGCAGACGACGGCGGGATCCGCATCATTGGCAAAGAGGTTGGAAATGAGTTTGGCAGTGTCGTATCGGACATAGTCGTGGGGGAAGAGGAGATGAGGAACGATATCGGTCCAAGGGAGAGACGACGAAGCAGAGGGGTTGGTGAGAACAAGCTTGGCCGTTGTGGCGAGGGTGTGGTGAGGAAGGGTGTAGTCGAGTTCAACTGCTTCGTCTTGCTCCTCGGCTTCTTGGAGGGTAGCGGCGCTTTCCTTCAAGACTGGATTAACGACGCTCGCCACGTCTCCAAGCCCTTCTCCGCCAGTTTCAACAAGCAAGCCAAGGACACCCATGGCAGCTCCAGCAAGGGTCTCATTCTCGTCGTGCTGGGCGATCCAGCTTTTGACGACTTCGGCCATCTTGCCTCTTGCGCCCTCGTCCAAGCGTCTCCAGAGAACCTTCAACAATTCTCCGGCGGCCACTCGGCATTTCTCGGAATCGTCGTTGGCACGGGTGACCACCAAGGCGACAAAGAACATGCCAGCGTACTCTTCAATAAGGTCGTCAGAGAACTTTTCAAATACGGCAGAGAGAACTTCCATGACGGAAAGACGACCTGCTTCGTAAGTGTATTGCAAGTTTTGCGCGAAAAAGGTCATCTGAGACTTGAGACGACCCTTGCCTTGAGGATAATCGAGGAGGAAAGCCATGACGGAACCTCGACACAGCTCTTGGACATGTGTGGATTGAGAAGTGACCATGATGGAAGACACTCGCTCCATCAAGTCGTAGATCTCGGGGACGACAAACTTGCGAGTGATGATGGCACGAAGGACAGTAAAGATGGCAGACTGCCTGTCCGACTCCTCGAGGTCTGGACTGATGACTTCAATGAGGTACTTGAGTTGAGTTTCAGATACCTCAGAAGTCTTGCAGTCCCTCAAGATGACAGACAATGTCTTCAAAGCCATTTGAGCAACCTCTGTCTGGGCAGTGCCTCCCGCATGCTTGATAATCTTGAAGATGTTGTTGATGTAGACATGCAGGGCGCCTTCTACCTGAGGTATAGGGCATCGAGCGATAGCGGCGGTGGCCTTGAGGGAAAGGAGCAACACATTGGATGTGCTGGAGTAGAGGGTGTTACCAATAGCGTTGACCATGGGGCCAAGACGAGAGAGAATGTCAACATCGTCAAAGGCAAACTTGCCCCGTCTGAAAGCAGTGACAAACAAGTCGAGACCAAACATGACAAGCTTGTGCGCGTTGGCAGGGTAAAAGTCCTCTTCAGCCTTGACGTCTCGCTTCATCACAACCTTGAAAGCTTCAGGTGTATCGGCAGGTCGAGCAGCCTTGCGCTTGGCCTTGAGATGCGACGAGTTTCCACTGATGAGAGAGTGACAAAGCGACAGGATATCTTGGGGCGACAGAAGGCTGTTGGCGTTAAGACCCAAGGAGACGCGTCGAAGCGCTTCGTCCAGCTGCTGCATAGCCTTGACGGCCTGCGAGGCGTGCATGACGTCCTGAATCGGCACCAGGACGGCACCGATCTTGCTTGGCGACACGAGCTGGGAGAGAAGCTGGAAAGTGTCGAAACCTCGCGAGGTGGCACCCCTGACTTCCCTCATCTTGGTCTTGAAGCCTTCGCTATCAACGTCCTTTCCGGATTCACCCCAGACAACCTCAGCAGCAATCTGCACAGCCAACTGAACAGCATCGTCGAGGTTGGCAAACCTATCGGACGCCTGAGTAGTGGCTTGGACCAGGATGGCGTGGGTTGTCACAGCAAGGATATGCTTCTGGGGCCCTCGAGGAAGAGCGACTTCCAACTCCTTGATAAGCTTGACCAGCCATCCGGGGCCGAGGTAGATGGCAATCTTGCAGATCGTCTCTCGGGTGATGTCACGAGTGTCTTGGTCTCGGCTTCGGAGAATCTGAGCAACAGTGGTGATAGCACGAAGGACTTCGGTCTCAGCAGAAGGTCCGGGCAGAGTGTGGGCGATCTTGACAACACCAAGAGCCAGAGGCACTCGGATGGTGCTTTCAGCATCGTCTTTGTCGGCAACAAACTTGGTGAGAGAAGGAAGGAGCTTGTTCAAGATGATACCCATGATCTTCTCGGGGCTGGCTCCATCATCCTTCTTCACGACCTCATCCTCGTCGTCATCGCCTTCTTCGTCATCGCCTTCCTTCTCGTCAATGTCCATGGCATCTCCAGTTCCCAAATCAAAGTGGAAGCCATCAATGACGGCTGCCACACTCCTGACGTAGTACTTTTGTTGCCCAGTCTTTCCACTTCCCAAGCCGAGCTTCATGTACCTCTGGATTAACGAGTACCATTTGTTCCACCTCAATTCCTGCGCCAACCCACCAACGGTTTGAATTGCCTCGTTGATAAGGTGGTGATCCGTAACGTCGGTGGCACCGGCGATGATGTGTTCAAGCAAGGGCAAGAAGATCGAGGTGTAGGTGTTTTCTTGGATAGAGGTGGTCGGCTCAGCGATGATGCTTCGCAATCGGACAAGCGCACGGGCGCGTCGATGAACCTGGATGTGACTGATGTTGGTGAAGAAGGACGCTTCGTCATCGCCCTCAGCCAACAGAGGCTTCATCTCATTCAACTCTGGCACGCCATCGCACAACTTGACACCTTGAGCGATCACCAACAAAGCCTCCCCTCTGACCAGCTCAATCTTGGATTTGAGGGCTCTCTTGAGCCCCGGCAGAATGATGTTTTGCAGAGCGTTGACATAGGCGCCGTCGGAGGAACTGCCGACTACAGCGATGAATCTCTGCAGTACAGCTGAAGCACTCGTCCTGATAGACAGCTCCTCGGGCTCGTGCAAAAAGAACAAGCATGACCTCAATATAGGGGTCCAAGCTCGAACGTCTTGAGGAAGCTCCTCTTCCGGTCCGTCATTGATTGCCTCGAATGCAGACAGACGTCTGTCAAAGTCGGGCTCCTCGACCCTCTTGGCAGAATAAGAGTTCAAGTCTGCTACGAGCTTAACAGATTTAGCAAGAGACGGGTCGACGGCCGCAAAGGTCTCGAATGTCTTGACCAGGGCTCGACGCGACGAAGAGAAGAAGAGAGTCTGGAACAGACTGGAGATAACGTCGTATGACTGATAGAAGAACTTGCTAGATGTGTCTGTAAAGTCGGGGCAGATGGCGTAGAGCCGTTGAAGAGTGGCAAGGATGTTGGTCTTGGCCTTCTCGTGGGTTTGTCGGTTACGGAGCATAGGCGCAAGAAGGGTAGCGAGCTGCTGCGCTTGTTGTCCATCCTCGACAATGGCTGAAAGGTGTGAAAGAATGGTCAACAGTCGACGAGTGATATCATCGTTTTGTGAAGCCTTCAAGGAAGCCACAAGACCAATGACATTGTCGATGAGTACCCTGATATGGGGCAGAAGAACCTCCTTGGTCAAGGCAGCCTCGTCATCCTCGACCAGCAATGAGTCGATAATGTCGAATACCTTCAGCACCACCGCAGGCTTGACCTTGACAGCTGTCATACAAGCGAAAGCCTTTGGCAGCGTCCTCTGGTCCAAACCAGTAAGGCTAATGGCCGTTTCGGGTTTGGCGGCAAGAGTAGCAATGAGATCAAGAGTACCAGAAGGTGCTTGAGTGTTTTCGACTTCGAGCTTATCCAGTCTGGGAGAGATGATGTATTGGAAGATGGTTGGGAGGTAAGGCTTGACATCGAATTGAACAGGCGAGCGCAGGAATTGGACCAGGCGTTTCAGCCCGATAGACCTGATGTTTCGCAAAGGCGCCATACCCTTCTCAGCCTCAACATCCTCGGTCTCATCGCCTTCATGGGCATCCTCGGTCACAATGTCGGACGCTGTCAAGCGCTCTTGAGCATAGCCAATGAGGTTGACAAGGTTGTTGACCAGCCGGTCCCAATGAGCTCCAAGTTGGGGACCAAGGTATCTGATGACATCGGTGAGCAGAGAGAGGAAACCCATCTGCTGCCTTCCGGTGACCTTTCCGGCATCTTCCATCGTCTCTCCGAAAGGCTCAAGCATGAGGTCCACAAGTGTACCAAGCTCCTCGGACGAACAGCCGTTCAAAGCACTGAGCACGGCCTGCTTTCGCGCAGCCTGACCTTGCGCGCTACTGGAACGTCCTCGGCGCGAGGTCATGATACCGTAGAGCAAGCGGATGATGACAGGCAAAGCCTCGCTTCGGTGGGTGGGTTCGATCACAATCACTCGCGTCTTCTGAGCGGCTTCAGAGTTCCTCGCAGCCAGCGCATAGTCCTGGCTGTCGACACCCAACCGCATCCTTTGCAACTCGTCCCTGAACTTGTTGTCCTCCAAAAGGCTCTCCAGAGAGTCAGAGTAGGGAGTCAGGCTGGGTGACTTGTAGGTTATCAAACACTTGACAGCCAAGCCTTGCAGCTTGGGCTCACCCTTGGAGAGTAAGCTCAGGTACAACTGATGCAGCTCTTCCGCTCGGAAAGCAGCTTTTGGATTGACAAACTTGGAGAAAAGTTCGAGATAGTTGGCTGTACGGGCTTGGAGCTGCTTGGTAGACAGGTGTGTGGCGGACGAAGGCTCGTCATCTTCAAATGTGCCTTGGCGAGCGACAGAGAAGAATACTGGTGTGATAAGACGAGTGTGCTTCTCGGCGACAAGAGGCATGGCGCCGAGGGTGGCGAGAAGCTGGGCCTCGTAATTCAAAACATCCAGCTTGTCGTGTGATATTTGCGACTGTGTATATGGTCAGCAGGCGCTACAAGATGGACAATATCACTCACAATGACCTCATGCTCGTCCAATTTGTTTTCCTGAGTCTTTCGCTCCCAGACTTTCCCAAAGATAACCCTGCTCTTCTCCAGATTCGGGCACCTGAACTCGGCTTCGTCCTCAACCTTTTCGATCGTTTGCTCTGTCTCGCCTTTCACAAGCGCCCACTCGGGGTACTCGATATCCAAGTCCACAGCGATAGCCGCAGTAGATGAATTGGTCTTTTGCAATTCACTCCATAGAGTCTCCCAGACGATCTCCTTGTGCTGCTCCGCAATCGACGAAAGTGTCGCAATAGCCTCCGGATAGATGGGCCTAAAGTTGACTTTCAATTGCGAAGTGATATAAGCTACCACGGCAGCAAGCACATTCGCAGGAAGGAGTTCCTTGGAAGGAAGAGCTGCGAGTGCACGGGTCAACCGTGAGATTTCAGTGGTCCTCTCTCGCACATTGCGCAGAGTCATCTCGGAAGACTCGATCTGTACGCAGTGGTTGTAGATGTGGTGTAAGGAGGTGGTGCTCTCTTCGGGGTTGGAGTGAAGGGGCTGTGTGGGAGCGATGGCAGTGAGGACTTGAAGGGAAGAGAGGCGGAGTTGAGAATCGGCAGAGATGATATTAGGCATGAAATGCTCGAGGGTTTGGTCATGCGGCAAGCTGCGTCTGTCAGCGTTTGGCGATTGTAGAGTCATGAGATGACATACCCGATTTCCGTTGCCCATCGCTCGATGTGCGGTACCACACTCCCCATAATCTCTCTACTCCAACTCCACTTTTCAATCACCTTCTTCGCCCATCCTTCCACCACAAGCAGTCCCTTGATGTCGTTGCTCACATCCGCTTTGGAGGCGGCGATCAGCTCATCAGCGGCTCGCAAAAGCAAGCCCAGGATGTGGGTATCGTTCCAAGCACCTTGAGACTTCCACTCGTTCTTCAAATCGTCTTCTGTCTTCTTATCCAACTTTTGGAGAGTAGACTTGAGAAGAGAGATGACCTCGGGGGTAAATTTGTCTGCGTCTCCGGGGAGAGCTGGTACAAGCGACAGTATCTGCCCCAGCACCCTCCTTTCTTTCAACTCCAATTGTGATTGACCCAGATTCTGCAAGAGACCGACAAGGGCAGAGACGAATGATTGTCTCCATCGACCTCCTTGAACGTTTGAGAGACCTCCGGAAAGATACCCGGAGGAGGCGAGGTTGTTGAGAAGGACAAGGGTGGAGAGGGGGTCGGTGTTCAGGGAAGGAAGAGAAGCCCTACAGAAGAGTCAGCGTTGATCAATTGTATGAGTGTAGTGCTCACTTGGCAACATGAGACAGGATGAATTGCTCAACACCGGTCCACTTCAGTGCCACCAAAGCGTTGACGAACGCGAAACATTCATGGTCGTCCTGGAATTCATCAGCATAAGGTATCCTCAGTACAACCAATGACTCACAAGACTTTGCCACAATTTGTCTATGAGCACAACACCAGGGCTGAGCCACTGAGCAAGCTGCCCGGCCTGCAACGCCCCAATGACACCAGACACGAGCCATCTTCTGAACGCTCCTCTTGTCTCATTTTCCTCTTTAACGAGATCCTCCTTCACGACCGCCTCGTTGGTCAACTTTGGAATGAGCTCGACGAACCTCTGCATGAGAGATTTCAAGAGTGGCGAGGGGAATCGCTTTCCCTTGCGGGTGAAGAGGAAGGCCGAAAGAGTGTGAAGGATGGCAGTGGTGGAGGATAAGGAGGTAGCTTTGGATAGTCTGTCGAGGACGACCTCAACAATAGGCTGGTTGACCGATGCAGATGTATGGTGGACGAGGGCAGTGCTGACCAGGGAGAGGGTGTTTGTCTGCTGAACACTCGGCGAGTTCACCAAGTGATCAAAGAGGGCGGTGTAGATGGCCACACCTCTCGAATGAAGCTGCCCAGAAGCACCCTTCATACTGTGCGCCCACACAGCTTCCATTCCTTGGAAATCACCACTCAGCAACAGATCCATCAATCTGTGCAACCCCTCCGACCTCGCCTTCCTAATCACACCTGTCCAAGCGTCAGCGACGCATCGCCTGACATAGGACCTGTTAGCTTTTGGGGCGAGGTAAGGGCACAGATTCTCCCATGTCTCCTTCAAAGCAGCTTGGGCGGCGGCGTTGGATTTGAGAAGGGAGGAGGCGATCGTTCGGAGGATGAGAGAGAGGGTGGAATATGTCCTCTCCACAAGTTTGGGGTCGAGAGCTCGCAGGGAGCCCACTCTGAGAAGATCTTTCACTGTCTCTGGGACATACACAACAGCCTCCCCGATACAGGTCTCGTAGAGAGCCTGGTGCAAGAAGAGTACCGAATCAAGACCGGAGTGGGTATGCTCGTGCCCATCGGCAAGATTTGAGTAAAAGTTGTGAAAGACTTTTTGGATTTCGGGAAGATTGTGGAGGGTGATCGGAAGAGAGTTGGTGAGGGGAATCAAGATGCGTTGAACATCTTGGTAGGGGATGGTGAGGTCGAGCAATGAAAGGCGTTCGATTTCAGAGGTTAAGGGGGTGCTCTAAATTTTGTCAGTATGCCCCTTGATGTTGTAGAATAGACCCACTGTCTGCTCAGTGTCCTCATTGAACTCTTCCTTCTGCCATCCCAGACCTCTCTGCTTGCCGACATCGACTGAGATATTTTTGAGTTGTTGGTTGTAGGTGGTGTACCTGAACCTTTTCTGTGGCGGTTCTTCCATGTTGGGCCGAGCTGACTTATCTGCCTGTGGTTCCCGTGAGAGGGGGACAGGTGAAGATTGAGCCGAGAGAGTGATATAGGACGAGCGATAGATACATGGCACCAAAACAAAATCTCTGAAATCTCTGCAAGCGGCGGTCGCCGCGCCGGGTGGCTGGTGGAGGCAGGTCACCAACAAGTTCAAATACATCCACAAGCAGAGCACAGCAGCCTGGCTATACATACAATGAAGGAAGGGGGCGCATACGATACTGCTGAGGCTGGCCCTTCAAGACCACCGCTCGATACTCAGCGCGCTTGCTCCGCAAACGAGGTTCTGGCAACGAGCTCGTCCAGGTCTCCAAGCTCTACATCTTCTGCACTGGACGAAGGCAATGAGAGCGAGAATGACCAACATGAAATGGAGGTAAGATGTCATCTGCTCTGCTGGTATGGCCCCAATTGACATTTCCCAGGCTCAGTCAGTAGAGGATTCAATCCCAAACCGCCCGTCCTTCCAGCAACGCCAATCCCATGTGACCCCTCGGCGCAAGCCTCACCTTCCTCACCTTTCCCTAGACCTGCCCCTCCACACCTCCGCATCAGAACTATTCTCGCATCCCCAGTCCGACTCGCCTATGATTGATGGAGACGGTATCGAGACGGAGGGTAGTGGTGGTGCAAAGATGAGCTACTCTAGTCTACCTCCGTCGCCCAGAGGAGAGTTTATGGGGACGCCCAAAGAGGATATAAAGGTGTCGGGGAAGGATCTGAGCAATCTCCTCGGGGATCTGGAAATGAAGCGAAGGGGTCTAGGGGAGGAAGCGGTCAATCTTGACACGGAGAGCGAGACGGTAGTGGAAGGAGAAGAGTTTTGGCCAGCACGCTCCAGAAGGCCCACTCTCAGTGAAGAAGATAGCTATCGTCGTTCGACCGACGACGACGATCTTACATCCCCCACATCTGCTGCTGCTGATACTGACTCGACACGCCGGGGCAGCGACGTCAAGCTTGGACCGATACAGTCCAAAACAGACGTTCTCGGGATATGGGACCTTCTGAAGGATGAAATGGGTGCAGAGGATTGGGATGGTTGGGTCGTAGATGGCAAATGGTAAGACTTTCCCCTCGTAAGATACTTCTAGTGTTGACGTGAATAAAGGGAACGCATAGCGAACTTTCTTGCTGTGCCCCTCGCCGTGGAGAAGACAACTCTCTTCGGTGCTCTCCTCTGTCTGGATGGCTTCCTCTACAACTTTACCATTCTCCCTATCCGCTCATTATTTGCCCTGACTAGGATCTTCAACAGTATAGGCATGGGAAAAGGATGGTGGCCTATACCGCTTGCCCATATAAACTCAATACTGCGCATGTTGCTGTTAGTGATACCAACAGTGGTATTACTGATAGCCACGGACGCAAGTAAGATGTATCACACTGTAAGAGGGCAGGACACCATCAAGCTCTATGTCATCTTCAATGCTTTGGAAGTGAGTACTCTCTCCAACATGAGTGTGCCTTGCTGACTCTGTGAAGATTGCAGATAGACTATGCTGTGCGTTTGGACAAGACGTCCTTGACACACTCTTTGCAAAAGAAACATTATCACCAAGCGTTCGTAAACGCGGGAAGGGTCGAAAGCGCCAACAAGCCAGACCAGCATTCTTCTTTGCCCTCTCTCTGGGATACGTTCGTGGGTATCGCTAGGTCCTTTGCGACCCGATACTGACGAGGTATGCAGTATGCCATTCGCTCATCTTCTTCTACATGCTGGTGTCGTTGAATGTGGCGATCAACTCGTATGACTACACGCTGCTTTCACTTTTGATCAGTAACCAGTTTGTCGAAATCAAGGGCTGTGAGTACCATCTACTGTGACGCTGTAACAAAGTTGACGGATCATCAAGCCGTCTTCAAAAAGTTTGAAAAAGAGAATCTGTTCCAGATCATGTGCGCCGATATCGTCGAGCGATTCCAGCTCAGCCTAATGCTCGCCGTGATTGCGCTTCGTAACATCATCGAGATGTCTGGTTCCGAGATTGCCTTCTTGCCCAAGAGTTTCATGAAAGGCAAGAGTCTAGTGGATTCCATCCTTTCGGTATGCCTTCTTATCTCTCAGCCCATAATTGTATTGACACTATCCCCAGCCGATCTTGTTTGTGATCATGTCAGAAATGATAGTCGATTGGCTCAAACACGCCTTTATCACCAAATTCAACCACGTCCGCGCATCAGTATACGAACGCTTCACCGACGTGCTCGCCAAAGACGTCCTCCTAGCCGGCTCACTATCGTCCTCTGCTCCTCTATCCGACAAGAGACGCCAGCTAGCTGGTAGGCACCGCATTTTGCTGGATCAATCGCCCCTTGTTGCGCGCCGTTTGGGATTCGCGTCGATACCGCTGGCTTGTCTTGTTATTCGTGTAGCTTTCCAGGCTATAGGGATGCTCACGACGCAGCATGGGTCGTATGCTGACGAGCGTGGAGAGCTTGGGTCTGGAGGTAGCTGGGATAGTGTATGGGCGGGGTTGAAGGTGGCGAGCTGGGTTGGTGTGGGAGTCTGCGCCTGGGGATGGTACGTTCCTCGGGGTCTTGTTGATCTTTGCTGATGGAACAACAGTCTGGTCTTTCTCAAAATTATCCTGGGCCTTTCATTACTTGGGTTTTCAGCAATGCGTCAAGAAGGCATGGATGAGCGAGAAGAAGAAGACAAGGTCAATGATTTCGGGCGGTCTGCCGTTGGTGAGAGCAAGGAGGAGACTGTGAGTATATCCAAGGATTGGGGACACCGGCTGACCTCTCTCTCAGGAGTACAATCGCCAGACCAAAGAGTACCTCACCCAGCCAGCAGACAATCTACCCGACTATCCTTCGTTTGCCACTTCAAACTCCTACAATGGTTCTGTGCCTCTGCCGAGAGCAAAACAATCCAATGATCATAGAGAGAAGGGGGGGTTTGCGGAGGAAAAGGCGAAATCCGGTGGCGGAAAGAAGGGCAAGAAATGGCGATTGGAGGAAGTCGAACGGTGGACGATGGTGAAACGCATCTGGTAGTCCGAATGCCGATATTTTCTGTATTATTGTAGTGTTTGCACACATATAACCAGCATACTCGCCCGCACTGTAGAACGCTCGCGTCCAGTTTACAATAAATACATCCGAATCCCTTGGGCTTATTCTTCCTCCTCCACAGGAGCAGGCTTGGCGGGGGTGCCGATGCGTAAACTTGAGCCCTTCTGCTTGCCGGCCCAGTCGTACTTTTGCTAATGGTCCAGTTTGTTAGCACCCTGTCCACTTGTATCATTCCAGCATGTCTTTGCTCACATCGGTGGCCATGGCGATAGAGGCAACAAGGGCGGGGACGGCTACGGCCCAGGTGATGACTTGGGCCGTCTTTCTAGGAGTGAACTTGAAATGTTGATAGACGTTCTCACGCTGAATACAGTGTTAATTTAATTTCAGAGCCCCCGGAGTTCCTCATGCTCACCATCTGAGACCATCGCTCAATAGCGGGGTCAAGCTACATGAATACCATCAGCATCTCTAAATATGTCGGACCTGCGCGTCTGCGACAAACCTTGACCGGTTCTGCATTTCAAGCATCAGCAATGCACTCTTATGCTCTCATATACTCACGGAAATGCCCGTGTCCTCCAGCCATGGTGTGTTGTATGCAGTCGCTGATGTCTCTGAGATGCATTCTCTCGCTCCCCGTTGGTTGCGCAGAGAGAGGTCTATTTGCTTCCGTTCATATAACGCCGGCAATCTCCGCCTCCACGCGTCCGTTGCCAGCTAATGCAAGTTGAATGTTGGGTTCACTTCTCGTCATCGCCATGTACCGCCACCCACGCTCTCCCCCTCCGGGAAAATACAGGAGCAGACCCTACTCGCCCTCGAGGTCGTTCGAAGACGATCGCGACAGATACCGCCGACGGTCCAGGTCTCCAGATCAACGAGAACCCTACTACGAGAGACGTTCGCCTCCTCCGCCCAGAAACGAACCCAGATACCACGACTACCAGCAGTATCCCCAGCAATATGCTCAGCAGTATCCTCCTCAGAGGGCCGATGACTACCGACATGACGAATACGGCTACGACAGGCGCCCAGAGCCGTATCGCGGACCGCAATACCAGCCACCTGTTCGCGATGACGATAGGTGGTCGCATCATCATCACTTGCCAGCCCGCGATAATACGGCTGCATATGACGACGTATATATGAACCCCTCACATCCTCCCCCACAAGCGGAGTCTGAAAGGAGAGATCATTATGACTCTAGAGACAGGGTAGTTCACAGAGAGCAGCCGGTATACGTATGTCGAGGTCTTGGTGTTCTAGTGTAATACTGACTGTATCTTGTAGGACGAGAGAAATTCTCCATCTGAACATGCTCCTCCCCCAAGGTCTTACTCGGAGTCCAAGCCGCGCGGCCGTGCACCTTCTGAACAATCAAAAGATGTCATCCTTTTGGGCCTTGATCCCGAACTCACAGAGACCGAGGTACAGCACATGTCAAAGACCCTTCCTGCCAGTAGCTGACCATTATTAGCTCGGAAAGTTCCTTCAAATCGAACACAAAGCAGCCTTGTCGAGTGTCAAAATTGTCCGCGACCGAGGTGGGCAGTCCAAGGGATTCGCATTTGCTTCGTTCCAAGATTTGGAGGGATCAAAGGCTTTTATAAACGAAAAGTGAGAACTGACCACCAAATAATGATACACTGCTCAAACGTCACATAGCTACCCGACTATCCAAATGCCCGCTCTTCACGCTCACTCCGAACCCCGCAATGTCAAAATCGATTTCTCCGCTCCCCCTCCTGGTGGACACTATCAACGACCAGCTCATGATGGGACGCGCGACATTGGAGTAGCCGGCGGAGGCAAACGTGTCCTGTTGGTTCGAGGCTTGACATCCTCTACGACATCATCCGATGTCATCTACGCCGTGAGCAAGGAGATTGCTCGAATGATGGGACGGCAGGGGCAGGAATCAAAGGCCGAGAGCACAATCGTACGAACGGTGATGATTGTCGAGAAGGGTCCGAGGAGCAGCTGGGGCTTTACTTTTGTTGAATTGGCCTCGGGCGAAGTACGTGAATTTGTTGACATCACCAAGTTTCGCTCTAACGTTGACTACAGCTGGCTGCTGCCCTCTTACCATTCCTGATATCACCTCAACATCAACCCAGTGGCTTTGTCATCAACGGCGTCCCTGTGGCTGCCTCTTTCGCCGACCCCGCAGCTTTTGCACCCATGCCGGCCGGTCCTCTTGGCGGCGAGCACCTCATCCGCGCCTCCCGTCACGGAGGCATTGGCTACGAGACCATCGATAAGCCGGATGGCACATGGGTCGCGTATCGCCTCGAGCGAGCAGGCCCCAGCGAGATTGTGCCCCGTGGTGCCCCTAGCATCAAAGAGGACGGCACGATTGAGCTTACACCCGAGCATCGTTCCTTCCTCGGTAGCCTCGCTGGTGCGCCTCCTCAGGCCCTTGCCGCTGCGTCTGTCGATGCTGCCAAAGCGATACAGCAGGCTGGAATGAAATCGGTCAATCTGAGTGGGAGTATGGCACCCATTAAATTGGGGGGTATGGGGAAGAGCAAGAGAAAGGAAGAGCCAGCAATCGTCACAATTCAGCAAAAGAGAGCAAAGGTGGACCTCGAAGGCGATGAGGAGGAGGATACGGTTGGAGCAGACTCTAAGCTTCTCTCGAGGAGTACGTGTGACATCAACGAAAAGTGCATCCAGCTGACGATGCGGTAGCAAAAGGCGCCAAGATCATTCCGCCGACGTCAAACAGCTCGAAGGTGATCATCAGGCCTTTGACTTACCGGTTTTCGTCCAATGTGCATGTGCTCACCCTTTTCCTACAACCATCAGATCCTCAAGAATATCAGCAAATGGAACACCAAGCAGTCCGAACTTGCTGCTCCTGATTCGATCCCTGAGACAGGTCGCCCAAAGGGTGTATCAGAAGCCAACGCTACCCTTGGTACCAGGCGACAGTCGAGCTCGAACAGGTCTGCCCCACCCGTCACAGTAAAGCCATTTATCTCTTGCTTCATCCCAAATTACCGTATTAACGTGTTTATCTCGTCCTTCAAAGACGTCTGCTGGCATTACTTCGGCCTCAGCGACGGCCCCGGCGCCAGAACCAGCTGCTTCGGCACTAGACGATTTTGACTATACGGATATCTCATCATTGGCGTCCACTGGCAAAGTCGCTTGCCTTTTGTGCCAAAGGCAATTCAAAGCGGAGGACATACTCAGGAAGCACGTTGCTCAATCGGATCTCCACAAGGCTCGCAACTTTTTGTTTAACAACTCTGGCAATCCCCCGTGGGTACCAGAGTCGCTTAGAGCAGTATACTGACCTGTGTCTGGACATTATCTTTGCTTCAACTTCGAACTCCATGTCCAATCATACCATACAGACCAATTTACGGGATCCCACCGTCTGCCAAGCCGGTCAACGACGCAAAGCCGCCTCTACCCCCTCCTCTTCTTCTACCCCTGAGCCCGCTTCCGCTCAATATCGAGACCGAGCCGCCGAGCGTCGCGAAACATATCATCAGCCGGCTAAGCCTACTCGCGCCGACTTGAACGCCCTCACTTCATCTACAGCAGCGTACCAGGGTATTCGAACTTTCCCATCCAAACCTTCCAAGGACAGGGCTGCTCCTCCCCCGCCTCCACCCCAGGAGGAAGTCAAGAAGGAAGAGCCCAACGTAGGGAACAAGCTTCTATCCAAGATGGGCTGGCAGTCTGGAGAAGGGCTGGGTGCAAATGGAGAAGGGAGAGCTGAGCCCATCAAGGTGCAGCAGTTTGAGGCGAGAGCAGGTTTGGGAGCGTCAAAGGGTGTGGAAGCCGGAAGGTGGTCAGGGCCAGGAGGATGGCAGCAGAGAGGCAAGGATGTGGTAAGTACACCGTCGAATCCCAGATTTTCTTCTTTGGTGGCAAAGTTTTGGGCTCACTTGAATGCGTCATGCAAGACTCGAGACAGGTTCAACTCGGAGCCCAAGCAACAGAGTGATTGAGTTTCGATCTGCTTATTGCATTATTGTGCAGTACTTTCTATAGACATGCATGCTATGACAAAATCGTTGTCAAAGAATCATTCCAAGCTACTCTGTATTGTGAAATCGTTAAGCACTGTCCTCTATAGTGTCTCAAATGAAATTGTCCAGCTCTTCTGCACTTTTGTCAACTTGACAGTGTTTGGATCGATGCTCAGTTTGACTTCATCCCCCAGACCAATTTTAGACGACAAGATCGCCTCCGAAAGCTCCGTCAACTTGCGCCTCACGACAGCAGGCGTTGTCGCTTCTACCGCTTCCCCATTTATCTTCTGATCAACTCCTTCCGGAGAGTCACGAGCTTGGTCCTCTTGCATGACTGGATATAGAGTATCGGTAGGTTCCAGCGTTGTTGATTTGCCCCTCCTGTGGGCACGAGGGGTGGAGTTCGGGCACTGCGGGAGTCTCGTAGCGTTGCGTCTCTGGACAGCGGGAGGATGGTGCTGATGAATGAGCTGATGGTCTTCGTCGGCGGGAGCGATGGCTCGGGGTGCGCATGGGGTAGATGTTGGCGAAACGGTCGTATAGGCGCCTGGGGAGATAGGGGACAGGGGCGAAGAGGAGTGCTTCTTCTGTAGAGGGCGCGGTCCGGAGGGGGGCGTGATGTGGAGGCGAGAGAGGTCAGGGATAGTCCGTGGGGAGGAGGCGACTAGCTTTGACCTAGAGGGTGTGGTAGGAGTCACGGCAGGAAGTCGACCCTTTGGGCTAGCCAGGGGCGAGGTGTTGATGGGAGGCAGTGGCTTGGTCTGCAAAGTCCATGGTACGATGTTGTCCTTGCTTGGCATCTGCTCCTCGTTACTTGTCGCAGAGAGTGGGCATGGGGGTCGAGGGACAGAGATGCTGGTGACTAGGGCGGACGGTGTCGGGCCTTGGGGGCTGCAAGTCCATCAGCTATATATCCAGTGGAGGCCCTGAAGAAGAACTGTATATGTACCCTTGTATCAGTAGCTGTCCGACCCGGGGCTGAGGGAAAGCCAGAATTTGAGTGCTGAATGTTGGAGAGCTGACAGCGGAACTTTCAGAACTGAAAAGCGTCAGGCCCCGAGAGTCTACAGCAATCAAAGACGATATGAAACCTACCAGGTTCCAGAGCTATATTGTAGTTCCATATTCTCCACCTCGCTCAGCAGCTCGTTCATTATGTCGTGTTCAAAGAACCTAGGAACTCTTAGCGTGGAAGCTTGGCCCTAGTCAGCCCGCTACTCACCTGCTGCCTGCTGTGGTTGACAACGCTTGCGCAGGTGGCTCAATTGACCTCAGAGCATCTAGTATCGGGCGACCGTGTTCTGGATTTGCTAACGAGCTATCGAATCTGAAAGACAGGTCAGTCTCTCCCACGGCTGATCGCTCGACCATGACTCACGGGTGTGAGCGATGACAAGAGACTGTATCCCTCACAAGGTCATAGAACCCCATCCGGAAGGCCATCTCATCTTTGTCCTGTGGGGTCGCTGCAACGCATACTCGCTGAAACAGCGCAAACACACCAGCCCGCTCATCTTCGGTTATGCCTTCGCTGATGACTAGGGGAAAGAACTCGCGACTAAGGGTTACGATGTCGTTTCGTATGATGTCCCAGCTAAAAGTATTCCTGCGTACAGAGTCAGCTGAGTCCTGACCGTATCATGTCATCAAGTGGATGGCTTACATGGGTGAGCAGAGGGATAGGTGTGCAGGTTGTGGCCCAGAGGTAATCGCACTGGGCGAGCAGGGCGCTTCAGATGGCGCGTGTGGATGTTGGAAGGGGTCCATCATGCTCGCACGAGCTCAGGATGAATCGTGTTGGTATGTCTTGCCCAGAGACTCAGCTAGATGGCTTTGGGCGAGTTCCAGACGAATGGTTGACTTGCTTGTTCGAACTGAGAGAAATACAACAACAACAATTGCCGCACCGGCTACAGGCGGAGACTTCGGGCTCGGCATCCTCCCCAGGCTCGCCATACATCTATCTTCTACTTCCCTCGTATTACCCCCAAGAACAAACAGTATGTTAGACCACTCACTGGCACTCGACTTGGCAGTCAGCGACACCCATCATACAGCGTGAGTGTCGTCGTGCCAAGGAAAAGCGGGTTGCTGGTTGTTGACTTTCGCTTGACGGTAGGAACAAGTACCGCACTGGCAAAGTGGGTATCAGGGTTCTGCAAGTATGACCATGCCTTTTTTAAGAAGCTAATCATGAGCTACCGTACTTCTTCATCTCTCTATTTTGCAAAGGTCACAGATTCTCGACAAGGCACACCCTGGCATGACTTAGAGCAAATGTCCCCAAACACCCCAAGTTCATTCGTGTTGGGGTCCTCAAAGTCATCTTCCGCTCGGGATGGATTTTGGAGAACGCCTTGCTTGGATCTAGAAGGGGCCGTTGAGCGATTTGCAGCCGAGCTACCGCCGGAATTCAAGTCTCTCGGCTCCATTAACTCCTCTCATCGAAATTCTCTGGTCATCATGATGGTCAGTCTCAAACTTTCTCGTAGATGAGTCTGAGCTGACTTTGTCATTTCCTCCTCAGGGGAAGAACGGCACGCCTTGCTTGTAGCCACTGGCGCATATGGCATAGTTCTACTTTCAGGCCCCGGGCGCCTGTTGTATTTACTTTCGACATCCTCCTGTTGTTACTGTAGATGTACCGTAATATCGCTGCAGACTCAAACGATCATTATCGATTCATCTCTTAATCCAAAAGTAGTCATAACTCATAAACCAAGCATATCCGTCATCTAGCGCAGCAAAACAACAAGTCTACTTTTTGCCCGCGATAAACACGCCCAAAATCACCACACCCAAAAACCCAATCGCCGCCGGCAAGACCATATCCTTGGGCAAGAACCCAGCCACAAGCTCCTGTCCATCGCTCGACCTGACCGTACGACCGTGGTCTTGGTACTGCGAAGCATGCACGGGGTGAGCCGACTTCTCAGAGGTATACGTAGGTTCGGTCGCGGGGTTGGCGGTGGGAGCTACGAGCGCGGCTTCTTCGGGGTCGACGGCGGCGGCTGGGGTGGCGACGACAGGAGTGGGAGCTTCTTCGACGGCGGCAGCTTTGAGAGCTTCCACAGCCTTCTCACCGCCCAAGTCTTTGGCAGCGGCTTCCCAGACCTTGCCTCCGTCGACCACCAACACCACTCGGTCGGTCTTTTGGTTCCTCGCGATCCTGACAGCGTCTTCAACATCACCGTCCGCAGTCATGGTCACCAGATCTCCCTCGTCATCATTGTAGTGGAGAGCAAAGACATTGGGGTCGGGAAGGTGGACCTCGGTACCTTCAGGCGCGGAAGAAGCCGAGAAGAAGGGGTCCGACACGAGCTTGCCAGCGACAATGTCTCGGAGGAGATCGAAAGAGTCGTATCGAGCCTGGAACCTGTGTGTCCTGCCGGAAGGCGTCTTAAACTTGAACACGTACGTTCCGTCGTCCACTGGCAAAGGAGGCGCGACGCTGGAAGCAGCGCCACCTCGCTTACCGCCGATATCGGAAGCACCGTCGTCTACCGCAGAGGCGGAATCGTTGGGCATGATCTCGGAGATGGGAGAAGTCATGCTGGAAAGACCACGGCCGTGGCCGAGGTGCGAGCGCGAAGGGGTATCGGGGCGTTCCGAGGCAGACACAATGGAAGCGGTGTCGTCGTCACCACCAGCACCGGGGAGACCCTCAAAAAACTTGGACCACATGGGTCCACCACTCTGGTTGTCTTGGTCCTCGCTCATGGATTCAATCTGCCCGGGGTTAGTCGAGTTGACGAGATATGAGATAACTTGCCTGTTCGAGAGTAGCATAGGTGAGCTTGAGCACATCGACAATGCCGATGAGTCTGCCGTCAGTCTCGACAACGGGAAGGTTGAGATAGTGACCATCTACTTCTGTCAGCATGAACCATTCACGGGCGCATTTGACTCACTGTGCATCTTTTTCAAAGCGTCCTGCACGACCATGGTGGGAGGAGCAGTGTCAGGGTGGGGAGTCATGACCCTAACCACCGAACATCTCTGCGCATCCAAACCCGCGGCAATGACTCGCAGCACAACATCCTTACTGGTAAAGATACCAGCAATCTTGGGAGGCGCACCGCCGGAAGAAACACCGGAAATCGCCGACGTCCCGTGGTTGGCCTCCATGACACAGACAGCGGTGGTTCGGCGCTCCTTCATGAGCCTGGCAGCATCACGCACGCTAGTTCGAGGGGTGACGACAGGAGGCGACGATCGGAGATCGAGCACGGTGGTCAGGTCGGGCAACGCCATTCGCTCACGAAGAGTCTCGACGTAGGCGAGCATAGCAGCCGCCTGAGGATTGCCTTGCATACCAGGACCAAGCTCGGTCTGGACACCGGCGAGAGCGGCAGAGAGCTGGGTGGTAGCAGTGGATCCACGCTCGACCTTGGCGAGAGCCTCGTGGAAGACCTTGGTGATATCGAGGAGACCGACGACGTCACCGTCCTCGTTGCAGACGGGCAGATGCCTGAAACCACGGCTGACCATGAGCTGCAAAGCTTCGGTGGCGCTGGTAGTGTCACGGGTGACCATGGGGTTTTTGGTCATGATCTGAGAGACGGTAGTGATCCTGGGATCAAGGCCTTCGGCAGTGACCTACAAGCTTGTCAGCGCGGCGCCCATACGACGAGTTGACTCACTCTGAAAGCAAGATCCTTGGCAGTAAAGATACCACTCAATCCCTCTTCCTCGTCGACGACCAAGACACAGTCCGCACGCTTGGCAGCACAAAGCTGACTCGCGTCGGCTACGCTCATCCCCTCGGGCACGGTCAAAGCAGGACTAGGCCTCAGTCCAGCGACAGTCCCCTTCAAAGCACGCTTGCTCTGTCTCTTGTTCCCTCCTCCCGAAACCTGCTGGGCATTCTGCGACCCGGGGCGCTTTCGGGAGAGCTCTGACTCAATCTTCTTGCGCAAGGACTGGAGTTTGCCAGCAAAAGATGAAGATTGCGAGCGGGGGATGGTGGTGCGCGAGACGGAAGAATGGTAGCGAGGGCGTGTTCCGTCGGGTTCCGGTAGCGACAATGGAGTCGTAGTGCCGGATCCAGCATTGATAGTCGACGATGAAGGCGACGTGACGTGCGAGTGGAGGGGCACAGGCGGTGAGGGGAATGGTATGGGCGGGCCAGGGGCGGTGGAGAATGATTTTTGTTTCGCGTTTTTGGGACGAGAGGCCACGGAGAATGACACGGAACGGGGGAGTTTGGAGGGAGATTCGGCACGAGTAGAGGGGGCGTTCGAGTTGGAGGGAAAGGCGACAGAACGCGCGTCGGGAGGAGGTTTCGACGCGTTTTCAGATGATTGGGATCGAATGGAAGATGGTGGGGTGTCGAGGGGTTTTTGGGTAGACATGGTGGTAGTCGTAGGTAGGACAGATAGGACAATGGGACAATGGGAGATTGTTGTGAGCGAAAATTCTAGAGCAAAGCAAGCAGACAATAGAGCGACAAGAGGAGAGTTGAACTAGAATAGACAGTATGGTGCAGCCACGCGAAACGAGGATGAGGGTGATAACGAGGCAGCGGTGGGAGGTACGGGTGCGGACGGGGGCAGCGTGTCGGAGCAAGTCGCTGGGCACAAGATCTGCAGGGAGATCTGGACAGCGGCCGGCCGTGTGGGGGATAGGGGAGACGGGGAAAAGACAGAAGAAGGGAGAGAAGAAGGAGGAGAAGAAGGAAGATGTGGTTGTGAAGAGGAAGAAGAGAAGAAAGCAACGACGAATGGCGCCGCGTCCTTTGCGCCAAACACACGGGCCGCCACAGTGGCGCTGCTGGGGATCCACTGCCCATCTGCCATTCCTTCGCTCATGCATCTCCATCCGGGCGCATCCACAGCAGTCTCCTGCACCCGCACACAACCCCGGCCCTCGAAGCATGGGTGAAGTAGAAAAACACTGCGACGCACCTCGTCCCGCTTGCTCTGCTTGCGGCGGGTGTCCTGGGAGTGGGGGCTGTTAGTGCTGCTCATGGTGGGGCTCTGGGGGTGGTTCAGTCCGCCGTGTGGGACTGGAATGCGGGACATGGATGGAAGAGAGAAGCGAGTTGGGCATCTCCGATTCTCCATAACGTCCACGACGCGAGCCAGCTTCCCAAGACGCGTCACTAACGGGGGCGTATTTAAGAGGCTATCCTCCTCTTGCATCGACACTCTTCAGCGCTCTTCTATCGAGTGTACTCTGTCATTCGAACAGCATGAGTTTGGCAAGTCAACATGCGATCAACTAGCCGCAATTACTAACCTCGCATAGTTACCACCTGAAGAAGAAGGGGACGGCATCGAAGTCGTCTGGGGTACGCTATACCTCTCTCTCCAAAGTTCCATCTGACTCTTTCGCTTCGCAGAGGACCAGCAGAGAATCAACACTTTTTCAAAACTCAACAACAGACTTTCAGACATTCAGGACCTTCTGAGAGCAAAAAAGGCAAGTCTGCGCTGCATCAGAAGGACAATTCACTGACAACCGAACGCAGGAAGAGAAAGAGTACTATGACGATCTGTCGACAGAACTCGAATTAGCAGACGATGATGATCCTCCCACTCTCTACAAGATTGGAGAATCGTTCTTCCATCTACCGCTGAGAGACGCCAGGAGGCAGCTGAAGAAGGATATGAAGCGGTATGAGACGGATATCGAGGGCTTGGAGGCGAGGGCTGAGGAATGTGAGAAGGGTATGAAGGAGCTGAAAGTACATCTGTAAGTTCATAAAATCAATCACCAGGACAATACTGACCGAGTACAGGTACGCCAAGTTTGGAAAGCAGATCAATCTCGAAACAACACCTTAGACTTGTACAACATATGCATGATCGCTGTAAAACTTCAATCCTTCTTGTCCAACCCTTGCTCCCCCTCCCCTTCTTCTCCACCTTCTTCCTCTTCTTGTTGACCCCGCTTACCATTCCCATACTTCTTCTTTGCCTTCTTCGCCCTATCCGCCTTTCGCTTCCGCTCCTTCGCCGCCCTGATCTCTGCCTTGGTATACGTCGCACTCAACTTGACCTCTTCCTTCTTCCTCCTCTCCTTCCTACTCATATTCTCATCCTCCTCTCCATCTCCCCCCATATCAACCGAAACACCCTCTATCCCATCTTCTTCCGGCGCCATACCGGGGAGTTTACCCGTCGCTTTGAGAACGGCGAGTTTTTCAGAGAGGATCTTCCTGGCTATTTTGCGGTTCTCTTCTCTGGACCTTGTTGGTTGGGACTGAACCCTGATACCAGTTGGGATGTGGGTAAGAGATACGGAAGAGTTGGTCTTGTTGATAGCTTGGCCTCCTGGTCCTCGCCCTGTACATCCCATCGTCAGTTGTACCCTCATCAAACTGCAGAGGAGACCCACCTCTGACAAATTTCTCATCCAGCTCTTCTTCCAAAAGCTCAAATTTAGCTTGCCTCGACAAGAGCCTATTGAGTTTCTTGATCGAGCTTGGAAGTCTCGGTCGGACAGGTGTTTCTTTGACCGGCTGCAACACGCTTCAACTTTCATCTTATACACAAGATTTGACCAGGATGAAGGCTCACGATAGCCTGCTCTGGTGGACTTGACCCGAGCTCCGAAACTTGTTCCACCGTCTCCCATGCCTCACCAACATTCCCCTGCCCCTCACCGACCTCGCCAGATTCATCCCCAAACAAATCATCCCCCAGCTCTTCCATCTCCTCTTCTTTGGCCCTCTTCTTTGAAGAGTACGCTCTTATAGCATTTGCGTTAGGTGAAGAAGGGTATAAGGGAAGAAAGGGAAGGGAGCGAGGGGTGGGCAGGGGTCGATGTAGGCGGTGGACTAGGCGGGTGGGGTGCCAGAGAGGGATGAGGAGGGGGCGTAACATGATCATGCAGTGGAAGAGTCGCTCTATGCAGCTGGATGATGGAATGGCATACCTAGAAGAACAATCGGTTCCCGAATGCCGGCTGCTTTCCCGGCCCCCGACGCGACTTGCTCATGTTCGCGATAAAACTTGGATAAAACACTCCAAGCGTTACGAGTTTGCAACTAAATACACCAGTCGAAAAGCCAAGATGCCCTCCCGCCAGGTACTAATCCTGGCAGTCATCACCCCCATCCTGCTCTACCTCCTCTTACACCGCTCGTCACCACAAGAGCTCCCTGCCAGGGCTGCGTTCAGGCAGAGACTGGTCGCTGTCGGTGATCTCCATGGCGGTGCGTCATCCCAACCATCTTCATACTACTTCCCGAGCTGATGAGACAATACGAAAGACATTGATAATGCCAAAAAAGTCCTGCGCATGGCCAAAGTGATTGACGAAAGTTCCAACTGGGCAGCGGGGACCGATATCCTCGTCCAAACTGGCGACATAGTCGATCGAGGAGCACATGCCGATCAGATTTACCGCCTCATGCAGAGCTTGAGAGGACAAGCTGAAGGGAGTGGGGGGAGGGTGGTTAGTATACTGGGGAATCATGAGGTTATGAATGCTATTGGGGATTGGAGGTGAGTACTTTTTGTGATAGATATCAAGAAGGGAAGGGAAGCTGATGGGAGGGGCAGGTATGTGACTCGGGATGATATCAAGAACTTTGGAGGGTCTCCTGCTAGACAACAAGCTCTGTCGAATGAAGGGTGGCTCGGCCAGGAATGGCTAGCAAAGTATGTCCTCTTCCTCAACCTCAAAGCCAAGCGCTGACTGGCTCCTTAAAGCTACTCTGTAACCGCTCTCGTCCCCCTCTCACCCCACCCCTCCTCCCCATCACTTTCCTTTACCCACGGCTCCCTCCGTCCCTCTTTCCCCCACCTCCAACCCTACCCCTCAGCGATCAACGCCCTCGGCCACTCTCTCCTCTCCCGAGCCCTCACCCCGCCCTTAGCGCCGCCTTACCCGCCGAATCCATACTCTGGCCTACCCAAAGGCCACTCCCAGGCTGAAGCCGAGCTTTACGCAGAAGGTGGGCCTTTATGGTGGCGCGGCTTGGCCGACAGGGAAGAAGCGCAAGTGTGCGAGTGGGCGAAAGAGCTCAAGGAGAAGACTGGTGTGAAGCGGTTTATCGGGGGACATACCCCGAATTTCGAAAAGATTGTGGCGAGGTGTGATGCGGGGGTTATCATCATTGATACGGGTATCTCATCGGCGTATGGGGGAGTGCTTTCGGCGTTGGAGGTGGTTTATACGCTTACGCCTATTGACGAGCATAGTCAAGATCCGCTGTTGCTTTCGACAGCAGTCTTGAAGGGGCGATTCCTGGAGAAGGAAGAGATTCATGCTGTATACCAGCATGGGAAGAAGCGGCTAGTCGTCGAGGAGCGAGAGGTCACTTTGGAATAGAGTCTGAGATGCATTGCATGGATACGAGGGTCAGAAGCGAGAGCTCAACATCATCTTGCATGCTGTCGTTTCATAATTGTCGGTACATCACACATCTCAAATGTCCCAAGCATCGTCAAAAGTACCGTCCGCATCGAGCTCCGAGATCCAGCGCCAGAAAGGAGCAGAAGGGAAGCTGTGGAATGTCAGAACCTAGACATCAATTCAGACCTTGCAGACTCACCCAACACAGTTGTCATAGTTGCCTTCCACCTTTTCAATCAAGATACCTCCAAGACCCTGGATAGCAAAACCGCCTGCTCTGTCCAGACCCTCTTCCGAGTCGACGTAAGCCTGGATGGTCTGAGGCTGCGTCCGGGGTCAGCATTTGTATCAGTGTTGAATAGTGTCACCTTACGGAATTGTCGTAGAAAGTGATGAGACTCGAGTTAGAGATAGAGCTGTCGCTAGCAGTCAGCAAACATGGAAAGGTTGGTACAGACAGACCACGTACTGGACCTTGAAACCCGGGTACTCTATCGTGGGGTACACTTCGACACCCATCAGCTGTGCTCAACTGAAAGTCGAATGACTCACCAATGGAAACCCCAGTGATCACCTCACAGTCCCTCCCAGACATCAATCCCAAGACTTTCGCCTGGTCATCCTTGTTGACCGGCTTTTCCAGAATTTCAGACACCTCGCCATGCGCATCACCGCCCTCCGCAGTGTCCTTCTCTGGTGGAAAGACGACGACAGTGTCGGCAGAGATCACCAAATCGGGTGGGTTCTCGGGGCTTTCCTTGACGAGACGTTCGTAAACTTCCATAGCCTTGCAACAGGTGTCAGCTGGTTCAGAGACTGACTGTCATGAGAGGTACCTTCTCAGCACCAGTTGATATGGGATAGTCGGCGAGATGGCCTTGGAACCTGGCATGCGGAAGGTTTTCTTCGAATGTTGAAGGCACTATCTCTGGGTGGATCCCCTTGACAAACACCATCAGTATCACCGCATGGCCACTGACAGAGGACTTACAGCAGTTGCAAAGATGTCCCTCCGCCTTGGGCTCGCGGATGCGAGGACGACACGGCGGTTCTTGAGCTTCTTGAAGATGGGCAAGCCCAGAGCAGCGGGTCCTACAGCATTGTTGGGCATGAGGGGCTCTTCTTCTGTTGATTTTGTGAGGAAAGAAAACATGGGCGGGATTGTGCAGAAAGCAAGGGAAGAAGCCGAACGAACGAAGGAGACGCGGAGAGCCGAAATGCGTTGGCGCGCTCTATCATCTCTATCATTTGCACCTCTTCATCAAAGTCGGTATACCATGGGCTCGTCATCCTCCAAAGGTATCAGGAAGCTCCCCAAATCAGCCCTCCCGCAATCAGCACGCGGCCAGAGGGTCCCTCTGCCCCAGCAAGCTCCACCGCCACCGATCGAAGAACAGCCCGAGGAAGAGAGCTCGGGGCCTATAGATTATAGCAGGCTGAAGGAGGAGATCAACAGAGGGCAGAGCGCAAAGGGAACGGCAATAGATTTTAGTGGAGAGAAGGATGATGGTGCGTATACACACTTATGAGGGAAAGGGCTAACGATTATAATAGCACTTCAGCGAGATGCTATGGATCCTCAGTTTTTGCAAAACCTCCACAAGCTTGGGCCGGTAGAGATCAAAGAAGCTGGGAAATTCATCGTACATGATTCGACCCTATTGCGAAACCGTGCTGACAATATTGCAGCCCGCCGACTTTCAAAGAACACTTTCATCCCGCAAAGATATCTACACTTCCAGCTCCCAGCTCGCCCCGCCCGGTCACCTCACCCTCCCCTTCCTCGTCAACCTCTTGGACAAACTGAAAACGCTTCCACCAGGCGCTGACCCGACACCAATATACAAACAGTTTGGAGTGGAGAAGGAAAAGATGGATGTGTTGAGAAAGTGGGTGAACAGTGTGAGCGTGGAAGATGAAGATTATGTGACGGTGGACGAGGGGAATGAGATTCGAGAGATGAAGTCTGTTTGGATTGGGGGGCTCAAAAAGTAATCGGCGTCTGTATGTACCAGCATTATATCTCGCAACTGTCCAGGCGAATCACAAGAGTCGTATATTGCTCATCACAGGTTACATCGGTATTGCTTTTTGCTATGCTTCGTGACAGTCGTGACATTTGTGATATATGTGCTACGTGTGCTATGCACAGAGAATGCTAACAATGTTTACTTTCCGACCTTTCTCCTCAACCACGAAGAGTACTTTTTGGTCACAGGCCTCGCCTTTACCGGCAACACTTTTCTGGTTTCCAGAACCACTCCCTCGACGGCAGGCAACGGCCCAATATCGGTATTACTCGACTGGGTACGGGCAATGTCGATCCGGTCTGATGGATGGACGGCAGCAATCATCACCTCTTGCCATTCATCCCCACTCATCGGGCTCAACGGGCGCGTCAAACTCGTCGGGCTCTGCATCACCACCTCTTCGCTCTCTCCCGCCTTCTGCCTCCAATTCTCAATCGTCAATCTCTGCTCTACCGACACTCTCTTCCCGAGCGGTGGTGGTCCAGTCCCAGTGACAGACCGCACCTTGCGCGCGACCCTCGATCTTCCCCGCTCGAGGTTGTAAGGGGACATGCTGTGGCGTCGGGGCGGGAAGAGGTTGGATATACGGTGGCTGATCCCTCGAGATAGAGGCGGGAGCTCAGATGCCACGTGGGGAGAGGTGGGGAAGGGGACAATGTCCTTGCGCGATTCGAGAAGATTGTCGTCACGTACACGGTCGAGCTCGCGCAGAGCGCGCATATTCTCTTCCTTTTCGCGCACGATCGAGTCGAGGATATTGCGAAGCTCGCTCTTCATATCTCTCAGGCGAGCAGCGTCGCAGATAGCACTGAGCTCGGCGAGGTACCTTTGCTTGCTTTCGACTATACCATAGGTTAGCAGGAGGCAGGTTGTCATGAAGTGAGGATACGTACTAGCTCGACACTTGTCCTCCCAACTCTCACAGTTCTCCTTCAGCAGCTTGTTCTCGCGCATCAAGATCTGGCACCTATCCTCCCACGGCTCTTCCATTCCCTCTGGCGAGCGGGGTATCTCGTGCGCGATGGGACCGCCATCTAGGCTGCGGGTGTCGTTGTCGCTGCCGGGGTCGGAGGGCGGCGGTGTCGAATGGATGTCACAGGGGAGGGGGTCGAGAGAGACCTGATGCCCGTGGATGCCCATGGCTACGGCATGTAGAAATGTGGATGAGAGAAAGTGATGCACGTAAAGAGAAACAGGTCAATAATTTCCCACCAAACTCAAACCAAACTACTGATCGTGTGTCCAGGTTCTGTGCACGCGACCGGGTGGAGGCATTGTGGCGTTCCTTTGGCCCAACCCCTGCCGACAGTCGCATGCGTACCGCCATCATCACGCTCATGAATGAAGGTCGTGATGCTGCAATCCTTCTCGTGCATCCCTATTCATAGCATCCTACAATCAACTCAACTTTATTGCCTCGCCTGGATGATGATGTCAGCATATGGTACGGTGAAAGATCCATGACTTGCCGGAATCCACGATCCTATACTTGTTGCCTCTCCAGACAACATCCGCACTCGTCATAGACATGAGCCAGATGGGTAGAGCCAAACACTCCCGTGCAGCCCACGCCATCAAGAATGTCACCCGGCTCCCCGGGGGTCCTATATGCTTTACATTCGTCTCGAGCGCTGCCTTTGTCGACAGATCGATCCCTAGCCAGATAGCCATGTGCACCAAGAATATAGGAAACATGTTACCATCTAGCAAAGTAGAGATGGCCCATGAGCCATACAGGCCCGCGACGATGGACTCTGTTGCTGGCTCTAGGAGCGTGACCACAATGGGAGTCATCTTTTTCCGCACCCTCAGCCACCTGACTCTCCGATTGATGTAGTCTGTGACTGTCAATGCGCCCAGAAAGTCGAGGACGACATCCGAAGTCATAGCATGCTTGAGCTTCAGCTCATGCCAGAGGGAAAGGCCGATCATGTTGTCTTCTGCGAGATAGGGGCCGAACCCTTCCAAGCCTTTTGGAGAATTGGACAGTGTCCGCAGAGATGGAGCTGGGGAGGTGAGATTGGAAATGTTGTCACGAGAGTAGATGCAGGATTTGCCGACAACGCAGGAGTCGATTGAGACGGCGTTCTACAAGGTGTCAGATGGGCCCTTTACATGTGAATCGCACTCACGATAGCCAAGTACATCTTAGAATGTGTCGTGTTCAGATACGCCTGCTCTATCAGACTCCCCCAAGTCTTCTGATAACACACGGCAAGCGGCACCTGATGAACCAGGCCAACTTCTCCAGCCACAGGAGGCTTCCTCACATCATCGGCTATCGACAAGAGGGGCGAAGCTTCGGGATCATAAGTCGTCAAAGGCGAGTTTGAGATGGGATTGGAAAAGAATGCTTCGATTGAGCGGCCTAGGGTATCGGGAACGACCGAGCATGTCGAGTCGAGAACCCAGAGGAGGTCGTATGTGGCATCTCGGAAAGGTGTCATGAGGTTGTTGACTTTGGGATTGACGCCGACCACAATCGAGTCTGAAGACATCAGACACGTGCTATGGGCTCGCGAGACACTCACTTATGACGACTCTTGCATCCACATCAGGATACTTTTCCATGATCATCCTGACCACCGGCAACGCCTCATCCTGCTCGCTCTGCAGCGCAAATATGACTTCGAACTTGGGATACTGTATCTTCATGACGCTTTCGAGTGTGTTGTACAGGTTTTGGTCGAGCCCGCATAGAGGGCGGATGATGGTCACGCCCGGGGTAGCGGATGGCGAGCGTTGGGAGAGACGGGAGGGGAGGTTGGGGTGGGCGTAGCGGATACGCCTGTGATCGAGTTAGTAGATGTATTCTAATAAAGCAGCAAGATATCTTACGCAGTCCGCCATCCGAGAATATTCAGAGCCCATACTACAGTGTAGAATGCTGACAGCCCTATAGCTCCCCAAATTGATGCGCCTGCAATCCGAAAAATCAGCCGAGTCTTTCACTCCCCGGCAACTTCCTCACCCATGATAAATCGAGTTTTATTGTTGCTTTTCCGTCCTTCTGAATGGGAACACGCCCTCCTCCTTCCTATTGTCGCTGGCGAACAAACAAAGAGACACAAACAAAACATTTGATCGTCCGTTTTCGGCATCCGTCGACCTGCCTCCACCTCGCGTGCCCGACGTGCCTAATATCCCCTCTTTAGGCGCACCCGGTCTCCGGTTGACTGGACCGACGCGTCGAGATTTTCAAAACAGTTCCATTGATTCGGTGCACCATACCATGGACAAGACCAACCCCTGGCTCACTGCGAGCGACGACCCCCCACCGATACCAGACACGTACCCCCAGCTCCAGAGACTCGACAAGAGCGTCGTCTGCCAGATCTGTAAGGAGCCGTTCCAGGCGCCCGTGTCGATTGCGTGTGGCCACTCGTTCTGCTCATCGGTATGTACTAATGGATCGTCCTGCTGGGCAGGAGGCGGGCTCGAGAATATATGGAGCTAATGACTAGATGGTGTAGTGTATACGATCGTCATTAGACGTACAGAAAAAATGCCCGAGCTGTAATGAGCCGGCATCGGAGGGGTCCATACGGCGGAACAGAGCTCTGGAAGAGATAGCAGATGCTTGGGAAGACTGCAGGTGCGTATATTCCAAGGGAAATGTATGTTTGCTCACGTCTGTCTAGGCCCAAGCTCATAGAGTTGACGAAACCCACCATGTCCCGCAAAAGACTTGCCTCGGAAGGCCCAAGCAACGTCAAGCGCCTGAAGGACATGTCTGGCAAGGCTGTCAACGGAAGCACGAGCCCGTGCGATACAAAGAGAGATAGTAGTGAAGAGGTGGAGGTGCTAGAGCTGGATGAAAGCGGCGAGTCAGCAGTTGTCGTGTATGGGTTGTGTGCTGACGCCATCTCATAGATGAGGCACCCTGTCCGATATGTCAGGCTCGCTTGCCAATAGCGTCAATACCGACTCATATTGATAAAGGCTGCAAGATACCCAAGTCAAAGGCTGGTGTAGGGGCGATTGGGAATCAAAAGGCAGATTGGAAGAAGGTGTTTTCGGGGCAGAGTATGAAAAGAGACGCGAGCAAGGGCAAGGATGCGAAAGAGTCAGTTGTTGGTGGGCACTCCGCATCAGGATGGTACTGACTCATTGCGCAGGGTCGAGATGAAACGGATCACCAAACCGAATTACTCCTTGTCGTCTCCGGCTGATCTGCGTTCTATCCTCTCGGTGAGTGATACTCAGGCAATTGTTGATGTCATCTGACATGCCGCCAGGAATATTCTCTCCCCACAACGGGCGACAAGAGTGCCCTTATAACCCGTCTCCAAGAATGGATTGTCCTCTTCAACGCAAACCTCGACACTTCACATCCCTCCTCCATCTCTGCCCTGAGGGCCAAGTTGGCAGAAGCCGAAGCTAGCCGGAAAAAGGACAAGGACAGAGGGAAGGATGAAGTGATCAACCAGCTGGGGACCAAGGATGGGCTGATGCAGTATGGGATAGATAAGAAGGCGGAGTTTGACAAGTTGAGGAAGGATATCATGGATAGACAAAAAAAGAGTTTGAGAAAGGGGAACGGAAAAGATGCTCCTATCGAGTTGGATTAGGGGATGATCCGGGAGACACTGTATCATAGTTGGGATTATCATGTTGCTATAACGCTATTATCACACGAGTTTCCAATGCATAGGCGGACTGTTGTACAGCTCAAAAATAAAAAGATCTACGCCACACGCCAATCTCCAGGCAAGGCTATTGTAAAGGACCTACTCGCTCATCAGAAGCATATGGCATTTTGCGCATCTACACTTGGAAGGGAACAACGATTTTCGACCTTGTCCCTCTTCCTGGCATTGGGCCGAGAACTATCTCAACATCTGCATCTAGGCTACACGGGGAGTACCCTGGGTACCCTTCCTCGCTCGGACGCCTACAAATCTCCAGCCCGCTCCCGTAGCCCTGTTCAATACGCTACCGACCAAACTCCAAGCTCCACCCCTCTTCCTCAAATTATCACTCAACCCAGGCAAAACCCCCTCAGTCCAATCCTCAACCACCACATCCACCCATCCCTGCCCTTCCAGCTCGGCCTTATAAGCCCCAAGCGACGCAGGGCGATCAGCAAGATTAGGAGTGGGTACAGACAAGAGGTATGACAAGATGTATGCCTGCCATAGAGGGAGGTTGAAGGGGGGGAGGATGTCGGTGTAGACTATGAGGCCGGTTTCGCGTAAGACTGGGCGGAGGGATGAGAGGAAGGTAGATAAGGAAGGCGGGTAGTGGTAGGCCGAGTCGAGGATGTAGACTAGGTCGTAAGGGGGAGGACCAGTCGTGGGAGGTTGGTTCTCTTGGTGAGGGAGGAGGTCTTCATCCTCATCTTCGTCGGTGTTGAAGAATCTCTGGCTGGACTGTTCGCCTAGAAATCCGCGCATGGGGTCGAGCGGATGACCGACGTCTTTTCCAGGTCGAAACTCTGCCGAATAGGTAAAGTATTGGACTGCGGATGCAGTCTTGGGATGCTCTGACTGGACCAGGCTCTTGGAACTTTGAGTATCTGACGCGAGGGAAGTGAGGGCGTGAAGGTTGCTAGGGGGGTTGGGCTGGGATAGATGCACGACTATAGTTGATCAGCGTTTTTGTTATTCACGCTCTCATCTGACTCACGAAGGGATTCACCAGATCCGTGACCAATGTCTTCATCAGAGTCAGCACCCTTCATCTTCAGTATATTGATCATATCCTACCAAGGACACTGCCACCGCCTTCGTACCCGGCGTCACTGGCCAGCTCAAGCAACTTCTTGGCCAACGACTCGGCTGCTTCGGAAAAGTCCTCCGTTTCCTTCAATCATTTAGCCTCACAATTCTGAGAGGCATAAGGGAAATAGGCCACACCTTCCACCATCCCATGTTGCACCATCGTGTGGTTCTGCCCTCGGCGCCTTCACGGACGTTGAGCACAGCAGGGTCCCAGAGCGCGTAAGGTTCCACCAGCCAAGGAACCAAAAGCAGCAGGAGAGGTAGGAAACCCAGAAGTAGTAGCCCAGGGGAAGTCATCTTGCGTACTACGGTCTCGTATAGACTGCAATAAAATGTAAGTCAACAAATGTTACAGCACCAGCAGGCAAGAAGGTCGACCTCCACTTGTTTGTACTTACGTAACGCGGATGGTTCCAATTGTTGTTGAAGAAGCGCGCTTGACTTGTGTGTTTGGCTCATTTCCTATCAAATTCTCGATTCTCCATCCTCCTCAAGAGCCCCATCCATCCTATCAAATATCTCCCTACGACACACTCATATACTGGGGGAGATCGCAGCAGACAAACAATGTCGACACGGCAAGGAAGAAGGTCGTTGGGCCTGCCGCCACTGAATCCGCAAACATTGGAGAACAAGAAGGAGCCTGGCTTCGTTGAGCAGCAGAAATTCGATGATTGTGAGTTTCATTGAATCGAATTGGTTCAAGAGCTGGTCTGACTCTATGATAGTCAGAAGAAGACATAGGGAGCAGAATAGAGAAGTCATCATGTACGTCACAGGGCCTCACATCAAACTCTGAAGCGGACATCTAATGATTGGGATATAGCACCAACGTGGAGCACAAGAGACTTATCAAATCCCTTCAAGATGAGATCACTTTGCTCCAGAACGAGCTGCTTGACGTAAGGAGAGAAAAGTTGACAGTGCAAGCAAAAGTCAACAAGATGGAGAGGGACAATCTGAGACTGAGAACACCGGTGAGTATCAGCTGGAATGATACCCGCTGCAGATGACTGATCAGGCTATCAGGAGGTCATGAGACTCCTTGACATCTTGCTACAAGCGGCACCAGCTCTTGTCAACCTACGCCAAACAATAGCAAAACTCCCCACTCCACCAACGAACACCGCCCCCTCATTCGCCCAGCCGATTATGCCATTTGTGGGCAACCCCACGGCTACTCGTCCTGCTGCCAGTGGAAAGGACAGACAAGGTTTGGGATGTTGGGCCGAAGAAGAGGAAGGAGATTGGGCCGAAGAAAGAAGAGTGACCTCTCGTTCTAGAGGGTAATTAGTTTTCTTGAAGGTTGATTCAGCAGCAGCTGATGACAGATTATAGACGACAGACCGACGTTGGCTCCATTGCAGCCTCAAGATCACCTCAACGCAAAGCATACCCCCTATCTCCCGCTCGGCGGTCTCTTTCCCCCAGTCCGAAGAAGGCTTCCGCCATTCGATTGCCGATTGTACCCAAAAGACGACGAGAAAGTGGGCTGCTCCCTCCAAGACCTAGATCACTGTCACCAGAAGCCGTGCAAACGAGGGAGGAACAGCCCCTGGAAGAGCCAGAGGAGGCTGCAGTGGAGGCGGTGGTCGCTGAAGAAGAGGGTATAGAAGATGAGTGGGAGGAAGGGCCTGTTGTGGAGATGAAGCCTGATGAGGCATTGGCGCTGGTAGAAGAAGAAGACGAGAATGAAGAGGACGCAGGCTTGCCGGCGAGGAAAGAGCAAGAACAAGAGAAGGAGAAGGAGAAGGAGAAAACTCCGGCCCAGGCAGGAGAGGGGGAAAGTCAACGGCAAGAGATGGCCCCGGAAGCAGGTGTCTCTGTGAAGGGACCTTCCGAATGCAAGTCATACTACCTTGGGATTCGATCAGCAGCTGACATTACCGTAGCATGGGGACCGAGTCGCCTTTCAACATCATCAACAGAGCATGTCGAAGCTGAAACGGCTGGTCGCAGCAGGCGCGCTCGCGGAAGTGTGGTAAGCTACAAGGAGCCAAGCTTAAACAAGTATGTGTATTCACTCCTATATAATAACCCCAACTAACATATGTACAAGGAAAATGCGCAAGCCCGATGGTGTCCAGACAGAAGACGCAATCAAGACACTCGGCAACCGGCATTCTGTCACTCCCAAAAAGGCGACACCGAAGAAAGGAAAGCGAGACACACGTCGACTGTCTTCTCCTGTACCGATGCCCGACTTCTCGGATCGTCCGAGTGCGTCTAGCTCGGCATCCTCTCGCAGCGCCAGCATTTCAAGCAGCCAGGGCATGCGGCGGAAGAGCATGCTGCCAAAGTCCAATATGGGCAAAGGCAAAGCGAGGGATGATAATCAGGAGAGAGTCCCATCGAGATCAAGAGAAGAGTTGAGTGACGATTACCTGGACGAGTACGAGGCCGAGGCGAACAATGACGGTGATGACCTTCACCAGAAGTTTGGGAAGAGTCTGCATATTGGCAGCTCCTCTTCCAGTCAATCTCTAGCGTCTTCAGCTCCATCCCGGCACCCAGACTTTGAGACATCAAAATCACGTACTCGTCCCACTGCACAGATATCGTCCATATCTCTACAACCCGCCCCCCTCAATCAACACTCTCCAGATCATCCTTCATCAATCATTGCTTCTTCGGGTATCGGGTCTCGCCCGTCAAGCGTCACCGCTAGAAGGCCGATGAATGCCCGAAGCTTCACGCCGACGAGTGCCACGCGTCCGAGAGATGTGTTGGGTGAAGTGGGCGATAATGTGGAAGCCAAGGCGGCTATGGCGAAGGAGGCGAAAGCTAGGGCCGTAGCAGGAAGACGAGCTAGCGCGTTACAATGACCAATTTACAAGGGCTTTTTCTTCTCTTTAGGGTAATAGGAAACGATGATGATATGTTTATAATGATAGTAATGATGTAGCAGCGTAGTAGGGCTTATGATGAAAGTAGTGTGGTATATGCATGAAACCATCGAGGCTCTCGTGGACATTCTCTCACGTGCTTCAAATTGATCGAGAAGGGTCTGCACCACGTAGCTCATCCTTGTCCTATATAAATGCATACACGCCTCTGAAAGAAAGATCCTACACTCTTATAACATCTAAGCCGCAACCCTAGCCTGCTTGGACTTGGGCACCCAAGCTCCAGGCTTCTTCTCCACCGAGGCTGCTGGTGTAGCAGCAGGCGCAAGCGCAGGAGCGTCAGGCTTGGTCGCTATCGTTGAGGCACCACCAGCGGGGTTCGATGAGGGGGCGGAAGCGTTGGAGGTAGATTTACGGACGGGGAGGGGAGCAGACTTGATAGCAGTGAGGGCACGCTGGGCATGCTCAGCGTTCCGGATGAAGAAGCCGGCATATCTTCTGTGAGAAGTAGTCTCCTCGACGTGAACCATGGTCTGTACGGCTCAATCAGTATTTATGGGACTGTGTGACGATAATGAACGTACCTGGTCGATGGTGAAGTCAAGGTTGTTGGTGACTATTCTTTCACCGTCCAACAAAGATCCTTCCCCTGATCCTCGCGCGTAGGTGCTGCTCGCGTTCTTGAGCACCATCAACTGCTGCAAAACCTCCTCCTCTCCATCGGGTTCCTGTCCTTCCTTGGTCTCGGAGAACGCGGCAAGCTTGGCCGCGTCGATAGAGGTGTAGAGCTTCAACAAGTTCCTCATGCCGTTGACACCAGCGACAGACTTGACGTCCCTGACAAACAAGTCGAGCTGCCTTTGGGTGGCGTCCGCGGGGGGGTTCTCGGCCCAAGCAGCGAGAGCAGTGGGGTCCTCGTAAGGAGGAGAGTTGACGTTGAGGTATTTAGGGCAGGCCTGGAGGTAAAGGTCCTTGAATGTTTCAAGAGCCTCGGCGCCGCCCCGTTGGAGGATAGAAAGCTGGTCGCCGTAGTGTTCCTTGACGATGGACATGATGTTTTCGTCTGAGGGGCCGGGGGAGAGGGTGGTGCAGATGGCAAGGAGGGCGTACATTCGCTCACAGGTCTTGGCGATCTACAAGCAGTCAGCAAAGCCCTTAAAGCACGTAGTCATATCCACTCACAGAGCCGTATTGGTATGACCTGGTGTGGTACTGCTTCATACGGATGAAGAAGATCAGCACAGAGACGAAAGTCTTGATAGCATCCGGCCATCGTCCGAGAGCCATGTAGGCACAACCGACGTTGTAGTAGGTGGTGACGTGACAAGCAGTGATTCGAGTCAAGAAAGCGGCACCACCAAGGTCAACGTGCTCCATAGTCTGCAAGGCCACTACAAAGATTGTTAGCATTCTCGAAGGACCAGAAGCAAAGGTGTTCGCTGCTTACAAGTAGGGTCACCCAACAACACGTGGACGTGCAGCAAGCAGATCAAGGAAAAGTACCCCAAGTTCCTGTACAAGGGCTTGGATCCGTACTCGCCAGCAATTTCCGAAACCTCCTCGGCGCTCTTGCCCTCCTTCTCGGCCTTGAGCTGCTCGTTGATTTGAGACTTCTGGACCAAAGAGTAGAGGACGTTGAGGACAGAGTAGGACGACCAGATGTGAGGAGACTCCGCGAGCAACTCGAGCTCTTCCTCGTTCTTGGCCTTGGGGGATGATCGCCAGTGGGAGAAGTTGGTGAACTGGTACACAAACTCGTCGAGCATGTCCCAGAGCCATTGGATAGGAAGGTCGAGAGGTACAGGGCCCTCAGAATTAAGGAGGTAGTTGAAAAGTTCGCAGATGTTCTCGTAGGACTGGAATCGGTCATCGATAGTGGGCTGGAGCTTGGCGTAAACGTGTCGGAAGTAAAGCTCTCGGTAGAGAGTCAGGAAGACCTGGTCGTTTTGGACGAGAGGAGCGATGAGTTCGGCTTCGGGCCACTCGTTGTTCGAGTAGTGGGCCTGCAGCATTTTAGCACGTCTTTATTGTATCTGAACCAGAATGACAAACCTGGGTGAGCTTGTTCCATCCAGATTCGTACATGGTGGTAATGGTGGGGAGGTCGTTATCGAGGATAGCCTTGTGGAAAAGCACCAAGAACTGCTCTCGCGCATTAGCACTTCCATCCTTATGAATCCATCTCTCTTTGAACAGCACACGCACCCTCTTCACGTCCTCGGGGACAAGCTCCAAAGCAGCCATTTGGTCCATCTCCTGCTCTTGCGCCTGGGCGAGCATTGTTTGCTGGGCATAGGCGGCCTGTTCGAGTTCTTGAAGACGGCGGTACTCGTCGGTCTCGGAGCCGATTGGCTGGTATTGCTGGACGGGGACAGCGAGTTGGGAGAGAAGTTCGTCCTCTTCGGGCTCGTAGAAAGCGGTAGGGTCGGCCATTTTGTGTGATTGGGGTTCTATAGTATAGCTTTTGCTCCCTCTATACAAAAAGTCAGAACAAAAGGCAAAGCGCTCATAGTAACGGAACCAAATCCACATAACGCCGATAGTGGCAGCGATCAGCGTCTGTAAACCATGAACCTCGCATCGAACGCATTATTACTCTATGCTGGCCATATAGCTATGCAGTGGGTCTCTGGGTACGTGCATGACCTCGGCGATGATAGCGGGTACTGATATTCTTAGTTATAGCGTCAAACAGCAAATCAAGTAGCAGCAGCCAGCCATTCGGCCCGGAGAGATGTATGTATTCGTATGTAAGTATGAAAATGCGGGAAGATCATTGAGATATTATAATACTTTTTGGGTTATAGCGCGGAATAGTTCAAAGGAAAGTTATTGATGATCCGGAGAAAACGAGAAGAACCCGAGAGGGATGGCGGAGCTCATGACTGTAGCTTGCGTGTATAGCGCAACCCGGCACATCACCCAACCTTGCCACGAAACATACCAACCTGAAACACGCGTCAGCACTGATAGCAAGTCGGCTATAGGACGCAGGAGCGACTCACCAACATGAAAGATAATGTAAGAGCATTGCAGACGACAGCAAAGAAAAGGAAAGCATCGAGAGGCCCGACTTTCTTGCTCTTCCAAACGCGCCTCAAGTCGAGAGTGATGAGGCCGAATATCATTGCGATGATAGAGACGACAGCGTTGGAGAACAGGAGCCACATACGGCTAGTGTGGGCGTCAGAAAACGGCGAGGAAGGTGAGGACGACATACTCACATCTTTGTACCCGGGGGAAATGTGTAGAAGACGACCATGATGATACTCAGCAAGATCTGGATAGCGCCTGGTGAAGAATCAGCTAGCTTTCACTTCAAGGTACGAGTAGACTCACAAGCAACCCAAGGACTCCACACATCGACCTTCCTGTTCGAAGGAGCCCGCTTCTCGTCCTCGCCGATCATGTCCTTGACCTCATCCCAATTGGCTTCAGCGTCATCCTGCCGCTTGTTCCGTGAGATCAGGAGACTCTGGGTGGAAGAAGCATAGATAGAGGAGCCGGAAGTGCTGGTAGGCGACAGAGACGAGGTAGTGGAGCCGGGGGAGGTGACAGGAGACGGGGTGTGCCGATATATTTCGGAAGAGCTGGCACGGGTGAGGATAGAAGGCTGGGTAGTGTGACAAGCGTCGAGATCAAAGTAAGAAGGCGCCTGGGTGGTGTAAAAGTCAGAGGTATTGAAGTGGGATGGAGAAGAGTATGAGCGAAGATACGCGAGATTGGGCGGGGAGGGTGGAGGTCGAGTCGCTTCGACGGGGTCGGTCTCGTGGTTAAACATGCTGGTGAGATACATATGTGGATGCAAGACGAAAGAGTATCGCTCACTTGCTTTTATAGATGCGCATACTGTGCAATGTGTCTTTAATGAGACCCGGTGTCATTCTCACCCATGACACAGATGATCATGTCATCCGCGAACGCATAGTCAACCTCTACCACACCGCTCCCCTGGATGCCATTTGCGCCAACTTCAGTCTATACTTTCTCCTACAAGGGTCAAACCCGGAGCGAGCTGGTGGCCTTGCCATTGCACCTCGCGGTCCTCGCCAGAAAGTCTTCGAGTCACGTTGATCGTTCCCGGCAACCTCAAGTGTCATCATATCTGTGCATGGCAATGCGAAACGTCATGTGCGACGACCTGTCACTCTACAAGTAACGGAAAAATATAGAAGCAAAGGAGCTCATGGAAAGCAGTACAACACCAGCATATCACCCTCCCACGTATCCTCGGAAAACAGCAACCTACGAACCCATCAGAGCTGCCACATGACGCGAAAACGGGTAATACTCACAAACATGAAGGAAATAGCAACGACATTGCATACTGCAGCGAAGAAGAGGAAGAAATCGACAGGCCGAACCTCCTTCGTCTTCCAAATACGTCTGAACTCGAGAGTGATGATGCCAAAGACGAACGCGACGACCGATCCGACAGCGTTGGCAAAGAGAAACCATTTGCGGCTATGAAACTATGTCAGGGGCGGCGATGGAGACGAGTGAAGGCACTGACCTGTCGGGAGGGGTGGAAAAGAGGGCGACCATGGTCACATTGAGGAGGATCTGGAGACAGCCTGTGAGCTGTCAGCCTGCTCTGATCCGAAGCCGTGCGTACTCACCAGCGATCCAAGGGTTCCACTCATGGGCTCTTCTTCTCCAAGGGCCCCTCCCAGAAAACTCCTCGCCCTCTTCTTCCATAACCTCCTGCCAATTGGGCTCTGCGTCATCCCGTCGATGTCTTCTCTCCGTGCTCAAGAGACCTCTAGTAGAGGAGGCGTTGGACGAAGTAGAGGAAGTGGAAGAGTTGACTGGGGATAGGGCGTGCGTTTCCGGGGCGGGAGGAGCGTCGCGGGCGAGGATGTGGGGCTGGGTGGTACGTCGAGGATGAAGCTTGATACGGGGGCGCGCAAAGGCGTTGTAAGAGGTGGTAGAGTGGAAGTGAGATGGAGAAGAGTAGGAGCGAAGGTATGCGAGGTGAGTCACAGGAGGTCTTATGGTGGTATCGCGGGTCGACATACTGGAAGGTGAATGTTTGCGATGTGAGGCCGATTATGATCGCTCACGCTCTTATATAGCAGGAAATTGAAGATCAGGTGGTTCTAGGCCAAGCTATGAGGTTTGCACTATTCTCGCACATGACGCAGAGGTACTTTCACGATTTGCAGTATCAACGCAGCACGAAGGCATGGAGCTCTGCAACAGATACTTCTTGCAGGTCTGCGGATTTGGTCTGCGGACAATATGCCCTGCTGCTGAATCATACCCCCAACAAGCAAGCGAAATACATATGTCGGCATGGAAGCTCTTGAGTCTCACTGGCCGATCTGCCTGGCATACTCGACGACTTCGGCGAGTCTCGGCATTCCGACCGAAAGCATTACGACGGCTTTGTTGGTCATCATCGACGCTGAGGATTTGCTGGGATCTGGTGGAGAACTGGGTCATCCAGAAGGCTGGTGTATGACTTGACCCCTCAGAATAGAACGCGAGCACGGATGTTCGAACGTCGTTGCACGCAGATAATACCAGAGATGCTTTTGGGTGTACAGTTTCCTACTGTCAATGCTATAGCAATGGGTGGTACATGCATGCATACGAAATACGGCCTATACCTTCGTTTCTGGCCTTATGGTGGGACCAAACAAGGCGCTTAACGACCTCCACTTCCGCGTTCGTCACTTTCGTTCTTTCGTTCGTGACTGGGCAACGCGTCTTTCGGTCTTCCATCGCATTCCATCTTGGGTTCCATCTTGTACATCTTGTACTTGTCTCGCCAAACTTCCCCATCATGGAGAACATCGATATCTTTGGTGGTGCCCCTTCTACAACCCCGAAACGCCCGAGAGCAGGGACTGCTATCCCGTCTTCCTCACAAGTTTCTATTCCGGGTTCCCAGAATGTCGAGGATGACCCTCCGGCCAGTCAAGCTCTTGAGCACAATGAGGTATGTTTTGAAGTGTTCTAGGCATAAAAGATTTTTCGGGGGATCTGTTGAGCCGAGAAGTACCCCTTAAATGCTGTCGTTCTGATGACCCATAGCACTATGCGACATTCCGCTCAGATGTCGTGGGCGTTCAATACTATCGGGGTCTCGTCGGAAGGGGAGAATATGTAATGCTGCGACGAGAGCCCACGAACAAATACGATTCAAACGCTGTCCAAGTTGTGAACGCCGGGGGTAACCAAGTTGGTCACATTCCTAGAGCGGTCGCCATGAACCTTGCCAGCTTGATGGACAGGAATGTAATTTCCGTCGAGGGACGTATGGCGGGGCAGAATTTGGATGGCGCGAAACACTACAAGATGGGACTGTGAGTCAATGACCCAAGGCAGACGAACTATATTGAATTGTCATCAGAGACCTTTCCATTTACCTCAATCGCACCATGATCCCAGCTCTTGAGGCCGAACTTCGCTGGGTCCCAGGAAGGTACAACCCTCTTCCTCCTCAGCCTATCATCCAGAGCCAGACTGGCATGCACGGTGGTACTGGTGACAGTGGATCCGGCCTTCCTGGGGGCGATACCGCCATGCAGGATCTTTTGCAAGGATTGAGCAAGGAAAATGTCGACATCAAGCAGTCTGACAAGGTTATGGTGCGTTTCTCGCAAGCGACGTCTCAAGCCATGGACTGATGTGTTCCCAGGATGCTCTCACTGGCGATGTAGACGTCTCACTGCTCCCTCTCCACCCTTCTCCCCCGGGGGTTCTCAACAACCAGCTTGTCGTCGACCTCCTTCCTCATCAATCTCAAGCGCTGCAGTGGATGATCGGCCGCGAAAACCCCAAGCTTCCTGCCGCCCCCGAAGACCCCGCCGTCCAATTCTGGGTCCGTCAGAAAGGCGCCGGCGGACGCAACGATTACTGGCTGAACGTGGCCACCAAGACGCCTCAGACAGAGACGCCCGTGCTCGGAAGGGGTGGCATCATCGCGGACGGCATGGGTCTTGGAAAGACGCTGTCTACAATCGCTCTCGTTCTTGCTACCCGCGGTGAGCCCGTCGGCGACAAAGTCAGCCAGGCAACACTCATTGTCTGCCCTCTCTCGGTTCTCAGTAATTGGGAGAAACAGATCCAAGATCACGTCGCTCCCAAGCAGCTTACCTTTTACACTTACCATGGTGCTGCCAAAGCTCTGACTGCGAAGAAGTTGGAGGGATACGACATCGTCTTGACGACTTATCAGACCGTTATGGCGGAGGCCGGCGATCTCCTTGGAAATCCCGACACACCTTCGGCCAAGAAGAAGAAGACTACTACTCCCAAGGGCGCTCTGGCTTTAGCAAAAATCAACTGGAAGAGGGTTGTTGCCGACGAGGGTCATCAGCTGAAGAATCCAAAGGCCAAGAGTTAGTACTGCGAGCAGCTGGAATACGGCCGTTAATAAAGATATTACATAGTGACTGTTGGATTCACAAGCCTCAAGGCCGAGCGTAGATGGGTTTGCACTGGAACGCCTATCGTGAACTCTCCCAGTGCGTACATGGCCGACTGTACATATGATGCCCTATGTTGACGACGCGCAGACGATCTGGGCTCTCTACTCTCATGCCTTCACATCTGCTCCCCATTGAATGACCCAGCCTATTTCCGAGCCCTGCTCCTCCGACCCTTATCCCGAGGCGACCCTGCAGCGCACAAACTGCTCCAAGCGGTCGTTTCCCAGATCCTCCTTCGACGTACCAAGGACTCGAAGGGCGCGGACGGCAAGAAGGTCGTAGAGCTTCCCGAGCTCGAGTTTTTCAAAGTTGGCGTGACGATGGATGAAGAGACTAGAGCTGTCTACGACGAGGTCATGGAGCATAGTAGGACCGAGTTTGAGGCCAACATGCGCAGTGGAGAAGGCAACCCTGCCAATGTGTTGTCAATGCTGACTAGAAGTGAGCCCATTCCTCATTTGTTGCTCTCTACTAACGATGACAGTGCGTCAAATTTGCCTATCTCTCGAGCTCGTTCCTCAGACCTTCCTGGACGACATCCGAAAACCGCCCCAAGTCCGCGATACCGGCAGCGCCACCTCTATTGCCTCCCTCAGCCCCGAGAAGAAGCAAGAGTTGATTGAAAAGCTCAAAGCTTACGTCGCCGACGAGATCGAGTGTGGCGTTTGTATGGATGAAACTGAATTCGCCAAGGATCCTTCCATCACTGACTGTGGGCATCCGTGTGAGTATGGATGACAACGCAACTGGCCTCGCTGATGTCAGACTAGTCTGTCTCCCTTGCATCACCCAGGTGATCAAGACTAGGCCTACGTGCCCTATGGACCGCCACCCCCTTGCCCAGACATCTGTCCTGCAACTCCCTCCTCCTACTCAAGACGGCGACTTTGACCCTTCCTCCCAGGCCAAGTCCATCAAATCCGCCAAGATTGACGAAGTCGTCAAGTATCTCAAGCTCTTCCCCCACCACGACAAGTCTCTCGTCTTCTCTCAATTCACGTCCTTCTTGGACTGTATCGGGACGAGGTTCAAGGAGGAGGGTATCAAGTTCGTGAGGTTTGACGGTCGGATGCCTGCAAAGGAGAGGGCGGAAGTGATCAAGAAGTTCCAAGAGCCGGTGAAAGGAGATGATGACGAAGACACGCCGAGGGTGATGTTGATTTCGCTGAAGAGTGGTGCTGTTGGTCTCAACTTGACAGCGGCATCCAACGTTTTTTTGGTGAGCTCTTTCGTCGTTCTGGAGAGCGAGATGTGCTGACGGCAACGACAGACTGATCCGTGGTGGCAATCAGCCATCGAGTCTCAAGCCATCGACAGGGCTCATAGAGTACGATCGTGTGTCTCTTGAACTTGACAAGGTGCTGATGCTTGACATTCTCTAGATGGGCCAGAAGAAAAAGGTCCGCGTGTTCCAGCTCATTGCGGAGAACAGTGTTGAGTCTACCGTTCTGGACATTCGTACGTTGACAGGTGCTTTACGTGATCAGAGTTGACCGCTTTCCTAACAGAGAAACGAAAAGACGAGCTTGTGGCAAAGGTACGATCTGTCAATGATTTTCGGGGCCATGACTGATGACTTGTTCTAGGCCTTTGAAAAGTCTACCAAAGAGATAAAGAAGACCAAGAAAGAGGCCCGATTCGAGGACATGAAGGAGATCTTGGGGCTGAAGTAAGAAAAGGTGCAATTGCAGTGTATCATAACGACGATGACGAGAAAAAGCTGGGGCGAAAGGGTGTGCATAGTTGACGAGCATGTATCAAATGACAGGATCTGAGTCGAAAAGGCATGGCGATAGTATGTACAGCATGCGCCTCCGAAGCATCTCGAGCGGACTTCTGAAGGACACTTGTTCCTCCGTCCGGACACCAAGGCACAAGTAGCATCGTCCGATAAGGAACATCTCGAGAGATTGAGGAAGGGATCATCGCGTTTCAGTTCTTCTGACGACAGCCGGCGCAGTCAGAAAATCAAAAGTTCGCCACCTGGTGCACCTGGGCCACCTGTTTGAAGTATAGATTAGAGTTGAGACAGAGCAACAACAACACAACCCTATATCACGTAAGACAGTGTGAACTCCGTACCTCTTCTGCGTACCTCTGTTCTCCGTTTGGGGTCTCATATGACAAGTGCTGACGGCAGGTGGTAGCACCGAGCATATACGGTATACAGGGATAGAGCGCAGCCTAGAGCGCCAAAGGCCAACCCTTTGACGACAAGGATGGTCTCGACTCTCGAGATTTTGCTTGCGCTGTGACCTGTGACCTGTGGGGATGACTGTTCGTCGGAAGCCAACGTAGGCTCTCAAGTACACCATCGACGACGGCCACCGTGAACTGCCCCGCAACCCCCCACAACCTTTTCAGGCCGAGAGGCACGATTTGCGTTCTGCATGTACACGTACAGTGATGGTGAGGGATGCAAGTGGCAAGTCCAGGAAATTGCAAGACGGACCTGAGGCCTGAGGTCCGAGGAGAGTTGAACGACGTGTCTCGTCTCACAAGCGCTAGCGCCGTAGCTTTCAGCTCGATCACCGATCACAGGTTCACAGAGCTCAGTCAAACCCAGTTTGTGTCGCTTGGCCATCTCTGGTCTTTGGTACCCGGTATGTACCATCTTCTCCTACCCGTATAAGCCGAGTAATTCCCCCGGTCGGCCGTCTCGAAGGCGTCATCTACTGTTATCAAGCTATCGTCCAGATTAAGCATGGGGCCACAATGGAAGCTCCACATGCATATGTCTTGCGGTAATCGAAGGTTTCTTCACCCGGTGCACCCGGCACCCGGATGACAGTTGAGACCCCCCCATGTACATGTTGCGCGTTTGCATGGGGATGCCGAAGATGTGGCGCAAATGATGGGAAGAGATCGAGGCGAATTTTGCAGGGAGACGGACAATGAATGCACTGGAGTGTGGAGTATGTAGTTTTCTTGTTCGGGGTGGGGAGGTGTGCATTACTAATTACGAGTACCGCCGAGTACGTGTTGCTGAATGCTACGTATACAGATGATTAAGCGTCTTTTACCACTGTGAGTGCGTCTAGAGGGGGCCAAAGCAATGGCATGGACTTGGGCGGGATGGGAGTTCACCTGCTTTGCTCGATCGAGCTGAACCAAACACTCGTCAGGTTGTGTCGCAGCAAATCGAGGGATGTAACCAAGGAATGAGACACAAGATGGGCCGAGCCCACGGCGCGGTCATCATCCAGGGGTGGATCGCGCGGTGCGCTCCATGGCAAGCAAAGAACAGAGATCACAGATCACAGAGGCCAGCTTGGGCGGGAAACTTGCAAGAAAGTTGCCTGGTCAACCTTTTGATCAGGGTAGAGAGCAAAAAGCACCATGAGGCCGTTCCTTCGCCTTGCATGTCTCACACCCCAACCTAGTGAGACTTTGGTAGCGTCTCGTCTTGAGCAGGCCATGTTCGCTCCCTCTGGTCTGGCGCTACGACGCCCAAGAGAAGCGAAAAAGGCTCAAGGGCAAGAATGGATGATGACGCGAGGGGGGATTGCGACTCTTTTTGGTGGTTGAACTGATCTTCCCTGAGTGCGGAGCTTGGCGGAGGATTTACCCCTAGATACGAGGAACAGGGCCCCTTATTCGGCCTCTTCCCACAAGTTGAAAGACCGCCGGCCCGAAAAGGAGTTTTGGGAGTTGCCAAAGTCCGAATGTCATTCAACATGGAGCTGGCTGCTGGTGGCGGAGGTGGACAAACAGCCATTGGGTCATGCAAACCCGTTGTGAATGTGCTGTCCAGCTGCTGGTGCGAGAGGCTCGATATATCCTACTGGAGCGGCCACAGGTGTTTCTTGGGCTGCAGCATCATGTCGTAACGAGATATGTATAGGTATTATCTGCTGAATCCGCGGAGGCGGATCCGCTGTGGTATCGAGCGCGCATAGGAGAATTGGCTAGCGCAGGCATACCTTGTGCGAGCTTCAAGCTTCAACTCAGTCGTGAGCTCTAGGCCCTCTAGCCTCTAGACATAAGGTCCTCAAAGCGCGACCCCTTAGAGGGGATCGCGCCGAGCCAGCTCAATTGATTTGCAGCTCAAAGAGTAATAAGAAAAGAAGTAAAAAGAGGCCAAGCTGGGATGGGCCGTCCCAAGAATCGGGGCGGTGCGTTCCTGGAGGCACCAGGGAAAACTTCCAAAACATGTCCGCAGATCTCCGTGATGGCCGTAAGAGCTGGCTGCCACTTTGCCATCTGCGACTTGGACCGAGCAGCAAAAATCTCATCCCTCTCCATCCCACTAAACATGTCCCCCAGGCCCTTCGAGGGCTTCCTTCCCCCCCAGTACCTTCCCCACGCATCCCCCAACCCCCACTCCTTCCCCCAACTGCAGACCCAGAACCCACTCCCCTACCAGTCCGCTCCAGCTGCTCTCAACAAGAGCGAAAGCTTCAACGTCATGTCTGACCATGCTCCCTTTCCACTCTACTGCCCTACCCCCAACCTGACGCCTGTCTATCCGTCTTCTAGGTCCACAAGCTGCTACTCGGATGGGAGTATCTGCTTTACTCCCCAGGACGTGCCCAGCTTCTTCCCAGAGTATAGCAACGTTGCCCCAAAGCGTCGCCACACTTACCTCGAAGACGACTCGCGCTCTGCCGACACGTTTGCCAAGCCCAACACCACTTCTGCTTTCTATGGCGGCGAGGGTTCGTACATGGTGCCCGACACGCGAATCTTTTCAGAGCCCCTTGAAATGTCTCGTCATCGACACAGTATCGTGCCCGACAGCGGGGACAGAACCACGTCCTTTGAGGAAGCCAAGACGGTTCCCATGGGTGGCATGCTGCGCTTGGCTGAAGAAGACGAATTCGAGGCCAGTCCGAAACGCCCCAAGCTGGCGACGTCTCCTTCGTCCCCGGACGTGCCTCTGATAGCCAGGCGGACGAGAAGTGTCCAGGCGTGTGATCCTTGCAGACGTCGCAAAGCGAGGGTGAGTCTTCTGTTTCTACTTCAACTTGACATGCTGACGATTCATAGTGCATTGGCCGCGACCCATGCGAACGCTGTGCGAAAAGCAGACGCCCCTGCGTCTTCTCCCCCGTCCACCTCACCCGCCGCTCCTCTCGTCCGAGCGCCACTCGCAGACCATCTGGTCTCTCCACCGCCGCTCCCATATCCACCTCCCCCATCGGCCGGCACAGTCTCGAGTCTCCCGCCACCTCTCTCTCAGCTGGCCCATCATCGCGGCCACCGGGCGGCGAATCACCCTGGCTGCCCATATCCCCACAAGTCCCCAATAGCACGGGCCTAGGACTGCAATTACATCCCGCCATGACCTCTGCATCCCCTTCATCGTCCTATTCTTTGACACCAAATTACTCTTACTACCCCGGTGGTCCTCCCGGTACAGAGTTTCCTCAAGGTCTAGCCAGATCCGGCTTGGGCTTGGGCATGTCTCTGGGTGGGCCGAGGGGGTATGAGAGCTATGATGGCGGGGCGGGGGATGATGCCAGCTGGATGGGCTCGGGAACGACAGAGAGCAGTAGTGCCAGACCACACAGTAGTGGAGACATGGGAGGCGCCGGGCAGGCTTTGTGGAGTTATTGAATTCTGCCTGTTTAGGTCAATGTTTGTGTCTCTCATCCGTGAATTATTAGGCCAGTAATGGTGTCAACACGGTAGTTGGATCCCATATTACATCCTAGTCTCTTTCTCTTTCGATAATTTCCGGTGGATATTCTCTAACAGGCCATGGTTTGTGTATCGTTGTAGAAATAATTCTCTTTATTGCCCCTAGTGGTGGATACATGTAGTCGTAGACTTATCGTAGGAAGCGCTCCATCGGGTAGTACCCGCAGTAATGTATCATGTGTGGTGATTTCGAAGCTTGCGAGGGTCTTGTTGACAATTTGGCCGGAAAGAGAAATATCTTCTTCACATCATTCAACTTATTAGGTCCATGTTGGGTGACTTTCAGCGGGACCAAAACGACACTATTTGGCTTACATAAGCAAGTAATGTCGACGCGTCCGGCGCGACATGCACCACAACAAATGTCTTTGAATTTCAACCCATTTCCCATTTTTCCGTAATATCTTTGGTGTCTCACAAAGTTGCTCTTATTTTTCTTTCCGTTGATCCGGTGACTTGGTGACTTCCAGAGTTCCCAAAAGTCTCAACAACAACATGTCTACGCTCGCAACAGCTGACTTGTCTTCGGACGAGGAAGATGTCGACTTTGTTCCCGCGGCTCCCAAGACCAAGCGTCCTCGCAAGACAAAGGGCAAGACAAAGAAGGCTAAAAGCCCGGGATCCGCTTCCGATAGCTCTTCATGCTCGTCCAGCGACGGGGAATCTGGCGATGAGGAAGAAGGAGATGAAGAAGAACGGATAGCGAAGAAAGCAAAGCTCGAAGAGAAGGAGAAGGATGAAGCTGAAGAGAGGCGGCGGAAGGCGAGAGAAGAGTTTGAAAAGATGAAGGCTGAAGCGGCGGGACCGGCAGAGGTTAGGCAGGCGGAGGAGGAGATGGTGGGGATCAAGCGGCCGAGGTGGTTTGCTGGGGAGACTATCTTGTGAGATCACCACTCGGTCATCATTGAGGTATGCGCTGACGAAGAAACAAGAGAGACTGTCAAATTACGGGCATCTGATCCAGAAGCTATAGCCTACTTTGAAAAACTTCAGAATGGAGACGAGAAACCGGTTCTTCCTGCTGAAGAGTCTGTAACAAAACCCGAGACCCCTCTCGCAGAGACTTCTGCATCTCCCGTCCCTCCCGCCCCCCAAGCCCCCAAACCGAAAGGCCCTCCTCGGCGCAAGCGTCAAACACTCGAGCAGATGTCTGCTGCATTGGACAAGGGCAAGAAAATGACTACTCTTGAAAAGGTGCGCGATCCTTATTTGTTGACTAAAAGCCCTTGCTGACAGCCTCCAAAACAGTCTCAAATGGACTGGAAGAGTCACACGTCGTCAAGTACGAAAATGGAGGATGAACTCGCTGCCAACCGACGGAGCGGTGGATACCTTGCCAACCGCGATTTCCTGGACCGCGTCGGGGAGAGGAAGTCGGAGACGTATGATCAGCAGGGGACCCGGAAGAGATAAGGTATTTACGCCCAGAGGCGCATTTGTTGTATGAAGTACAGATCATTGCCATCACATGGATGCAAGTATGAGTATTCATCTATTATGTGGTTCATCTACAACTGACTTCTAGAACCGGAATGTTTCGTTTGGGGCATATATGGAGACGTAAATTACGCATAAGGGGGCATTAAACAGGCATGAAAGGAGAAAGGCACCAAGGTACGTGTATGAAGCAAGTTGAACAAGAGAATGGGTATTAAAGCAAGCGCAAATGTCCATTGAGACCTCGACAGAAACCACACGACAGACGATCAGATCATCAATCTGCCCCCTCCCTCAATCCACTCTTCTTCTTGCTCTTCCTCCGCCTCACTCCGTTTCCTCGTTTTGAGCTTCCCCTGCCTCTTTTTGAGCTGTCCGGGAGGCTTTGCGGGTAAAACTCGTCGCCGTCAAGCACTAGTTCTCTGGGAGATGTAGCTTGCGGGCTTTGGATCGCTAATTGGGGGATGCGCCGGGGAGTAGAGAGGAGGTGGGAGGGAATGGCGGGCACGGGTGGTGCGGGTGTAGGGGCGACGGGGAGCAGAAGAGCAGCCTGCAGAGACTTGATGGATCTCTGCTTTCTGGGTCCGCGCACCGTCCCCGTTGAGACAGAGGAAGACTGCTTGGCTTTGGGGGTTTCGGGTTCGCCGGCCCTAGCCTTTGGAGGAGTAGAGGGCTTGTAGAAAAATGACTTTGACCAGTCAATCTCGCCATCTTCCGTCGACTCGGCAACCTCGGCCTCTGCCTTGCCAGTCTTTCTCATCGGGCTCCAGCCAGCAAACTCTTCGCCCTGCTGTTTCCAATCCAGTCTCGGGGACAGCACCAGCGCATCTCCGTCCACAGCAGACGCATTTCCCAAGAACGTCTGACGCAACTTGGCGAGTGACGGTCGGTAGCGAAGGAGGGAAGAGCCTTCTGTGGGTGAAGGTACAGGAGGAAGATCTTCGGCATCTGTAGATACAGAGTCGCACAGTACAGGAGAAGCAGTGACGAGTCGAGGCTGAGCGGGCGCGGCGGTAGAGACACGGAGAGAGGGAGGTGGGCGAGCTTTGATTTGCGAGGATGTGGAAGGAGTAGGACCAAGAAGAGCGCTTCGGATGGAACCCAACCAGCCGGAAGGCAAGGCTGGAGGAGCCGTCTCGGCCTTTTTCAGGTTGGGTGTCGAGTGGGCAAGGCGAATCTTGGCAGCTCTGTCGCCGTACTTGAGCGGCTTCTTCACCTCTTCCACTGGCGTCTCGCGCGGAGCTTCGACTGGTTTCGGGGGAGAAGGCATAGGGATAGTGGGCGCTTCGCCAGAGCTCGGCGTCTCCACCATCACCTTCGGCAGGGACCACGTCCTGATAGGCTCCTGCTCCTCCTCGTCCTCCGATTCTCCATCATACTCTACAGCTCCAGCCAACAACCTCTGTCCAACATCATTTACCTCATTGAGCTCGCCGTCCATCTCATCCTGGAATTGGCGGATCTCTCGCTCTGCCCGGTCATCGCTTGGTGTTCTACTGTGACCGGAGAAGCTCGAGCGGATAGAAGGAGTAGCAGATCCAGATCCGAGAGAGTAGGCGTCGTAGTCGTTGGCGCCCATGGCATACAAAGCTTCGTCCTCTGCGCACTGAGCCTCATAGTCGTCCGGGAGAGGGCAGTACCCGAATGCATCATCAGGCAGCGCCGGCGGGGGAGGTGGGGAAGAGAATATACTCTTGTCGAGAGGATTTGTGGTGAACTTTGTGGGGGTGTAGCCGATGGCGGATGTCATCTCTTGAGGACTGCTGACCTGCCTACAGTTGGGTAGAGGTGGTCTCTCCTCTTGCAGAGGCGAATCCGTCTCTGCCCGCCGTGTCCTTCCCGACTCGAGCTCCCATGTCGACTTTATCTTTCGCACTCCGTCTCCGTTCCTCGCCAAGCTGAGCCCGACCTCTGTAGATGGTTCAGGGGGCGACATTCTCGGGTTCTTGCCCCATGCCGCCCACCAAGATTGATCCGGGCCGTTCGACCCGACAGATGCCGCCGACCGCGCAGCAGCTTGGACAGCAAGCGACCGCAGGATAGACGTTGACCGCTTCATAGGCATCATGGGCTCTGTCACATTCTGATGCGCATGCTGCACCCCACGGTCAAATCCGTACGTCCCATAAAGGGCATCCACCTCTTCCTCATTCTCGTCCAGTGTCTTTTTGATATTTCTCCGGATCTTCTCAGCTTCGGGGGTGTATACCCTGGTGTCCTTGTACCCGGCTTTTTGGAGGAGTTCTTGGAGTGAAGAGTACTCGTGTAGCGGGGCCAAAGCGTCTGGGGGTGAGGCAATATCGGAGTCGATTGAGGGAGTGGGATATGTACGTGGTGGGCGAGAGGGGCCATGGCTTGCTTTAGACAGTGAGGCAGGGTAGGTGTGGATCGCGGTGGGCGTTTGGGGAGTGGGAGCCATTGCGGATGGGGATACAGGAAGCTGTAGGGCACTGTTAGGCGGGTCTGGCGTGGTGTCATTGTACTCACTGGAGAGCACGTTCTCTCGCGCTGCGATACACAGGGACCGGGGCGGGAGTAGGATAAGAGAAGACAGGCAATAGCAGGTGATATAGTAGCAGATGATATAATAGCAGATGGAGAAATAGATGTGAATGATCCAAGGATGAGACGTCCCACTTGTTGTTTGTGCGCCGATTCCAGGAACACCGCTTGCAACTCCCTGACTGGGGGCGTGGGGGGTCGTCTTTGGAAGGGGGAGGGCAGTGGGGCTGTATGTATGGCCTACACAGCGTATGTCCTCGAAGGAGGATGGATGCATGCATGGGCCGTCCACCGTGAGGCGTCATCCATTCACTGCAGAGCTGGACAAACAAACAAAATAATGGCCCGCTCAGGGTCCAAAAAAGGTCAGTCGCGTGCGTTGGCCTTGAAAATGTCGCGCCCATTCTGACATGTCCCTCGAGCTGTTGCGATGCCCTTGAATTTCCCAGATGATAGCGGGATGATGGACGCTAATGTGAACTCGGCTTTGGTCGACGCTGCGTCTGCCGCCACGCTTGTCGTCGAATATCATTCAACTTGCAACACACAAGTCAAACCCAGGACTCCCAAAATCGACTGGAGCCCTCTATAAGTTATATGCGGCTATGAGTCTCTCCATTCTCAGCGATTGCCGACACAGCGGACATTCCAGCTATACCAGGGGTGAGCACGGCACGGCCACGCATGTCAAGACGAACCTTTTCCAGACCACCCAGACAGCCCCAGCAGAATATATGACCGCACTCTGTGACAGCTACAGTACCTCCACTGCCTTCCCCTGTACCCCGCGGCTCTAGGCATAGCGTACACTGTCTTTCGGGCAGCGCGATAGCCTTTTGCGTCAGATACGTGTTGGGTTTGTCGTACTCGGCTGAAGATGACATGAGGACCGTCTGCTCTGCCGTCTTGGGAGCTCCCACGGGCTCTGCAAGGATTGGCGATTCTTCAGAATCCCCTGCCAGTGTTCCGCGAGAAGCCTGAGGAAGTATTGCGCTTTGATCTTCCGGTTGCCGGCGCGGCAGAAGACGGTATAGGAATGGTAAGAGCATGAGCAGGCCGAGGGGCTCGTATGACGCTTGCCGTTGCTCGGGACGTCGTGGTGGGAGAGTCGATATCTAATCGACATGAGTACATATCCACGACACGCCTCTAGGTGAGACTCACATATGATATACCTGTCAGCCGCCGAGCAAACTCGAAGAATCTTCCTCTGAATAAGAAGAGTATCATGTGCAGTTCTGGCAAGGCTTTCCCCACGGGCGACTCGAGAAACTTGGCCAGCTTTTCTCTCTTCCTTGTCCATCTTGACTCGGGACCACTATCTGGACGCTGGACAGGAGCAGGCCGTATATAGTTTGTAGAGGCTGGGGAGACGAGCAGAGTCGGCAGAAGGAGTAAGAGGATGGTCAGGGATCTCGACTACGAAGCATATGAGTGACAGCCAAGTACAGTATCTCAGTACTCACTCTTCTGGACGGCAGATTTCTCCGTCTCGTAGAGTATGGTAGAATATCGGTATATTCCTCCCCGAGCGTTTGGCTGCCTCGACCAAAAGTCAAAGTCAGGTAGACGCCTCTGACGAGGAGGTCGACCAGAGTCTGCTTGTGTGCCAACCATCGTGTCCCTGCAGACCTGCTTAGTATATGTATTGCTGTCAAAGCTTCCAAGTCTCACCTGCAAGCGATCTCAATATTTCAGACACCAGCTCGGTCAGCCGATACACCTGCGCTGTATCTCTCTGATGTGCCCGTACTGCAGCTGGGTGTCAGCTCTTACAAGCGATACAAGTACGGGTGCTCACATATTTGTGCTTGTGAGGCGGCTTCGAAAGAGACATTGGCGTATGCGTCGACAGCTTCCTGTGTAGGAGGTGCGGGGTGTCGGGAGGAGGAAGCGACTGGGGCATCCATTGACGGTCGGTGTCGATGAAAGTTGTGTGACTTTTGGGCGTAGGTTGCAGCTTGATATATCGCCTTGTCGTCCAGATATACTTCCAAGATAGACAGTGACAATGCAACCTCCAAATCACCATCCACCTCATCGCTCACCCGTCGTCGGTAAGCAATCGGTAAGAGATGGGTAGCCGACTTACGTAACCAATTCGACATCTGTTAGGTGGCAACAAAAACTTCGATGTTTTCTTGATGTTTTCACTCTTTTCTCGTTCTCTTTACGCTCTCTGTCTCGACTATCCGCCCCCATACGATCTTCTGGCGCCTTGCGAGGGTCATACGATCATGACTTTCACCGACTATCCGACTTTCTCGAACAGCCCGTTCTTCTATGACCCGCGAAACCCGATTGTGCCAGAGACGGAGGAAGGTCACGTCCGAGTCAGTTGCCGTTTGAATTGAAGGAAAACATATGAGGGCTAATGATAGATGGATGCAGGCACACTCGAATCCAACAGTAGCGTACTACCACCCCAAGAACGTCGGAAACTACCATTATGGAGTGAGTTTCGTCTTGCTGGTTGTCACTCTGCCTCCTTACTAATCGTTGGTATCGCAGGAACGGCATCCAATGCGTCCACATCGACTGGAGCTTACCAACCAGCTGGTACTGAGCTATGGGCTACACGAAAAGATGTCGTATCACGCACCAAGGGCTGCAACAGAGGAAGAGTTACTGGATTTTCATGAGGCCGACTATGTAGAATTCCTGAAAAGGTGAGTGCTATTTTGGTACATCGTGACAGCTGTCTAAACAACGTCCCAGAGTCACACCCAAAAACGCTCAAAACCTCACCAAAGACTGGACCAAGTTCAACGTGGGCGACGATTGTCCCGTCTTTCACGACCTCTTTTCATTCTGCAAGCAGTACGCTGGTGGATCTCTTGCGGCCGCGCGAAAGCTGTCGAGTGGGTCTGCGGATATTGCGATCAATTGGAGTGGAGGACTACATCATGCAAAGAAGGGAGAGGCGAGTGGGTTCTGTTATGTCAATGATATCGTGCTGGGCATCTTGGAGCTATTAAGGTCAGTACGCGCGCTTCTGCAATTCAAAAAATGCTGACGAGTCACAGAGTACATCCCCGAGTGCTCTATATCGATATAGACATTCATCATGGTGATGGTGTCCAGGAAGCATTCTACCTCTCCAATCGTGTCCTCACAGTCTCTTTTCACAAATACGCCGCCGACTTCTTCCCCAATACTGGGAATCTCTCTGAAATAGGTTCAGACTTGGGCAAATACTTCTGCCTGAACGTGCCACTACAAGATGGAATAGACGACGAATCGTACATCTCATTGTTCAAGGCGGTGATGGAGCCTACAATCACCATCTTCAGCCCGTCGGCTATCGTATTACAATGCGGAGCCGATTCCTTGGGTTGTGATCGGTTAGGGACTTTCAACCTCTCTATCGCCGCTCATGGCGAGTGCGTGAGGTTTATAAAATCCTTTGGCCTTCCCCTCCTTACTCTGGGTGGTGGCGGATACCGACAATCTTCCGTATCACGTTGTTGGACATACGAAACCGGTGTCCTCGCCGGCGTTCAGCTCTCCAACGACCTCCCTCCATCCAACTACTACGAGTTCTTCGGTCCCGACTACAACCTGCATCCTCCCCTTACCGGCAAGATCCAAAATCTCAACACTCCCAAATCCCTCGAACGTATACGCATATCCATCCGAGAGAAGCTGCGGTATCTGGGCGGAGCGCCCAGTGTGCAGATGCAGGAGATACCGCCGGATCTACAGGGCTTGTTGGCGGATGCGGAGAAGAATGGAGGAGAGAGGATGGATGAGCGGGCAGAAGAGCGCAGAGAAGGGAAAGGAAAGGAGACCGACTGGCTGGCTAGAGAAGTCGGGGGTAGCGGCGATGGGATGGGGTCCGGGAGGTACTTTGGCGGAGCAAGAAGAAAAACATGACAAGGATTTGTGCAAATATACCTGGCATACATTCATACCTAGGAGTGGTTCTATAAATTTAGTCGTTGAAAGGCTTGGTTGTATCTGTTGTAGGTTATCTTGAAAAGTAAGCCACGCAATGAAGCGTGCAAAATGCGAATTCATGTCTGAGCAAGGGCTGCCGTTGTGTCAAACGCATCAGACCGGTGTTTGTGAATACAAAGCGCACCCCTTTAACAGGTGTCTTCTCATCCACCAGATGACATTATCTCTTCAGGTCTCCTAACGTGAGCGACCACGTCCGGTGGGCGAGTATGTATTTGCACCTCATGAGATGTCATATCGCCCATGTCTAAGATATGTCCCTTGCCCGACTTGCGTCTAATGTTGGTACAGGTACAATGTAAACCCAATCGAAAGTAAACCCTACTACTAGAAATTGGCGCTTTCAGAAGCTCTATAGCAGTTTTCCGTGTGTACTCCTCTTTCTCCACCTCCGCGCCGCCCACCCGACCGCTAGGACGCTAGCACTGACCAGAATCAACTTGACGACCCCCAGCAACGTCCACTCGTCTCCTCCGTCGACACCGTATCTCGCCCGATGACTCAACTGTCTCAAACTCTCGCCCTCTATCCCAGGATGCGAGTGGTCATCCACTTGATGGACGCTGTCGTCTTCTGGGATACCACCTGCGCGGAAAGACGCCTCTCTCAGAGCATCAAGATCAAAAGCTTGATCGGCTGGTTGGATTGACAGTTCGAGTTTGTGACGAACGTCAAGGAGGATGTCGTATTGCCAGTCCTACGAGCCATGAGCCGATGGTTTTGATATTGGTGAACGAACGTACCATGACGGAAGCAGTCTCTGTGTCCCAAGACTGTATGGCAGTACGCAGCTGATTAGCGGCCTCAGCGTGCGCCTTTTGGTTGAATTGCAGATGCTCCATGCGTCTCTGCAGCTTTTCCAGATGAGATCTAATCCTTGTCAGTTTATTGACACCTATATGTAGTCACAAGACTCACGACATCTGTGGGTCAAGAGCGGCTGCAGAGCCAGGTTCCCCACCCTCGCTCTGCACCTTTGAACCAAGCACATCAACCCTTCTGTTCAAATGGTCAATAGCCTCCATCATTCTCTGGTGAGAATGCTCGAGAATATCGTCCATCATGTCTGATCCCGTGGCAAACATGTGTCCCCCGGCAGTTTCTGGCTCTTCTGTCCCTGACTCTGGTTCTCCTGTAGAGTCATCTACTTCATCTTCGGCGTCTCGTTCGTTTTCTGATGGGCTTCCGAGATCATGGGGTAAGGGAGGGAGGTCGTGCTTGGGAGGATTACTCTTGTCGTAAATCCCATCAATGCAGACCACTAGGTACCCAATCAGCGCATGTTCAGGAAGAAAGAGAGGCAGGCTTACGATATTGGAAATCGTGGTCCGCAAAGCCGACCTGGAAAGTACTATCCTCAATAGTCGGCGCGTTATACAACAGCCCCATGGGATCAGGGTTCTCAGGCTCGTCAAAGCATCTCGCACTCTTCCTCCCCTCATGCTTTGCTTCATCCCAGTTATCCTTCACTGTCCACTTTTTCAATCCCGCGGCCGCGATACCGTAGCCCATGTATCGTCCTTTCAGACCGTTGCCGATCACACTACCGCCCGTGAGGATCGTCTCGGTGTCGTCGGACCAGACTGTGGGCCCGATTCCGATACCGACTCGGATGGTGCGCGAGGCGGCATCGATAATGTTGGATTTGATGACGACGCCAGAGTAGTCTCCGTCAAAGGGTGTAGAGTCGACGAGGAGGATACCTGCCATGGCGGAGAGACCGCGGGCAAAGATGTGGTTGGCGTGGATAAGTGTACCTGGAGAGCAGTAGACGACGACTGCAGCATCGGTATTGTCGTAGAAGGTATTATCCCGGACGAAAGAGTCTCGACAAGCGATAGAGACACCATCTGCCAACGGTCTACCGAGAGGCGACATTTCGGGATCGTCCCCGTCTTTCTCTGGGTCAAACTCTTCTCCCACAGGACCGATCTCGTTCTTTTCGATTACAGCCCCTGTACACTGGAGCTTGTCGCCTTCCCGAATATGGATAGCAGTAAAGCCCCGGGGATGCTTGATCCAAGACTCTTGGACGCTTTGCCCTTCGTTTCCACCCAAGACGACCAGACCCGTGGCAAGGCCGACATCCTTCATCCGGCCCAGCTTCTTTCTGTTTCCATCTACCACCACATTCTTGACCGATACTCGAGCACATCTCCGACAGTCTCCTTGGATAGCTGTGGCAGAATCTCGTCCCTCGACTCGGAGAACAGCACGTTCAGCTCCCGTTGGGTACCCGTACGTTGCGAGCTCTTGGTCGGCAGCTGTAAAAACAATAGGGCCGGATAGCCGATACAGGCGATTGGGACAGAGCAGCACTTTGGCGCCAGGTCCACCGTCGATGAACATTTGGTTGATAGAGTCATAGTCGGCAAAGCGGACGCATGGTTGCGCAGCTGAGACGATTGCCAGCAGGGAGAACAAGAGGGCGAAAAACAGGGAATGGGGCATGGCACCTGACGTCGGAGCTGATTTCCATGCGTTTTCCTGCGACTCTTGGGGAGTGCTGGAGGACGAGCAAGTATGGGCGCGCCGACGTTTGCGCTTTGAAAGAATTCGAGCAAGATCGCCCTGTTGGGCGACTGTTGAGGGGAGCATTTTATGGGATGCAGGACATCCAGCGAGGGCGCTTGGTGGGCCCGGTGGGATGCTTGAGATTGTCGGGGAAGAGCGAAAAGATTGAAGAGATGATGCAAACAGGAGTGTCACCAGATGAGATCGAAAACAGACTGAGCTCAGTAGCGCGGTAGCACCGAAACCTACTTGACCGACCCTGGCTTTGTCTTTTCAAGACCGAATCCTAATCCCCTTGCGCTTTTTCTAATCAGACGCGTGTTTTGTGCCGAGGGACGCGCCGGTGGAGGCAGGCCGGATCTTGGCAGTACCTGATCCTCGTGCCGTCCTCGTGCCGTCCTCGTGCCGTCCTCGTGCCGTCCTCGTGGTGATGGTCGTCAAGCTGGCCGATCACGCAGACCCCTTCCGTGTATAAGAACGATCCTCCGCTACTGTCTTCGCTCTTCCTCATCTCGAATCTCGTAACATGTCAGACCACATGCTGTTGGATACTGTCGATCTTGATCTTGGTACGTGGAACATTGTCATCAGCAGTCAGAGTGCTGACCCGCTGCAAAGTGGTCAAGGTCCTCTCCAAGACAATATTCTCGCCCATGTTTGTGGTCTTTCTGCCTCTGACACTCCTCTCCCAAGTCGGGTCCTCCCACCCAGCATTCTTGGCAACCTGTGTTTGGACCGCTATCATATGCTTTTTTGGTAAGCTCTATCTCAACAACATCGATTGTGCCTGACAGGTGGTAGCCCTGTGGCAACACGTCGACAGGATATATTCCAATCAGGCTACTTGGTTGCTCGCTCCTCCAAAGCTCAAATGGGAAGACCAGGTGGTGCTTATCACCGGGGGCGGTTCTGGAATTGGTGCTCTACTGGCAGAGACCCTCGCTATGAGAAACGTATCAGTGGTCGTTCTGACCAAATATCCTCCACAGTACGAGACGATAAATGGTAAGCATCTGCCCTTTGGGAAGACATTTCAGCTAACGTCTGCATAGAGAACATCCATACATATATATGCGACGTATCAGACTTCAAGACTGTTCAAACGGTAGCAGAGCGGGTCAGGGGAGAAGTCGGCGACCCTACTGTCATTGTGAACAATGCCGGTATAGTTACAGGGAAGCTTCTTCTAGACTTGACCGAAGAGGACGTGCAGAGGTAGATACTGCATCAGTATTGCAAGCAACTGCTCACACGCTCTCAGCACTTTTGGGTGCAACACTCTTGCAAACTTTTGGGTTTTGAAGGCCTTCCTTCCAGCCATGCTACGCAAGGGCCAAGGCCATATCTTCACCATCTCAAGTCTTCTCGGCCTCCTTGGAGCTGCTCAGATGTGTGAGTCCTGTCTCTTCGGTATGACAGTGACATGTGCTGACCCACTTTAGCCGACTACTGTGCGAGCAAAGCCGCTTTGATCAGTCTCCACCAAACTCTCCGCTTCGAGCTCGATAACAGATACAAAACTCCTGCTATCCGCACCACCCTCGTTCTCCCGGCGTACATCCTCACCTCCCTCTTTGAACGGATCAGGTTCCCCCCCGGTCGTCTCTTTGATTTCTTCTGCCCTCCCGTACCGCCGCACGCTATCGTCAAGCAGATCATCTCGGCTCTCGATGAGAATGAGAGTAGAGTGATCAGGCTACCTTTCTATACGAATCTGGCGAGGTTCAGTGGGGAGGGTGTGGGACTTGTGCCAGCTTGGATGAGGGATCTCATGCAGTGGTTGTTGGGAGCAGACCATGTCATGAAGGGGTACGGGCCAAGTCCGGATGCTGGAGAGCGGCTTGAGGTTGAAAGGTCGCAACAGCAAGAAGGTCATGGGGTGGACATTGTCAATGAGAAGTTATGATAGAATCCAGAGATGTCCTCTGGATACGACTGGACTCTTGTCATGAATGATACATGCTCTACTCTTCATCCGCCCCTGATATCTCATTCTCGTCTGCCCCAAGTAGCCAGCCCACTCCCCTGACCAAAGCTCTCCTAGCGCCTTTCCTCACCCTCTCAGCTTCCTCTCTCCCGAGATGATCGAACAGCTCCCTTGTGCCCGTTGAGCCTGGTGTGCCCACAGAATAGCCAGCGTCCGAACCTCCGTCACTCTCCACCCTGGAATCTCTCGATGAAGACCGCAGTAGGGCGTTCGAGCCAAACGGTGAGCTTAGCGTGGCAGCGGACAACAGCGAGGGCGATGGGAGCTGTCGATTCGTCAAGCGCCCGCCAATATCCAAAGCAAGCTTGGCAGCTTTCGCTGCAGTGCGGGAACCGAGTACTCGTTCTTCTTCCGACACGCCCAGAGCTGAAGCCTCATAAGGCAGCTTTGGAGCTTCGATTCCCTCCAGTCGCCGTCTCTTTGCAGCTTGGTCAAGCTTGGCTTGTCCACTCTCGACTTGTCTGAAAGTTTCGAGTATAGATGGGATCGCCTCGGAAGGACACAGCTCGAGGGCGATGGAGATGAATTCCCTTTTGGTGGGGATGTCTGAAAAGTCTGGACGAGAGGCGATCAAGTGGGCCAAAGTGTAGGTCTCTGCGATGAGCTTGGCTTCGGGGTCCGCAGTAGCCAGATCCTTCCCGGCTGCCTTGCCTTTCCCTTTCGTCTTTATCACACGTTCCTGGGCGACAGTCGCCATACTCTCCACTGCCCCCTTTCCCGTCTCCCAATCTTCATTCTCGACCGCAGACCTGCCCACCATACCCCATACCAATCCCTTCTCCACTTGACTCCGGCAACCAAGTTTGCTGGCGAGGTCGAGCATGAGGTCAGGATACCTGTAGGCGTCGCTGGAAGAGCCGCAGAGAACGGCAGAGATGAGGGTCAGGGGTTCTGTAGTCGCACGTATTTGAGAGGGTGTGATGTTGAATGAGGAGAAGGAGGACAGGCGGGAGGTGGCTTCGATGTATTCTCTCTCGGATGTGATTGCCTTTGAAGAGGGAGCCACTAGCAGGCTATGAACAGGATCAGCTTTCAGGTCTGGGACCAGTTAACATACTCACCAATCATATGCAAGCTTCATGTTGCCCGAGTGCAAGTTGCCGCTCTTGGCAGAGATATAAAACTCTCTCGACGCCTCCAAGACGACTTTCTCGATAATGACGGCATCAACTGCTCCATCACCCTGTAACCTCTTGATCATCTTTCGAGTAATGTCAAAGTCTCTCACGGTGTCAGCTCGGCTCACTCGACACTAGTTGATACTCACTACCCGAGCTCAAAAGACCGCCAAGATATATTCTTCCCCTTTCTTGCAGCGTCAAAGTCCCCAGCGCTCCCTTCAGTAGCCCCTCCCCACTCGCGAGCCTTTGCATATCATCCCACAGCCTTCGCCATCCCTCTTCCCTCGCACCAGCCAAAGAGCTCCCGCCCTGCCTCACCAGTTTGTTGGCCAGATCTGTTTGCTCCTTTTTGTCGCCGGTAACGCCCAAGAGCTCACCTAACCGTTGTTCGACGCCCCACCTTGCGAGGATCTCGCCGCTCTCCAGTTGAACATCCAAGATATCCAGCGCTCTGGACAAGGAGGCAAAGGGAAGCGGGCGGAAAAAAATAAGAAGGTCTTTCTTCGTTGGCGGTTCTGTTGCAGAGGCCGAGGGACGTACAAAAGCCGATATAGAGTCGATGGTGGTGCTGGTGAGCTCCTCATCCGCCGCATCGGCTCCCGTAAGCTCCCAAACGGGCAGACACTCGAATATACTCGACATGCTGCCCCAGACGACACTCCCTCGTTCTTGGCTGCCATACAAACAGGCCAAGGCGAGGCGCGCAACCTCGAGATCGTTCTTGATGATCCTCTCGGCTGTTGGGATGGTGGCTTTGGAAGCTTCAAAGACGGGTAAAGCGAGGTGAAGAGGTAGAGAAAGGATAGCAGAGTTGAGATAGTCTTCTACGAGTTTGGCGGACGGTTTGCCAGCTCTTTCCGCTCGAGATTCGAGTACATAAAGATAAGGCATCAGAAGACTCCGGATGTCGCCTGCGATACTCCCGGGTACTGACCCAGACAAGTAGGCGTTGACGATATCGTCCTCTTGTGCTGATCGCCAACTGGCAAGATTCCAGCGAGCATGTTGCTCGTGAGTGAGGTTGCCGTCGTATACCAGCCTAGACAAGAGGGAGAGGTCTTCGCCTAGAGAGTCCAGAGAAGGAACGCCGAGGGAAGCACCATGCTGGACCCAGGCGAGCTGGATATCAAGTAGACCTAGCGAGTCTAGGGACAGGGTGTGGGAGGTGTACCATCCGGCAAGATCTTCGCTTGACATGGGCGTTGGGCGGGATGGGAGAGAAACAGGCGTTGCGCTGAGGGACAACGGGATATACAGACTCTTGATTATCGCAGGAGGTGGTGGGAGAGCTTCGTCGGCTTCAAGCGGTGTCACCCAAGTCTCTACATCCTCTGCGCCGAGCTTTGGCAGCAAGTCCACCTCTAGGAGCTCGCTGGGCTGGACCCACCCCGGAACAGCTTCCAGAATGCAAAAACGGTAAGGATACAGCTCTTGCCAGTGTCTTTGACAGATCGTTTGTAGAGCTCCGAGAGCCACTGCTGATGCAAGCTCCAGGGCGGATAGCGGGAGAGGTTGAGTAAGGAATTGGAAGAGGCTCAGAGGGAGAGACTCGATCTCTGACTGCTCAGATTCTTCTTCTTCGTCTGCTCCAGAGACCTCTTTGGTAGAAATCTCTGGTGATTGCTCAGCCCAAGGATCGTCCAAGATTGTCGTGCGCTCTTCGCCTTCATCTTCTCCCCAAGGATCGTCCAGCTCAATCTCCTCCTCGCCCTCCTTCTCCTTCTCCCCTTCATCAAGCCCTACACTCTTCTCGATAATGGGACTGGCGACAGGAGACGGTTGTAACAACTCCCACGTGTCCAGCCGCCGCCTCATCTCGTCCAGCCCCAAATACGCCTCCACCGCTGCCTCTCTCTCTCCCACTATTCCTTTAACATCTTCCTCGGCGGATCCCTCTGCTACTGCCAGCACGTCTCCAAGCACTTGCAATGCCTTCTCAAGTCCCAGACCAATTGCTTCTTTGATCTGAGAGGCATCTTCAGCTTGGCCCGAAGTGACGAGGTGGAAGGAGGTGGTGATGGTATCGAGGTCAGGAAGGGGAGCAAGGGTTTGGGTGATTACGGTAGAGGTGAGGGATGCTGTGGACAGTTCTTGTGCTGCCTCACTCATGCTGGTGGCTGGTAAGAAAGCTGTAAGGGTAACCCAACAATTGGCTTCTTGCCGGCGTACGTCAAGTTCCAGGGAATTGGAATCGTCCTCCCACTTAGGGAGTCGGCTCTCACCGCCGTTTCATGATGTAACGCAACAGCCAGGAACCGACGAGTTTCAGAAGAGGAACCAGAAAATGTAGTCGGCAGCACTCTGCTATGCAGTCCACTGCTTCAGAACCTATGTACAGCTCGGGATGGGACATATATCAACACAAGGAAGATCAAAGTATGGGCATAATGCATCGTCCATGGACGTAAGATTTTGAGTTCCAATTACGATAGATACCAGGGGTCAAAACAAAGCGACGCGCTTGTTATCGATGGACGCGCCGGATCTTGCATCTCTGACTTTTGCGCCTCTTCTGAGTTTAAAGTGCAAATGACCATACAGCTAGGGCGGGCCCATATGACTTTGCCCCCTGGCTCTAGAACGACTGGCACGATCAGTTCAGCATTGGTATTCTCCGGCCCTCGGTCTCATATCTCATAGCTATAGATATACATCTCTCCGTAGTCAGTAGACCTGGAAATCGATAACCCGGTGATGAAGGCGAAACTCCTACGGGAATCCATTGCAGTGCTCGTCGCTCATTTCCACACAGTCTGTTCGATAGCAGTCCCTGAGGCTGGTGCGTATTTTGGCTAGCTATGATACACACAGAGAAGAAATTGCCCGTTTGATGGTGAATGCCTACAAGAGGAAGGTCGGGCATGTATGCGACTTCTGATACGTCGATCGCCGCTTGTATGCATACAGTGACCGCAATGCAAGTAAACACCAACTGGACGGACCAGGGGACCTTTCAACATGCAGAGGTGTTGACGCTTTGTTTATGCAGGTCAACTTGCTCAACGTTGGTGGATTGTTCTTGCCATTTATGCAGGAAAGAAGACTGCCCGCATGCATATATGCACCCATACTCACAGCCGATATGGGAAGAGTGGGGGTCCTCAAGGCGAGTCACGGCGCTCCTTCCGTGGTGGCTGGGTTGGATGATAATTGATGGGTGACTCCCGTAGCACAGCAACAGCGCCGCGTAACCGGCTCATGCTCCTGCCGCCCATACAACTAGCTATGCACCACTAAGGGCCCGTTATGTGGATACATGGGATATCCCCGCTCCCTGCCGAGAGCTATGCATGCATGTGTCAGGGGGGGTTCGCTGGAAGACGGCGCACACAGACGGCAAAGAAACCTTCCCAATCGGGAAAACAAGGGTTCAGGACCAGCTTGTTGTTGACTTGCACGGGTCGCAAAAGTCGTGTCTCGTCGGTTTTACATCTTGTTCTTCATCTCTATTCCCTCTCTTCTCTGCATTTCTCTCCTCGGCCACCCTCCCAGTCCTCGCCACCGCCCCCTTCGGCCCCAGCTCGCCCATCGCCTCTCCCGCCGCACACGTTCGGTCGCTGCCCGGCCCTTCCCGTCAGGCGTCTCAGTACTCTACTGTGAGTCACCCGTGCATTCCTCCCCACCCTCGTCGCATGCTTGCCGTGCGGCTCGCCCTCTCCCATCGCGCACCCACGTCTTGACCGCTCCTTTCATGCGCCACAAGCATCAGCTACGTCTTGATCGCCATTGTTTTTTCCTCGTTGACTTGTTTTCGATCCTTGCGGAATAATCGAGGCCCAAGCTGAGCTGACATTGTTCTTCATACAGGAGCCCACCAGCCTGTATCCTCAAGACTATGGCCACGTCTTCCTTGCCCCTGCCACACAACAACGCGTCGCTGCATCAGCAACGATCCCCTATCGCCCGCACCCACTCGGCCTACGCGTCGAACCCTTTCCCTCCCGTTCCCACCCACGCTCCCAGCCTCCCCATGGCGCAGCCTCAGACATACTATCAGCAGCCTGCCGGCTTCGACTTTGGTCCCCAGGGTCATCACGCACACGTCGGTGGCAGTCACGGTCCGCATGCTGGACCGTCACACCAGCCAGCGGCAAACAACGCGCTTGTGTCCGAGGCCGGTCAGTCAACGTCCGCGCGGCCAAGACCACCTCCTTCCTCGGCAACAATGCCACTGATACCTTCCTCCGCCCTTCCACATGACCCCTCTTACTCATCGCATCAACCAAGCCATGCTTCACAATCCCAATCTCAGCCATCTCGTGCTGCCAACCGGCGGTCTCACAATCCCGGCGCGACGCTGAGCCAGCCGTTGATGCCCCGTCCCGAAGAGTTGACCGACGAGTACGTTCTGCATCCCTCAGTCTACTCTTTCAAGCAAGAGTATCCTCGGCGGTCCATGGTCGGTCTAGGACCATACATCGTCCTTCAGACGCTGGGAGAAGGAGAATTTGGCAAGGTCAAGCTGGGTGTCCATGCGGATTACGGTGTCGAGGTCGCGATCAAGTTGATCAGGAGGGGTGATCTCCAGGAGGAGGCCCATGCAAGCAAAGTAGAGCGGGAAATCAACGTGCTCAAGGTGAGTATTGTTTTGGCATCCCGAACATCCCACTGACGGCGATGCAGACGTTGAAACACCCAAACATTGTCCGTATGTTTGATGTTCTTGACACGCACAAGTATATTGGAATCGTCCTGGAGTTTGCCGGAGGTACGTACCTGTCAGTTGTGTTGCTGATTGCTGACGCGCATGTAGGCGGAGAGCTATTCGAATACATCCTCGCCAACGAGTACCTCAAAGACGTCGAAGGCCAAAGACTCTTTGCTCAGCTTATTTCAGGTGTTGATTACCTTCACCAGAAGGGGGTCATTCATCGTGACTTGAAGCTCGAGAATCTGTTACTAGACAAGCACAGGAATCTCATCATCACCGACTTTGGCTTTGCCAACTCGTTTTCCAAGGAGGAGGGCGATCTCATGTCAACAAGTTGTGGCAGTCCGTGCTACGCCGCGCCAGAGCTTGTTGTTCTCGACACTCCCTACCACGGTTCTGCCGTCGACATCTGGTCGTGTGGTGTCATCCTGTTTGCGATGGTCGCTGGATACCTCCCCTACGACGACGACCCAGACAACCCTGATGCCGGCAATGTCGTCGATCTTTACCGATACATCATGAACACCGAGCTTCACTACCCGGAACACGTCTCGCCGCTCGGCAAAAACCTTCTCCAACACATGCTTATTCTACACCCCGAGCACAGAATAAAGATTCCCGATATCATGACTCATCCTTGGCTCAAGAATCACCGTCACATGTTCAACAAGAGCGTTGAAGAGTGCGAGGCGGCGTTCCAAGAGGCAATGTACAAGAAGAGTAAACAAGCTCGGAAAGAGTTGCAAGAGAGAAGGCGCGTGCAGATGCAGGCCAAGGAGGCTATGCAGGCTCGAGAGAAGGCTTTTCAGCGAAGCCAGAGCAGCGCTCCTGGTACTACCATCACTGCTGCGGCTCTCGACCAGGGTCGCCGACGCCCACACAGTGCTATGCCTGGTGCGCCTACGATGCCCGAGATCATTGCAAAGCACTCGGCGCCCATAGCAGACGCCCACGTCCCTGCTCGGTCCGCCACGCCTTCCTCCATTCGTGCGCCAGTCCCCGCCCCGCCTTCAGAAGCAGTTCCCATTGCCATCGACTCTCCCCGCAGACGTTCAGAATCTATGGCCCCAGGCCTTTCGTCGACAGCCCCCGCTGTTGTCTCCCCCATTACTGCTGAGGCTCAACCTTTGAGTGCCAACGCCCCTTCACAGGACACCACTTTACCCCCCACTGCCGTCGCCCCTGTCCACCCCCAGGTGGCTCCCCGTCCGTCCATGCGCGAGAACAAGAATCGTCACACGATCCAAGTCGAGTATGATGGCGAGGCTTCTTACGACAAGATGCAGGAGATGGGTTCCGAGGAGAGGCGCATTGAGGGCTCCTCTGCTGACACTAGCGAGGGCATGCTTGCTCCTCCTCCTCTGCCCAACCTCAAGCAAGGTGACTCGAGTGACGTGGAGATGGAGTCTGGTTCGTCTGACAACGAGCATAACAAGACCCCGGAGATGGTAGAGTCCAAGAAGCCCGAAGCAGCGGTTGTGGTACCCACCACTGTCCCCCTTGCTCCTCCTGCCGAAACTGGAGTTTCTGCTCCCTCTGCGCCTTCTGCTGATTCTCAAGCGACGTCGACAGTCACCACTCCTGCCGAGCAAAGGTCAGATCCTCTCAGCCAAGCTGTATCGCCGTCTACCCCTCGAGCCTCGACCTTTGCCGACAAGGAGGCGGCCAACACCACTCCCCGTGGCCCCAAGACGACCGCTGCCCCTGCCCCGAACACTCCCAAGGTCTCGCTGGCGCAAGAACCACACCGACGCCATGGATCCATGCCTCCTGCACTGAGCACGACCGTGCCCGAACCAAAAGCCAACCCACAACTCAACGCGTCTGGTTTGCCCAAACCACCTCCCGCTGCCGCCCGCAAGGACAGAAGCCGGAAGGGCATGTCGCTCGACAAGTTTGGTCTTTCCAAACTCCTGGGCCATGCTTCTCAAGCATCTTCTTCGGCACAGGGTGAGGGTAGGATGGCGCCGCCCAGCGCGAGTGCTAGTGCGGTTGCTTTGCAGACACAGCTGCAGCAACATGGCAAGCAGGATAGACCTGTGGCCGAGACGGATAGCGTAAAGAAGTCCCGAAGGCGTACATTGCAGCTTAGCTTCCACAAGTGAGTCCAGTCCTTCAATTACGTGCGAGATGATACTGACGGACATTTAGTCGCCGCGACAGCAAGGCCCCTTCCAACATTGCTGTTCCAGGTACTCCTCTTGGGGATAAGGACCCGAACAGCGACAACCGAATGCCAGCCAGCGCAGGACCCAGGGACCCGATCAAAGACTTGCGACGCAAGACAATCCAGCTTGGCTTCAACAGGTACGTCAAGATTGATATGTCTTTGACACATACTGACCACCGTAGACAAACTACTCGGGAGATCAAACCCTTGCCTTCTGCAGTCCCCGTCTCTGCCCCGCCTTATACTGAGAGCCACCCGGACCTCGACCCTCCTCAAACTCCTCGAGATGCGATCATTAACCAAGACGAGCACCCTGCTCAAAGCTCGCCATCGATTATCACCATCGATCCTTACGCAGCTCAGCCAACTTACCCAAACCACCGTGGCTCATCCAGCAAAGCTTCAAAGGTCATGGATTGGTTCCGTCGAAAGACTCTTACTAGGGACACAATCGATGAGCTCCGATCCCCTGGGATTAAGAGCGACTCGCAGTCTTCCTTTGTTCGAGTGGGCGACGCTGCTTCGCCTCAGAGGAGAAACGAGGGATCGAATCTGGCGATGGCCTCGTATGACAGTGTCAACAGGACTGAAGAGAACGTCGGAGCATCATCTCCGCTTGTGGAGAAGAGGGAACCGGAAGCAGGGTCTGCTGAGGAGCCAGAGGAAGAATCCACTGCCGCTGCAGCTGCCCCATCTGTCACGGTTACTCCTCCCCGCCCCTCTACTAGCAAGGCTCCTACTATCAACTCTGACCACCAATCTCCTCTGATCGGCCGGGCTCGATCCGCCTCCACCTATACCTTCAACGAAACATCGATCCGTGTCCACACTGGCCTTGTCGACCAATCTGCCCTTACTACCAAACCTCCTCAGGATGTGTTCAAGGAGGTCATGCAGGTCTTGCGTGGCATGGGTGTTGACATGAAGCGAGAGAGCGACTTCAAGCTGAGGTGCACCAGGGCGAAGAAGAGGGCTGCTGGTGCTCCTCCGCCTACTGGGCTTGGTAGTGTCATGAGTACAGGATCGGGTATGAACCCTTTCTCTCTCATGAACAATGCATCTTCCGGCAAGGTGAGTAGAGGGCCATCTGAGCGCTGTGACCGAAACTGACGATCGTGATAGACCGACGCCCGTGGCCTGCCCTTGCCTACTAGCCCCTCTTTCAGCAACCGATCCAGTGCTGGTATCAAGGGTCTTTTGCGCCGTGGCAGTTCCAAATCTTCCGCCCACCCGGCCCGTATCTCTCGCGGCGAATTCGACACTGGTACCACACCTTCGCAGTCTACACCAAACCTTGAGCTGCCTGAGCTCACTGCTAGGCCCAAGCCCGAGCCTCTGTATGGCAAGGAGTTGTGAGTACAGACTCTGACATTGAGACATTCCCTTGCTGACTTTTTACAGGATGGATGCCGGCGACGAAGTCAAGTTCACCGTTGAGCTATGTAAAATGAAGAACCTCCCCGGGCTGTACATCCTCAAGATCAAGAGGACCAAGGGCAATCTCTGGTCTTTCAAATTCATCTATCAAACCGTCATCGAGTATGTCAATTGTGCTCATCAAACCGAGAACAACACTGACATATACTGCAGGCGCACTACCACCCTCACCCATTGATCGCTTATCTATCACCAAGCATACACGTATACCCCAACGTGACGATAACACGATAAAAAAACAGCGCAATATCAGCGCTTCCGCGTTTCTCATACCTCCGGATCATCTCTCAAAGCCCAGTCACCTGTAGTTTTTCATCTGAGAATTGTTATGTTTTCCGTATTCAGTTGTCTATATTAAGTATCAGCACCCATTCGCATTGAGCCTGTCTTGGACCTTTTCTCTTCCACAATCCATCCCCCTCATCCATATACAGCAACAAACATATAACGCGATCTTTAGTCCTTAGAATCGTGGGTCGAGTGGGAGTCTCATGTAATCCGACCCCTTTAGCCGTTTGCAATGTACACGTCATGTTCATAAGAGCCCTTGAATATCAACGCAAATATACCACAGCACGACAATTAAAAAATGGCTCCAATGCGGCAAGAATGGCTGATTGGGACCTGACAGGATAATGGTTGCCAGGTGCAAGGTGCATAGGCCAACCCCCGCCCCCCGCCCCCGACCCCCGAGCGGGCCTCTAGGACTCTAGCTTCGACGTCGGATATCTTTGGGGGCATGATATGTGGAAACGGCGAGAAATGGGCATAAAACAAAAAAGATACATGAAAAAGTGCCCTTATTCTGACGGAGGATGAATCTTAATAACAGCGTTATTAACCATGGGCCCGGGTTGACCTCCACAATGACGGCCCGCCGGGCAGCAGAGAGGGGTTCACATCAGCTCTCAACGATCTCTTTCAACATTCTATTTCTTCGCCAGACGTGCAGCTGCACAATGTTCACCCCCGACCCCTACTCGCTGCAGGCTCGGCGCCACATCCCCTACTTGTCCTTCCACAAATCACTTATCCGCACCATATGTCGCCCTCAGCAAGATGACCTGCTCATCATCGCCAAGGGACTGGGACTCAGGAGAGTAGTATGTGCGCTGCTAAAGACCTATGACAGGCGGGAAGATCTGGTTCTTGTGGTTGGCGCTACCCCAGCTGACGAGGCGGGCGTCGGAGATGAACTAGGGATTATGGGCGTCAGAGACCCGGGATTCAAAGTAGTCGGCTACGAGATGCACGCGAAGGAAAGGTACGCGGCACCGTTTTCAGTGACAAGGATGAAGCTGACTTGATCAAAATCAGAGAAGAAATGTACCGACATGGAGGTCTTTTCTCGGTGACGAGCAAGATTCTCGTCAACGACCTACTCAGTATGCGCACGATCGAGCTGTCTCTTACTTGTGCTGATTGGACATTAGAGGGAACATTGCCCTGCAAGCTCATAACAGGCCTCGTAATTCTGCACGCTGAAAGAATTTCGCATGGCAGCCAGGAAGAGTTTGCTGTCCGTCTCTACCGGCGAGAGAATCAAAGCGGCTTTTGCAAAGCATTCTCTGATGAGCCCGAAATCTTTGCCCACGGCATGTCTCCACTCAAAGACATGCTCGTCAACCTCAACATGAATTCGGTTCTCATCTGGCCTCGTTTCAATGAAGCCGTGAAGATGGATCTGTCGAGTCGGAGGGCAGATGTAGTGGAGATGTATATCCCGATGACGGATCTGATGAGGCAGTGTCAGGATGCTGTCACAGAGTGTATGGAAGCGATGTTGGTGGAATTAAAGAGAGATCATTCTCTGGTAAGTTTCATCTATAGGATTCAAGTGGATACTGATATAAGTAGAATCTTGATCTGGAAGACATCAACGTCCGCAACGCCCAATTCAAGAGCTTTGACACCATTGTCAGAATGAAGCTCAAGCCGGTCTGGCACAAAGTCGGAGCAAAGACAAAGATTCATGTAGCTGCTCTTGCTGAGCTTCGAAATTTGCACACGTATGTCTTTGGGGAGATTTGTCCCAAACACGACTTACGTTGTTGTAGCTGGTTACTCGAATACGACTCTGCGACTTTTGCTTCCTACATCAACACACTTCAACGCCAGCATTACAATGCCGAAAAGGTCACTACGGGCCCTGCTCGACATGTCCATGATTGGTTCAATGCCAAATCCGCTGCTACCCTCGTCGAAGCCTCACAGGGGCGTTTATCAAGAAAGAAGCTCGAAATGGATAACAACCCCCAAGAAGACGAAGGGGAGTTTGAGGAGGAGGAGGCTGTGATGAGGGAAGAAGAGCGTCGAGAGCGGGAACGCCGAGAAGGGGACAGCGTGATGAGGGACGATGATGAGGAGGATATCATGGAGGTCTTTGCTACCCAGACTCAAGTCGTCCCCCAGAGTCGGTCAAACAGGGACGACAACGGAGACGAAGAGCAACTCATTATCGAGGACGACGAGAACGCAGACGAGACCTTGCGCTCCGCCGAAGGACCTCCTCCGCCCGTATTCCGTCCTGTCATGGTCGGTGTCCAAGACGACCTTCGAGCTAGCGTCAAGAAGAGATTACGGAAAGGACACGAAGCTGTTCTGGAAGAACAGCCCAAGTGGGGTGTCCTCGGCAAAGTCTTGAAGGAGATTGAAGATACCATCGCCCGTGTTTCCGACACGCACGCCGACGCGCCGGGGACCAATATCACCCTCATCATGACTTCCTCCGACCGCACCTGTCTCCAACTCCGGCAATACCTCACCACCATGGCCAAGACTGATCCGCCTTTCGGGCCGAATGCGGGGAAGAGAATGATGGAGTCTCTGTTCTTGTCGAATTGGCAGCATGAGAAGAATGGGCAGAGGCTGGATGGCAAGGCTGGGAGCAAGGCGGGTATGAGGATGCATAGGAGTGGTGATGATGAGGTGAATGCTAGGGGAGACATTGAGAAGCAGAGATCGGAGGAGGCGAGGAGGGCTGAGAGGGGGAGGGGGAGGGGCGTACCGAGTTATAAGAGAAGGAGGCAGAGGGGCGGGTCTGTTGCCCCAGCTCCGAGATTGGCAGACATGGAAAGGTGAGTATCAATGATGAATCAAAGCTCCAAGCTGACTCTGCTTTCAGAGAGCATAGAGAGGCGATGATGAAGGCACACTCTGCATTTGCTGGCGGTAAAGAAGATGAAGATGCGCAGATGCAATGGGCTATTGGGGAATCGTGGGTATTCTGTTTACGGGCTTTTTGCGATGTACTGACTGGCGCAGATCTCGAGCCGGACAAGACCCAGCATCTGCCCTCCTCACTTCATCCGGCATCATAGACGAAGATGACCTCCAGCCTCTACCGCCCGGCACCCTTCCCTCAGACCCGGTCTTGGGCGCCGATTCGGCATCCTACGGACTGATGCCTGAGAACTTTGAGGAAGAGTACGGGCTGATAGCGCCGGAGGATGCTGTAGTCATCCGACCTTATGGGGGAGAGGATGATGATATTCTGCTACAGGAGCTGAGACCGAGATTTGTGGTGCTCTATGAGCCCAACTTGGCGTTCATTCGACGGCTAGAAGTGAGTCTCTTGTTATTGCGATGGGGGCTCTCTCACAGACGATTAGGTGTACAAGAATTGCAACCCAGGGTTGTCTCTTCGTGTATATCAAATGATATACACCAACTCATTCGAGGAAGACCGTTTCCTCTCAACGATCCAAAGAGAAGCCGAAGCTTTCAAAAAGCTCATCGACGACAGGCAGTCGATGGTCATACCCATCTACAACAACAACCCCCGAGCGCCTATGCGAGATACATTCACCAGATCAAAAACGACTTATTCGTCGCGTAATGCTGGCGGTGGAGAGGGCGCTTCAGAGTCGCGAGTGAGTCAATCCAGAGTCTTGGGCAATCAGATGCTGATGAACACTAGATCATTGTCGATTTACGAGAGATCGGCGCTCTGCTCCCCTCCTTGATCGACGCTGCCGGTATCAAGGTCATTCCCTGTACACTCACGGTGGGAGATTACATCCTGTCTCCGAAGATGTGTGTGGAGAGAAAGAGTTTGGCCGATTTGGAAGGCAGTTTGAATAATGGTCGATTGTGAGCATCATTTTCGTTCGCAGGGGATCTCCGCTGAGTCGTATGCAGACACACGCAGTGCGAACAGATGACTGCTCATTACGAGACCTGCATCCTTCTCATCGAATTCGACGAAGACAAATTCGGCATGCGCACCAAGGAAGATTCTCGCCGAGAGGCCGCTGGACGACCTAGCAACAACACTCCCAACACCAACCCCGATGAGCCATGGCGCCAGGACACATTCTACATCCAAGCCAAACTCGTTCTACTGTCTCTCCATTTCCCGAAACTCAAGATCATCTGGTCTTCTTCCCCGCAAGAGACTGTACGCATCTTGTCGGATCTGAAGTTGAACCATGATGAGCCGGATGAGGCTACTGCCATGCTCAAGGGATCTAGCGAGGGAGAGCAGGGAGGAGCACTCAAGAGTGGGATTGAGAACGCGGCGGCTGTGGAGATGCTTCGATGCATCCCCGGTGTTTCGGGTGGAAATCTGCGATATGTAATGTCCAAGGTGGAAAGTATCGGGGAGATGGTGAGAATGAGCAGGAAGCAACTGAAGGAAGTGCTTGGCGAGGAGGGAGGGGACAAGGCGTATACCTTTTTGCATCACGACGCAAGGTTCTCGTAGGCCTCATCTTGGGATTGGAAGATGCACTTCCATGACACGGCGCTAAAGCGGATCCAGAGCGGATCCATGCGCGTATTTGCATAAGCGCCGATAACCGCAGGAGATCTCCGAAACAATTATATAAAGTACTTCCATGTTCGCATCTTCTTTTTCTCTGTCGAATACTCAATAGATACATGACTGCTCTCAACTTCCAAGTAGCTTCGCAGGTAGCAGCAACTGCCCCGCCGCCGTAAGTTGCGCCTCTACCGCCGACTCCTTGCTCACAGATCGTAGCATCCCCAAAGCCCAAGCATGGGGCCGGCAATTCCCCGCCTCCGAGTCCACTCCATTACTCGATATGTCTCAGGGCGTACCTCGAGCTGCACCGCACTCGTCTGTCCTCGAGTCGCTCAAACAAGCTTCCAGTGATCCCCAAGCAGCGCGATACGGTCCTATCTTGGGCGAACCCGCCCTGCGCGAAGCCTTGGCCTTGGAAACCCGGGTGCTCTATCGTCTGCCCGAAGATGGAGATCAAGTGCAAGCAGAAGATATCGGCGTGGTGACGGGGTGCAATATGGCTTTTTTGAGCTTGCTGATGACGCTATGTCCACCTGGCAAGTCGGAGGTGCTGCTCCCGCTCCCGGCGTACTTTAATCAAGCCATGTCGCTCTCTCTCCAAGACGTCAAGCCGGTGTATATCCCTTGCGACCCCGAGAACAAGTTCAAAGCTTCTTTGAACAAGGCAAGAGAGCATCTAGAAGGTGTCAAGAAGGAGGCAGGAAGAGAGAGGCAGGCTAGGATGATCGTGCTAGTCTCGCCAAACAATCCCACGGGAACGGTGTATACGCATCGAGAGATCAAGGAATGGTACGAGCTTGCCAAGGAACATCACCTTGCTCTCGTTTTGGATGAGACGTATAGGGACTTTGTTGAGGATGGAGAAGACCAGGGCAAGAGGGGTCAGCCGCATGCGCTGTTTGAGGAGCCAGACTGGAGAGGAACCCTGGTTTCTCTGGGCAGTTTCAGCAGTGAGTGCACATATAAGCTCTCATGGTGGAGCTAACATAGTACAGAGGGCTACAGGATCCCTGGCCATAGGCTGGGTACGATCACTGCCAGCCCTGAGCTTTTGAAGCACATCACAACGATCTGTGACTGTATGCAGGTATGCACATATCCACGCCCTGCCTCCCATGACCGCTAACAGTGAAATAGATCTGCGCCCCGCGTCCACCCCAGCTGGCACTAGCCCCACTCCTCCCCTCCCTCCGCCCCGACCTTCTCTCTTCATCAAGTCAACTAGCCCACCGCCGCCGCCTATTCCACTCCACAGTCGAAGCCGCCCCCGGCTGGTCTGTCATCGCTTCCGGTGGCTTCTTCGCTTACGCCCAGTTCCCTCAAGAGTATATCCACGCCTCGAGCGTTTTGGGGCTGAAGAGGAAGAGGTTGGGAAGTGAAGATGTGGCTAGGATCTTGGCGACCAAGTGTGGGGTGGTGACTCTCCCGGGAAGCTTCTTCATGCCTACTGTTGGAGATGATGAGGCTTGGGATGAAGTGGTAGGGGGAGAGGTGGTGAGAGAGGATAGATGGTTGAGGTTTGCAGTGGCCAATGTCGAGGATGAAGTGGTCATCTCACTTGGACCGAGGCTGAGGCAGATGAACAAGCTTATGGGGGTCGCGGAGGAAGAGCTAGATCAATAGATCTGAATAGGATACAGGCTGAAAAGTCATAGATGCATACAAGAAATAATCAAAGACTCAGCATCAAGAAGCCGAAAGTCACACTAAACGGCCACACCTTCCTTCTCCTTTGCCTGCTTCTCTAGCATTCGTCTTCTCGCTTCAAGGATCATCTTTTCCTTTCTCTCTTTCAATCCCATCTCTCTCTTCTCCTTGGAATCCTCCCATTTTGAAGCAGCGTTTGCACTGGTTTCTGCCAGTTGATTCTCTTCGACAGCCTTCTCCTTTCCTTTCAATGATGGCACTCTGGAAGAGAGGTTGTATCGGTCGATAAGACTTTGAGCCTTGATGGCCGATGCAGTCTTTGTATTCTGAGGTTGAGCAGTATTGGAAACTTGGGCAGGAGGGGTGGTGGTGGGAAGGAGGGAGGCAGGCATATTGAATGTAGGAGGAGGCTACCCGATAAGCGTCAGCACACGACCTCGACACGACTCTTCAAGATTGTTTGGCTCCCGCCCATTTCATCCCCCTCCTCTCATTCGTCGGCTCTCCAATGGTGGGTTCACTCACAGCGGCCAAGAATCCTCTCTCCAAGATCTCCTCCGAAGTCGACTGAGCACTCTTGGTGCGCGACAGATGATAGATGATATTAGGTACAGGAATGTCTGGGAATGCGCTGTGCACTGTTTCCACCTGCGCACACCATATCCACATCAGCTCTGAGCCCACTACTGAAGAGTGGAAGAACGTACCATGGCGGGGGTGACCCCTCTGATACCACCTTCGGCGGTGCCACTCGATTCTAGAGCTCGGGATCAGCAACGCTCCCCATGGACCCTGGCGCAGGGACTTACTGCCCCCGATGAGCCATCGTATGGCAAAGTAGACAGCAGTAACTATGATGAGGGTGGCTATTATATCCTCCATGGTGATTAGAAAGATTAGAAAGAGTACAGATTAGAGATGGACAGCGAGACGGCCGAGCGTTGTAGCCGGCGATTAGCGGGATCAAAATGGATTAGCCCCGGGAACAAACAGCATTACGCGCCACTCTTCGCAATCATCTCACTCTCTCTCGGCTGCATCCATATATCCATGTCCAACAACACCCAGTCCTTCGACCTTCGTGTGAGTCGCCCAGAGACCGTACTAGGGGGATGCTGATAGCATTGGAAGGCCGAAGAAGACGCCGCTCGTAGGCTCAACGTCGGCCGGGTTCTTCCAACTTCTGGCTCTGCATCCACATCCCGTGCCAAAGTCAGCGAGATCGTAGGGCGGGCATTCCTGCGGCAAAAGGCCGACGCAATATGTGCGTCTGCATCCTACAATTCGAGCTCTCGCTGACGTAGAATGCAGCAAAGAACCATGGAGTCAAGTTTGACGACGACGCTACGCTCTACTTGACGAGCGCCATAGAGTCTTCCCTGCGGTCACTCTTAGAGCTCACCCGCACCGCTCAAATCCACCGAACATCATCATCCCATCTCCACCCCCCTCCCCTCTCCGAACCCCCCTCAAAATCCGCCCCTCCATCAGCCTCGCCCAAACCCCTCTGGTCCCACTCCCTCACCTCGCACCCTGCCTCCGTCCTCGACGCGCTCAACAGGCAGAACAGAGATGCGGAACAAGAGTTTCGTAAACAGCGTATGGATCGGCTGGCGCGGGATGCAGAGTTGCAAAAGGCGAGGGAGAGGAGAGAGCGGGCGGAGGCTTATGCGAGGGATAATGGGCTCGCTACTCCGAGTGGTGTAGACGGCAATGTGGCGGGAAGTGGAGATGGATCGCCAGCACAGAGCTCTGGGTCTTCGCCTAGTACTCCTGCTCCCGGCACACCAACTGCCTCGGGTACGAAAAAGAAGCCCCCAAAGAAATCTACACCTTCCGCCTCTACCCCCGCTTCCGGCTCTGGCTCCTCACGCGATCTTTCAGCCGAGGTGCAGCACAAGATGACAAACTTGACAGCTATGCGCTCAGCAGGCGTGGGCAAAAAATATAATTGGATGATGGGGAATGCGCCGTCTGTCAGTTCGCCTTTGGCAGGCAAGAAACGGAAAGCCGAGGGTGCTGCTGGAGGTGCGGAGAAGGGCAAGGGAAAGAGTAAATTGGGCATGACTGGAGGTGCGGAGGATGACAAGGATGAAGAAGAAGGACGTAAAGCCAAGAAACCGAGAGGCATCCCCATACCCGTCAGGCGCATGGTAAACGTACTCGCCCCCCCGCCTACCCCAGGCCAATCACACAATCCCTACTCTTCCAACCCCTTGCAATCGCAGCAAACCTCGGGGCAAGGGGCGGGATCGTCAAGGCAGGTGGAAGACGATAAAGCGTTGACGTTGACAGACCTTGTTTTCGCGCTGGAACATGGGGGGTTGGGCGCTGCGGGTGGGCAGGGATGGGGGAGTACGACTGGAGATGCTTTGCAGGGTGTTTGGGCGAGAGGTGGGCCTTGAGTGGGTCAGATATATAGAAGCAGGGGAGACTTTGTAATGACAGATGGACATCTGAACGCGGCCGTCGTATCATTGTATGTATATAACCCATGCATTGGAAAATGAACAGGCATAGAGATAGCCATCTTCCTATTGCCGTCCTAAATACCATCGAAAGAAAGCTGTAAACAAGAGGAAAACAAACGGTGAAAGTGTATACAGATGGGGGAAAAATGCTGATCCATCTCTTTTCCCGATGATAGGAGGAGGGGTGAATTCGAATGATGGATGGTCGAATCTGGAGAATGATGAAGAATACTATAAGGTTGTCGAATAGAGCCTGGAGGGGCAGGGGTTGGTATGTCTAGGCGAGGAAGATTCGCCAAGCGAGGAAAGCGATGGAAGCCGCAAGGGGAAGGGTCCACATGGGGAATCTACGGCGCATATCTCGTCAGCTTATAGTCTCGACCAAACCTCATGAGTCGAATGACGATTATCATATCGGAGGAAGAGACGGGAAAGTAGACTTACGTGCCCTCTGACGAGTCTGTAGAAGTACCAGCGGCAGATCCCTTTGACTTGTCCTTCTTCTGCGAGACGGTGTCAGCTTTGGGTCTCTTTGGCACGCCACATTCAAGGGAGATGGGGGTTGTGGTGAAGCTGGGACAGAGAAAATGGTCTCGTGCCAGATAGGCGTAGCTGAAGGAAGGGAACGGGAGGATACGACTCTTGCCAAAAACGATCTCTAGCCAGCCCCCTTCCCGCCCTCCCCACCCCCAAGCCCACAACACAGCTCTATGTGATAAAAGGGAGAGACATACCTCGCCCTGGAACTCTCCCAAGTACATCTTCAACAGCATATCCCGGGCTTCATCAGAGTGGCCGACATCTTCAAACGCTTCTGTCGCGTCGCGTCCTGTCATATGCACATTAGTTATGACTCCCAGCACGTATGAGCACGTAGAGATGGGAAAGGCGTACCAGCTTCTTCGATGAGTACTTCATCGCCACCAGGGTGCTATTGAAGGACGGTCAGCTCGGTCATCTTTCGATCGCTTCACCCTTCGCTCCCCAAACCAGCCCCATCTCTCCCCGCGCCAGCTGCCATACACTCCAAATCAGAGAACAGAGAAGCACATACCTCATCCATAAACGCCGTAATGTCATACACCTTGTCGTGCAACAACATCCACAGACTCTCGCGGTCATTGTGCTCGGCGAGGGTCTCGAGGGTGTAGAGCTTCTTCTCTTCCACGGGGGCGTCGGCCCCTTGGGCTCCTTCGGCGGGGACTTGGTCGGGCGGGGGGGTGGACATGGCTTGAGATGTGAGATGGGCGGGGAAGAGAAGTCGCGTTTGGGGATATTTCTCGACGTGGCACGAGCCGCCTTCCCGCGCTCAATTAGTTGACTTTTTGTGGCACTTTCATTGGCTCACACTTACGAGTCTTATCTCGAGTGCTTTTGGACAGGTAGCACTTGCAGCATGGACAGGAGAATGCAGAGATCGTTGGGGAGGTACGAATTACAATATGCAGCGAGTAGCCACCATCATACATCATGTAGTGCCTAAGCGAGAAAAAGAAAAAAATCTAGACAACAACCCAAAAACACCCGAAAGACGACTCTTAAAGAGAGAGGTCGATCTTCTTGGCGTCCTGGCCGAGAGCCTTAGCTCGCTTCTGGAGCTTGTTGATACTAGACACAGTCAGCGAGAATTCAAGAGAGACAAGAAAGTACGCACGACTTGTTGCCTCGGACACCACCACCCCAGTGCTTCCTGGCCTCCTCGTACTTGTCGAGGTAGTTGGCCTTGGCGGCAGAGACGAGGGTAGCAAGAGCCTGCTGGTCCTCGGACCTGACCTCGGTGATAGCAACGGTAGCGGCAGTCTTCTTGCCGGTGATCAGACCGAGCCTGGCCTTGCCCTTGACGATAACGTAAGGGACACCCATCTTCCTGCAGAGAGCGGGGAGGAAGACGACGAGCTCGATGGGGTCAACATCGTCGGCAATGACGACGAGCTGGGCCTTCTTGGCCTCGACAAGGGCGACAACGTGGTTGAGACCGTACTTGGCAAAGATGGGCTTCTTGGAGTCGGTGGTGGTGGCCTTGTCACCCTTCTTCTCACGGGCCTCGGCCTCGGACAAGAGACGAGCCTTCTTCTCCTGGGTGGATTCGGGCTTGTACTTGTTGAGGAGCTGGAAGAGCTGGGTGGCGGTGTTCTTGTCGAGGGTGTTGGAGAACTGGGCGATGGCAGGGGGGACCTAGAGCGGGGTCAGAAATGGTCATACCAGGAAGAAAATGGACACACCTTGAGACGCTGGTTAAGGATAACCTTTTGCCTCTGGAGCCTGACGTACTCGGGCCACTTGACGAATCGGGTCAAGTCCCTCTTGGGGGGGAGGTCACCACCTGAGTTGCGTCAGCATTTTTTTTTTCAAGCCATCGAGTAGCGCAAAACTCACCAATACCGAAAGTCTTGGACTTCTTCTCAAAGATGGGGTTGACGACCTTCTTGGCAGCCTTCTTGGTACCGTGGGGAACGGAAGCGACCTTCTTGCCGGACTTGGTGGGAGCCTATAAAAGTGGGGTCATTGAGACGTCAGCGATGAACCTCTTTATATTCGAGGCATCACTTCAGAGCTCTAGAGATTCTTCCCCTTGCCGGTTCGCCCGCTGGAAAGCGAGGTACTAGGACGCAAGGTCGAATCACCCAGGGGTGTTCAGGCGTAGTTGCGAGGGTCATCGCGCGAGCTGTGCTCTGCTCGCCGGGCTGCCTTGTGGAGATGTGAGTCTCGTGTGTGGTGGGTGTCTAGCTGCTCTGGCGTGATGCCCCCTTGTGGGAAGGGATGCGCACCATTTTTGATATGTTGGGTTGATGTACAAGGAAAGAGATAGACGCGCGAAAGAAAGAGGAAGAGCGGAGCGGGAGCAAATGCTACCGCCGACAGACGCGCCCAGTTTCGATCCCGGCGCCACGAGGGATATCGCCGGCATGCCCCGCCGCACTACTGCTTCCAATTATTCTGCTGTCAGCCAACCCTCAAGCAAAAGGTTACAGGTCAAAATGGTGAGTCTCACAGAGCTCGAGGCGGGCCCAGGGCAGGGCAGCATCGCCCACATCGAGAACGGCCACGACACCGACTTTCCTGGGCGAAATTGAGTCGACATGAGGGATTGTCTGGAGGGAGCGGGGAGGTGGAACGAGGGGGTAGAAGTTGGATGAGAATATGTGGGAGGGAATAGGGCGAGCGAGGGGATACTGGGAGTGACACCCTCGACTACCATCAACTCCCGTCTTCGACCCCCTCATCATACCACGAAACATTGCCAAAACCTCCAAATTCCTCGAAATGCTGCTCTGCCTGCCTGCCATGCCGCATGTGTCTCTTCAACTGTCCACTAACGCCCCCTCCAGCCCCAGCAAGTCCGTGACATCAAGAAGTTCCTCGAGATCGCCCGTAGAAAGGACGCGACCCGTACGTCCCCTTCCTCCCTCTCTCAACTCGAATCTAACAAATTTCCAGTCGCCCGGATCAAGAAGACTGCCATCAAGCCTTCTGCCACTGTCGCCCAGTCCAAGGCTAAGGCCGCCAAGGCCCCCACCCACGTCACCAAGTTCAAGATCCGATGCTCCAAGTACCTCTACACCCTTGTTCTTGACGACGCTGAGAAGGCCGAGAAGCTCAGGCAGTCTTTGCCTCCTGGTACGTCTGCTAGTCTTTGTGTAATGAATGAGTGCTGATGTGTATTGAAGGACTCAAGGTTGAGGACCTTAGCGTCAAGGCTGCCAAGAAGTAATTTGGATAGTTTTGGACGTTGGGGATTATGCATCCTGTATACCACTTGATTTCTTGGAGTTCTGAGCGAGCATTGAGACATTGGCGACTGTCGGGCGTCTTGGGAGGCTGGCAGAGTGAAAGGTGGCATTTTACTCATATATTGCAGCTCTACCAGCTTGTATTCTGTTTCTGGTCGTTGGTAAAGCCGGAAGCACCTTGGACTTCAAACTATGTCCCACGATCAGAAAAGATCGAACAGCGCTTCCTTGTTAGCAAAGGCGACCTTCATCCCGCGCTCTTTGACTCCAGCTACAACGACGAGCAGTCAGCACATCCGCCCCACCGGCTCCAGAGCAGTTTGAATCAGGTGATGCTCAGTCGAGCGAGGCGAGACTCGACCTCGACCCCTGCTTGACCTATACCTCCGGACAATTGGGTGACCGTGCACTTTCATTTACAATATACGTACGAGTGAAAGTACATGAAGGCTTTGTGATGTATACCTGGACCTTCTTTCCCGGGCCGTTTTCGTAATACCTGTAGCAATGAGCAGCTTTCTGACTGACTGAAAACACCTGCTTTTGGATCATTCTCATATCAGTCCAGTATAGACTCAATCATCCGTCCTCTTCACTATCGTTGTCGTTTCTCCAGTACCGTCAATAATGTCAAAATTATCTGTCAGTGTCAATGCAAGGTTGAGTCACAGTGACAGAGGAACTAGCTCTGGGAAGTGGACCGTAAGAAGCCACGATTGGAGGACGTGATTGCAACGATAGACCTCGAGGTCACATAGCATGGGCATCGTATCGAGTTCCAAGCAGGTTGGCTCCCATCTAATCAGCTCTCACCGACAAGTACAACAGCAACAACAAAGGGCGGCGACCCCCGTTCTACGTAATCGAGCCTCCGACTCTTTTGACGATTTCTGATATCCTCACTCGCAATACAACGACTTTGAACAAAAGCATGTGCTGACCGTGAACGATGGACCCGCTCAGCAACTGGACATTCACCCAGGGCTTCATCTTCGGCCAGGCATCCTTCCTCCTCATCCTCCTCCTCTTTGTCCGCTACATCGTCTTCTCCCCCTCAGACCAGGTAGACCACGATGCCTGGCGCAAACGGCGCCTTGAACAACATGCCTCTTCTGCCGCAGCTATCAAGGCTTCGACCTCGAGCCATACCCCGCCGCCGCCAGCTTCGTTGTTGTCAAAGACAAAGTACGACATGTCGGTGCATGCCCCAGAGTCGGCGGACTGGCTCAACGTGCTCTTGGGACAGGTCGTCCAGGGGTATCGCAATGATTTATTGTCGGATGGAGGGGAGGAGGGTGCGAGGCTGAGGGTGGAGAGGTGGCTGAACCCAAAAGGAAAGCAGTTGAGTTGGCTGGATCCGATCGAGGTGACCAAGATTTCGTTGGGAAGTTCGTTTCCGCTATTGTCGAATGCGAGAATACGGCCTGCGGATGGACATGGGAGATTGGTAAGCCAGTTACAAGTGACTTGCTGCTGTGGTTAATATACATTTGGCTTTAGCGTGCAGAAGTGGACGTCGATTATCTCGATTCGATGAGCATGTCTCTGTCCACCGCCGTCCTTATCAACTTTCCGCGACCTCGTTTTGCTGTCCTCCCCGTGTCTCTCGGTGTCGAACTTGTCTCGATAGGCGGAACTGTACGTCCTGACTCCGCACAAAGGATACAAGCTGACCATCATGTAGATGTCAGTCCAACTCCACGACCCCACAGGCGACCAGCAACATCTTCACACCTCCCTCCTCCCGGACTTTCACCTCCACCTCAAAACTACCTCCCTCCTCGGCTCCCGCGCCAAACTCCAAGATATCCCCAAACTCGAACAACTCATCGTCTCCCGCTTGCGCAGCTTGGTCCAAGACAAGTTTGTCAGTCCGAATTATATCTCGGTGGGGTTGCCGAAGGTGCTTGCTGGGAGTGGCAGTAACGAGGAGGAGCAAGGGGTGGATGGGGATGAAGGGGCGGGGCAGCTTTTGGACGATCTGGGTGAAGGGGCGGTGGGTGCTATGAAGGAAGCTGTGGGGGAAGGGATGAAGCGGATGGTTGAAGACTTTATGCCTTCCACCTCACCGCTTCTCGAGCTCAGGGAAGAGAATCTGGTACAAGAACCAGAGCAGTATGGTACTACGACATCAGCCTTTGGTCCCGGGACACCCCTCATACAGCCGCCGGGGACTTTCCCGCATACGCCGGGGACGCATCAGTTGAGGCAGGGCGGTAACCCATTCTTCCCCGCCCTCCCTCAAACACCCACAGGTAGCGGCAGGCGCCCACAACTACATCCTTCTCAATCCCAATCCCAATCCCACCTCAATCCGCCATCCGCTCTGCAAAGTCAATTCCAAGGGCAGCAAGGGTTGACGAGCCAATCGCTGTATCAAGCGTCGCAGTTCCAGAGACCGGAACGGCCCGGGGTGGTGCATAGGCAGAGTAGTGGGCTGTCGGGGGCGGCGAGCTCGAGTTTGGCGCCGAGTCAGAGTCAGAGTCAGTTTAGGTTTAGGGGTCAGTTTGCTTCGAAGGGATGAGCGAGTTGAGGAGATATAGCGAGGACCTCTAGGGTAATGTATCATTGTCATTTACCACTGATCGGCAGCCAGTTTGCAAGGAACTATACAGCATCATCAAGATACCATTGCTTGGCTTCACAATCACCTGCATCAATTATTCTAAAGTATGGAACACTACGAACCCGATCACTGACAACAGCACGCAGACCCCACATCCTTCTTCGCCTTGCTGCTCTTCTTCCTCTGCGAAGACGCGTCACTCTTCTGCTTTCTGACTCCTGCTGCTGCTGAAGAAGGCAAGTCGTGAGGTTTCGCTATAACATGCGGCTTGGTCACTTGTGCTGGCGCAGCCGGTCCTGGCCCACTCCCCTCGGCTACGACTGGCTCGTCTCTGACCTGTGTCTTCAACGACGCTTGTCTCCTCCTCTCTGCTTCTTCCGCGTCGACGACCTCATGCTCTTCCGCCCTCTCCCTCTCTTCCGCCTCCGCCGCCTCAGTCTCTTTCTTCTTCTCTGCTTTTTGCGCCTCCCGTTCCTTATTGTCCTGCGCTTCTTTCGCCTCTTGCTCCCTCTTGTTCTCCGCCTCTTTCGCCTCGCGTTCTCTCTTCTCCTCCGCTTCTTTCGCCTCTCGCTCCTTCTTCTCGGCCTCTTCCTGCACAATCAAGTCCTTCTGCTGCGTATGCGCATAGTCGGTCTCAGAGTCCCATCGACCGGTGATCTCGACCTCCCACGCGTAGAGGACGTCGTCTTCTTTCGGCGGCTGGGATGACTGTTCAAAGGCGGACTGTATCAGCTTTGGGACTGTGAGGTGATGATAAATTGAACTCACGCCCCAGTGATGAGCCAAGCTTCCCAGTTTCCTGATGAGGTACACGAGCTTTCGCTCGAGATCGACCGCTTTCCAGTCCTCATTGAGTCCTCGAGGTTTCAGGGCTGCAAAGTTGATCTCCTCAAGTCCGTTCAGGATAGCTTCTCCCTCGCTGTCGTGGCTATCAGCATGCGCCTCACGAGCATGGGAGCGTGAGATACTTACTGGACGAGCTCGGCGAGGCGGACGAGGATGAATTGTGGTAAGGGAGATCCGGGGGCGAGGTAGAGATTAACAGAGCCGCAGAGGATTTCGGCGATATATGCATAGAGCTCGGTCTGGCATGAAAGTAAGTCTTTGTTACACACGCGCAGTGAAAAGACTTACGATCCAGCAGACACACGACATTCCGACCCCATTGCGCGCGGCACTATGACCTAGAGCATTGACATGCTTGGACAAGAGCAGCAACAGCTCTTCCTGAGACCCTTCCTTCGTCTTGCCTGCCCCTCCTCCAGCACCGACCTTGCCCCAGCCACGCCCGCCCGAACCAAAGAGCAGAGCCTTGTAGTGGGTATTGTTGAACTGCTTGATGGCTTCTGCGCAGTTGTTGGCGGCGATTTCTTGGAGGTCCCAGATGAGAAGACCGGGAGAAGAGAAGGGGTATCCGGGGGTGTTGGGTGGGAGGGTGAGGGGAGTGGGGGTGAAGGGGGAGCTGAGGTGGTGTGTGCGTTCGGGATTGGGATACATGGTTTCGGAGAGTATAGGCGTTGACGCGATGATGGATGTTGGACTTCTTTTATGTTGAGCGTTGCAGATTCCCGGTGGCAAATTGACGCTCAGTGGCAGGCATTACACCAAGCTGCCTGAGGCAGCGCCTTGCTTGACAGGCAACGAGACCGGCCGCCCGACCGGCATGCGAATACAGGTGTTTTCTGGCTGGTCATCACCGTTACACGCAGGGTCGCGCCGGATGATCAGGAGTTTGCCACGGGGTATTCCATGCATCGCGCCTTGATGCGGATATGAGCATACGTTTTGTACAAACGTTTACCAACAATGATACACTGGTCATTTGCATATCGAGTTATCAATTGAAGACAGCTGTTAATCATTGAACCTTGTATGCTCGCGTAATCTACAAACCGGAAGACCGACGACTTGAACCCGGCCCATTTGTGATCGCTCCGAGACACTACACAGGTTGTCATTTTCGGAGAATGTGAAAGATGGTGGGGGGCATTCGCTTAACAGTTGCTGGACCCGGCCGCTCTTGCGGGCGAATTCATGTCTGCAAACATGTGGCGAAGCTTCTCCTTCGGCCCGAGCTCTTTTACGCTGCTCCACGAGGCAGCTACGAAGGGCCATACTTGCCGCGATGCAGTGAGTGGCTTCCCGCGTACTGTGCTGCTCCTTGTTGAAAGACCGTCATTGCGAAACATCATCCCAACCAGGAAGACTATAAATGCGTCATAATTTACTGAGCTGAAACGCTTCATTCAACCAATACTGCGCCCACTGGAAATTTGCCGCGTCGCCACCCGTCACCAAACAAAACACAATGCCTGCCGTCAACAACAATCTCCCCGAGTCTGCCCAGCCTTCGCCTTTTCTCAGTGGCGGTGTACCTCCACCCTCCAGCCCTGCGAGTCATTGCTCTGTCGACTTGCCTCTCGTTGCCTGTCTGGACGACTTGGATGGTCATCTCGCCAAGAAGCAGAAGAACCCCGAAAGACCAGCGGAGGAGGTAACTCGACTTTGTGATGCAGTCATCGCGCTTCTTGCCCATTTGAACAATCAAGGTCAGACTCTTCTAGCAGCGGACGGTGCAGACGAGTGTGGCGGTGTCCGGAGACAGAGCACAAACTATGGTCTAATAAGTCTGGGTTAGAGTCCGGAGCGTCCTGTATCTCTTTGGGGTCGGCTGGGGCGAGTGCGGCGAGCG